CTCATGGTTTTTCTCGAGTTGCGGCGGGGACCTGGGGTATGTTCTCGACTTACGGCGGGGATGGCCCTTCAAAACACGAGTTTCTTCAGTGACGTCAGGACTCCTGTCTAGTAACGAGGGACACCTCAGGAATCTCTTCGAGGCTTGGCAGGGCAAAAGGGACGCTTCTCGAGGTGAGGCAGGGCACCCAAGGACCCTTTCCCGTAGCCACAGGGATTTTGGGATTCCTATCAGTATTCAAGAGGAGTCAGGCATCGTCACCTTTTGAAGCAATGAACTCCGCGTGCCTCTCGAGGGGTCAGCGGGACGTGAGGCATTCCGTCAAAATGAGGCAGGGACCTAAGGCTTTCTCTAAGGTCTCCACAGGGGATTCAGACATCCCTTCATGTTGTGAGATGAAAGACGAGCCTGTATTCAAGCCACTGCAAGGAAATCTGGCCTCCTTTCAAGTTAGGGCTTCTCGCTGTATATTTCCCTTGAGGCAGCAAACTCGGGGTCCCTCCCACGTAACTATTGCTGAGAGAAGCCTCCTCCTGAGGTGCTTCTGGAAAGTTTGCATACGTCTTGAGCCTAAGCCTGGGAATCAGCTCTCATCTCGAGACGATTTGGGTTACACGGAGCATTCCTCGAGTTGCTGTGCTGAAGTTGGTGTTCCTCTAGACTTGGGACAGTGTTCTCGGGGCATCTCTGGAGTTGCCTGAAGGAAGTCGAGCCACCGGTCGTGTTGAATGGGGAATGGGGAATGGCTCTGGAGTGAATGCAGGGGAATCGGGGCTCATCTCGAGTTGATTTGGGGCACATGGAGCTGCTTTGCGTTGCTGGGGTGACCTCAGGGTCCGTCTAGACTGGTGACAGTGTTCTTGGGGACTGTCTCGAGATCCATTAAGCAAGTCGAAGCTCCTGACTTGTTTGAATGGGATCACGGAATAGCTCTGCATGCACTGCAGGGGAATGGGGCCTCATCTCGCCTCTAGGGGGAAGTCTCATGGTTTTTCTCGAGTTTCGTTGGGGACCTGGGGTATGTTCTCGACTTAGGGCGGGGATGGCCCTTCAAAACACGAGTTTCTTCAGTGACGTCAGGACTCCTGTCTTGTAACGAGGGACACTTCAGGAATCTCTATGAGGCTTGGCAGGGCAAAAGGGACGCTTCTCGAGGTGAGGCAGGGTACCCAAGGACGCTTTCCCCTAGCCACAGCGATTTGGGGATTCCTATCAGTATTCAAGAGGAGTCAGGCATCGTCACCTTTTGAAGCAATGAACTCCGCGTGCCTCTCGAGGTGTCAGCGGGATGTGAGGCATTCCGTCAAAATGAGGCAGAGACCTAGGTCTTTCTCTAAGGTCTCCACAGGGGATTCAGACATCCCTTCATGTTGTGAGATGAAAGACGAGCTGTATTCAAGCCACTGCAAGGAAATCCGGCCTCCTTTCAAGTTACGGCTTCTCGCTGTATATTCCCCTTGAGGCAGCAAACTCGGGGTCCCTCCCACATACCTATTGCTGAGAGAAGCGTCCTCCTGAGGTGCTTCTGGAAAGTTGGCATAAGTCTTGAGCCTAAGCCAGGGAATCAGCTCTCATCTCGAGACGATTTGGGGTACACGGAGCATTCCTCAAGTTGCTGTGCTGAAGTTGGTTTTCCTCTAGACTTGGGACAGTGTTCTCGGGGCATCTCTGGAGTTGCCTGAAGGAAGTCGAGCCACCGGTCGTGTTGAATGGGGAACGGGGAATGGCTCTGGAGTGAATGCAGGGGAATCGGGCCTCATCTCGAGTTGATTTGGGACACATGGAGCTGCTTTGCGTTGCTGGGGTGACCTCAGGGTCCGTCTAGACTGGTGACAGTGTTCTTGGGGACTGTCTCGAGATCCACTAAGCAAGTCGAAGCTCCTGACTTGTTTGAATGGGATCACGGGATAGCTCTGCATGCACTGCAGGGGAATCGGGCCTCATCTCGCCTCTAGGGGGAAGTCTCATGGTTTTTCTCGAGTTGCGGCGGGGACTTGGGGTATGTTCTCGACTTACGGCGGGGATGGCCCTTCAAAACACGAGTTTCTTCAGTGACGTCAGGACTCGTGTCTAGTAACGAGGGACACCTCAGGAATCTCTTCGAGGCTTGGCAGGGCAAAAGGGACGCTTCTCGAGGTGAGGCAGGGCACCCAAGGACCCTTTCCCGTAGCCACAGGGATTTTGGGATTCCTATCAGTATTCAAGAGGAGTCAGGCATCGTCACCTTTTGAAGCAATGAACTCAGCGTGCCTCTCGAGGTGTCAGCGGGACGTGAGGCATTCCGTCAAAATGAGGCAGGGACCTAGGGCTTTCTCTAAGGTCTCCACAGGGGATTCAGACATCCCTTCATGTTGTGAGATGAAAGACGAGCCTGTATTCAAGCCACTGCAAAGATATCCGGCCTCCTTTCATGTTAGGGCTTCTCGCGGTATATTCCCCTTGAGGCAGCAAAATTGGGGTCCCTCCCACATACCTATTGCTGAGAGAAGCCTCCTCCTGAGGTGCTTCTGGAAAGTTGGCATACGTCTTGAACCTAAGCCAGGGAATCAGCTCTCATCTCGAGACGATTTGGGGTACACGAAGCATTCCTCGAGTTGCTGTGCTGAAGTTGGTGTTCCTCTAGACTTGGGACAGTGTTCTCGGGGCATCTCTGGAGTTGCCTGAAGGAAGTCGAGCCACCGGTCGTGTTGAATGGGGAACGGGGAATGGCTCTGGAGTCAATGCAGGGGAATCGGGCCTCATCTCGAGTTGATTTGGGGCACATGGAGCTGCTTTGCGTTGCTGGGGTGACCTCAGGGTCCGTCTAGACTGGTGACAGTGTTCTTGGGGACTGTCTCGAGATCCATTAAGCAAGTCGAAACTCCTGACTGGTTTGAATGGGATCACGGAATAGCTCTGCATGCACTGCAGGGGAATGGGGCCTCATCTCGCCTCTAGGGGGAAGTCTCATGGTTTTTCTCGAGTTGCGGCGGGGACCTGGTGTATGTTCTCGACTTACGGCGGGGATGGCCCTTCAAAACACGAGTTTCTTCAGTGACGTCAGGACTCCTGTCTAGTAACGACGGACACCTCAGTAATCTCTAAGAGGCTTGGCAGGGCAAAAGGGACGCTTCTCGAGGTGAGGCAGGGCACCCAAGGACGCTTTCCCCTAGCCACAGGGATTTTGGGATTCCTATCAGTATTCAAGAGGAGTCAGGCATCGTCACCTTTTGAAGCAATGAACTCCGCGTGCTTCTCGAGGTGTCAGCGGGATGTGAGGCATTCCGTCAAAATGAGGCAGGGACCTAGGTCTTTCTCTAAGGTCTCCACAGGGGATTCAGACATCCCTTCATGTTGTGAGATGAAAGACGAGCCTGTATTCAAGCCACTGCAAGGAAATCCGGCCTCCTTTCAAGTTAGGGCTTCTCGCTGTATATTCCCCTTGAGGCAGCAAACTCGGGTCCCTCCCACATACCTATTGCTGAGAGAAGCCTCCTCCTTAGGTGCTTCTGGAAAGTTGGCATAAGTCTTGAGCCTAAGCCAGGGAATCAGCTCTCATCTCGAGACGATTTGGGGTACACGGAGCATTCCTCAAGATGCTGTGCTGAAGTTGGTGTTCCTCTAGACTTGGGACAGTGTTCTCGGGGCATCTCTGGAGTTGCCTGAAGGAAGTCGAGCCACCGGTCGTGTTGAATGGGGAACGGGGAATGGCTCTGGAGTCAATGCAGGGGAATCGGGCCTCATCTCGAGTTGATTTGGGGCACATGGAGCTGCTTTGCGTTGCTGGGGTGACCTCAGGGTCCGTCTAGACTGGTGACAGTGTTCTTGGGGACTTTCTCGAGATCCATTAAGCAAGTCGAAGCTCCTGACTTGTTTGAATGGGATCACGGAATAGCTCTGCATGCACTGCAGGGGAATGGGGCCTCATCTCGCCTCTAGGGGGAAGTCTCATGGTTTTTCTCGAGTTTCGTTGGGGACCTGGGGTATGTTCTCGACTTAGGGCGGGGATGGCCCTTCAAAACACGAGTTTCTTCAGTGACGTCAGGACTCCTGTCTTGTAACGAGGGACACTTCAGGAATCTCTATGAGGCTTGGCAGGGCAAAAGGGACGCTTCTCGTGGTGAGGCAGGGTACCCAAGGACGCTTTCCTCTAGCCACAGCGATTTGGGGATTAATATCAGTATTCAAGAGGAGTCAGGCATCGTCACCTTTTGAAGCAATGAACTCCGCGTGCCTCTCGAGGTGTCAGCGGGATGTGAGGCATTCCGTCAAAATGAGGCAGGGACCTAGGTCTTTCTCTAAGGTCTCCACAAGGGATTCAGACATCCCTTCATGTTGTGAGATGAAAGACGAGCTGTATTCAAGCCACTGCAAGGAAATCCGGCCTCCTTTCAAGTTAGGGCTTCTCGCTGTATATTCCCCTTGAGGCAGCAAACTCGGGTCCCTCCCACATACCTATTGCTGAGAGAAGCCTCCTCCTGAGGTGCTTCTGGAAAGTTGGCATAAGTCTTGAGCCTAAGCCAGGGAATCAGCTCTCATCTCGAGACGATTTGGGGTACACGGAGCATTCCTCAAGTTGCTGTGCTGAAGTTGGTTTTCCTCTAGACTTGGGACAGTGTTCTCGGGGCATCTCTGGAGTTGCCTGAAGGAAGTCGAGCCACCGGTCGTGTTGAATGGGGAACGGGGAATGGCTCTGGAGTGAATGCAGGGGAATCGGGCCTCATCTCGAGTTGATTTGGGACACATGGAGCTGCTTTGCGTTGCTGGGGTGACCTCAGGGTCCGTCTAGACTGGTGACAGTGTTCTTGGGGACTGTCTCGAGATCCACTAAGCAAGTCGAAGCTCCTGACTTGTTTGAATGGGATCACGGGATAGCTCTGCATGCACTGCAGGGGAATCGGGCCTCATCTCGCCTCTAGGGGGAAGTCTCATGGTTTTTCTCGAGTTGCGGCGGGGACTTGGGGTATGTTCTCGACTTACGGCGGGGATGGCCCTTCAAAACACGAGTTTCTTCAGTGACGTCAGGACTCGTGTCTAGTAACGAGGGACACCTCAGGAATCTCTTCGAGGCTTGGCAGGGCAAAAGGGACGCTTCTCGAGGTGAGGCAGGGCACCCAAGGACCCTTTCCCGTAGCCACAGGGATTTTGGGATTCCTATCAGTATTCAAGAGGAGTCAGGCATCGTCACCTTTTGAAGCAATGAACTCAGCGTGCCTCTCGAGGTGTCAGCGGGACGTGAGGCATTCCGTCAAAATGAGGCAGGGACCTAGGGCTTTCTCTAAGGTCTCCACAGGGGATTCAGACATCCCTTCATGTTGTGAGATGAAAGACGAGCCTGTATTCAAGCCACTGCAAAGATATCCGGCCTCCTTTCATGTTAGGGCTTCTCGCGGTATATTCCCCTTGAGGCAGCAAAATTGGGGTCCCTCCCACATACCTATTGCTGAGAGAAGCCTCCTCCTGAGGTGCTTCTGGAAAGTTGGCATACGTCTTGAACCTAAGCCAGGGAATCAGCTCTCATCTCGAGACGATTTGGGGTACACGAAGCATTCCTCGAGTTGCTGTGCTGAAGTTGGTGTTCCTCTAGACTTGGGACAGTGTTCTCGGGGCATCTCTGGAGTTGCCTGAAGGAAGTCGAGCCACCGGTCGTGTTGAATGGGGAACGGGGAATGGCTCTGGAGTCAATGCAGGGGAATCGGGCCTCATCTCGAGTTGATTTGGGGCACATGGAGCTGCTTTGCGTTGCTGGGGTGACCTCAGGGTCCGTCTAGACTGGTGACAGTGTTCTTGGGGACTGTCTCGAGATCCATTAAGCAAGTCGAAACTCCTGACTGGTTTGAATGGGATCACGGAATAGCTCTGCATGCACTGCAGGGGAATGGGGCCTCATCTCGCCTCTAGGGGGAAGTCTCATGGTTTTTCTCGAGTTGCGGCGGGGACCTGGTGTATGTTCTCGACTTACGGCGGGGATGGCCCTTCAAAACACGAGTTTCTTCAGTGACGTCAGGACTCCTGTCTAGTAACGACGGACACCTCAGTAATCTCTAAGAGGCTTGGCAGGGCAAAAGGGACGCTTCTCGAGGTGAGGCAGGGCACCCAAGGACGCTTTCCCCTAGCCACAGGGATTTTGGGATTCCTATCAGTATTCAAGAGGAGTCAGGCATCGTCACCTTTTGAAGCAATGAACTCCGCGTGCTTCTCGAGGTGTCAGCGGGATGTGAGGCATTCCGTCAAAATGAGGCAGGGACCTAGGTCTTTCTCTAAGGTCTCCACAGGGGATTCAGACATCCCTTCATGTTGTGAGATGAAAGACGAGCCTGTATTCAAGCCACTGCAAGGAAATCCGGCCTCCTTTCAAGTTAGGGCTTCTCGCTGTATATTCCCCTTGAGGCAGCAAACTCGGGTCCCTCCCACATACCTATTGCTGAGAGAAGCCTCCTCCTTAGGTGCTTCTGGAAAGTTGGCATAAGTCTTGAGCCTAAGCCAGGGAATCAGCTCTCATCTCGAGACGATTTGGGGTACACGGAGCATTCCTCAAGATGCTGTGCTGAAGTTGGTGTTCCTCTAGACTTGGGACAGTGTTCTCGGGGCATCTCTGGAGTTGCCTGAAGGAAGTCGAGCCACCGGTCGTGTTGAATGGGGAACGGGGAATGGCTCTGGAGTCAATGCAGGGGAATCGGGCCTCATCTCGAGTTGATTTGGGGCACATGGAGCTGCTTTGCGTTGCTGGGGTGACCTCAGGGTCCGTCTAGACTGGTGACAGTGTTCTTGGGGACTTTCTCGAGATCCATTAAGCAAGTCGAAGCTCCTGACTTGTTTGAATGGGATCACGGAATAGCTCTGCATGCACTGCAGGGGAATGGGGCCTCATCTCGCCTCTAGGGGGAAGTCTCATGGTTTTTCTCGAGTTTCGTTGGGGACCTGGGGTATGTTCTCGACTTAGGGCGGGGATGGCCCTTCAAAACACGAGTTTCTTCAGTGACGTCAGGACTCCTGTCTTGTAACGAGGGACACTTCAGGAATCTCTATGAGGCTTGGCAGGGCAAAAGGGACGCTTCTCGTGGTGAGGCAGGGTACCCAAGGACGCTTTCCTCTAGCCACAGCGATTTGGGTATTAATATCAGTATTCAAGAGGAGTCAGGCATCGTCACCTTTTGAAGCAATGAACTCCGCGTGCCTCTCGAGGTGTCAGCGGGATGTGAGGCATTCCGTCAAAATGAGGCAGGGACCTAGGTCTTTCTCTAAGGTCTCCACAAGGGATTCAGACATCCCTTCATGTTGTGAGATGAAAGACGAGCTGTATTCAAGCCACTGCAAGGAAATCCGGCCTCCTTTCAAGTTAGGGCTTCTCGCTGTATATTCCCCTTGAGGCAGCAAACTCGGGTCCCTCCCACATACCTATTGCTGAGAGAAGCCTCCTCCTGAGGTGCTTCTGGAAAGTTGGCATAAGTCTTGAGCCTAAGCCAGGGAATCAGCTCTCATCTCGAGACGATTTGGGGTACACGGAGCATTCCTCAAGTTGCTGTGCTGAAGTTGGTTTTCCTCTAGACTTGGGACAGTGTTCTCGGGGCATCTCTGGAGTTGCCTGAAGGAAGTCGAGCCACCGGTCGTGTTGAATGGGGAACGGGGAATGGCTCTGGAGTGAATGCAGGGGAATCGGGCCTCATCTCGAGTTGATTTGGGACACATGGAGCTGCTTTGCGTTGCTGGGGTGACCTCAGGGTCCGTCTAGACTGGTGACAGTGTTCTTGGGGACTGTCTCAAGATCCACTAAGCAAGTCGAAGCTCCTGACTTGTTTGAATGGGATCACGGGATAGCTCTGCATGCACTGCAGGGGAATCGGGCCTCATCTCGCCTCAAGGGGGAAGTCTCATGGTTTTTCTCGAGTTGCGGCGGGGACTTGGGGTATGTTCTCGACTTACGGCGGGGATGGCCCTTCAAAACACGAGTTTCTTCAGTGACGTCAGGACTCGTGTCTAGTAACGAGGGACACCTCAGGAATCTCTTCGAGGCTTGGCAGGGCAAAAGGGACGCTTCTCGAGGTGAGGCAGGGCACCCAAGGACCCTTTCCCGTAGCCACAGGGATTTTGGGATTCCTATCAGTATTCAAGAGGAGTCAGGCATCGTCACCTTTTGAAGCAATGAACTCAGCGTGCCTCTCGAGGTGTCAGCGGGACGTGAGGCATTCCGTCAAAATGAGGCAGGGACCTAGGGCTTTCTCTAAGGTCTCCACAGGGGATTCAGACATCCCTTCATGTTGTGAGATGAAAGACGAGCCTGTATTCAAGCCACTGCAAAGATATCCGGCCTCCTTTCATGTTAGGGCTTCTCGCGGTATATTCCCCTTGAGGCAGCAAACTCGGGGTCCCTCCCACATACCTATTGCTGAGAGAAGCCTCCTCCTGAGGTGCTTCTGGAAAGTTGGCATACGTCTTGAACCTAAGCCAGGGAATCAGCTCTCATCTCGAGACGATTTGGGGTACACGAAGCATTCCTCGAGTTGCTGTGCTGAAGTTGGTGTTCCTCTAGACTTGGGACAGTGTTCTCGGGGCATCTCTGGAGTTGCCTGAAGGAAGTCGAGCCACCGGTCGTGTTGAATGGGGAACGGGGAATGGCTCTGGAGTCAATGCAGGGGAATCGGGCCTCATCTCGAGTTGATTTGGGGCACATGGAGCTGCTTTGCGTTGCTGGGGTGACCTCAGGGTCCGGCTAGACTGGTGACAGTGTTCTTGGGGACTGTCTCGAGATCCATTAAGCAAGTCGAAACTCCTGACTGGTTTGAATGGGATCACGGAATAGCTCTGCATGCACTGCAGGGGAATGGGGCCTCATCTCGCCTCAAGGGGGAAGTCTCATGGTTTTTCTCGAGTTGCGGGGGGACCTGGGGTATGTTCTCGACTTACGGCGGGGATGGCCCTTCAAAACCCGAGTTTCTCCAGTGACCTCAGGACTCCTGTCTTGTAACGAGGGACACCTCAGGAATCTCTTCGAGGCTTGGCAGGGCAAAAGGGACGCTTCTCGAGGTGAGGCAGGGCACCCAAGGACCCTTTCCAGTAGCCACAGGGATATTGGGAGTCCTATCATTATTCAAGAGGAGTCAGGCATCGTCACCTTTTGAAGCAATTTACTCCGCGTGCCTCTCGAGGTGTCAGCGGGATGTGAGGCATTCCATCAAAATGAGGCAGGGACCTAGGGCCTTCTCTAAGGTCTCCACAGGGGATTCAGACATCCCTTCATGTTGTGAGATGAAAGACGAGCCTGTATTCAAGCCACTGCAAGGAAATCCGGCCTCCTTTCAAGTTAGGGCTTCTCGCTGTATATTCCCCTTGAGGCAGCAAACTCGGGGTCCCTTCCACATACCTATTGCTGAGAGAAGCCTCCTCCTGAGGTGCTTCTGGAAAGTTGGCATACGTCTTGAGCCTAAGCCAGGGAATCAGCTCTCATCTCGAGACGATTTGGGGTACACGGGGCATTCCTCGAGTTGCTGTGCTGAAGTTGTTGTTCCTCTAGCCTTGGGACAGTGTTCTCGGGGCATCTCTGGAGTTGCCTGAAGGAAGTCGAGCCACCGGTCGTGTTGAATGGGGAACGGGGAATGGCTCTGGAGTCAATGCATGGGAATCGGGCCTCATCTCGAGTTGATTTGGGGCACATGGAGCTGCTTTGCGTTGCTGGGGTGACCTCAGGGTCCGTCTAGACTGGTGACAGTGTTCTTGGGGACTGTCTCGAGATCCATTAAGCAAGTCGAAGCTCCTGACTTGTTTGAATGGGATCACGGGATAGCTCTGCATGCACTGCAGGGGAATGGGGCCTCATCTCGCCTCTAGGGGGAAGTCTCATGGTTTTTCTCGAGTTGCGGCGGGGACCTGGGGTATGTTCTCGACTTACGGCGGGGATGGCCCTTCAAAACACGAGTTTCTTCAGTGACGTCAGGACTCCTGTCTTGTAACGAGGGACACCTCAGGAATCTCTACGAGGCTTGGCAGGGCAAAAGGGACGCTTCTCGAGGTGAGGCAGGGTACCCAAGACCCTTTCCAGTAGCCACAGCGATTTTGGGATTCCTATCAGTATTCAAGAGGAGTCAGGCATCGTCACCTTTTGAAGCAATGAACTCCGCGTGCCTCTCGAGGTGTCAGTGGGATGTGAGGCATTCCGTCAAAATGAGGCAGGGACCTAGGGCCTTCTCTAAGGTCTCCACAGGGGATTCAGACATCCCTTCATGTTGTGAGATGAAAGACGAGCCTGTATTCAAGCCACTGCAAGGAAATCCGGCCTCCTTTCAAGTTAGGGCTTCTCGCTATATATTCCCCTTGAGGCAGCAAACTCGGGGTCCCTTCCACATACCTATTGCTGAGAGAAGCCTCCTCCTGAGGTGCTTCTGGAAAGTTGGCATACGTCTTGAGCCTAAACCAGGGAATCAGCTTTCATCTCGAGACAATTTGGGGTACACGGAGCATTCCTCGAGTTGCTGTGCTGAAGTTGGTGTTCCTCTAGACTTGGGACAGTGTTCTCGGGGCATCTCTGGAGTTGCCTGAAGGAAGTCGAGCCACCGGTCGTGTTGAATGGCGAACGGGGAATGGCTCTGGAGTGAATGCAGGGGAATCGGGCCTCATCTGGAGTTGATTTGGGGCACATGGAGCTGCTTTGCGTTGCTGGGGTGACCTCAGGGTCCGTCTAGACTGGTGACAGTGTTCTTGGGGACTGTCTCGAGATCCATTAAGCAAGTCGAAGCTCCTGACTTGTTTGAATGGGATCACGGAATAGCTCTGCATGCACTGCAGGGGAATGGGGCCTCATCTCGCCTCTAGGGGGAAGTCTCATGGTTTTTCTCGAGTTGCGGCGGGGACCTGGTGTATGTTCTAGACTTACGGCGGGGATGGCCATTCAAAACACGAGTTTCTTCAGTGACGTCAGGACTCCTGTCTAGTAACGACGGACACCTCAGGAATCTCTTCGAGGCTTGGCAGGGCAAAAGGGACGCTTCTCGAGGTGAGGCAGGGCACCCAAGGACCCTTTCCCGTAGCCACAGGGATTTTGGGATTCCTATCAGTATTCAAGAGGAGTCAGGCATCATCACCTTTTGAAGCAATGAACTCCGCGTGGCTCTCCAGGTGTCAGCGGGACGTGTGGCATTCCGTCAAAATGAGGCAGGGACCTAGGGCTTTCTCTAAGGTCTCCACAGGGGATTCAGACATCCCTTCATGTTGTGAGATGAAAGACGAGCCTGTATTCAAGCCACTGCAAGGAAATCCGGCCTCCTTTCAAGTTAGGGCTTCTCGCTGTATATTCCCCTTGAGGCAGCAAACTCGGGGTCCCTCCCACATAACTATTGCTGAGAGAAGCCTCCTCCTCAGGTGCTTCTGGAAAGTTGGCATAAGTCTTGAGCCTAAGCCAGGGAATCAGCTCTCATCTCGAGACGATTTCGGTTACACGGAGCATTCCTCGAGTTGCTGTGCTGAAGTTGGTGTCCCTCTAGACTTGGGACAGTGTTCTCGGGGCATCTCTGGAGTTGCCTGAAGGAAGTCGAGCCACCGGTCGTGTTGAATGGGGAACGGGGAATGTCTCTGGAGTCAATGCAGGGGAATCGGGCCTCATCTCGAGTTGATTTGGGGCACATGGAGCTGCTTTGCGTTGCTGGGGTGACCTCAGGGTCCGTCTAGACTGGTGACAGTGTTCTTGGGGACTGTCTCGAGATCCATTAAGCAAGTCGAAGCTCCTGACTTGTTTGAATGGGATCACGGAATAGCTCTGCATGCACTGCAGGGGAATGGGGCCTCATCTCGCCTCTAGGGGGAAGTCTCATGGTTTTTCTCGAGTTGCGGTGTGGACTTGGGGTATGTTCTCGACTTACGGCGGGGATGGCCCTTCAAAACACGAGTTTCTTCAGTGACGTCAGGTCTCGTGTCTAGTAACGAGGGACACCTCAGGAATCTCTTCGAGGCTTGGCAGGGCAAAAGGGACGCTTCTCGAGGTGAGGCAGGGTACCCAAGGACGCTTTCCCCTAGCCACAGGGATTTTGGGATTCCTATCAGTATTCAAGAGGAGTCAGGCATCGTCACCTTTTGAAGCAATGAACTCCGCGTGCCTCTCGAGGTGTCAGCGGGATGTGAGGCATTCCGTCAAAATGAGGCAGGGACCTAGGGCTTTCTCTAATGTCTCCACAGGGGATTCAGACATCCCTTCATGTTGTGAGATGAAAGACGAGCCTGTATTAAAGCCACTGCAAGGAAATCCGGCCTCCTTTCAAGTTAGGGCTTCTCGCTGTATATTCCCCTTGAGGCACAAACTCAGGGTCCCTCCCACATTCTTATTGCTGAGAGAAGCCTCCTCCTGAGGTGCTTCTGGAAAGTTGGCATACGTCTTGAGCGTTGGCCAGGGAATCAGCTCTCATCTCGAGACTATTTGGGTTACACGAAGCATTCGTCGAGTTGCTGTGCTGAAGTTGGTGTTCCTCTAGACTTGGGACAGTGTTCTCGGGGCATCTCTGGAGTTGCCTGAAGGAAGTCGAGCCACCGGTCGTGTTGAATGGGGAACGGGGAATGGCTCTGGAGTCAATGCAGGGGAATCGGGCCTCATCTCGAGTTGATTTGGGGCACATGGAGCTGCTTTGCGTTGCTGGGGTGACCTCAGGGTCCGTCTAGACTGGTGACAGTGTTCTTGGGGACTGTCTCGAGATCCATTAAGCAAGTCGAAACTCCTGACTTGTTTGAATGGGATCACAGAATAGCTCTGCATGCACTGCAGGGGAATGGGGCCTCATCTCGCCTCTAGGGGGAAGTCTCATGGTTTTTCTCGAGTTGCGGCGGGGACCTGGTGTATGTTCTCGACTTACGGCGGGGATGGCCCTTCAAAACACGAGTTTCTTCAGTGACGTCAGGACTCCTGTCTAGTAACGAGGGACACCTCAGGAATCTCTTCGAGGCTTGGCAGGGCAAAAGGGACGCTTCTCGAGGTGAGGCAGGGCACCCAAGGACCCTTTCCCGTAGCCACAGGGATTTTGGGATTCCTAACAGTATTCAAGAGGAGTCAGGCATCGTCACCTTTTGAAGCAATGAACTTCGCGTGCCTCTCGAGGTGTCAGTGGGATGTGAGGCATTCCGTCAAAATGAGGCAGGGACCTAGGGCTTTCTCTAAGGTCTCCACAGGGGATTCAGACATCCCTTCATGTTGTGAGATGAAAGACGAGCCTGTATTCAAGCCACTGCAAGGAAATGCGGCCTCCTTTCAAGTTAGGGCTTCTCGCTGTATATTCCCCTTGAGGCAGCAAACTCGGGTCCCACCCACATACCTATTGCTGAAAGAAGCCTCCTCCTGAGGTGCTTCTGGAAAGTTGGCATAAGTCTTGAGCCTAAGCCAGGGATTCAGCTCTCATCTCGAGACGATTTGGGGTACAGAGAGCATTCCTCGAGTTGCTCTGCTGAAGTTGGTGTTCCTCTAGACTTGGGACAGTGTTCTCGGGGCATCTCTGGAGTTGCCTGAAGGAAGTCGAGCCACCGGTCGTGTTGAATGGGGAACGGGGAATGTCTCTGGAGTCAATGCAGGGGAATCGGGCCTCATCTCGAGTTGATTTGGGGCACATGGAGTTGCTTTGCGATGCTGGGGTGACGTCAGGGTCCGTCTACACTGGTGACAATGTTCTTGGGGACTGTCTCGAGATCCATTAAGCAAGTCGAAGCTCCTGACTTGTTTGAATGGGTTCACGGAATAGCTCTGCATGCACTGCAGGGGAATGGGGCCTCATCTCGCCTCTAGGGGGAAGTCTCATGGTTTTTCTCGAGTTGCGGCGGGGACCTGGGGTATGTTCTCGACTTACGGCGGGGATGGCCCTTCAAAACACGAGTTTCTTCAGTGACGTCAGGACTCCTGTCTTGTAACGAGGGACACCTCAGGAATATCTACGAGGCTTGGCAGGGCAAAAGGGACGCTTCTCCAGGTGAGGCAGGGTACCCAAGGACCCTTTCCAGTAGCCACATCGATTTTGGGATTCCTATCAGTATTCAAGAGGAGTCAGGCATCGTCACCTTTTGAAGCAATGAACTCCGCGTGCCTCTCGAGGTGTCAGTGGGATGTGAGGCATTCCGTCAAAATGAGGCAGGGACCTAGGGCTTTCTCTAAGGTCTCCACAGGGGATTCAGACATCCCTTCATGTTGTGAGATGAAAGACGAGCCTGTATTCAAGCCACTGCAAGGAAATGCGGCCTCCTTTCAAGTTAGGGCTTCTCGCTGTATATTCCCCTTGAGGCAACAAACTCGGGGTCCCTTCCACATACCTATTGCTGAGAGAAGCCTCCTCCTCAGGTGCTTCTGGAAAGTTGGCATACGTCTTGAGCCTAATCCAGGGAATCAGCTCTCATCTCGAGACAATTTGGGGTACATGGAGCATTCCTCGAGTTGCTGTGCTGAAGTTGGTGTTCCTCTAGACTTGGGACAGTGCTCTCGGGGCATCTCTGGAGTTGCCTGAAGGAAGTCGAGCCACCGGTCGTGTTGAATGGGGAACGGGGAATGGCTCTGGAGTCAATGCAGGGGAATCGGGCCTCATCTCGAGTTGATTTGGGGCACATGGAGCTGCTTTGCGTTGCTGGGGAGACCTCAGGGTCCGTCTAGACTGGTGACAGTGTTCTTGGGGACTGTCTCGAGATCCACTAAGCAAGTCGAAGCTCCTGACTTGTTTGAATGGGATCACGGGATAGCTCTGCATGCACTGCAGGGGAATGGGGCCTCATCTCGCCTCAAGGGGGAAGTCTCATGGTTTTTCTCGAGTTGCGGCGGGGACCTGGGGTATGTTCTCGACTTACGGCGGGGATGGCCCTTCAAAACACGAGTTTCTTCAGTGACCTCAGGACTCCTGTCTAGTAACGAGGGACACCTCAGGAATATCTTCGAGGCTTGGCAGGGCAAAAGGGACGCTTCTCGAGGTGAGGCAGGGCACCCAAGGACCCTTTCCAGTAGCCACAGGGATTTTGGGAGTCCTATCATTATTCAAGAGGAGTCAGGCATCGTCACCTTTTGAAGCAATTTACTCCGCGTGCCTCTCGAGGTGTTAGGGGGGTGTGAGGCATTCCGTCAAAATGAGGCAGGGACCTAGGGCCTTCTCTAAGGTCTCCACAGGGGATTCAGACATCCCTAAATGTTGTGAGATGAAAGACGAGCCTGTATTGAAGCCACTGCCAGGAAATCCGGCCTCCTTTCAAGTTAGGGCTTCTCGCTGTATATTCCCCTTGAGGCAGCAAACTCGGGGACCCTTCCACATACCTATTGCTGAGAGAAGCCTCCTCCTGAGGTGCTTCTGGAAAGTTGGCATACGTCTTGAACCTAAGCCAGGGAATCAGCTCTCATCTCGAGACGATTGGGGTTACACGGAGCATTCCTCGAGTTGCTGTGCTGAAGTTGTTGTTCCTCTAGCCTTGGGACAGTGTTCTCGGGGCATCTCTGGAGTTGCCTGAAGGAAGTCGAGCCACCGGTCGTGTTGAATGGGGAACGGGGAATGGCTCTGGAGTCAATGCATGGGAATCGGGCCTCATCTCGAGTTGATTTGGGGCACATGGAGCTGCTTTGCGTTGCTGGGGTGACCTCAGGGTCCGTCTAGACTGGTGACAGTGTTCTTGGGGACTGTCTCGAGATCCATTAAGCCAGTCGAAACTCCTGACTTGTTTGAATGGGATCACGGGATAGCTCTGCATGCACTGCAGGGGAATGCGGCCTCATCTCGCCTCAAGGGGGAAGTCTCATGGTTTTTCTCGTGTTGAGGCGGGGACCTGGGCTATGTTCTCGACTTACGGCGGGGATGGCCCTTCAAAACACGAGTTTCTTCAGTGACGTCAGGACTCCTGTCTAGTAACGAGGGACACCTCAGGAATCTCTTCGAGGCTTGGCAGGGCAAAAGGGACGCTTCTCGAGGTGAGGCAGGGCAGCCAAGGACCCTTTCCCGTAGCCACAGGGATTTTGGGATTCCTATCAGTATTCAAGAGGAGTCAGGCATCGTCACCTTTTGAAGCAATGAACTCCGCGTGCCTCTCGAGGTGTCATTGGGATGTGAGGCATTCCGTCAAAATGAGGCAGGGACCTAGGGCTTTCTCTAATGTCTCCACAGGGGATTCAGACATCCCTTCATGTTGTGAGATGAAAGACGAGCCTGTATTCAAGCCACTGCAAGGAAATCCGGCCTCCTTTCAAGTTAGGGCTTCTCGCTGTATATTCCCCTTGAGGCAGCAAACTCGGGGTCCCTTCCACATACATATTGCTGAGAGAAGCCTCCTCCTGAGGTGCTTCTGGAAAGTTGGCATACGTCTTGAGCCTAAACCAGGGAATCAGCTTTCATCTCGAGACAATTTGGGGTACACAGAGCATACCTCGAGTTGGTGTGCTGAAGTTGGTGTTCCTCTAGACTTGGGACAGTGTTCTCGGGGCATCTCTGGAGTTGCCTGAAGGAAGTCGAGCCACCGGTCGTGTTGAATGGGGAACGGGGAATGTCTCTGGAGTCAATGCAGGGGAATCGGGCCTCATCTCGAGTTGATTTGGGGCACATGGAGCTGCTTTGCGTTGCTGGGGTGACCTCAGGGTCCATCTAGACTGGTGACAGTGTTCTTGGGGACTGTCTCGAGATCCATTAAGCAAGTCGAAGAGCCTGACTTGTTTGAATGGGATCACGGAATAGCTCTGCATGCACTGCAGGGGAATGGGGCCTCATCTCGCCTCTAGGGGGAAGTCTCATGGTTTTTCTCGTGTTGCGTCGGGGACCTGGGGTATGTTCTCGACTTACGGCGGGGATGGCCCTTCAAAACACGAGTTTCTTCAGTGACGTCAGGACTCCTGTCTAGTAACGACGGACACCTCAGGAATCTCTAAGAGGCTTGGCAGGGCAAAAGGGACGCTTCTCGAGGTGAGGCAGGGCACCCAAGGACGCTTTCCCCTAGCCACAGGGATTTTGGGATTCCTATCAGTATTCAAGAGGAGTCAGGCATCGTCACCTTTTGAAGCAATGAACTCCGCGTGCCTCTCGAGGTGTCAGCGGGATGTGAGGCATTCCATCAAAATGAGGCAGGGACCTAGGTCTTTCTCTAAGGTCTCCACAGGGGATTCAGACATCCCTTCATGTTGTGAGATGAAAGACGAGCCTGTATTCAAGCCACTGCAAGGAAATCCGGCCTCCTTTCAAGTTAGGGCTTCTCGCTGTATATTCCCCTTGAGGCAGCAAACTCGGGTCCCTCCCACATACCTATTGCTGAGAGAAGCCTCCTCCTGAGGTGCTTCTGGAAAGTTGGCATACGTCTTGAGAATAATCCAGGGAATCAGCTCTCATCTCGAGACGATTTGGGGTACACGGAGCATTCCTCAAGTTGCTGTGCTGAAGTTGGTGTTCCTCTAGACTTGGGACAGTGTTCTCGGGGCATCTCTGGAGTTGCCTGAAGGAAGTCGAGCCACCGGTCTTGTTGAATGGGGAACGGGGAATGGCTCTGGAGTCAATGCAGGGGAATCGGGCCTCATCTCGAGTTGATTTGGGGCACATGGAGCTGCTTTGCGTTGCTGGGGTGACCTCAGGGTCCGTCTAGACTGGTGACAGTGTTCTTGGGGACTGTCTCGAGATCCACTAAGCAAGTCGAAGCTCCTGACTTGTTTGAATCGGATCACGGAATAGCTCTGCATGCACTGCAGGGGAATGGGGCCTCATCTCGCCTCAAGGGGGAAGTCTCATGGTTTTTCTCGAGTTGCGGCGGGGACCTGGGGTATGTTCTCGACTTACGGCGGGGATGGCCCTTCAAAACACGAGTTTCTTCAGTTACCTCAGGACTCCTGTCTTGTAACGAGGGACACCTCAGGAATATCTTCGAGGCTTGGCAGGGCAAAAGGGACGCTTCTCGAGGTGAGGCAGGGCACCCAAGGACCCTTTCCAGTAGCCACAGGGATTTTGGGAGTCCTATCATTATTCAAGAGGAGTCAGGCATCGTCACCTTTTGAAGCAATTTACTCCGCGTGCCTCTCGAGGTGTCAGCGGGATGTGAGGCATTCCGTCAAAATGAGGCAGGGACCTAGGGCCTTCTCTAAGGTCTCCACAGGGGATTCAGACATCCCTTCATGTTGTGAGATGAAAGACGAGCCTGTATTCAAGCCACTGCAAGGAATCCGGCCTCCTTTCAAGTTAGGGCTTCTTGCTGTATATTCCCCTTGAGGCAGCAAACTCGGGGTCCCTTCCACATACCTATTGCTGAGAGAAGCCTCCTCCTGAGGTGCTTCTGGAAAGTTGGCATACGTCTTGAGCCTAAGCCAAGGAATCAGCTCTCATCTCGAGACGATTGGGGGTACACGGAGCATTCCTCGAGTTGCTGTGCTGAAGTTGTTGTTCCTCTAGCCTTGGGACAGTGTTCTCGGGGCATCTCTGGAGTTGCCTGAAGGAAGTCGAGCCACCGGTCGTGTTGAATGGGGAACGGGGAATGGCTCTGGAGTGAATGCAGGGGAATCGGGCCTCATCTCGAGTTGATTTGGGGCACATGCAGCTGCTTTGCGTTGCTGGGGTGACCTCAGGGTCCGTCTAGACTGGTGACAGTGTTCTTCGGGACTGTCTCGAGATCCATTAAGGAAGTCGAAGCTCCTGACTTGTTTGAATGGGATCACGGAATAGCTCTGCATGCACTGCAGGGGAATGGGGCCTCATCTCGCCTCTAGGGGGAAGTCACATGGTTTTTCTCGAGTTGCGGCGGGGACCTGGGGTATGTTCTCGACTTACGGCGGGGATGGCCCTTCAAAACACGAGTTTCTTCAGTGACGTCAGGACTCCTGTCTTGTAACGAGGGACACCTCAGGAATCTCTAAGAGGCTTGGCAGGGCAAAAGGGACGCTTCTCGAGGTGAGGCAGGGCACCCAAGGACGCTTTCCCCTAGCCACAGGGATTTTGGGATTCCTATCAGTATTCAAGAGGAGTCAGGCATCGTCACCTTTTGAAGCAATGAACTCCGCGTGCCTCTCGAGGTGTCAGCGGGATGTGAGGCATTCCGTCAAAATGAGGCAGGGACCTAGGGCTTTCTCTAAGGTCTCCACAGGGGATTCAGACATCCCTTCATGTTGTGAGATGAAAGACAAGCCTGTATTCAAGCCACTGCAAGGAAATGCGGCCTCCTTTCAAGTTAGGTCTTCTCGCTGTATATTCCCTTTGAGGCAGCAAACTCGGGGTCCCTTCCACATACCTATTGCTGAGAGAAGCCTCCTCCTGAGGTGCTTCTGGAAAGTTGGCATACGTCTTGAGCCTAATCCAGGGAATCAGCTCTCATCTCGAGACAATTTGGGGTACACGGAGCATTAGTCGAGTTGCTGTGCTGAAGTTGGTGTTCCTCTAGACTTGGGACAGTGTTCTCGGGGCATCTCTGGAGTTGCCTGAAGGAAGTCGAGCCACCGGTCGTGTTGAATGGGGAACGGGGAATGTCTCTGGAGTCAATGCACGGGAATCGGGCCTCATCTCGAGTTGATTTGGGGCACATGGAGCTGCTTTGCGTTGCTGGGGTGACCTCAGGGTCCGTCTAGACTGGTGACAGTGTTCTTGGGGACTGTCTCGAGATCCATTAAGCAAGTCGAAGCTCCTGACTTGTTTGAATGGGATCACGGAATAGCTCTGCATGCACTGCAGGGGAATGGGGCCTCATCTCGCCTCTAGGGGGAAGTCTCATGGTTTTTCTCGAGTTGCGGCGGGGACCTGGGGTATGTTCTCGACTTAGGGCGGGGATGGCCCTTCAAAACACGAGTTTCTTCAGTGACATCAGGACTCCTGTCTTGTAACGAGGGACACCTCAGGAATCTCTACGAGGCTTGGCAGGGCAAAACGGACGCTTCTCGAGGTGAGGCAGGGTACCCAAGGACCCTTTCCAGTAGCCACAGTGATTTTGGGATTCCTATCAGTATTCAAGAGGAGTCAGGCATCGTCACCTTTTGAAGCAATGAACTCCGCGTGCCTCTCGAGGTGTCAGTGGGATGTGAGGCATTCCGTCAAAATGAGGCAGGGACCTAGGGCTTTCTCTAAGGTCTCCACAGGGGATTCAGACATCCCTTCATGTTGTGAGATGAAAGACGAGCCTGTATTCAAGCCACTGCAAGGAAATGCGGACTCCTTTCAAGTTAGGGATTCTCGCTGTATATTCCCCTTGAGGCAGCAAACTCGGGGTCCCTTCCACATACCTATTGCTGAGAGAAGCCTCCTCCTGAGGTGCTTCTGGAAAGTTGGCATACGTCTTGAGCCTAATCCATGGAATCAGCTCTCATCTCGAGACAATTTGGGGTACACGGAGCATTCCTCGAGTTGCTGTGCTGAAGTTGGTGTTCCTCTAGACTTGGGACAGTGTTCTCGGGGCATCTCTGGAGTTGCCTGAAGGAAGTCGAGCCACCGGTCGTGTTGAATGGGGAACGGGGAATGGCTCTGGAGTGAATGCAGGGGAATCGGGTCTCATCTGGAGTTGATTTGGGGCACATGGAGCTGCTTTGCGTTGCTGGGGTGACCTCAGGGTCCGTCTAGACTGGTGACAGTGTTCTTGGGGACTGTCTCGAGATCCATTAAGCAAGTCGAAGCTCCTGACTTGTTTGAATGGGATCACGGAATAGCTCTGCATGCACTGCAGGGGAATGGGGCTTCATCTCGCCTCTAGGGGGAAGTCTCATGGTTTTTCTCGAGTTGCGGCGGGGACCTGGGGTATGTTCTCGACTTACGGCGGGGATGGCCCTTCAAAACACGAGTTTCTTCAGTGACGTCAGGACTCCTGTCTAGTAACGAGGGACACCTCAGGAATCTCTAAGAGGCTTGGCAGTTTAAAAGGGACGCTTCTCGAGGTGAGGCAGGGCACCCAAGGACGCTTTCCCCTAGCCACAGGGATTTTGGGATTCCTATCAGTATTCAAGAGGAGTCAGGCATCGTCACCTTTTGAAGCAATGAACTCCGCGTGCCTCTCGAGGTGTCAGCGGGATGTGAGGCATTCCGTCAAAATGAGGCAGGGACCTAGGGCTTTCTCTAAGGTCTCCACAGGGGATTCAGACATCCCTTCATGTTGTGAGATGAAAGAAGAGCCTGTATTCAAGCCACTGCAAGGAAATCCGGCCTCCTTTCAAGTTAGGGCTTCTCGCTGTATATTCCCCTTGAGGCACAAACTCGGCGTCCCTCCCACATACTTATTGCTGAGAGAAGCCTCCTCCTGAGGTGCTTCTGGAAAGTTGGCATACGTCTTGAGCCTAATCCAGGGAATCAGCTCTCATCTCGAGACAATTTGGGGTACACGGAGCATTCCTCGAGTTGCTGTGCTGAAGTTGGTGTTCCTCTAGACTTGGGACCGTGTTCTCGGGGCATCTCTGGAGTTGCCTGAAGGAAGTCGAGCGACCGGTCGTGTTGAATGGGAAACGAGGAATGGCTCTGGAGTCAATGCAGGGGAATCGGGCCTCATCTCGAGTTGATTTGGGGCACATGGAGCTGCTTTGCGTTGCTGGGGTGACCTCAGGGTCCGTCTAGACTGATGACAGTGTTCTTGGGGACTGTCTCGAGATCCATTAAGCAAGTCGAAGCTCCTGACTTGTTTGAATGGGATCACGGAATAGCTCTGCATGCACTGCAGGGGAATGGGGCCTCATCTCGCCTCTAGGGGGAAGTCTCATGGTTTTTCTCTAGTTGCGGCGGGGACCTGGGGTATGTTCTCGACTTACGGCGGGGATGGCCGTTCAAAACACGAGTTTCTTCAGTGACCTCAGGACTCCTGTCTAGTAACGAGGGACACCTCAGGAATCTCTTCGAGGCTTGGCAGGGCAAAAGGGACGCTTCTCGAGGTGAGGCAGGGCCCCCAAGGACCCTTTCCCGTAGCCACAGGAATTGGGATTCCTATCAGTATTCAAGAAGAGTCAGGCATCGTCACCTTTTGAAGCAATGAACTCCGCGTGCCTCTCGAGGTGTCAGCGGGATGTGAGGCATTCCGTCAAAATGAGGCAGGGACCTAGGGCTTTCTCTAAGGTATCCACAGGGGATTCAGACATCCCTTCATGTTGTGAGATGAAAGACGAGCCTGTATTCAAGCCACAGCAAGGAAATCCGGCCTCCTTTCAAGTTATGGCTTCTCGCTGTATATTTCCCTTGAGGCAGCAAACTCGGGGTCCCTCCCACATACCTATTGCTGGGAGAAGCCTCCTCCTGAGGTGCTTCTGGAAAGTTGGCATACGTCTTGAGCCTAAGCCAGGGAATCAGCTCTCATCTCTAGACGATTTGGGGTACACAGAGCATTCCTCAAGTGCTGTGCTGAGGTTGGTGTTCCTCTAGACTTGGGACACTGTTGTCGGGGCATCTCTGGAGTTGCCTGAAGGAAGTCGAGCCACCGGTCGTGTTGAATGGGGAACGGGGAATGGCTCTGGCCTCAATGCAGGCGAATGGAACCTCATCTCGAGTTGATTTGGGGCACATGGAGCTGCTTTGCTTTGCTGGGGTGACCTCAGGGTCCGTCTAGACTGGTGACAGTGTTCTTGGGGACTGTCTCAAGATCCATTAAGCAAGTCGAAGCTCCTGACTTGTTGGAATGGGATCACAGAATAGCTCTGCATGCACTGCAGCGGAATGGGACCTCATCTCGCCTCTAGGGGGAAGTCTCATGGTTTTTCTCGAGTTGCGGCGGGGACCTGGGGAATGTTCTCGACTTACGGCGGGGATGGCCCTTCAAAACACGAGTTTCTTCAGTGACGTCAGGACTCCTGTCTAGTAACGAGGGACACCTCAGGAATCTCTTCGAGGCTTGGCAGGGCAAAAGGGACGCTTCTCGAGGTGAGGCAGGGCACCCAAGGACCCTTTCCCGTAGCCACAGGGATTTTGGGATTCCTATCAGTATTCAAGAGGAGTCAGGCATCGTCACCTTTTGAAGCAATGAACTCCGCGTGCCTCTCGAGGGGTCAGCGGGACGTGAGGCATTCCGTCAAAATGAGGCAGGGACCTAAGGCTTTCTCTAAGGTCTCCACAGGGGATTCAGACATCCCTTCATGTTGTGAGATGAAAGACGAGCCTGTATTCAAGCCACTGCAAGGAAATCCGGCCTCCTTTCAAGTTAGGGCTTCTCGCTGTATATTTCCCTTGAGGCAGCAAACTCGGGGTCCCTCCCACGTAACTATTGCTGAGAGAAGCCTCCTCCTGAGGTGCTTCTGGAAAGTTTGCATACGTCTTGAGCCTAAGCCTGGGAATCAGCTCTCATCTCGAGACGATTTGGGTTACACGGAGCATTCCTCGAGTTGCTGTGCTGAAGTTGGTGTTCCTCTAGACTTGGGACAGTGTTCTCGGGGCATCTCTGGAGTTGCCTGAAGGAAGTCGAGCCACCGGTCGTGTTGAATGGGGAACGGGGAATGGCTCTGGAGTCAATGCAGGGGAATTGGGCCTCATCTCGAGTTGATTTGGGGCACATGGAGCTGCTTTGCGTTGCTGGGGTGACCTCAGGGTCCGTCTAGACTGGTGACAGTGTTCTTGGGGACTGTCTCGAGATCCATTAAGCAAGTCGAAACTCCTGACTGGTTTGAATGGGATCACGGAATAGCTCTGCATGCACTGCAGGGGAATGGGGCCTCATCTCGCCTCAATGGGGAAGTCTCATGGTTTTTCTCGAGTTGCGGCGGGGACCTGGTGTATGTTCTCGACTTACGGCGGGGATGGCCCTTCAAAACACGAGTTTCTTCAGTGACGTCAGGACTCCTGTCTAGTAACGACGGACACCTCAGTAATCTCTAAGAGGCTTGGCAGGGCAAAAGGCACGCTTCTCGAGGTGAGGCAGGGCACCCAAGGACGCTTTCCCCTAGCCACAGGGATTTTGGGATTCCTATCAGTATTCAAGAGGAGTCAGGCATCGTCACCTTTTGAAGCAATGAACTCCGCGTGCTTCTCGAGGTGTCAGCGGGATGTGAGGCATTCCGTCAAAATGAGGCAGGGACCTAGGTCTTTCTCTAAGGTCTCCACAGGGGATTCAGACATCCCTTCATGTTGTGAGATGAAAGACGAGCCTGTATTCAAGCCACTGCAAGGAAATCCGGCCTCCTTTCAAGTTAGGGCTTCTCGCTGTATATTCCCCTTGAGGCAGCAAACTCGGGTCCCTCCCACATACCTATTGCTGAGAGAAGCCTCCTCCTTAGGTGCTTCTGGAAAGTTGGCATAAGTCTTGAGCCTAAGCCAGGGAATCAGCTCTCATCTCGAGACGATTTGGGGTACACGGAGCATTCCTCAAGATGCTGTGCTGAAGTTGGTGTTCCTCTAGACTTGGGACAGTGTTCTCGGGGCATCTCTGGAGTTGCCTGAAGGAAGTCGAGCCACCGGTCGTGTTGAATGGGGAACGGGGAATGGCTCTGGAGTCAATGCAGGGGAATCGGGCCTCATCTCGAGTTGATTTGGGGCACATGGAGCTGCTTTGCGTTGCTGGGGTGACCTCAGGGTCCGTCTAGACTGGTGACAGTGTTCTTGGGGACTGTCTCGAGATCCATTAAGCAAGTCGAAGCTCCTGACTTGTTTGAATGGGATCACGGAATAGCTCTGCATGCACTGCAGGGGAATGGGGCCTCATCTCGCCTCTAGGGGGAAGTCTCATGGTTTTTCTCGAGTTTCGTTGGGGACCTGGGGTATGTTCTCGACTTAGGGCGGGGATGGCCCTTCAAAACACGAGTTTCTTCAGTGACGTCAGGACTCCTGTCTTGTAACGAGGGACACTTCAGGAATCTCTATGAGGCTTGGCAGGGCAAAAGGGACGCTTCTCGAGGTGAGGCAGGGTACCCAAGGACGCTTTCCCCTAGCCACAGCGATTTGGGGATTCCTATCAGTATTCAAGAGGAGTCAGGCATCGTCACCTTTTGAAGCAATGAACTCCGCGTGCCTCTCGAGGTGTCAGCGGGATGTGAGGCATTCCGTCAAAATGAGGCAGGGACCTAGGTCTTTCTCTAAGGTCTCCACAGGGGATTCAGACAACCCTTCATGTTGTGAGATGAAAGACGAGCCTGTATTCAAGCCACTGCAAGGAAATCCGGCCTCCTTTCAAGTTAGGGCTTCTCGCTGTATATTCCCCTTGAGGCAGCAAACTCGGGTCCCTCCCACATACCTATTGCTGAGAGAAGCCTCCTCCTGAGGTGCTTCTGGAAATTTGGCATAAGACTTGAGCCTAAGCCAGGGAATCAGCTCTCATCTCGAGACGATTTGGGGTACACGGAGCATTCCTCAAGTTGGTGTGCTGAAGTTGGTTTTCCTCTAGACTTGGGACAGTGTTCTCGGGGCATCTCTGGAGTTGCCTGAAGGAAGTCGAGCCACCGGTCGTGTTGAATGGGGAACGGGGAATGGCTCTGGAGTGAATGCAGGGGAATCGGGCCTCATCTCGAGTTGATTTGGGACACATGGAGCTGCTTTGCGTTGCTGGGGTGACCTCAGGGTCCGTCTAGACTGGTGACAGTGTTCTTGGGGACTGTCTCGAGATCCACTAAGCAAGTCGAAGCTCCTGACTTGTTTGAATGGGATCACGGGATAGCTCTGCATGCACTGCAGGGGAATCGGGCCTCATCTCGCCTCAAGGGGGAAGTCTCATGGTTTTTCTCGAGTTGCGGCGGGGACTTGGGGTATGTTCTCGACTTACGGCGGGGATGGCCCTTCAAAACACGAGTTTCTTCAGTGACGTCAGGACTCGTGTCTAGTAACGAGGGACACCTCAGGAATCTCTTCGAGGCTTGGCAGGGCCAAAGGGACGCTTCTCGAGGTGAGGCAGGGCACCCAAGGACCCTTTCCCGTAGCCACAGGGATTTTGGGATTCCTATCAGTATTCAAGAGGAGTCAGGCATCGTCACCTTTTGAAGCAATGAACTCAGCGTGCCTCTCGAGGTGTCAGCGGGACGTGAGGCATTCCGTCAAAATGAGGCAGGGACCTAGGGCTTTCTCTAAGGTCTCCACAGGGGATTCAGACATCCCTTCATGTTGTGAGATGAAAGACGAGCCTGTATTCAAGCCACTGCAAAGATATCCGGCCTCCTTTCATGTTAGGGCTTCTCGCGGTATATTCCCCTTGAGGCAGCAAACTCGGGTCCCTCCCACATACCTATTGCTGAGAGAAGCCTCCTCCTTAGGTGCTTCTGGAAAGTTGGCATAAGTCTTGATCCTAAGCCAGGGAATCAGCTCTCATCTCGAGACGATTTGGGGTACACGGAGCATTCCTCAAGATGCTGTGCTGAAGTTGGTGTTCCTCTAGACTTGGGACAGTGTTCTCGGGGCATCTCTGGAGTTGCCTGAAGGAAGTCGAGCCACCGGTCGTGTTGAATGGGGAACGGGGAATGGCTCTGGAGTCAATGCAGGGGAATCGGGCCTCATCTCGAGTTGATTTGGGGCACATGGAGCTGCTTTGCGTTGCTGGGGTGACCTCAGGGTCCGTCTAGACTGGTGACAGTGTTCTTAGGGACTGTCTCGAGATCCACTAAGCAAGTCGAAGCTCCTGACTTGTTTGAATGGGATCACGGGATAGCTCTGCATGCACTGCAGGGGAATGGGACCTCATCTCGCCTCAAGGGGGAAGTCTCATGGTTTTTCTCGAGTTGCGGCGGGGACCTGGGGTATGTTCTCTACTTACGGCGGAGATGGCCCTTCAAAACACGAGTTTCTTCAGTGACCTCAGGACTCCTGTCTTGTAACGAGGGACACCTCAGGAATCTCTTCGAGGCTTGGCAGGGCAAAAGGGACGCTTCTCGAGGTGAGGCAGGGCACCCAAGGACCCTTTCCCGTAGCCACAGGGATTTTGGGAGTCCTATCATTATTCAAGAGGAGTCAGGCATCGTCACCTTTTGAAGCAATTTATTCCGCGTGCCTCTCGAGGTGTCAGCGGGATGTGAGGCATTCCGTCAAAATGAGGCAGGGACCTAGGGCCTTCTCTAAGGTCTCCACAGGGGATTCAGACATCCCTTCATGTTGTGAGATGAAAGACGAGCCTGTATTCAAGCCACTGCAAGGAAATCCGGCCTCCTTTCAAGTTAGGGCTTCTCGCTGTATATTCCCCTTGAGGCAGCAAACTCGGGGTCCCTTCCACATACCTATTGCTGAGAGAAGCCTCCTCCTGAGGTGCTTCTGGAAAGTTGGCATATGTCTTGAGCCTAAGCCAGGGAATCAGCTCTCATCTAGAGACGATTTGGGGTACACGGGGCATTCCTCGAGTTGCTGTGCTGAAGTTGTTGTTCCTCTAGCCTTGGGACAGTGTTCTCGGGGCATCTCTGGAGTTGCCTGAAGGAAGTCGAGCCAACGGTCGTGTTGAATGGGGAACGGGGAATGGCTCTGGAGTCAATGCATGGGAATCGGGCCTCATCTCGAGTTGATTTGGAGCACATGGAGCTGCTTTGCGTTGCTGGGGTGACCTCAGGGTCCGTCTAGACTGGTGACAGTGTTCTTGGGGACTGTCTCGAGATCCATTAAGCAAGTCGAAGCTCCTGACTTGTTTGAATGGGATCACAGGATAGCTCTGCATGCACTGCAGGGGAATGGGGCCTCATCTCGCCTCAAGGGGGAAGTCTCATGGTTTTTCTCGAGTTGAGGCGGGGACCTGGGGTATGTTCTCGACTACGGCGGGGATGGCCCTTCAAAACACGAGTTTCTTCAGTGACGTCAGGACTCCTGTCTAGTAACGAGGGACACCTCAGGAATCTCTTCGAGGCTTGGCAGGGCAAAAGGGACGCTTCTCGAGGTGAGGCAGGGCACGCAAGGACCCTTTCCCGTAGCCACAGGGATTTTGGGATTCCTATCAGTATTCAAGAGGAGTCAGGCATCGTCACCTTTTGAAGCAATGAACTTCGCGTGCCTCTCGAGGTGTCAGCGGGATGTGAGGCATTCCGTCAAAATGAGGCAGGGAGCTAGGGCTTTCTCTAAGGTCTCCACAGGGGATTCAGACATCCCTTCATGTTGTGAGATGAAAGACAAGCCTGTATTCAAGCCACTGCAAGGAAATCCGGCCTCCTTTCAAGTTAGGGCTTCTCGCTGTATATTCCCCTTGAGGCAACAAACTCGGGGTCCCTTCCACATACCTATTGCTGAGAGAAGCCTCCTCCTGAGGTGCTTCTGGAAAGTTGGCATACGTCTTGAGCCTAATCCAGGGAATCAGCTCTCATCTCGAGACAATTTGGGGTACACGGAGCATTCCTCGAGTTGCTGTGCTGAAGTTGGTGTTCCTCTAGACTTGGGACAGTGTTCTCGGGGCATCTCTGGAGTTGCCTGAAGGAAGTCGAGCCACCGGTCGTGTTGAATGGGGAACGGGGAATGTCTCTGGAGTGAATGCAGGGGAATCGGGCCTCATCTGGAGTTGATTTGGGGCACATGGAGCTGCTTTGCGTTGCTGGGGTGACCTCAGGGTCCGTCTAGACTGGTGACAGTGTTCTTGGGGACTGTCTCGAGATCCATTAAGCAAGTCGAAGCTCCTGACTTGTTTGAATGGGATCACGGAATAGCTCTGCATGCACTGCAGGGGAATGGGGCCTCATCTCGCCTCTAGGGGGAAGTCTCATGGTTTTTCTCGAGTTGCGGCGGGGACCTGGTGTATGTTCTCGACTTACGGCGGGGATGGCCCTTCAAAACACGAGTTTCTTCAGTGACGTCAGGACTCCTGTCTAGTAACGACGGACACCTCAGGAATCTCTTCGAGGCTTGGCAGGGCAAAAGGGACGCTTCTCGAGGTGAGGCAGGGCACCCAAGGACCCTTTCCCGTAGCCACAGGGATTTTGGGATTCCTATCAGTATTCAAGAGGAGTCAGGCATCGTCACCTTTTGAAGCAATGAACTCCGCGTGCCTCTCGAGGTGTCAGTGGGATGTGAGGCATTCCGTCAAAATGAGGCAGGGACCTAGGGCTTTCTCTAAGGTCTCCACAGAGGATTCAGACATCCCTTCATGTTGTGAGATGAAAGACGAGCCTGTATTCAAGCCACTGCAAGGAAATCCGGCCTCCTTTCAAGTTAGGGCTTCTCGCTGTATATTCCCCTTGAGGCAGCAAACTCGGGGTCCCTCCCACATACCTATTGCTGAAAGAAGCCTCCTCCTCAGGTGCTTCTGGAAAGTTGGCATACGTCTTGAGCCTAAGCCAGGGAATCAGCTCTCATCTCGAGACGATTTCGGTTACACGGAGCATTCCTCGAGTTGCTGTGCTGAAGTTGGTGTTCCTCTAGACTTGGGACAGTGTTCTCGGGGCATCTCTGGAGTTGCCTGAAGGAAGTCGAGCCACCGGTCGTGTTGAATGGGGAACGGGGAATGTCTCTGGAGTCAATGCAGGGGAATCGGGCCTCATCTCGAGTTGATTTGGGGCACATGGAGCTGCTTTGCGTTGCTGGGGTGACCTCAGGGTCCGTCTAGACTGGTGACAGTGTTCTTCGGGACTGTCTCGAGATCCATTAAGCAAGTCGAAGCTCCTGACTTGTTTGAATGGGATCACGGAATAGCTCTGCATGCACTGCAGGGGAATGGGGCCTCATCTCGCCTCTAGGGGGAAGTCTCATGGTTTTTCTCGAGTTGCGGCGGGGACCTGGGGTATGTTCTCGACTTACGGCGGGGATGGCCCTTCAAAACACGAGTTTCTTCAGTGACGTCAGGACTCCTGTCTTGTAACGAGGGACACCTCAGGAATCTCTACGAGGCGTGGCAGGGCAAAAGGGACGCTTCTCCAGGTGAGGCAGGGTACCCAAGGACCCTTTCAAGTAGACACAGCGATTTTGGGATTCCTATCAGTATTCAAGAGGAGTCAGGCATCGTCACCTTTTGAAGCAATGAACTCCGCGTGCCTCTCGAGGTGTCAGTGGGATGTGAGGCATTCCGTCAAAATGAGGCAGGGACCTAGGGCTTTCTCTAAGGTCTCCACAGGGGATTCAGACATCCCTTCATGTTGTGAGATGAAAGACGAGCCTGTATTCAAGCCACTGCAAGGAAATGCGGACTCCTTTCAAGTTAGGGATTCTCGCTGTATATTCCCCTTGAGGCAGCAAACTCGGGGTCCTTCCACATACCTATTGCTGAGAGAAGCCTCCTCCTGAGGTGCTTCTGGAAAGTTGGCATACGTCTTGAGCCTAAGCCAGGGAATCAGCTCTCATCTCGAGACAATTTGGGGTACATGGAGCATTCCTCGAGTTGCTGTGCTGAAGTTGGTGTTCCTCTAGACTTGGGACAGTGTTCTCGGGGCATCTCTGGAGTTGCCTGAAGGAAGTCGAGCCACCGGTCGTGTTGAATGGGGAACGGGGAATGGCTCTGGAGTGAATGCAGGGGAATCGGGCCTCATCTCGAGTTGATTTGGGGCACATGGAGCTGCTTTGCGTTGCTGGGGTGACCTCAGGGTCCGTCTAGACTGGTGACAGTGTTCTTGGGGACTGTCTCGAGATCCATTAAGCAAGTCGAAACTCCTGACTTGTTTGAATGGGATCACGGAATAGCTCTGCATGCACTGCAGGGGAATGGGGCCTCATCTCGCCTCTAGGGGGAAGTCTCATGGTTTTTCTCGAGTTGAGGCGGGGACCTGGGGTATGTTCTCGACTTACGGCGGGGATGGCCCTTCAAAACACGAGTTTCTTCAGTGACGTCAGGACTCCTGTCTAGTCACGACGGACACCTCAGGAATCTCTAAGAGGCTTGGCAGGGCAAAAGGGACGCTTCTCGAGGTGAGGCAGGGCTCCCAAGTACGCTTTCCCCTAGCCACAGCGATTTTGGGATTCCTATCAGTATTCAAGAGGAGTCAGGCATCGTCACCTTTTGAAGCAATGAACTCCGCGTGCCTCTCGAGGTGTCAGCAGGATGTGAGGCATTCTGTCAAAATGAGGCAGGGACCTAGGGCTTTCTCTAATGTCTCCACAGGGGATTCAGACATCCCTTAATGTTGTGAGATGAAAGACGAGCCTGTATTCAAGCCACTGCAAGGAAATCCGGCCTCCTTTCAAGTTAGGGCTTCTCGCTGTATATTCCCCTTGAGGCACAAACTCAGGGTCCCTCCCATATTCTTATTGCTGAGAGAAGCCTCCTCCTGAGGTGCTTCTGGAAAGTTGGCATACGTCTTGAGCGTTGGCCAGGGAATCAGCTCTCATCTCGAGACGATTTGGGTTACACGAAGCATTCGTCGAGTTGCTGTGCTGAAGTTGGTGTTCCTCTAGACTTGGGACAGTGTTCTCGGGGCATCTCTGGAGTTGCCTGAAGGAAGTCGAGCCACCGGTCGTGTTGAATGGGGAACGGGGAATGTCTCTGGAGTCAATGCAGGGGAATCGGGCCTCATCTCGAGTTGATTTGGGGCACATGGAGCTGCTTTGCGTTGCTGGGGTGACCTCAGGGTCCGTCTAGACTGGTGACAGTGTTCTTGGGGACTGTCTCGAGATCCATTAAGCAAGTCGAAACTCCTGACTTGTTTGAATGGGATCACAGAATAGCTCTGCATGCACTGCAGGGGAATGGGGCCTCATCTCGCCTCTAGGGGGAAGTCTCATGGTTTTTCTCGAGTTGCGGCGGGGACCTGGTGTATGTTCTCGACTTACGGCGGGGATGGTCCTTCAAAACACGAGTTTCTTCAGTGACGTCAGGACTCCTGTCTAGTAACGAGGGACACCTCAGGAATCTCTTCGAGGCTTGGCAGGGCAAAAGGGACGCTTCTCGAGGTGAGGCAGGGCACCCAAGGACCCTTTCCCGTAGCCACAGGGATTTTGGGATTCCTAACAGTATTCAAGAGGAGTCAGGCATCGTCACCTTTTGAAGCAATGAACTTCGCGTGCCTCTCGAGGTGTCAGTGGGATGTGAGGCATTCCGTCAAAATGAGGCAGGGACCTAGGGCTTTCTCTAAGGTCTCCACAGGGGATTCAGACATCCCTTCATGTTGTGAGATGAAAGACGAGCCTGTATTCAAGCCACTGCAAGGAAATGCGGCCTCCTTTCAAGTTAGGGCTTCTCGCTGTATATTCCCCTTGAGGCAGCAAACTCGGGTCCCACCCACATACCTATTGCTGAAAGAAGCCTCCTCCTGAGGTGCTTCTGGAAAGTTGGCATAAGTCTTGAGCCTAAGCCAGGGATTCAGCTCTCATCTCGAGACGATTTGGGGTACAGAGAGCATTCCTCGAGTTGCTCTGCTGAAGTTGGTGTTCCTCTAGACTTGGGACAGTGTTCTCGGGGCATCTCTGGAGTTGCCTGAAGGAAGTCGAGCCACCGGTCGTGTTGAATGGGGAACGGGGAATGTCTCTGGAGTCAATGCAGGGGAATCGGGCCTCATCTCGAGTTGATTTGGGGCACATGGAGTTGCTTTGCGTTGCTGGGGTGACGTCAGGGTCCGTCTAGACTGGTGACAGTGTTCTTGGGGACTGTCTCGAGATCCATTAAGCAAGTCGAAGCTCCTGACTTGTTTGAATGGGTTCACGGAATAGCTCTGCATGCACTGCAGGGGAATGGGGCCTCATCTCGCCTCTAGGGGGAAGTCTCATGGTTTTTCTCGATTTGCGGCGGGGACCTGGGGTATGTTCTCGACTTACGGCGGGGATGGCCCTTCAAAACACGAGTTTCTTCAGTGACGTCAGGACTCCTGTCTTGTAACGAGGGACACCTCAGGAATCTCTACGAGGCTTGGCAGGGCAAAAGGGACGCTTCTCCAGGTGAGGCAGGGTACCAAAGGACCCTTTCCAGTAGCCACATCGATTTTGGGATTCCTATCAGTATTCAAGAGGAGTCAGGCATCGTCACCTTTTGAAGCAATGAACTCCGCGTGCCTCTCGAGGTGTCAGTGGGATGTGAGGCATTCCGTCAAAATGAGGCAGGGACCTAGGGCTTTCTCTATGGTCTCCACAGGGGATTCAGACATCCCTTCATGTTGTGAGATGAAAGACGAGCCTGTATTCAAGCCACTGCAAGGAAATGCGGCCTCCTTTCAAGTTAGGGCTTCTCGCTGTATATTCCCCTTGAGGCAACAAACTCGGGGTCCCTTCCACATACCTATTGCTGAGAGAAGCCTCCTCCTCAGGTGCTTCTGGAAAGTTGGCATACGTCTTGAGCCTAATCCAGGGAATCAGCTCTCATCTCGAGACAATTTGGGGTACATGGAGCATTCCTCGAGTTGCTGTGCTGAAGTTGGTGTTCCTCTAGACTTGGGACAGTGCTCTCGGGGCATCTCTGGAGTTGCCTGAAGGAAGTCGAGCCACCGGTCGTGTTGAATGGGGAACGGGGAATGGCTCTGGAGTCAATGCAGGGGAATCGGGCCTCATCTCGAGTTGATTTGGGGCACATGGAGCTGCTTTGCGTTGCTGGGGTGACCTCAGGGTCCGTCTAGACTGGTGACAGTGTTCTTGGGGACTGTCTCGAGATCCACTAAGCAAGTCGAAGCTCCTGACTTGTTTGAATGGGATCACGGGATAGCTCTGCATGCACTGCAGGGGAATGGGGCCTCATCTCGCCTCAAGGGGGAAGTCTCATGGTTTTTCTCGAGTTGCGGCGGGGACCTGGGGTATGTTCTCGACTTACGGCGGGGATGGCCCTTCAAAACACGAGTTTCTTCAGTGACCTCAGGACTCCTGTCTAGTAACGAGGGACACATCAGGAATCTCTTTGAGGCTTGGCAGGGCAAAAGGGACGCTTCTCGAGGTGAGGCAGGGCACCCAAGGACCCTTTCCAGTAGCCACAGGGATTTTGGGAGTCCTATCATTATTCAAGAGGAGTCAGGCATCGTCACCTTTTGAAGCAATTTACTCCGCGTGCCTCTCGAGGTGTCAGGGGGGTGTGAGGCATTCCGTCAAAATGAGGCAGGGACGTAGGGCCTTCTCTAAGGTCTCCACAGGGGATTCAGACATCCCTAAATGTTGTGAGATGAAAGACGAGCCTGTATTGAAGCCACTGCCAGGAAATCCGGCCTCCTTTCAAGTTAGGGCTTCTCGCTGTATATTCCCCTTGAGGCAGCAAACTCGGGGACCCTTCCACATACCTATTGCTGAGAGAAGCCTCCTCCTGAGGTGCTTCTGGAAAGTTGGCATACGTCTTGAACCTAAGCCAGGGAATCAGCTCTCATCTCGAGACGATTTGGGGTACACGGAGCATTCCTCGAGTTGCTGTGCTGAAGTTGTTGTTCCTCTAGCCTTGGGACAGTGTTCTCGGGGCATCTCTGGAGTTGCCTGAAGGAAGTCGAGCCACCGGTCGTGTTGAATGGGGAACGGGGAATGGCTCTGGAGTCAATGCATGGGAATCGGGCCTCATCTCGAGTTGATTTGGGGCACATGGAGCTGCTTTGCGTTGCTGGGGTGACCTCAGGGTCCGTCTAGACTGGTGACAGTGTTCTTGGGGACTGTCTCGAGATCCATTAAGCAAGTGGAAACTCCTGACTTGTTTGAATGGGATCACGGGATAGCTCTGCATGCACTGCAGGGGAATGTGGCCTCATCTCGCCTCAAGGGGGAAGTCTCATGGTTTTTCTCGTTTTGAGGCGGGGACCTGGGCTATGTTCTCGACTTACGGCGGGGATGGCCCTTCAAATCACGAGTTTCTTCAGTGACGTCAGGACTCCTGTCTAGTAACGAGGGACACCTCAGGAATCTCTTCGAGGCTTGGCAGGGCAAAAGGGACGCTTCTCGAGGTGAGGCAGGGCACCCAAGGACCCTTTCCCGTAGCCACAGGGATTTTGGGATTCCTATCAGTATTCAAGAGGAGTCAGGCATCGTCACCTTTTGAAGCAATGAACTCCGCGTGCCTCTCGAGGTGTCAGTGGGATGTGAGGCATTCCGTCAAAATGAGGCAGGGTCCTAGGGCTTTCTCTAATGTCTCCACAGGGGATTCAGACATCCCTTCATGTTGTGAGATGAAAGACGAGCCTGTATTCAAGCCACTGCAAGGAAATCCGGCCTCCTTTCAAGTTAGGGCTTCTCGCTGTATATTCCCCTTGAGGCAGCAAACTCGGGGTCCCTTCCACATACATATTGCTGAGAGAAGCCTCCTCCTCAGGTGCTTCTGGAAAGTTGGCATACGTCTTGAGCCTAATTCAGGGAATCAGCTCTCATCTCGAGACAATTTGGGGTACACAGAGCATACCTCGAGTTGCTGTGCTGAAGTTGGTGTTCCTCTAGACTTGGGACAGTGTTCTCGGGGCATCTCTGGAGTTGCCTGAAGGAAGTCGAGCCACCGGTCGTGTTGAATGGGGAACGGGGAATGTCTCTGGAGTCAATGCAGGGGAATCGGGCCTCATCTCGAGTTGATTTGGGGCACATGGAGCTGCTTTGCGTTGCTGGGATGACCTCAGGGTCCATCTAGACTGGTGACAGTGTTCTTGGGGACTGTCTCGAGATCCATTAAGCAAGTCGAAGAGCCTGACTTGTTTGAATGGGATCACGGAATAGCTCTGCATGCACTGCAGGGGAATGGGGCCTCATCTCGCCTCTAGGGGGAAGTCTCATGGTTTTTCTCGAGTTGCGGCGGGGACCTGGGGTATGTTCTCGACTTACGGCGGGGATGGCCCTTCAAAACAAGAGTTTCTTCAGTGACGTCAGGACTCCTGTCTAGTAATGACGGACACCTCAGGAATCTCTAAGAGGCTTGGCAGGGCAAAAGGGACGCTTCTCGAGGTGAGGCAGGGCACCCAAGGACGCTTTCCCCTAGCCACAGGGATTTTGGGATTCCTATCAGTATTCAAGAGGAGTCAGGCATCGTCACCTTTTGAAGCAATGAACTCCGCATGCCTCTCGAGGTGTCAGCGGGATGTGAGGCATTCCATCAAAATGAGGCAGGGACCTAGGTCTTTCTCTAAGGTCTCCACAGGGGATTCAGACATCCCTTCATGTTGTGAGATGAAAGACGAGCCTGTATTCAAGCCACTGCAAGGAAATCCGGCCTCCTTTCAAGTTAGGGCTTCTCGCTGTATATTCCCCTTGAGGCAGCAAACTCGGGTCCCTCCCACATACCTATTGCTGAGAGAAGCCTCCTCCTGAGGTGCTTCTGGAAAGTTGGCATACGTCTTGAGCCTAATCCAGGGAATCAGCTCTCATCTCGAGACGATTTGGGGTACACGGAGCATTCCTCAAGTTGCTGTGCTGAAGTTGGTGTTCCTCTAGACTTGGGACAGTGTTCTCGGGGCATCGCTGGAGTTGCCTGAAGGAAGTCGAGCCACCGGTCTTGTTGAATGGGGAACGGGGAATGGCTCTGGAGTCAATGCAGGGGAATCGGGCCTCATCTCGAGTTGATTTGGGGCACATGGAGCTGCTTTGCGTTGCTGGGGTGACCTCAGGGTCCGTCTAGACTGGTGACAGTGTTCTTGGGGACTGTCTCGAGATCCACTAAGCAAGTCGAAGCTCCTGACTTGTTTGAATCGGATCACGGAATAGCTCTGCATGCACTGCAGGGGAATGGGGCCTCATCTCGCCTCAAGGGGGAAGTCTCATGGTTTTTCTCGAGTTGCGGCGGGGACCTGGGGTATGTTCTCGACTTACGGCGGGGATGGCCCTTCAAAACACGAGTTTCTTCAGTTACCTCAGGACTCCTGTCTTGTAACGAGGGACACCTCAGGAATATCTTCGAGGCTTGGCAGGGCAAAAGGGACGCTTCTCGAGGTGAGGCAGGGCACCCAAGGACCCTTTCCAGTAGCCACAGGGATTTTGGGAGTCCTATCATTATTCAAGAGGAGTCAGGCATCGTCACCTTTTGAAGCAATTTACTCCGCGTGCCTCTCGAGGTGTCAGCGGGATGTGAGGCATTCCGTAAAAATGAGGCAGGGACCTAGGTCCTTCTCTAAGGTCTCCACAGGGGATTCAGACATCCCTTCATGTTGTGAGATGAAAGACGAGCCTGTATTCAAGCCACTGCAAGGAAATCCGGCCTCCTTTCAAGTTAGGGCTTCTTGCTGTATATTCCCCTTGAGGCAGCAAACTCGGGGTCCCTTCCACATACCTATTGCTGAGAGAAGCCTCCTCCTGAGGTGCTTCTGGAAAGTTGGCATACGTCTTGAGCCTAAGCCAAGGAATCAGCTCTCATCTCGAGACGATTGGGGGTACACGGAGCATTCCTCGAGTTGCTGTGCTGAAGTTGTTGTTCCTCTAGCCTTGGGACAGTGTTCTCGGGGCATCTCTGGAGTTGCCTGAAGGAAGTCGAGCCACCGGTCGTGTTGAATGGGGAACGGGGAATGGCTCTGGAGTGAATGCAGGGGAATCGGGCCTCATCTCGAGTTGATTTGGGGCACATGGAGCTGCTTTGCGTTGCTGGGGTGACCTCAGGGTCCGTCTAGACTGGTGACAGTGTTCTTGGGGACTGTCTCGAGATCCATTAAGCAAGTCGAAGCTCCTGACTTGTTTGAATGGGATCACGGAATAGCTCTGCATGCACTGCAGGGGAATGGGGCCTCACCTCGCCTCTAGGGGGAAGTCACATGGTTTTTCTCGAGTTGCGGCGGGGACCTGGGGTATGTTCTCGACTTACGGCGGGGATGGCCGTTCAAAACACGAGTTTCTTCAGTGACGTCAGGACTCCTGTCTAGTAACGAGGGACACCTCAGGAATCTCTAAGAGGCTTGGCAGGGCAAAAGGGACGCTTCTCGAGGTGAGGCAGGGCACCCAAGGACGCTTTCCCCTAGCCACAGGGATTTTGAGATTCCTATCAGTATTCAAGAGGAGTCAGGCATCGTCACCTTTTGAAGCAATGAACTCCGCGTGCCTCTCGAGGTGTCAGCGGGATGTGAGGCATCCCGTCAAAATGAGGCAGGGACCTAGGGCTTTCTCTAAGGTCTCCACAGGGGATTCAGACATCCCTTCATGTTGTGAGATGAAAGACAAGCCTGTATTCAAGCCACTGCAAGGAAATGCGGCCTCCTTTCAAGTTAGGGCTTCTCGCTGTATATTCCCCTTGAGGCAGCAAAATCGGGGTCCCTTCCACATACCTATTGCTGAGAGAAGCCTCCTCCTGAGGTGCTTCTGGAAAGTTGGCATACGTCTTGAGCCTAATCCAGGGAATCAGCTCTCATCTCGAGACAATTTGGGGTACACGGAGCATTAGTCGAGTTGCTGTGCTGAAGTTGGTGTTCCTCTAGACTTGGGACAGTGTTCTCGGGGCATCTCTGGAGTTGCCTGAAGGAAGTCGAGCCACCGGTCGTGTTGAATGGGGAACGGGGAATGTCTCTGGAGTCAATGCACGGGAATCGGGCCTCATCTCGAGTTGATTTGGCGCACATGGAGCTGCTTTGCGTTTCTGGGGTGACCTCAGGGTCCGTCTAGACTGGTGACAGTGTTCTTGGGGACTGTCTCGAGATCCATTAAGCAAGTCGAAGCTCCTGACTTGTTTGAATGGGATCACGGAATAGCTCTGCATGCACTGCAGGGGAATGGGGCCTCATCTCGCCTCTAGGGGGAAGTCTCATGGTTTTTCTCGAGTTGAGGCGGGGACCTGGGGTATGTTCTCGACTTACGGCGGGGATGGCCCTTCAAAACACGAGTTTCTTCAGTGACGTCAGGACTCCTGTCTTGTAACGAGGGACACCTCAGGAATCTCTAAGAGGCTTGGCAGGGCAAAAGGGACGCTTCTCGAGGTGAGGCAGGGCACCCAAGGACGCTTTCCCCTAGCCACAGGGATTTTGGGATTCCTATCAGTATTCAAGAGGAGTCAGGCATCGTCACCTTTTGAAGCAATGAACTCCGCGTGCCTCTCGAGGTGTCAGCGGGATGTGAGGCATTCCGTCAAAATGAGGCAGGGACCTAGGGCTTTCTCTAAGGTCTCCACAGGGGATTCAGACATCCCTTCATGTTGTGAGATGAAAGACAAGCCTGTATTCAAGCCACTGCAAGGAAATGCGGCCTCCTTTCAAGTTAGGGCTTCTCGCTGTATATTCCCCTTGAGGCAGCAAACTCGGGGTCCCTTCCACATACCTATTGCTGAGAGAAGCCTCCTCCTGAGGTGCTTCTGGAAAGTTGGCATACGTCTTGAGCCTAATCCAGGGAATCAGCTCTCATCTCGAGACAATTTGGGGTACACGGAGCATTAGTCGAGTTGCTGTGCTGAAGTTGGTGTTCCTCTAGAGTTGGGACAGTGTTCTCGGGGCATCTCTGGAGTTGCCTGAAGGAAGTCGAGCCACCGGTCGTGTTGAATGGGGAACGGGGAATGTCTCTGGAGTCAATGCACGGGAATCGGGCCTCATCTCGAGTTGATTTGGGGCACATGGAGCTGCTTTGCGTTGCTGGGGTGACCTCAGGGTCCGTCTAGACTGGTGACAGTGTTCTTGGGGACTGTCTCGAGATCCATTAAGCAAGTCGAAGCTCCTGACTTGTTTGAATGGGATCACGGAATAGCTCTGCATGCACTGCAGGGGAATGGGGCCTCATCTCGCCTCTAGGGGGAAGTCTCATGGTTTTTCTCGAGTTGCGGCGGGGACCTGGGGTATGTTCTCGACTTAGGGCGGGGATGGCCCTTCAAAACACGAGTTTCTTCAGTGACGTCAGGACTCCTGTCTTGTAACGCGGGACACCTCAGGAATCTCTACGAGGCTTGGCAGGGCAAAACGGACGCTTCTCGAGGTGAGGCAGGGTACCCAAGGACCCTTTCCAGTAGCCACAGTGATTTTGGGATTCCTATCAGTATTCAAGAGGAGTCAGGCATCGTCACCTTTTGAAGCAATGAACTCCGCGTTCCTCTCGAGGTGTCAGTGGGATGTGAGGCATTCCGTCAAAATGAGGCAGGGACCTAGGGCTTTCTCTAAGGTCTCCACAGGGGATTCAGACATCCCTTCATGTTGTGAGATGAAAGACGAGCCTGTATTCAAGCCACTGCAAGGAAATGCGGACTCCTTTCAAGTTAGGGATTCTCGCTGTATATTCCCCTTGAGGCAGCAAACTCGGGGTCCCTTCCACATACCTATTGCTGAGAGAAGCCTCCTCCTGAGGTGCTTCTGGAAAGTTGGCATACGTCTTGAGCCTAAGCCAGGGAATCAGCTCTCATCTCGAGACAATTTGGGGTACACGGAGCATTCCTCGAGTTGCTGTGCTGAAGTTGGTGTTCCTCTAGACTTGGGACAGTGTTCTCGGGGCATCTCTGGAGTTGCCTGAAGGAAGTCGAGCCACCGGTCGTGTTGAATGGGGAACGGGGAATGGCTCTGGAGTGAATGCAGGGGAATCGGGCCTCATCTGGAGTTGATTTGGGGCACATGGAGCTGCTTTGCGTTGCTGGGGTGACCTCAGGGTCCGTCTAGACTGGTGACAGTGTTCTTGGGGACTGTCTCGAGATCCATTAAGCAAGTCGAAGCTCCTGACTTGTTTGAATGGGATCACGGAATAGCTCTGCATGCACTGCAGGGGAATGGGGCTTCATCTCGCCTCTAGGGGGAAGTCTCATGGTTTTTCTCGAGTTGCGGCGGGGACCTGGGGTATGTTCTCGACTTACGACTGGGATGGCCCTTCAAAACACGAGTTTCTTCAGTGACGTCAGGACTCCTGTCTAGTAACGAGGGACACCTCAGGAATCTCTAAGAGGCTTGGCAGTTCAAACGGGACGCTTCTCGAGGTGAGGCAGGGCACCCAAGGACGCTTTCCCCTAGCCACAGGGATTTTGGGATTCCTATCAGTATTCAAGAGGAGTCAGGCATCGTCACCTTTTGAAGCAATGAACTCCGCGTGCCTCTCGAGTTGTCAGCGGGATGTGAGGCATTCCGTCAAAATGAGGCAGGGACCTAGGGCTTTCTCTAAGGTCTCCACAGGGGATTCAGACATCCCTTCATGTTGTGAGATGAAAGAAGAGCCTGTATTCAAGCCACTGCAAGGAAATCCGGCCTCCTTTCAAGTTAGGGCTTCTCGCTGTATATTCCCCTTGAGGCACAAACTCGGCGTCCCTCCCACATACTTATTGCTGAGAGAAGCCTCCTCCTGAGTTGCTTCTGGAAAGTTGGCATACGTCTTGAGCCTAATCCAGGGAATCAGCTCTCATCTCGAGACAATTTGGGGTACACGGAGCATTCCTCGAGTTGCTGTGCTGAAGTTGGTGTTCCTCTAGACTTGGGACAGTGTTCTCGGGGCATCTCTGGAGTTGCCTGAAGGAAGTCGAGCCACCGGTCGTGTTGAATGGGGAACGGGGAATGGCTCTGGAGTCAATGCAGGGGAATCGGGCCTCATCTGGAGTTGATTTGGGGCACATGGAGCTGCTTTGCGTTGCTGGGGTGACCTCAGGGTCCGTCTAGACTGGTGACAGTGTTCTTGGGGACTGTCTCGAGATCCATTAAGCAAGTCGAAGCTCCTGACTTGTTTGAATGGGATCACGGAATAGCTCTGCATGCACTGCAGGGGAATGGGGCTTCATCTCGCCTCTAGGGGGAAGTCTCATGGTTTTTCTCGAGTTGAGGCGGGGACCTGGGGTATGTTCTCGACTTACGGCGGGGATGGCCCTTCAAAACACGAGTTTCTTCAGTGACGTCAGGACTCCTGTCTAGTAACGAGGGACACCTCAGGAATCTCTAAGAGGCTTGGCAGTTCAAAAGGGACGCTTCTCGAGGTGAGGCAGGGCACCCAAGGACGCTTTCCCCTAGCCACAGGGATTTTGGGATTCCTATCAGTATTCAAGAGGAGTCAGGCATCGTCACCTTTTGAAGCAATGAACTCCGCGTGCCTCTCGAGGTGTCAGCGGGATGTGAGGCATTCCGTCAAAATGAGGCAGGGACCTAGGGCTTTCTCTAAGGTCTCCACAGGGGATTCAGACATCCCTTCATGTTGTGAGATGAAAGAAGAGCCTGTATTCAAGCCACTGCAAGGAAATCCGGCCTCCTTTCAAGTTAGGGCTTCTCGCTGTATATTCCCCTTGAGGCAGCAAACTCGGGTCCCTCCCACAAACCTATTGCTGAGAGAAGCCTCCTCCTGAGGTGCTTCTGGAAAGTTGGCATACGTCTTGAGCCTAATCCAGGGAATCAGCTCTCATCTCGAGACAATTTGTGGTACACAGAGCATTCTTCGAGTTGCTGTGCTGAAGTTGGTGTTCCTCTAGACTTGGGACAGTGTTCTCGGGGCATCTCTGGAGTTGCCTGAAGGAAGTCGAGCCACCGGTCGTGTTGAATGGGGAACAGGGAATGTCTCTGGAGTCAATGCAGGGGAATCGGGCCTCATCTCGAGTTGATTTGGGGCACATGGAGCTGCTTTGCGTTGCTGGGGTGACCTCAGGGTCCATCTAGACTGGTGACAGTGTTCTTGGGGACTGTCTCGAGATCCATTAAGCAAGTCGAAGAGCCTGACTTGTTTGAATGGGATCACGGAATAGCTCTGCATGCACTGCAGGGGAATGGGGCCTCATCTCGCCTCTAGGGGGAAGTCTCATGGTTTTTCTCGAGTTGCGGCGGGGACCTGGGGTATGTTCTCGACTTACAGCGGCGATAGCCCTTCAAAACACGAGTCTCTTCAGTGACGTCAGGACTCCTGTCTAGTAACGACGGACACCTCAGGAATCTCTAAGAGGCTTGGCAGGGCAAAAGGGACGCTTCTCGAGGTGAGGCAGGGCACCCAAGGACGCTTTCCCCTAGCCACAGGGATTTTGGGATTCCTATCAGTATTCAAGAGGAGTCAGGCATCGTCACCTTTTGAAGCAATGAACTCCGCGTGCCTCTCGAGGTGTCAGCGGGATGTGAGGCATTCCATCAAAATGAGGCAGGGACCTAGGTCTTTCTCTAAGGTCTCCACAGGGGATTCAGACATCCCTTCATGTTGTGAGATGAAAGACGAGCCTGTATTCAAGCCACTGCAAGGAAATCCGGCCTCCTTTCAAGTTAGGGCTTCTCGCTGTATATTCCCCTTGAGGCAGCAAACTCGGGTCCCTCCCACATACCTATTGCTGAGAGAAGCCTCCTCCTGAGGTGCTTCTGGAAAGTTGGCATACGTCTTGAGCCTAATCCAGGGAATCAGCTCTCATCTCGAGACGATTTGGGGTACACGGAGCATTCCTCAAGTTGCTGTGCTGAAGTTGGTGTTCCTCTAGACTTGGGACAGTGTTCTCGGGGCATCTCTGGAGTTGCCTGAAGGAAGTCGAGCCACCGGTCGTGTTGAATGGGGAACGGGGAATGGCACTGGAGTCAATGCAGGGGAATCGGGCCTCATCTCGAGTTGATTTGGGGCACATGGAGCTGCTTTGCGTTGCTGGGGTGACCTCAGGGTCCGTCTAGACTGGTGACAGTGTTCTTGGGGACTGTCTCGAGATCCACTAAGCAAGTCGAAGCTCCTGACTTGTTTGAATGGGATCACGGAATAGCTCTGCATGCACTGCAGGGGAATGGGGCCTCATCTCGCCTCAAGGGGGAAGTCTCATGGTTTTTCTCGAGTTGCGGCGGGGACCTGGGGTATGTTCTCGACTTACGGCGGGGATGGCCCTTCAAAACACGAGTTTCTTCAGTGACCTCAGGACTCCTGTCTTGTAACGAGGGACACCTCAGGAATCTCTTCGAGGCTTGGCAGGGCAAAAGGGACGCTTCTCGAGGTGAGGCAGGGCACCCAAGGACCCTTTCCAGTAGCCACAGGGATTTTGGGAGTCCTATCATTATTCAAGAGGAGTCAGGCATCGTCACCTTTTGAAGCAATTTACTCTGCGTGCCTCTCGAGGTGTCAGCGGGATGTGACGCATTCCGTCAAAATGAGGCAGGGACCTAGGGCCTTCTCTAAGGTCTCCACAGGGGATTCAGACATCCCTTCATGTTGTGAGATGAAAGACGAGCCTGTATTCAAGCCACTGCAAGGAAATCCGGCCTCCTTTCAAGTTAGGGCTTCTTGCTGTATATTCCCCTTGAGGCAGCAAACTCGGGGTCCCTTCCACATACCTATTGCTGACAGAAGCCTCCTCCTGAGGTGCTTCTGGAAAGTTGGCATACGTCTTGAGCCTAAGCCAGGGAATCAGCTCTCATCTCGAGACAATTTGGGGTACACGGAGCATTCCTCGAGTTGCTGTGCTGAAGTTGGTGTTCCTCTAGACTTGGGACAGTGTTCTCGGGGCATCTCTGGAGTTGCCTGAAGGAAGTCGAGCCACCGGTCGTGTTGAATGGGGATCGGGGAATGGCTCTGGAGTCAATGCAGGGGAATCGGGCCTCATCTCGAGTTGATTTGGGGCACATGGAGCTGCTTTGCGTTGCTGGGGTGACCTCAGGGTCCGTCTAGACTGGTGACAGTGTTCTTGGGGACTGTCTCGAGATCCATTAAGCAAGTCGAAACTCCTGACTTGTTTGAATGGGATCACAGAATAGCTCTGCATGCACTGCAGGGGAATGGGGCCTCATCTCGCCTCTAGGGGGAAGTCTCATGGTTTTTCTCGAGTTGCGGCGGGGACCTGGTATATGTTCTCGACTTACGGCGGGGATGGACCTTCAAAACACGAGTTTCTTCAGTGACGTCTGGTCTCCTGTCTAGTAACGATGGACACCTCAGGAATCTCTAAGAGGCTTGGCAGGGCAAAAGGGACGCTTCTCGAGGTGAGGCAGGGCACCCAAGGACGCTTTCCCCTAGCCACAGGGATTTTGGGATTCCTATCAGTATTCAAGAGGAGTCAGGCATCGTCACCTTTTGAAGCAATGAACTCCGCGTGCTTCTCGAGGTGTCAGCGGGATGTGAGGCATTCCGTCAAAATGAGGCAGGGACCTAGGTCTTTCTCTAAGGTCTCCACAGGGTATTCAGACATCCCTTCATGTTGTGAGATGAAAGACGAGCCTGTATTCAAGCCACTGCAAGGAAATCCGGCCTCCTTTCAAGTTAGGGCTTCTCGCTGTATATTCCCCTTGAGGCAGCAAACTCGGGTCCCTCCCACATACCTATTGCTGAGAGAAGCCTCCTCCTGAAGTGCTTCTGGAAAGTTGGCATAAGTCTTGAGCCTAAGCCAGGGAATCAGCTCTCATCTCGAGACGATTTGGGGTACACGGAGCATTCCTCAAGATGCTGTGCTGAAGTTGGTGTTCCTCTAGACTTGGGACAGTGTTCTCGGGGCATCTCTGGAGTTGCCTGAAGGAAGTCGAGCCACCAATCTTGTTGAATGGGGAACGGGGAATGGCTCTGGAGTCAATGCAGGGGAATCGGGCCTCATCTCGAGTTGATTTGGGGCACATGGAGCTGCTTTGCGTTGCTGGGGTGACCTCAGGGTCCGTCTAGACTGGTGACAGTGTTCTTAGGGACTGTCTCGAGATACACTAAGCAAGACGAAGCTCCTGACTTGTTTGAATGTGATCACGGGATAGCTCTGCATGCACTGCAGGGGAATGGGGCCTCATCTCGCCTCAAGGGGGTAGTCTCATGGTTTTTCTCGAGTTCAGGCGGGGACCTGGGGTATGTTCTCGACTTACGGCGGGGATGGCCCTTCAAAACACGAGTTTCTTCAGTGACCTCAGGACTACTGTCTTGTAACGAGGGACACCTCAGGAATCTCTTCGAGGCTTGGCAGGGCCAAAGGGACGCTTCTCGAGGTGAGGCAGGGCACCCAAGGACCCTTTCCAGTAGCCACAGGGATTTTGGGAGTCCTATCATTATTCAAGAGGAGTCAGGCATCGTCACCTTTTGAAGCAATTTACTCCGCGTGCCTCTCGAGGTGTCAGCGGGATGTGAGGCATTCCGTCAAAATGAGGCAGGGACTTAGGGCCTTCTCTACGGTCTCCACAGGGGATTCAGACATCCCTTCATGTTGTGAGATGAAAGACGAGCCTGTATTCAAGCCACTGCAAGGTATTCCGGCCTCCTTTCAAGTTAGGGCTTCTCGCTGTATATTCCCCTTGAGGCAGCAAACTCGGGGTCCCTTCCACATACCTATTGCTGAGAGAAGCCTCCTCCTGAGGTGCTTCTGGAAAGTTGGCATACGTCTTGAGCCTAAGCCAGGGAATCAGCTCTCATCTCGAGACGATTTGGGGTACACGGAGCATTCCTCAAGTTGCTGTGCTGAAGTTGGTGTTCCTCTAGACTTGGGACAGTGTTCTCGGGGCATCTCTGGAGTTGCCTGAAGGAAGTCGAGCCACCGGTTGTGTTGAATGGGGAACGGGGAATGGCTCTGGAGTCAATGCATGGGAATCGGGCCTCATCTCGAGTTGATTTGGGGCACATGGAGCTGCTTTGCGTTGCTGGGGTGACCTCAGGGTCCGTCTAGACTGGTGACAGTGTTCTTGGGGATTGTCTCGAGATCCATTAAGCAAGTCGAAGCTCCTGACTTGTTTGAATGGGATCACGGAATAGCTCTGCATGCACTGCAGGGGAATGGGGCCTCATCTCGCCTCTAGGGGGAAGTCTCATGGTTTTTCTCGAGTTGCGGCGGGGACCTGGGGTATGTTCTCGACTTACGGCGGGGATGGCCCTTCAAAACACGAGTTTCTTCAATGACGTCAGGACTCCTGTCTAGTAACGAGGGACACCTCAGGAATCTCTAAGAGGCTTGGCAGGGCAAAAGGGACGCTTCTCGAGGTGAGGCAGGGCACCCAAGGACGCTTTCCCCTAGCCACAGGGATTTTGGGATTCCTATCAGTATTCAAGAGGAGTCAGGCATCATCACCTTTTGAAGCAATGAACTCCGCGTGCCTCTCGAGGTGTCAGCGGGATGTGAGGCATTCCGTCAAAATGAGGCAGGGAACTAGGGCTTTCTCTAAGGTCTCCACAGGGGATTCAGACATCCCTTCATGTTGTGAGATGAAAGACGAGCCTGTATTCAAGCCACTGCAAGGAAATCCGGCCTCCTTTCAAGTTAGGGCTTCTCGCTGTATATTCCCCTTGAGGCACAAACTCGGGGTCCCTCCCACATACTTATTGCTGAGAGAAGCCTCCTCCTGAGGTGCTTCTGGAAAGTTGGCATACGTCTTGAGCGTTGGCCAGGGAATCAGCTCTCATCTCGAGACGATTTGGGTTACACGAAGCATTCGTCGAGTTGCTGTGCTGAAGTTGGTGTTCCTCTAGACTTGGGACAGTGTTCTCGGGGCATCTCTGGAGTTGCCTGAAGGAAGTCGAGCCACCGGTCGTGTTGAATGGGGAACGGGGAATGGCACTGGAGTCAATGCATGGGAATCGGGCCTCATCTCTAGTTGATTTGGGGCACATGGAGCTGCTTTGCGTTGCTGGGGTGACTTCAGGGTCCGTCTAGACTGGTGACAGTGTTCTTGGGGACTGTCTCGAGATCCATTAAGCAAGTCGAAACTCCTGACTTGTTTGAATGGGATCACAGAATAGCTCTGCATGCACTGCAGGGGAATGGGGCCTCATCTCGCCTCTAGGGGGAAGTCTCATGGTTTTTCTCGAGTTGCGGCGGGGACCTGGTGTATGTTCTCGACTTACGGCGGGGATGGCCCTTCAAAACACGAGTTTCTTCAGTGACGTCAGGACTCCTGTCTAGTAACGACGGACACCTCAGGAATCTCTAAGAGGCTTGGCAGGGCAAAAGGGACGCTTCTCGAGGTGAGTCAGGGCACCCAAGGACGCTTTCCGCTAGCCACAGGGATTTTGGGATTCCTATCAGTATTCAAGAGGAGTCAGGCATCGTCACCTTTTGAAGCAATGAACTCCGCGTGCCTCTCGAGGTGTCAGCGGGATGTGAGGCATTCCGTCAAAATGAGGCAGGGACCTAGGTCTTTCTCTAAGGTCTCCACAGGGGATTCAGACATCCCTTAATGTTGTGAGATGAAAGACGAGCCTGTATTCAAGCCACTGCAAGGAAATCCGGCCTCCTTTCAAGTTAGGGCTTCTCGCTGTATATTCCCCTTGAGGCAGCAAACTCGGGTCCCTCCCACATACCTTTTGCTGAGAGAAGCCTCCTCCTGAGGTGCTTCTGGAAAGTTGGCATAAGTCTTGAGCCTAAGCCAGGGAATCAGCTCTCATCTCGAGATGATTTGGGGTACACGGAGCATTCCTCGAGTTGCTGTGCTGAAGTTGGTGTTCCTCTAGACTTGGGACAGTGTTCTCGGGGCATCTCTGGAGTTGCCTGAAGGAAGTCGAGCCACCGGTCTTGTTGAATGGGGAATGGGGAATGGCTCTGGAGTCAATGCAGGGGAATCGGGCCTCATCTCGAGTTGATTTGGGGCACATGGAGCTGCTTTGCGTTGCTGGGGTGACCTCAGGGTCCGTCTAGACTGGTGACAGTGTTCTTAGGGACTGTCTCGAGATCCACTAAGCAAGTCGAAGCTCCTGACTTGTTTGAATGGGATCACGGGATAGCTCTGCATGCACTGCAGGGGAATGGGGCCTCATCTCGCCTCTAGGGGGAAGTCTCATGGTTTTTCTCGAGTTGCGGCGGGGACCTGGGGTATGTTCTCGACTTACGGCGGGGATGGCCCTTCAAAACACGAGTTTCTTAAGTGACTTCAGGACTCCTGTCTTGTAACGAGGGACACCTCAGGAATCTCTACGAGGCTTGGCAGGGCAAAAGGGACGCTTCTCGAGGTGAGGCAGGGTACCCAAGGACCCTTTCCAGTAGCCACAGGGATTTTGGGATTCCTATCAGTATTCAAGATGAGTCAGGCATCGTCACCTTTTGAAGCAATGAACTCAGCGTGCCTCTGGAGGTGTCAGTGGGATGTGAGGCATTCCGTCAAAATGAGGCAGGGACCTAGGGCTTTCTCTAAGGTCTCCACAGGGGATTCAGACATCCCTTCATGTTGTGAGATGAAAGACGAGCCTGTATTCAAGCCACTGCAAGGAAATGCGGCCTCCTTTCAAGTTAGGGCTTCTCGCTGTATATTCCCCTTGAGGCAGCAAACTCGGGGTCCCTTCCACATACCTATTGCTGAGAGAAGCCTCCTCCTGAGGTGCTTCTGGAAAGTTGGCATACGTCTTGAGCCTAATCCAGGGAAACAGCTCTCATCTTGAGACAATTTGGGGTACACGGAGCATTCCTCGAGTTGCTGTGCTGAAGTTGGTGTTCCTCTAGACTTGGGACAGTGTTCTCGGGGCATCTCTGGACTTGCCTGAAGGAAGTCGAGCCACCGGTCGTGTTGAATGGGGAACGGGGAATGGCTCTGGAGTGAATGCAGGGGAATCGGGCCTCATCTCGAGTTGATTTGGGGCACATGGAGCTGCTTTGCGTTGCTGGGGTAACCTCAGGGTCCGTCTAGACTGGTGACAGTGTTCTTGGGGACTGTCTCGAGATCCATTAAGCAAGTCGAAGCTCCTGACTTGTTTGAATGGGATCACGGAATAGCTCTGCATGCACTGCAGGGGAATGGGGCCTCATCTCGCCTCTAGGGGGAAGTCTCATGGTTTTTCTCGAGTTTCGTTGGGGACCTGGGGTATGTTCTCGACTTAGGGCGGGGATGGCCCTTCAAAACACGAGTTTCTTCAGTGACGTCAGGACTCCTGTCTAGTAACGAGGGACACTTCAGGAATCTCTAAGAGGCTTGGCAGGGCAAAAGGGACGCTTCTCGAGGTGAGGCAGGGTACCCAAGGACGCTTTCCCCTAGCCACAGCGATTTTGGGATTCCTATCAGTATTCAAGAGGAGTCAGGCATCGTCACCTTTTGAAGCAATGAACTCCGCGTGCCTCTCGAGGTGTCAGCGGGATGTGAGGCATTCCGTCAAAATGAGGCAGGGACCTAGGTCTTTCTCTAAGGTCTCCACAGGGGATTCAGACATCCCTTCATGTTGTGAGATGAAAGACGAGCCTGTATTCAAGCCACTGCAAGGAAATCCGGCCTCCTTACAAGTTATGGCTTCTCACTGTATATTCCCCTTGAGGCAGCAAACTCGGGGTCCCTCCCACATACCTATTGCTGAGAGAAGCCTCCTCTTGAGGTGCTTCTGGAAAGTTGGCATAAGTCTTGAGCCTAAGCCAGGGAATCAGCTCTCATCTCGAGACGATTTGGGGTACACAGAGCATTCCTCGAGTTGCTGTGCTGAAGTTGGTGTTCCTCTAGACTTGGGACAGTGTTCTCGGGGCATCTCTGGAGTTGCCTGAAGGAAGTCGAGCCACCTGTCGTGTTGATTGGGGAACGGGGAATGGCTCTGGGGTCAATGCAGGGGAATCGGGCCTCATCTCGAGTTGATTTGGGGCACATGGTGCTGCTTTGCGTTGCTGGGGTGACCTCAGGGTCCGTCTAGAGTGGTGACAGTGTTCTTGGGGACTGTCTCGAGATCCATTAAGCAAGTCGAAGCTCCTGACTTGTTTGAATGGGATCACGGAATAGCTCTGCATGCACTGCAGGGGAATGGGGCCTCATCTCGCCTCAAGGGGGAAGTCTCATGGTTTTTCTCGTGTTGAGGCGGGGACCTGGGGTATGTTCTCGACTTACGGCGGGGATGGCCCTTCAAAACACGAGTTTCTTCAGTGACCTCAGGACTCCTGTCTTGTAACGAGGGACACCTCAGGAATATCTTCGAGGCTTGGCAGGGCAAAAGGGACGCTTCTCGAGGTGAGGCAGGGCACCCAAGGACCCTTTCCAGTAGCCACAGGGATTTTGGGAGTCCTATCATTATTCAAGAGGAGTCAGGCATCGTCACCTTTTGAAGCAATTTACTCCGCGTTCCTCTCGAGGTGTCAGCGGGATTTGAGGCATTCCGTCAAAATGAGGCAGGGACCTAGGGCCTTCTCTAAGGTCTCCACAGTGGATTCAGACATCCCTTCATGTTGTGAGATGAAAGACGAGCCTGTATTCAAGCCACTGCAAGGAAATCCGGCCTCCTTTCAAGTTAGGGCTTCTCGCTGTATATTCCCCTTGAGGCAGCAAACTCGGGGTCCCTTCCACATACCTATTGCTGAGAGAAGCCTCCTCCTGAGGTGCTTCTGGAAAGTTGGCATACGTCTTGAGCCTAAGCCAGGGAATCAGCTCTCATCTCGAGATGATTGGGGGTACACGGAGCATTCCTCGAGTTGCTGTGCTGAAGTTGTTGTTCCTCTAGCCTTGGAACAGTGTTCTCGGGGCATCTCTGGAGTTGCCTGAAGGAAGTCGAGCCACCGGTCGTGTTGAATGGGGAACGGGGAATGGCTCTGGAGTCAATGCATGGGAATCGGGCCTCATCTCGAGTTGATTTGGGGCACATGGAGCTGCTTTGCGTTGCTGGGGTGACCTCAGGGTCCGTCTAGACTGGTGACAGTGTTCTTGGGGACTGTCTCGAGATCCATTAAGCAAGTGGAAGCTCCTGACTTGTTTGAATGGGATCACGGGATAGCTCTGCATGCACTGCAGGGGAATGTGGCCTCATCTCGCCTCAAGGGGGAAGTCTCATGGTTTTTCTCGAGTTGAGGCGGGGACCTGGGGTATGTTCTCGACTTACGGCGGGGATGGCCCTTCAAAACACGAGTTTCTTCAGTGACGTCAGGACTCCTGTCTAGTAACGAGGGACACCTCAGGAATCTCTTCGAGGCTTGGCAGGGCAAAAGGGACGCTTCTCGAGGTGAGGCAGGGTACCCAAGGACCCTTTCCAGTAGCCACAGCGATTTTGGGATTCCTATCAGTATTCAAGAGGAGTCAGGCATCGTCACCTTTTGAAGCAATGAACTCCGCGTGCCTCTCGAGGTGTCAGTGGGATGTGAGGCATTCCGTCAAAATGAGGCAGGGACCTAGGGCTTTCTCTAAGGTCTCCACAGGGGATTCAGACATCCCTTCATGTTGTGAGATGAAAGACGAGCCTGTATTCAAGCCACTGCAAGGAAATGCGGACTCCTTTCAAGTTAGGGATTCTCGCTGTATATTCCCCTTGAGGCAGCAAACTCGGGGTCCCTTCCACATACCTATTGCTGAGAGAAGCCTCCTCCTGAGCTGCTTCTGGAAAGTTGTTATACGTCTTGAGCCTAAGCCAGGGAATCAGCTCTCTTCTCGAGACAATTTGGGGTACACGGAGCATTCCTCGAGTTGCTGTGCTGAAGTTGGTGTTCCTCTAGACTTGGGACAGTGTTCTCGGGGCATCTCTGGAGTTGCCTGAAGGAAGTCGAGCCACCGGTCGTGTTGAATGGGGAACGGGGAATGGCTCTGGAGTGAATGCAGGGGAATCGGGCCTCATCTCGAGTTGATTTGGGGCACATGGAGCTGCTTTGCGTTGCTGGGGTGACCTCAGGGTCCGTCTAGACTGGTGACAGTGTTCTTGGGGACTGTCTCGAGATCCATTAAGCAAGTCGAAGCTCCTGACTTGTTTGAATGGGATCACGGAATAGCTCTGCATGCACTGCAGGGGAATGGGGCCTCATCTCGCCTCTAGGGGGAAGTCTCATGGTTTTTCTCGAGTTGAGGCGGGGACCTGGGGTATGTTCTCGACTTACGGCGGGGATGGCCCTTCAAAACACGAGTTTCTTCAGTGACGTCAGGACTCCTGTCTAGTAACGAGGGACACCTCAGGAATCTCTAAGAGGCTTGGCAGGGCAAAAGGGACGCTTCTCGAGGTGAGGCAGGGCACCCAAGGACGCTTTCCCCTAGCCACAGGGATTTTGGGATTCCTATCAGTATTCAAGAGGAGTCAGGCATCGTCACCTTTTGAAGCAATGAACTCCGCGTGCCTCTCGAGGTGTCAGCGGGATGTGAGGCATTCCGTCAAAATGAGGCAGGGACCTAGGGCTTTCTCTAAGGTCTCCACAGGGGATTCAGACATCCCTTCATGTTGTGAGATGAAAGACAAGCCTGTATTCAAGCCACTGCAAGGAAATGCGGCCTCCTTTCAAGTTAGGGCTTCTCTCTGTATATTCCCCTTGAGGCAGCAAACTCGGGGTCCCTTCCACATACCTATTGCTGAGAGAAGCCTGCTCCTGAGGTGCTTCTGGAAAGTTGGCATACGTCTTGAGCCTAATCCAGGGAATCAGCTCTCATCTCGAGACAATTTGGGGTACACGGAGCATTAGTCGAGTTGCTGTGCTGAAGTTGGTGTTCCTCTAGATTTGGGACAGTGTTTTCGGGGCATCTCTGGAGTTGCCTGAAGGAAGTCGAGCCACCGGTCGTGTTGAATGTGGAACGGGGAATGTCTCTGGAGTCAATGCAGGGGAATCGGGCCTCATCTCGAGTTGATTTGGGGCACATGGAGCTGCTTTGCGTTGCTGGGGTGACCTCAGGGTCCGTCTAGACTGGTGACAGTGTTCTTGGGGACTGTCTCGAGATCCATTAAGCAAGTCGAAGCTCCTGACTTGTTTGAATGGGATCACGGAATAGCTCTGCATGCACTGCAGGGGAATGGGGCCTCATCTCGCCTCTAGGGGGAAGTCTCATGGTTTTTCTGGAGTTACGGCGGGGACCTGGGGTATGTTCTCGACTTACGGCGGGGATGGCCCTTCAAAACACGAGTTTCTTCAGTGACGTCAGGACTCCTGTCTTGTAACGAGGGACACCTCAGGAATCTCTACGAGGCTTGGCAGGGCAAAAGGGACGCTTCTCGAGGTGAGGCATGGTACCCAAGGACCCTTTCCAGTAGCCACAGCGATTTTGGGATTCCTATCAGTATTCAAGAGGAGTCAGGCATCGTCAGCTTTTGAAGCAATGAACTCCGCGTGCCTCTCGAGGTGTCAGTGGGATGTGAGGCATTCCGTCAAAATGAGGCAGGGACCTAGGGCTTTCTCTAAGGTCTCCACAGGGGATTCAGACATCCCTTCATGTTGTGAGATGAAAGACGAGCCTGTATTCAAGCCACTGCAAGGAAATGCGGACTCCTTTCAAGTTAGGGATTCTTGCTGTATATTCCCCTTGAGGCAGCAAACTCGGGGTCCCTTCCACATACCTATTGCTGAGAGAAGCCTCCTCCTGAGGTGCTTCTGGAAAGTTGGCATACGTCTTGAGCCTAAGCCAGGGAATCAGCTCTCATCTCGAGACAATTTGGGGTACACGGAGCATTCCTCGAATTGCTGTGCTGAAGTTGGTGTTCCTCTAGACTTGGGACAGTGTTCTCGGGGCATCTCTGGAGTTGCCTGAAGGAAGTCGAGCCACCGGTCGTGTTGAATGGGGAACGGGGAATGGCTCTGGAGTGAATGCAGGGGAATCGGGCCTCATCTCGAGCTGATTTGGGGCACATGGAGCTGCTTTGCGTTGCTGGGGTGACTTCAGGGTCCGTCTAGACTGGTGACAGTGTTCTTGGGGACTGTCTCGAGATCCATTAAGCAAGTCGAAGCTCCTGACTTGTTTGAATGGGATCACGGAATAGCTCTGCATGCACTGCAGGGGAATAGGGCTTCATCTCGCCTCTAGGGGGAAGTCTCATGGTTTTTCTCGAGTTGCGGCGGGGACCTGGGGTATGTTCTCGACTTACGGCGGGGATGGCCCTTCAAAACACGAGTTTCTTCAGTGACCTCAGGACTCCTGTCTAGTAACGAGGGACACCTCAGGAATCTCTAAGAGGCTTGGCAGTTCAAAAGGGACGCTTCTCGAGGTGAGGCAGGGCACCCAAGGACGCTTTCGCCTAGCCACAGGGATTTTGGGATTCCTATCAGTATTCAAGAGGAGTCAGGCATCGTCACCTTTTGAAGTAATGAACTCCGCGGGCCTCTCGAGGTGTCAGCGGGATGTGAGGCATTCCGTCAAAATGAGGCAGGGACCTAGGGCCTTCTCTAAGGTCTCCACAGGGGATTCAGACATCCCTTCATGTTGTGAGATGAAAGACGAGCCTGTATTCAAGCCACTGCAAGGAAATCCGGCCTCCTTTCAAGTTAGGGCTTCTCGCTGTATATTCCCCTTGAGGCACAAACTCGGGGTCCCTCCCACATACTTATTGCTGAGAGAAGCCTCCTCCTGAGGTGCTTCTGGAAAGTTGGCATACGTCTTGAGCCTAAGCCAGGGAATCAGCCCTCATCTCGAGACGATTTTTGTTACACGGAGCATTCCTCGAGTTGCTGTGCTGCAGTTGGTGTTCCTCTAGACTTGGGACAGTGTTCTCGGGGCATCTCTGGAGTTGCCTGAAGGAAGTCGAGCCACCGGTCGTGTTGAATGGGGAACGGGGAATGGCTCTGGAGTGAATGCAGGGGAATCGGGCCTCATCTCGAGTTGATTTGGGGCACATGGAGCTGCTTTGAATTGCTGGGGTGACCTCAGGGTCCGTCTAGACTGGTGACAGTGTTCTTCGGGACTGTCTCGAGATCCATTAACCAAGTCGAAGCTCCTGACTTGTTTGAATGGGATCACGGAATAGCTCTGCATGCACTGCAGGGGAATGGGGCCTCATCTCGCCTCTAGGGGGAAGTCTCATGGTTTTTCTCGAGTTGCGGCGGTGACCTGGGTTATGTTCTCGACTTACGGCGGGGATGGCCCTTCAAAACACGAGTTTCTTCAGTGACGTCAGGACTTCTGTCTTGTAACGAGGGACACCTCAGGAATCTCTACGAGGCTTGGCATGGCAAAAGGGACGCTTCTCGAGGTGAGGCAGGGTACCCAAGGACGCTTTCCAGTAGCCACAGCGATTTTGGGATTCCTATCAGTATTCAAGAGGAGTCAGGCATCGTCACCTTTTGAAGCAATGAACTCCGCGTGCCTCTCGAGGTGTCAGTGGGATGTGTGGCATTCCGTCAAAATGAGGCAGGGACCTAGGGCTTTCTCTAAGGTCTCCACAGGGGATTCAGACATCCCTTCATGTTGTGAGATGAAAGACGAGCCTGTATTCAAGCCACTGCAAGGAAATGCGGACTCCTTTCAAGTTAGGGATTCTTGCTGTATATTCCCCTTGAGGCAGCAAACTCGGGGTCCCTTCCACATACCTATTGCTTAGAGAAGCCTCCTCCTGAGGTGCTTCTGGAAAGTTGGCATACATCTTGAGCCTAATCCAAGGAATCAGCTCTCATCTCGAGACAATTTGGGGTACATGGAGCATTCCTCGAGTTGCTGTGCTGAAGTTGGTGTTCCTCTAGACTTGGGACAGTGTTCTCGGGGCATCTCTGGAGTTGCCTGAAGGAAGTCGAGCCACCGGTCGTGTTGAATGGGGATCGGGGAATGGCTCTGGAGTCAATGCAGGGGAATCGGGCCTCATCTCGAGTTGATTTGGGGCACATGGAGCTGCTTTGCGTTGCTGGGGTGACCTCAGGGTCCGTCTAGACTGGTGACAGTGTTCTTGGGGACTGTCTCGAGATCCATTAAGCAAGTCGAAACTCCTGACTTGTTTGAATGGGATCACAGAATAGCTCTGCATGCACTGCAGGGGAATGGGGCCTCATCTCGCCTCTAGGGGGAAGTCTCATGGTTTTTCTCGAGTTGCGGCGGGGACCTGGGGTATGTTCTCGACTTACGGCGGGGATGGCCCTTCAAAACACGAGTTTCTTCAGTGACGTCAGGACTCCTGTCTAGTAACGACGGACTCCTCAGGAATCTCTAAGAGGCTTGGCAGGGCAAGAGGGACGCTTCTCGAGGTGAGGCAGGGCACCCAAGGACGCTTTCCCCTAGCCACAGTGATTTTGGGATTCCTATCAGTATTCAAGAGGAGTCAGGCATCGTCACCTTTTGAAGCAATGAACTCCGCGTGCTTCTCGAGGTGTCAGCGGGATGTGAGGCATTCCGTCAAAATGAGGCAGGGACCTAGGTCTTTCTCTAAGGTCTCCACAGGGGATTCAGACATCCCTTCATGTTGTGAGATGAAAGACGAGCCTGTATTCAAGCCACTGCAAGGAAATCCGGCCTCCTTTCAAGTTAGGGCTTCTCGCTGTATATTCCCCTTGAGGCAGCAAACTCAGGTCCCTCCCACATACCTATTGCTGAGAGAAGCCTCCTCCTGAGGTGCTTCTGGAAAGTTGGCATAAGTCTTGAGCCTAAGCCAGGGAATCAGCTCTCATCTCGAGACGATTTGGGGTACACGGAGCATTCCTCAAGATGCTGTGCTGTAGTTGGTGTTCCTCTAGACTTGGGACAGTGTTCTCGGGGCATCTCTGGAGTTGCCTGAAGGAAGTCGAGCCACCGGTCTTGTTGAACGGGGAACGGGGAATGGCTTTGGAGTCAATGCAGGGGAATCGGGCCTCATCTCGAGTTGATTTGGGGCACATGGAGCTGCTTTGCGTTGCTGGGGTGACCTCAGGGTCCGTCTAGACTGGTGACAGTGTTCTTGGGGACTCTCTCGAGATCCACTAAGCAAGTCGAAGCTCCTGACTTGTTTGAATGGGATCACGGGATAGCTCTGCATGCACTGCAGGGGAATGGGGCCTCATCTCGCCTCAAGGGGGAAGTCTCATGGTTTTTCTCGAGTTGCGGCGGGGACCTGGGGTATGTTCTCGACTTACGGCGGGGATGGCCCTTCAAAACACGAGTTTCTTCAGTGACCTCAGGACTCCTGTCTAGTAACGAGGGACACCTCAGGAATCTCTTCGAGGCTTGGCAGGGCAAAAGGGACGCTTCTCGAGGTGAGGCAGGGCACCCAAGGACCCTTTCCAGTAGCCACAGGGATTTTGGGAGTCCTATCATTATTCAAGAGGAGTCAGGCATCGTCACCTTTTGAAGCAATTTACTCCGCGTGCCTCTCGAGGTGTCAGCGGGATGTGAGGCATTCCGTCAAAATGAGGCAGGGACCTAGGGCCTTCTCTAAGGTCTCCCCAGGGGATTCAGACATCCCTAAATATTGTGAGATGAAAGACGAGCCTGTATTCAAGCCACTGCAAGGAAATCCGGCCTCCTTTCAAGTTAGGGCTTCTCGCTGTATATTCCCCTTGAGGCAGCAAACTCGGGGTCCCTTCCACATACCTATTGCTGAGAGAAGCCTCCTCCTGAGGTGCTTCTGGAAAGTTGGCATACGTCTTGAGCCTAAGCCAGGGAATCAGCTCTCATCTCGAGACGATTGGGGGTACACGGAGCATTCCTCGAGTTGCTGTGCTGAAGTTGTTGTTCCTCTAGCCTTGGGACCGTGTTCTCGGGGCATCTCTGGAGTTGCCTGAAGGAAGTCGAGCCACCGGTCGTGTTGAATGGGGAACGGGGAATGGCTCTGGAGTCAATGCATGGGAATCGGGCCTCATCTCGAGTTGATTTGGGGCACATGGAGCTGCTTTGCGTTGCTGGGGTGACCTCAGGGTCCGTCTAGACTGGTGACAGTGTTCTTGGGGACTGTCTCGAGATCCATTAAGCAAGTCGAAGCTCCTGACTTGTTTGAATGGGATCACGGAATAGCTCTGCATGCACTGCAGGGGAATGGGGCCTCATCTCGCCTCAATGGGGAAGTCTCATGGTTTTTCTCGTGTTGAGGCGGGGACCTGGGGTATGTTCTCGACTTATGGCGGGGATGGCCCTTCAAAACACGAGTTTCTTCAGTGACGTCAGGACTCCTGTCTAGTAACGAGGGACACCTCAGGAATCTCTTCGAGGCTTGGCAGGGCAAAAGGGACGCTTCTCGAGGTGAGGCAGGGCAGCCAAGGACCCTTTCCCGTAGCCACAGGGATTTTCGGATTCCTATCAGTATTCAAGAGGAGTCAGGCATCGTCACCTTTTGAAGCAATGAACTCCGCGTGCCTCTCGAGGTGTCAGTGGGATGTGAGGCATTCCGTCAAAATGAGGCAGGGACCTAGGGCTTTCTCTAAGGTCTCCACAGGGGATTCAGACATCCCTTCATGTTGTGAGATGAAAGCCGAGCCTGTATTCAAGCCACTGCAAGGAAATCCGGCCTCCTTTCAAGTTAGGGCTTCTCGCTGTATATTCCCCTTGAGGCAGCAAACTCGGGGTCCCTTCCACATACCTATTGCTGAGAGAAGCCTCCTCCTGAGGTGCTTCTGGAAAGTTGGCAAACGTCTTGAGCCTAATCCAGGGAATCAGCTCTCATCTCGAGACAATTTGGGGTACACAGAGCATTCCTCGAGTTGCTGTGCTGAAGTTGGTGTTCCTCTAGACTTGGGACAGTGTTCTCGGGGCATCTCTGGAGTTGCCTGAAGGAAGTCGAGCCACCGGTCGTGTTGAATGGGGAACGGGGAATGTCTCTGGAGTCAATGCAGGGGAATCGGGCCTCATCTCGAGTTGATTTGGGGCACATGGAGCTGCTTTGCGTTGCTGGGGTGACCTCAGGGTCCGTCTAGACTGGTGACAGTGTTCTTGGGGACTGTCTCGAGATCCATTAAGCAAGTCGAAGAGCCTGACTTGTTTGAATGGGATCACGGAATAGCTCTGCATGCACTGCAGGGGAATGGGGCCTCATCTCGCCTCTAGGGGGAAGTCTAATGGTTTTTCTCGAGTTGCAGCGGGGACCTGGGGTATGTTCTCGACTTACGGCGGGGATGGCCCTTCAAAACACGAGTTTCTTCAGTGACGTCAGGACTCCTGTCTAGTAACGACGGACACCTCAGGAATCTCTAAGAGGCTTGGCAGGGCAAAAGGGACGCTTCTCGAGGTGAGGCAGGGCACCCAAGGACGCTTTGCCCTAGCCACAGGGATTTTGGGATTCCTATCTGTATTCAAGAGGAGTCAGGCATCGTCACCTTTTGAAGCAATGAACTCCGCGTGCCTCTCGAGGTGTCAGCGGGATGTGAGGCATTCCATCAAAATGAGGCAGGGACCTAGGTCTTTCTCTAAGGTCTCCACAGGGGATTCAGCCATCCCTTCATGTTGTGAGATGAAAGACGAGCCTGTATTCAAGCCACTGCAAGGAAATCCGGCCTCCTTTCAAGTTAGGGCTTTTCGCTGTATATTCCCTTGAGGCAGTAAACTCGGGTCCCTCCCACATACCTATTGCTGAGAGAAGCCTCCTCCTGAGGTGCTTCTGGAAAGTTGGCATAAGTCTTGAGCCTAATCCAGGAATCAGCTCTCATCTCGAGACGATTTGGGGTACACGGAGCATTCCTCAAGTTGCTGTGCTGAAGTTGGTGTTCCTCTAGACTTGGGACAGTGTTCTCGGGGCATCTCTGGAGTTGCCTGAAGGAAGTCGAGCCACCGGTCTTGTTGAATGGGGAACGGGGAATGGCTCTGGAGTCAATGCAGGGAATCGGGCCTCATCTCGAGTTGATTTGGGGCACATGGAGCTGCTTTGAGTTGCTGGGGTGACCTCAGGGTCCGTCTAGACTGGTGACAGTGTTCTTGGGGACTGTCTCGAGATCCACTAAGCAAGTCGAAGCTCCTGACTGGTTTGAATGGGATCACGGGATAGCTCTGCATGCACTGCAGGGGAATGGGGCCTCATCTCGCCTCAAGGGGGAAGTCTCATGGTTTTTCTCGAGTTGAGGCGGGGACCTGGGGTATGTTCTCGACTTACGGCGGGGATGGCCCTTCAAAACACGAGTTTCTTCAGTGACGTCAGGACTCCTGTCTAGTAACGAGGGACACCTCAGGAATCTCTTCGAGGCTTGGCAGGGCAAAAGGGACGCTTCTCGAGGTGAGGCAAGGCACCCACGGACCCTTTCCCGTAGCCACAGGGATTTTGGGATTCCTATCAGTATTCAAGAGGAGTCAGGCATCGTCACCTTTTGAAGCAATGAACTCCGCGTGCCTCTCGAGGTGTCAGCGGGATGTGAGACATTCCGTCAAAATGAGGCAGGGACCTAGGCCTTTCTCTAAGGTCTCCACAGGGGATTCAGACATCCCTTCATGTTGTGAGATGAAAGACAAGCCTGTATTCAAGCGACTGCAAGGAAATGCGGCCTCCTTTCAAGTTAGGGCTTCTCGCTGTATATTCCCCTTGAGGCAGCAAACTCGGGGTCCCTTCCACATACCTATTGCTGAGAGAAGCCTCCTCCTGAGGTGCTTCTGGAAAGTTGGCATACGTCTTGAGCCTAATCCAGGGAATCAGCTCTCATCTCGAGACAATTTGGGGTGCACGGAGCATTCCTCGAGTTGCTGTGCTGAAGTTGGTGTTCCTCTAGACTTGGGACAGTGTTCTCCGGGCATCTCTGGAGTTGCCTGAAGGAAGTCGAGCCACCGGTCGTGTTGAATGGGGAACGGGGAATGTCTCTGGAGTCAATGCAGGGGAATCGGGCCTCATCTCGAGTTGATTTGGGGCACATGGAGCTGCTTTGCGTTGCTGGGGTGACCTCACGGTCCGTCTAGACTGGTGACAGTGTTCTTGGGGACTGTCTCGAGATCCATTAAGCAAGTCGAAGCTCCTGACTTGTTTGAATGGGATCACGGAATAGCTCTGCATGCACTGCAGGGGAATGGGGCCTCATCTCGCCTCTAGGGGGAAGTCTCATGGTTTTTCTCGAGTTGCGGCGGGGACATGGGGTATGTTCTCGACTTACGGCGGGGATGGCCCTTCAAAACACGAGTTTCTTCAGTGACGTCAGGACTCCTGTCTTGTAACGAGGGACACCTCAGGAATCTCTACAGGCTTGGCAGGGCAAAAGGGACGCTTCTCGAGGTGAGGCAGGGTACCCAAGGACCCTTTCCAGTAGCCACAGCGATTTTGGGATTCCTATCAGTATTCAAGAGGAGTCAGGCATCGTCACCTTTTGAAGCAATGAACTCCGCGTGCCTCTCGAGGTGTCAGTGGGATGTGAGGCATTCCGTCAAAATGAGGCAGTGACCTAGGGCTTTCTCTAAGGTCTCCACAGGGGATTCAGACATCCCTTCATGTTGTGAGATGAAAGACGAGCCTGTATTCAAGCCACTGCAAGGAAATGCGGACTCCTTTCAAGTTAGGGATTCTCGCTGTATATTCCCCTTGAGGCAGCAAACTCGGGTCCCTCCCACATACCTATTGCTGAGAGAAGCCTCCTCCTGAGGTGCTTCTGGAAAGTTGGCATAAGTCTTGAGCCTAAGCCAGGGAATCAGCTCTCATCTCGAGACGATTTGGGGTACACGGAGCATTCCTCAAGATGCTGTGCTGAAGTTGGTGTTCCTCTAGACTTGGGACAGTGTTCTCGGGGCATCTCTGGAGTTGCCTGAAGGAAGTCGAGCCACCGGTCTTGTTGAATGGGGAACGGGGAATGGCTCTGGAGTCAATGCAGGGGAATCGGGCCTCATCTCGAGTTGATTTGGGGCACATGGAGCTGCTTTGCGTTTCTGGGGTGACCTCAGGGTCCCTCTAGACTGGTGACAGTGTTCTTAGGGACTGTCTCGAGATCCACTAAGCAAGTCGAAGCTCCTGACTTGTTTGAATGGGATCACGGGATAGCTCTGCATGCACTGCAGGGGAATGGGGCCTCATCTCGCCTCAAGGGGGAAGTCTCATGGTTTTTCTCGAGTTCAGGCGGGGACCTGGGGTATGTTCTCGACTTACGGCGGGGATGGCCCTTCAAAACACGAGTTTCTTCAGTGACCTCAGGACTCCTGTCTTGTAACGAGGGACACCTCAGGAATCTCTTCGAGGCTTGGCAGGGCAAAAGGGACGCTTCTCGAGGTGAGGCAGGGCACCCAAGGACCCTTTCCAGTAGCCACAGGGATTTTGGGAGTCCTATCATTATTCAAGAGGAGTCAGGCATCGTCACCTTTTGAAGCAATTTACTCCGCGTGCCTCTCGAGGTGTCAGCGGGATGTGAGGCATTCCGTCAAAAAGAGGCAGGGACCTAGGGCTTTCTCTAAGGTCTCCACAGGGGAATAAGACATCCCTTCATGTTGTGAGATGAAAGACGAGCCTGTATTCAAGCCACTGCAAGGAAATGCGGACTCCTTTCAAGTTAGGGATTCTCGCTGTATATTCCCCTTGAGGCAGCAAACTCGGGGTCCCTTCCACATACCTATTGCTGAGAGAGCCTCCTCCTGAGGTGCTTCTGGAGAGTTGGCATGCGTCTTGAGCCTAATCCAGGGAATCAGCTCTCATCTCGAGACGATTTGGGGTACACGGAGCCTTCCTCAAGTTGCTGTGCTGAAGTTGGTGTTCCTCTAGACTTGGGACAGTGTTCTCGGGGCATCTCTGGAGTTGCCTGAAGGAAGTCGAGCCACCGGTCGTGTTGAATGGGGAACGGGGAATGGCTCTGGAGTGAATGCAGGGGAATCGGGCCTCATCTCGAGTTGATTTGGGGCACATGGAGCTGCTTTGCGTTGCTGGGGTGACCTCAGGGTCCGTCTAGACTGGTGACAGTGTTCTTGGGGACTGTCTCGAGATCCATTAAGCAAGTCGAAGCTCCTGACTTGTTTGACTGGGATCACGGAATAGCTCTGCATGCACTGCAGGGGAATGGGGCCTCATCTCGCCTCTAGGGGGAAGTCTCATGGTTTTTCTCGAGTTGCGGCGGGGACCTGGGGTATGTTCTCGACTTACGGCGGGGATGGCCTTTCAAAACACGAGTTTCTTCAGTGACGTCAGGACTCCTGTCTAGTAACGAGGGACACCTCAGGAATCTCTAAGAGGCTTGGCAGGGCAAAAGGGACGCTTCTCGAGGTGAGGCAGGGCACCCAAGGACGCTTTCCCCTAGCCACAGGGATTTTGGGATTCCTATCAGTATTCAAGAGGAGTCAGGCATCGTCACCTTTTGAAGCAATGAACTCCGCGTGCCTCTCGAGGTGTCAGCGGGATGTGAGGCATTCCGTCAAAATGAGGCAGGGACCTAGGGCTTTCTCTAAGGTCTCCACAGGGGATTCAGACATCCCTTCATGTTGTGAGATGAAAGACGAGCCTGTATTCAAGCCACTGCAAGGAAATCCGGCCTCCTTTCAAGTTAGGGCTTCTCGCTGTATATTCCCCTTGAGGCACAAACTCGGGGTCCCTCCCACATACTTATTGCTGAGAGAAGCCTCCTCCTGAGGTGCTTCTGGAAAGTTGGCATACGTCTTGAGCGTTGGCCAGGGAATCAGCTCTCATCTCGAGACGATTTGGGTTACACGAAGCATTCGTCGAGTTGCTGTGCTGATGTTGGTGTTCCTCTAGACTTGGGACAGTGTTCTCGGGGCATCTCTGGAGTTGCCTGAAGGAAGTCGAGCCACCGGTCGTGTTGAATGGGGAACGGGGAATGGCTCTGGAGTCAATGCAGGGGAATCGGGCCTCATCTCGAGTTGATTTGGGGCACATGGAGCTGCTTTGCGTTGCTGGGGTGACCTCAGGGTCCGTCTAGACTGGTGACAGTGTTCTTGGGGACTGTCTCGAGATCCATTAAGCAAGTCGAAACTCCTGACTTGTTTGAATGGGATCACAGAATAGCTCTGCATGCACTGCAGGGGAATGGGGCCTCATCTCGCCTCTAGGGGGAAGTCTCATGGTTTTTCTCGAGTTGCGGCGGGGACCTGGTGTATGTTCTCGACTTACGGCGGGGATGGCCCTTCAAAACACGAGTTTCTTCAGTGACGTCAGGACTCCTGTCTAGTAACGACGGACACCTCAGGAATCTCTAAGAGGCTTGGCAGGGCAAAAGGGACGCTTCTCGAGGTGAGGCAGAGCACCCAAGGACGCTTTCCCCTAGCCACAGGGATTTTGGGATTCCTATCAGTATTCAAGAGGAGTCAGGCATCGTCACCTTTTGAAGCAATGAACTCCGCGTGCCTCTCGAGGTGTCAGCGGGATGTGAGGCATTCCGTCAAAATGAGGCAGGGACCTAGGTCTTTCTCTAAGGTCTCCACAGGGGATTCAGACATCCCTTCATGTTGTGAGATGAAAGACGAGCCTGTATTCAAGCCACTGCAAGGAAATCCGGCCTCCTTTCAAGTTAGGGCTTCTCGCTGTATATTCCCCTTGAGGCAGCAAACTCGGGTCCCTCCCACATACCTATTGCTGAGAGAAGCCTCCTCCTGAGGTGCTTCAGGAAAGTTGGCATACGTCTTGAGCCTAAGCCAGGGAATCAGCTCTCATCTCGAGACGATTTGGGGTACACGGAGCATTCCTCGAGTTGCTGTGCTGAAGTTGTTGTTCCTCTAGACTTGGGACAGTGTTCTCGGGGCATCTCTGGACTTGCCTGAAGGAAGTCGAGCCACCGGTCGTGTTGAATGGGGAACGGGGAATGGCTCTGGAGACAATGCATGGGAATCGGGCCTCATCTCGAGTTGATTTGGGGCACATGGAGCTGCTTTGCGTTGCTGGGGTGACCTCAGGGTCCGTCTAGACTGGTGACAGTGTTCTTGGGGACTGTCTCGAGATCCATTAAGCAAGTCGAAGCTCCTGACTTGTTTGAATGGGATCACGGAATAGCTCTGCATGCACTGCAGGGGAATGGGGCCTCATCTCGCCTATAGGGGGAAGTCTCATGGTTTTTCTCGAGTTGCGGCGGGGACCTGGGGTATGTTCTTGACTTACGGCGGGGATGGCCCTTCAAAACACGAGTTTCTTCAGTGACGTCAGGACTCTTGTCTTGTAACGAGGGACAACTCAGGAATCTCTAATAGGCTTGGCAGGGCAAAAGGGACGCTTCTCGAGGTGAGGCAGGGCACCCAAGGACCCTTTCCAGAAGCCACAGGGATTTTGGGATTCCTATCAGTATTCAAGAGGAGTCAGGCATCGTCACCTTTTGAAGCAATGAACTCCGTGTGCCTCTCGAGGTGTCAACGGGACGTGAGGCATTCCGTCAAAATGAGGCAGGGACCTAAGGCTTTCTCTAAGGTCTCCACAGGGGATTCAGTCATCCCTTCATGTTGTGAGATGAAAGACCAGCCTGTATTCAAGCCACTGCAAGGAAATCCGGCCTCCTTTCAAGTTAAGGTTTCTCGCTGTATATTCCCCTTGAGGCACAAACTCGGGGTCCCTCCCACATACTTATTGCTGAGAGAAGCCTCCTCCTGAGGTGCTTCTGGAAAGTTGGCATACATCTTGAGCCTTGGCCAGGGAATCAGCTCTCATCTCGAGACAATTTGGGTTACACGAAGCATTCGTCGAGTTGCTGTGCTGAAGTTGGTGTTCCTCTAGACTTGGGACAGTGTTCTCGGGGCATCTCTGGAGTTGCCTGAAGGAAGTCGAGCCACCGGTTGTGTTGAATGGGGAACGGGGAATGGCTCTGGAGTCAATGCATGGGAATCGGGCCTCATCTCGAGTTGATTTGGGGCACATGGAGCTGCTTTGCGTTGCTGGGGTGACCTCAGGGTCCGTCTAGACTGGTGACAGTGTTCTTGGGGACTGTCTCGAGATCCATTAAGCAAGTCGAAACTCCTGACTTGTTTGAATGGGATCACGGAATAGCTCTGCATGCACTGCAGGAGAATGGGGCCTCATCTCGCCTCTAGGGGGAAGTCTCATGGTTTTTCTCGAGGTGCGTTGGGGACCTGGGGTATGTTCTCGACTTAGGGCGGGGATGGCCCTTCAAAACACGAGTTTCTTCAGTGACGTCAGGACTCCTGTCTAGTAACGAGGGACACTTCAGGAATCTCTACGAGGCTTGGCAGGGCAAAAGGGACGCTTCTCGAGGTGAGGCAGGGTACCCAAGGAGCCTTTCCAGTAGCCACAGCGATTTTGGGATTCCTATCAGTATTCAAGAGGAGTCAGGCATGGTCACCTTTTGAAGCAATGAACTCCGCGTGCCTCTCGAGGTGTCAGCGGGATGTGAGGCATTCCGTCAAAATGAGGCAGGGACCTAGGTCTTTCTCTAAGGTCTCCACAGGGGATTCAGACATCCCTTCATGTTGTGAGATGAAAGACGAGCCTGTATTCAAGCCACTGCAAGGAAATCCGGCCTCCTTTCAAGTTAGGGCTTCTCGCTGTATATTCCCCTTGAGGCAGCAAACTCGGGTCCCTCCCACATACCTATTGCTGAGAGAAGCCTCCTCCTGAGGTGCTTCTGGAAAGTTGGCATAAGTCTTGAGCCTAAGCCAGGGAATCAGCTCTCATCTCCAGACGATTTGGGGTACACGGAGCATTCGTCAAGTTGCTGTGCTGAAGTTGGTGTTCCTCTAGACTTGGGACAGTGTTCTCGGGGCATCTCTGGAGTTGCCTGAAGGAAGTCGAGCCACCGGTCGTGTTGAATGGGGAACGGGGAATGGCTCTGGAGTCAATGCAGGGGAATCGGGCCTCATCTCGAGTTGATTTGGGGCACATGGAGCTGCTTTGCGTTGCTGGGGTGACCTCAGGGTCCGTCTAGACTGGTGACATTGTTCTTGGGGACTGTCTCGAGATCCACTAAGCAAGTCGAAGCTCCTGACTTGTTTGAATGGGATCACGGGATAGCTCTGCATGCACTGCAGGGGAATGGGGCCTCATCTCGCCTCAAGGGGGAAGTCTCATGGTTTTTCTCGTGTTGCGGCGGGGACCTGTGGTATGTTCTCGACTTACGGCGGGGATGGCCCTTCAAAACACGAGTTTCTTCAGTGACCTCAGGACTCCTGTCTAGTAACGAGGGACACCTCAGGAATCTCTTCGAGGCTTGGCAGGGCAAAAGGGACGCTTCTCGAGGTGAGGCAGGGCACCCAAGGACCCTTTCCAGTAGCCACAGGGATTTTGGGATTCCTATCAGTATTCAAGAGGAGTCAGGCATCGTCACCTTTTGAAGCAATTTACTCCGCGTGTCTCTCGAGGTGTCAGCGGGATGTGAGGCATTCCGTCAAAATGAGGCAGGGACCTAGGGCTTTCTCTAAGGTCTCCACAGGGGATTCAGACATCCCTTCATGTTGTGAGATGAAAGACGAGCCTGTATTCAAGCCACTGCAAGGAAATCCGGCCTCCTTTCAAGTTAGGGCTTCTCGCTGTATATTCCCCTTGAGGCAGCAAACTCGGGGTCCCTTCCACATACCTATTGCTGAGAGAAGCCTCCTCCTGAGGTGCTTCTGGAAAGTTGGCATACGTCTTGAGCCTAAGCCAGGGAATCAGCTCTCATCTCGAGACGATTTGGGGTACACGGAGCATTCCTCGAGTTGCTGTGCTGAAGTTGTTGTTCCTCTAGACTTGGGACAGTGTTCTCGGGGCATCTCTGGAGTTGCCTGAAGGAAGTCGAGCCACCGGTCGTGTTGAATGGGGAACGGGGAATGGCTCTGGAGCCAATGCATGGGAATCGGGCCTCATCTGGAGTTGATTTGGGGCACATGGAGCTGCTTTGCGTTGCTGGGGTGACCTCAGGGTCCGTCTAGACTGGTGACAGTGTTCTTGGGGACTGTCTCGAGATCATTTAAGCAAGTCGAAGCTCCTGACTTGTTTGAATGGGATCACGGGATAGCTCGGCATGCACTGCAGGGGAATGTGGCCTCATCTCGCCTCAAGGGGGAAGTCTCTTGGTTTTTCTCGAGTTCAGGCGGGGACCTGGGGTATGTTCTCGACTTACGGCGGGGATGGCCCTTCAAAACACGAGTTTCTTCAGTGACGTCAGGACTCCTGTCTAGTAACGAGGGACACCTCAGGAATCTCTTCGAGGCTTGGCAGGGCAAAAGGGACGCTTCTCGAGGTGAGGCAGGGCACCCAAGGACCCTTTCCCGTAGCCACAGGGATTTTGGGATTCCTATCAGTATTCAAGAGGAGTCAGGCATCGTCACCTTTTGAAGCAATGAACTCCGCGTGCCTCTCAAGGTGTCAGCGGGATGTGAGGCATTCCGTCAAAATGAGGCAGGGACCTAGGGCTTTCTCTAAGGTCTCCACAGGGGATTCAGACATCCCTTCATGTTGTGAGATGAAAGACGAGCCTGTATTCAAGCCACTGCAAGGAAATGCGGCCTCCTTTCAAGTTAGGGCTTCTCGCTGTATATTCCCATTGAGGTAGCAAACTCGGGGTCCCTTCCACATACCTATTGCTGAGAGAAGCCTCCTCCTGAGGTGCTTCTGGAAAGTTGGCATACGTCTTGAGCATAATCCAGGGAATCAGCTCTCATCTCGAGACAATTTGGGGTACACGGAGCATTCCTCGAGTTGCTGTGCTGAAGTTGGTGTTCCTCTAGACTTGGGACAGTGTTCTCGGGGCATCTCTGGCGTTGCCTGAAGGAAGTCGAGCCACCGGTCGTGTTGAATGGGGAACGGGGAATGGCTCTGGGGTCAATGCAGGGGAATCGGGCCTCATCTCGAGTTGATTTGGGGCACATGGAGCTGCTTTGCGTTGCTGGGGTGACCTCAGGGTCCGTCTAGAGGGGTGACAGTGTTCTTGGGGACTGTCTCGAGATCCATTAAGCAAGTCGAAGCTCCTGACTTGTTTGAATGGGATCATGGGATAGCTCTGCATGCACTGCAAGGGAATGGGGCCTCATCTCGCCTCTAGGGGGAAGTCTCATGGTTTTTCTCGAGTTGCGGCGGGGACCTGGGGTATGTTCTCGACTTACGGCGGGGATGGCCCTTCAAAACACGAGTTTCTTCAGTGACGTCAGGACTCCTGTCTAGTAATGAGGGACACCTCAGGAATCTCTTCGAGGCTTGGCAGGGCAAAAGGGACGCTTCTCGAGGTGAGGCAGGGCACCCAAGGACCCTTTCCAGTAGCCACAGGGATTTTGGGATTCCTATCAGTATTCAAGAGGAGTCAGGCATCGTCACCTTTTGAAGCAATGAACTCCGCGTGCCTCTCGAGGTGTCAGCGGGATGTGAGGCATTCCGTCAAAATGAGGCAGGGACCTAGGGCTTTCTCTAAGGTCTCCACAGGGGATTCAGACATCCCTTCATGTTGTGAGATGAAAGACGAACCTGTATTCAAGCCACTGCAAGGAAATGCGGCCTCCTTTCAAGTTAGGGCTTCTCGCTGTATATTCCCCTTGAGGCAACAAACTCGGGGTCCCTTCCACATACCTATTGCTGAGAGAAGCCTCCTCCTCAGGTGCTTCTGGAAAGTTGGCATACGTCTTGAGCCTAATCCAGGGAATCAGCTCTCATCTCGAGACGATTTGGGTTACACGGAGCATTCCTCGAGTTGCTGTGCTGAAGTTGGTGTTCCTCTAGACTTGGGACAGTGTTCTCGGGGCATCTCTGGAGTTGCCTGAAGGAAGTCGAGCCACCGGTCGTGTTGAATGGGGAACGGGGAATGTCTCTGGAGTCAATGCAGGGGAATCGGGCCTCATCTCGAGTTGATTTGGGGCACATGGAGCTGCTTTGCGTTGCTGGGGTGACCTCAGGGTCCGTCTAGACTGGTGACAGTGTTCTTGGGGACTGTCTCGAGATCCATTAAGCAAGTCGAAGCTCCTGACTTGTTTGAATGGGATCACGGAATAGCTCTGCATGCACTGCAGGGGAATGGGGCCTCATCTCGCCTCTAGGGGGAAGTCTCATGGTTTTTCTCGAGTTGCGGCGGGGACCTGGGGTATGTTCTCGACTTACGGCGGGGATGGCCCTTCAAAACACGAGTTTATTCAGTGACGTCAGGACTCCTGTCTTGTAACGAGGGACACCTCAGGAATCTCTACGAGGCTTGGCAGGGCAAAAGGGACGCTTCTCGAGGTGAGGCAGGGTACCCAAGGACCCTTTCAAGTAGCCACAGCGATTTTGGGATTCCTATCAGTATTCAAGAGGAGTCAGGCATCGTCACCTTTTGAAGGAATGAACTCCGCGTGCCTCTCGAGGTGTCAGTGGGATGTGAGGCATTCCGTCAAAATGAGGCAGGGACCTAGGGCTTTCTCTAAGGTCTCCACAGGGGATTCAGACATCCCTTCATGTTGTGAGATGAAAGACGAGCCTGTATTCAAGCCACTGCAAGGAAATGCGGACTCCTTTCAAGTTAGGGATTCTCGCTGTATATTCCCCTTGAGGCAGCAAACTCGGGGTCCCTTCCACATACCTATTGCTGAGAGAAGCCTCCTCCTGAGGTGCTTCTGGAAAGTTGGCATACGTCTTGAGCCTAATCCAGGGAATCAGCTCTCATCTCGAGACGATTTGGGGTACACGGAGCATTCCTCGAGTTGCTGTGCTGAAGTTGGTGTTCCTCTAGACTTGGGACAGTGTTCTCGGGGCATCTCTGGAGTTGCCTGAAGGAAGTCGAGCCACCGGTCGTGTTGAATGGGGAACGGGGAATGGCTCTGGAGTCAATGCAGGGGAATCGGGCCTCATCTCGAGTTGATTTGGGGCACATGGAGCTGCTTTGCGTTGCTGGGGTGACCTCAGGGTCCGTCTAGACTGGTGACAGTGTTCTTGGGGACTGTCTCGAGATCCATTAAGCAAGTCGAAGCTCCTGACTTGTTTGAATGGGATCACGGAATAGCTCTGCATGCACTGCAGGGGAATGGGGCCTCATCTCGCCTCTAGGGGGAAGTCTCATGGTTTTTCTCGAGTTGAGGCGGGGACCTGGGGTATGTTCTCGACTTACGGCGGGGATGGCCCTTCAAAACACGAGTTTCTTCAGTGACGTCAGGACTCCTGTCTAGTAAAGAAGGACACCTCAGGAATCTCTAAGAGGCTTGGCAGGGCAAAAGGGACGCTTCTCGAGGTGAGGCAGGGCTCCCAAGGACGCTTTCCCCTAGCCACAGCAATTTTGGGATTCCTATCAGTATTCAAGAGGAGTCAGGCATCGTCACCTTTTGAAGCAATGAACTCCGCGTGCCTCTCGAGGTGTCAGCGGGATGTGAGGCATTCCGTCAAAATGAGGCAGGGACCTAGGGCTTTCTCTAATGTCTCCACAGGGGATTCAGACATCCCTTCATGTTGTGAGATGAAAGACGAGCCTGTATTCAAGCCACTGCAAGGAAATCCGGCCTCCTTTCAAGTTAGGGCTTCTCGCTGTATATTCCCCTTGAGGCACAAACTCAGGGTCCCTCCCACATTCTTATTGCTGAGAGAAGCCTCCTCCTGAGGTGCTTCTGGAAAGTTGGCATACGTCTTGAGCGTTGGCCAGGGAATCAGCTCTCATCTCGAGACGATTTGGGGTACAGAGAGCATTCCTCGAGTTGCTCTGCTGAAGATGGTGTTCCTCTAGACTTGGGACAGTGTTCTCGGGGCATCTCTGGAGTTACCTGAAGGAAGTCGAGCCACCGGTTGTGTTGAATGGGGAACGGGGAATGTCTCTGGAGTCAATGCAGGGGAATGGGGCCTCATCTCGCCTCTAGGGGGAAGTCACATGGTTTTTCTCGAGTTGCGGCGGGGACCTGGGGTATGTTCTCGACTTACGGCGGGGATGGCCGTTCAAAACACGAGTTTCTTCAGTGACGTCAGGACTCCTGTCTAGTAACGAGGGACACCTCAGGAATCTCTAAGAGGCTTGGCAGGGCAAAAGGGACGCTTCTCGAGGTGAGGCAGGGCACCCAAGGACGCTTTCCCCTAGCCACAGGGATTTTGGGATTCCTATCAGTATTCAAGAGGAGTCAGGCATCGTCACCTTTTGAAGCAATGAACTCCGCGTGCCTCTCGAGGTGTCAGCGGGATGTGAGGCATTCCGTCAAAATGAGGCAGGGACCTAGGGCTTTCTCTAAGGTCTCCACAGGGGATTCAGACATCCCTTCATGTTGTGAGATGAAAGACAAGCCTGTATTCAAGCCACTGCAAGGAAATGCGGCCTCCTTTCAAGTTAGGGCTTCTCGCTGTATATTCCCCTTGAGGCAGCAAACTCGGGGTCCCTTCCACATACCTATTGCTGAGAGAAGCCTCCTCCTGAGGTGCTTCTGGAAAGTTGGCATACGTCTTGAGCCTAAGCCAGGGAATCAGCTCTCATCTCGAGACAATTTGGGGTACACGGAGCATTAGTCGAGTTGCTGTGCTGAAGTTGGTGTTCCTCTAGACTTGGGACAGTGTTCTCGGGGCATCTCTGGAGTTGCCTGAAGGAAGTCGAGCCACCGGTCGTGTTGAATGGGGAACGGGGAATGTCTCTGGAGTCAATGCACGGGAATCGGGCCTCATCTCGAGTTGATTTGGGGCACATGGAGCTGCTTTGCGTTGCTGGGGTGACCTCAGGGTCCGTCTAGACTGGTGACAGTGTTCTTGGGGACTGTCTCGAGATCCATTAAGCAAGTCGAAGCTCCTGACTTGTTTGAATGGGATCACGGAATAGCTCTGCATGCACTGCAGGGGAATGGGGCCTCATCTCGCCTCTAGGGGGAAGTCTCATGGTTTTTCTCGAGTTGCGGCGGGGACCTGGGGTATGTTCTCGACTTACGGCGGGGATGGCCCTTCAAAACACGAGTTTCTTCAGTGACGTCAGGACTCCTGTCTAGTAACGAGGGACACCTCAGGAATCTCTACGAGGCTTGGCAGGGCAAAACGGACGCTTCTCGAGGTGAGGCAGGGTACCCAAGGACCCTTTCCAGTAGCCACAGGGATTTTGGGATTCCTATCAGTATTCAAGAGGAGTCAGGCATCGTCACCTTTTGAAGCAATGAACTCCGCGTGCCTCTCGAGGTGTCAGTGGGATGTGAGGCATTCCGTCAAAATGAGGCAGGGACCTAGGGCTTTCTCTAAGGTCTCCACAGGGGATTCAGACATCCCTTCATGTTGTGAGATGAAAGACGGGCCTGTATTCAAGCCACTGCAAGGAAATGCGGACTCCTTTCAAGTTAGGGATTCTCGCTGTATATTCCCCTTGAGGCAGCAAACTCGGGGTCCCTTCCACATACCTATTGCTGAGAGAAGCCTCCTCCTGAGGTGCTTCTGGAAAGTTGGCATACGTCTTGAGCCTAATCCAGGGTATCAGCTCTTATCTCGAGACAATTTGGGGTACACGGAGCATTCCTCGAGTTGCTGTGCTGAAGTTGGTGTTCCTCTAGACTTGGGACAGTGTTCTCGGGGCATCTCTGGAGTTGCCTGAAGGAAGTCGAGCCACCAATCTTGTTGAATGGGGAGCGGGGAATGGCTCTGGAGTGAATGCAGGGGAATCGGGCCTCATCTCGAGTTGATTTGGGGCACATGGAGCTGCTTTGCGTTGCTGGGGTGACCTCAGGGTCCGTCTAGACTGGTGACAGTGTTCTTGGGGACTGTCTCGAGATCCATTAAGCAAGTCGAAGCTCCTGACTTGTTTGAATGGGATCATGGAATAGCTCTGCATGCACTGCAGGGGAATGGGGCTTCATCTCGCCTCTAGGGGGAAGTCTCATGGTTTTTCTCGAGTTGCGGCGGGGACCTGGGGTATGTTCTCGACTTACGGCGGGGATGGCCCTTCAAAACACGAGTTTCTTCAGTGACGTCAGGACTCCTGTCTAGTAACGAGGGACACCTCAGGAATCTCTAAGAGGCTTGGCAGTTCAAAAGGGACGCTTCTCGAGGTGAGGCAGGGCACCCAAGGACGCTTTCCCCTAGCCACAGGGATTTTGGGATTCCTATCAGTATTCAAGAGGAGTCAGGCATCGTCACCTTTTGAAGCAATGAACTCCGCGTGCCTCTCGAGGTGTCAGCGGGATGTGAGGCATTCCGTCAAAATGAGGCAGGGACCTAGGGCTTTCTCTAAGGTCTCCACAGGGGATTCAGACATCCCTTCATGTTGTGAGATGAAAGAAGAGCCTGTATTCAAGCCACTGCAAGGAAATCCGGCCTCCTTTCAAGTTAGGGCTTCTCGCTGTATATTCCCCTTGAGGCACAAACTCGGGGTCACTCCCACATACTTATTGCTGAGAGAAGCCTCCTCCTGAGGTGCTTCTGGAAAGTTGGCATACGTCTTGAGCCTAAGCCAGGGAATCAGCTCTCATCTCGAGATGATTTGGGTTACACGGAGCATTCCTCGAGTTGCTGTGCTGAAGTTGGTGTTCCTCTAGACTTGGGACAGTGTTCTCGGGGCATCTCTGGAGTTGCCTGAAGGAAGTCGAGCCACCGGTCGTGTTGAATGGGGAACGGGGAATGGCTCTGGAGTCAATGCAGGGGAATCGGGCCTCATCTCGAGTTGATTTGGGGCACATGGAGCTTCTTTGCGTTGCTGGGGTGACCTCAGGGTCCGTCTAGACTGGTGACAGTGTTCTTGGGGACTGTCTCGAGATCCATTAAGCAAGTCGAAGCTCCTGACTTGTTTGAATGGGATCACGGAATAGCTCTGCATGCACTGCAGGGGAATGGGGCCTCATCTCGCCTCTAGGGGGAAGTCTCATGGTTTTTCTCGAGTTGCGACGGAGACCTGGGGTATGTTCTCGACTTACGGCGGGGATGGCCCTTCAAAACACGAGTTTCTTCAGTGACGTCAGGACTCCTGTCTTGTAACGAGGGACACCTCAGGAATCTCTACGATGCTTGGCAGGGCAAAAGGGACGCTTCTCGAGGTGAGGCAGGGTACTCAAGGACCCTTTCCAGTAGCCACAGCGATTTTGGGATTCCTATCAGTATTCAAGAGGAGTCAGGCATCGTCACCTTTTGAAGCAATGAACTCCGCGTGCCTCTCGAGGTGTCAGTGGGATGTGAGGCATTCCGTCAAAATGAGGCAGGGACCTAGGGCTTTCTCTAAGGTCTCCACAGGGGATTCAGACATCCCTTCATGTTGTGAGATGAAAGACGAGCCTGTATTCAAGCCACTGCAAGGAAATGCGGACTCCTTTCAAGTTAGGGATTCTTGCTGTATATTCCCCTTGAGGCAGCAAACTCGGGGTCCCTTCCACATACCTATTGCTGACAGAAGCCTCCTCCTGAGGTGCTTCTGGAAAGTTGGCATACGTCTTGAGCCTAAGCCAGGGAATCAGCTCTCATCTCGAGACAATTTGGGGTACACGGAGCATTCCTCGAGTTGCTGTGCTGAAGTTGGTGTTCCTCTAGACTTGGGACAGTGTTCTCGGGGCATCTCTGGAGTTGCCTGAAGGAAGTCGAGCCACCGGTCGTGTTGAATGGGGATCGGGGAATGGCTCTGGAGTCAATGCAGGGGAATCGGGCCTCATCTCGAGTTGATTTGGGGCACATGGAGCTGCTTTGCGTTGCTGGGGTGACTTCAGGGTCCGTCTAGACTGGTGACAGTGTTCTTGGGGACTGTCTCGAGATCCATTAAGCAAGTCCAAACTCCTGACTTGTTTGAATGGGATCACAGAATAGCTCTGCATGCACTGCAGGGGAATGGGGCCTCATCTCGCCTCTAGGGGGAAGTCTCATGGTTTTTCTCGAGTTGCGGCGGGGACCTGGGGTATGTTCTCGACTTACGGCGGGGATGGCCCTTCAAAACACGACTTTCTTCAGTGACGTCAGGACTCCTGTCTAGTAACGACGGACACCTCAGGAATCTCTAAGAGGCTTGGCAGGGCAAAAGGGACGCTTCTCGAGGTGAGGCAGGGCACCCAAGGACGCTTTCCCCTAGCCACAGGGATTTTGGGATTCCTATCAGTATTCAAGAGGAGTCAGGCATCGTCACCTTTTGAAGCAATGAACTCCGCGTGCTTCTCGAGGTGTCAGCGGGAAGTGAGGCATTCCGTCAAAATGAGGCAGGGACCTAGGGCTTTCTCTAAGGTCTCCACAGGGGATTCAGACATCCCTTCATGTTGTGAGATGAAAGACGAGCCTGTATTCAAGCCACTGCAAGGAAATGCGGCCTCCTTTCAAGTTAGGGCTTCTCGCTGTATATTCCCATTGAGGTAGCAAACTCGGGGTCCCTTCCACATACCTATTGCTGAGAGAAGCCTCCTCCTGAGGTGCTTCTGGAAAGTTGGCATACGTCTTGAGCCTAATCCAGGGAATCAGCTCTCATCTCGAGACAATTTGGGGTACACGGAGCATTCCTCGAGTTGCTGTGCTGAAGTTGGTGTTCCTCTAGACTTGGGACAGTGTTCTCGGGGCATCTCTGGAGTTGCCTGAAGGAAGTCGAGCCACCGGTCGTGCTGAATGGGGAACGGGGAATGGCTCTGGGGTCAATGCAGGGGAATCGGGCCTCATCTCGAGTTGATTTGGGGCACATGGAGCTGCTTTGCGTTGCTGGGGTGACCTCAGGGTCCGTCTAGACTGGTGACAGTGTTCTTGGGGACTGTCTCGAGATCCATTAAGCAAGTCGAAGCTCCTGACTTGTTTGAATGGGATCATGGGATAGCTCTGCATGCACTGCAAGGGAATGGGGCCTCATCTCGCCTCTAGGGGGAAGTCTCATGGTTTTTCTCGAGTTGAGGCGGGGACCTGGGGTATGTTCTCGACTTACGGCGGGGATGGCCCTTCAAAACACGAGCTTCTTCAGTGACGTCAGGACTCCTGTCTAGTAACGACGGACACCTCAGGAATCTCTAAGAGGCTTGGCAGGGCAAAAGGGAGGCTTCTCGAGGTGAGGCAGGGCTCCCAAGGACGCTTTCCCCTAGCCACAGCGATTTTGGGATTCCTATCAGTATTCAAGAGGAGTCAGGCATCGTCACCTTTTGAAGCAATGAACTCCGCGTGCCTCTCGAGGTGTCAGCGGGATGTGAGGCATTCCGTCAAAATGAGGCAGGGACCTAGGGCTTTCTCTAATGTCTCCACAGGGGATTCAGACATCCCTTCATGTTTTGAGATGAAAGACGAGCCTGTATTCAAGCCACTGCAAGGAAATCCGGCCTCCTTTCAAGTTAGGGCTTCTCGCTGTATATTCCCCTTGAGGCACAAACTCAGGGTCCCTCCCACATTCTTATTGCTGAGAGAAGCCTCCTCCTGAGGTGCTTCTGGAAAGTTGGCGTACGTCTTGAGCGTTGGCCAGGGAATCAGCTCTCATCTCGAGACGATTTGGGGTACAGAGAGCATTCCTCGAGTTGCTCGGCTGAAGTTGGTGTTCCTCTAGACTTGGGACAGTGTTCTCGGGGCATCTCTGGAGTTACCTGAAGGAAGTCGAGCCACCGGTTGTGTTGAATGGGGAACGGGGAATGTCTCTGGAGTCAATGCAGGGGAATCGGGCCTCATCTCGAGTTGATTTGGGGCACATGGAGCTGCTTTGTGTTGCTGGGGTGACGTCAGGGTCCGTCTAGACTGGTGACAGTGTTCTTGGGGACTGTGTCGAGATCCATTAAGCAAGTCGAAGCTCCTGACTTGTTTGAATGGGATCACGGAATAGCTCTGCATGCACTGCAGGGGAATGGGGCCTCATCTCGCCTCTAGGGGGAAGTCTCATGGTTTTTCTCGATTTGCGGCGGGGACCTGGGGTATGTTCTCGACTTACGGCGGGGATGGCCCTTCAAAACACGAGTTTCTTCAGTGACGTCAGGACTCCTGTCTTGTAACGAGGGACACCTCAGGAATCTCTACGAGGCTTGGCAGGGCAAAAGCGACGCTTCTCGAGGTGAGGCAGGGTACCCAAGGACCCTTTCCCGTAGCCACAGCGATTTTGGGATTCCTATCAGTATTCAAGAGGAGTCAGGCATCGTCACCTTTTGAAGCAATGAACTCCGCGTGCCTTTCGAGGTGTCAGTGGGATGTGAGGCATTCCGTCAAAATGAGGCAGGGACCTAGGGCTTTCTCTAAGGTCTCCACAGGGGATTCAGACATCCCTTCATGTTGTGAGATGAAAGACGAGCCTGTATTCAAGCCACTGCAAGGAAATGCGGCCTCCTTTCAAGTTAGGGCTTCTCGCTGTATATTCCCCTTGAGGCAACAAACTCGGGGTCCCTTCCACATACCTATTGCTGAGAGAAGCCTCCTCCTCAGGTGCTTCTGGAAAGTTGGCATACGTCTTGAGCCTAATCCAGGGAATCAGCTCTCATCTCGAGACAATTTGGGGTACATGGAGCATTCCTCGAGTTTCTGTGCTGAAGTTGTTGTTCCTCTAGCCTTGGGACAGTGTTCTCGGGGCATCTCTGGAGTTGCCTGAAGGAAGTCGAGCCACCGGTCGTGTTGAATGGGGAACGGGGAATGGCTCTGGAGTCAATGCATGGGAATCGGGCCTCATCTCGAGTTGATTTGGGGCACATGGAGCTGCTTTGCGTTGCTGGGGTGACTTCAGGGTCCGTCTAGACTGGTGACAGTGTTCTTGGGGACTGTCTCGAGATCCATTAAGCAAGTCGAAACTCCTGACTTGTTTGAATGGGATCACGGGATAGCTCTGCATGCACTGCAGGGGAATGTGGCCTCATCTCGCCTCAAGGGGGAAGTCTCATGGTTTTTCTCGTGTTGAGGCGGGGACCTGGGCTATGTTCTCGACTTACGGCGGGGATGGCCCTTCAAAACACGAGTTTCTTCAGTGACGTCAGGACTCCTGTCTAGTAACGAGGGACACCTCAGGAATCTCTTCGAGGCTTGGCAGGGCAAAAGGGACGCTTCTCGAGGTGAGGCAGGGCACCCAAGGACCCTTTCCCGTAGCCACAGGGATTTTGGGATTCCTATCAGTATTCAAGAGGAGTCAGGCATCGTCACCTTTTGAAGCAATGAACTCCGCGTGCCTCTCGAGGTGCCAGTGGGATGTGAGGCATTCCGTCAAAATGAGGCAGGGACCTAGGGCTTTCTCTAAGGTCTCCACAGGGGATTCAGACATCCCTTCATGTTGTGAGATGAAAGACGAGCCTGTATTCAAGCCACTGCAAGGAAATCCGGCCTCCTTTCAAGTTAGGGCTTCTCGCTGTATATTCCCCTTGAGGCAGCAAACTCGGGTCCCTCCCACATACCTATTGCTGAGAGAAGCCTCCTCCTGAGGTGCTTCTGGAAAGTTGGCATACGTCTTGAGCCTAATCCAGGGAATCAGCTCTCATCTCGAGACGATTTGGGGTACACGGAGCATTCCTCAAGTTGCTGTGCTGAAGTTGGTGTTCCTCTAGACTTGGGACAGTGTTCTCGGGGCATCTCTGGAGTTGCCTGAAGGAAGTCGAGCCACCGGTCTTGTTGAATGGGGAACGGGGAATGGCTCTGGAGTCAATGCAGGGGAATCGGGCCTCATCTCGAGTTGATTTGGGGCACATGGAGCTGCTTTGCGTTGCTGGGGTGACCTCACGGTCCGTCTAGACTGGTGACAGTGTTCTTGGGGACTGTCTCGAGATCCACTAAGCAAGTCGAAGCTCCTGACTTGTTTGAATGGGATCACGGAATAGCTCTGCATGCACTGCAGGGGAATGGGGCCTCATCTCGCCTCAAGGGGGAAGTCTCATGGTTTTTCTCGAGTTGCGGCGGGGACCTGGGGTATGTTCTCGACTTAAGGCGGGGATGGCCCTTCAAAACACGAGTTTCTTCAGTGACCTCAGGACTCCTGTCTTGTAACGAGGGACACCTCAGGAATCTCTTCGAGGCTTGGCAGGGCAAAAGGGACGCTTCTCGAGGTGAGGCAGGGCACCCAAGGACCCTTTCCAGTAGCCACAGGGATTTTGGGAGTCCTATCATTATTCAAGAGGAGTCAGGCATCGTCACCTTTTGAAGCAATTTACTCCGCGTGCCTCTCGAGGTGTCAGCGGGATGTGAGGCATTCCGTCAAAATGAGGCAGGGACCTAGGGCCTTCTCTAAGGTCTCCACAGGGGATTCAGACATCCCTTCATGTTGTGAGATGAAAGACGAGCCTGTATTCAAGCCACTGCAAGGAAATCCGGCCTCCTTTCAAGTTAGGGCTTCTTGCTGTATATTCCCCTTGAGGCAGCAAACTCGGGGTCCCTTCCACATACCTATTGCTGAGAGAAGCCTCCTCCTGAGGTGCTTCTGGAAAGTTGGCATATGTCTTGAGCCTAAGCCAAGGAATCAGCTCTCATCTCGAGACGATTGGGGGTACACGGAGCATTCCTCGAGTTGCTGTGCTGAAGTTGTTGTTCCTCTAGCCTTTGGACAGTTTTCTCGGGGCATCTCTGGAGTTGCCTGAAGGAAGTCGAGCCACCGGTCGTGTTGAATGGGGAACGGGGAATGGCTCTGGAGTGAATGCAGGGGAATCGGGCCTCATCTCGAGTTGATTTGGGGCACATGGAGCTGCTTTGCGTTGCTGGGGTGACCTCAGGGTCCGTCTAGACTGCTGACAGTGTTCTTCGGGACTGTCTCGAGATCCATTAAGGAAGTCGAAGCTCCTGACTTGTTTGAATGGGATCACGGAATAGCTCTGCATGCACTGCAGGGGAATGGGGCCTCATCTCGCCTCTAGGGGGAAGTCACATGGTTTTTCTCGAGTTGCGGCGGGGACCTGGGGTATGTTCTCGACTTACGGCGGGGATGGCCGTTCAAAACACGAGTTTCTTCAGTGACGTCAGGACTCCTGTCTAGTAACGAGGGACACCTCAGGAATCTCTAAGAGGCTTGGCAGGGCAAAAGGGACGCTTCTCGAGGTGAGGCAGGGCACCCAAGGACGCTTTCCCCTAGCCACAGGGATTTTGGGATTCCTATCAGTATTCAAGAGGAGTCAGGCATCGTCACCTTTTGAAGCAATGAACTCCGCGTGCCTCTCGAGGTGTCAGCGGGATGTGAGGCATTCCGTCAAAATGAGGCAGGGACCTAGGGCTTTCTCTAAGGTCTCCACAGGGGATTCAGACATCCCTTCATGTTGTGAGATGAAAGACAAGCCTGTATTCAAGCCACTGCAAGGAAATGCGGCCTCCGTTCAAGTTAGGGCTTCTCGCTGTATATTCCCCTTGAGGCAGCAAACTCGGGGTCCCTTCCACATACCTATTGCTGAGAGAAGCCTCCTCCTGAGGTGCTTCTGGAAAGTTGGCATACGTCTTGAGCCTAATCCAGGGAATCAGCTCTCATCTCGAGACAATTTGTGGTACACGGAGCATTAGTCGAGTTGCTGTGCTGAAGTTGGTGTTCCTCTAGACTTGGGACAGTGTTCTCGGGGCATCTCTGGAGTTGCCTGAAGGAAGTCGAGCCACCGGTCGTGTTGAATGGGGAACGGGGAATGTCTCTGGAGTCAATGCAGGGGAATCGGGCCTCATCTCGAGTTGATTTGGGGCACATGGAGCTGCTTTGCGTTGCTGGGGTGACCTCAGGGTCCGTCTAGACTGGTGACAGTGTTCTTGGGGACTGTCTCGAGATCCATTAAGCAAGTCGAAGCTCCTGACTTGTTTGAATGGGATCACGGAATAGCTCTGCATGCACTGCAGGGGAATGGGGCCTCATCTCGCCTCTAGGGGGAAGTCTCATGGTTTTTCTCGAGTTGCGGCGGGGACCTGGGGTATGTTCTCGACTTACGGCGGGGATGGCCCTTCAAAACACGAGTTTCTTCAGTGACGTCAGGACTCCTGTCTAGTAACGAGGGACACCTCAGGAATCTCTACGAGGCTTGGCAGGGCAAAACGGACGCTTCTCGAGGTGAGGCAGGGTACCCAAGGACCCTTTCCAGTAGCCACAGTGATTTTATGATTCCTATCAGTATTCAAGAGGAGTCAGGCATCGTCACCTTTTGAAGCAATGAACTCCGCGTGCCTCTCGAGGTGTCAGTGGGATGTGAGGCATTCCGTCAAAATGAGGCAGGGACCTAGGGCTTTCTCTAAGGTCTCCACAGGGGATTCAGACATCCCTTCATGTTGTGAGATGAAAGACGGGCCTGTATTCAAGCCACTGCAAGGAAATGTGGACTCCTTTCAAGTTAGGGATTCTCGCTGTATATTCCCCTTGAGGCAGCAAACTCGGGGTCCCTTCCACATACCTATTGCTGAGAGAAGCCTCCTCCTGAGGTGCTTCTGGAAAGTTGGCATACGTCTTGAGCCTAATCCAGGGAATCAGCTCTCATCTCGAGACAATTTGGGGTACACGGAGCATTCCTCGAGTTGCTGTGCTGAAGTTGGTGTTCCTCTAGACTTGGGACAGTGTTCTCGGGGCATCTCTGGAGTTGCCTGAAGGAAGTCGAGCCACCGGTCGTGTTGAATGGGGAGCGGGGAATGGCTCTGGAGTGAATGCAGGGGAATCGGGCCTCATCTCGAGTTGATTTGGGGCACATGGAGCTGCTTTGCGTTGCTGGGGTGACCTCAGGGTCCGTCTAGACTGGTGAGTGTTCTTGGGGACTGTCTCGAGATCCATTAAGCAAGTCGAAGCTCCTGACTTGTTTGAATGGGATCACGGAATAGCTCTGCATGCACTGCAGGGGAATGGGGCTTCATCTCGCCTCTAGGGGGAAGTCTCATGGTTTTTCTCGAGTTGCGGCGGGGACCTGGGGTATGTTCTCGACTTACGGCGGGGATGGCCCTTCAAAACACGAGTTTCTTCAGTGACGTCAGGACTCCTGTCTAGTAACGAGGGACACCTCAGGAATCTCTAAGAGGCTTGGCAGTTCAAAAGGGACGCTTCTCGAGGTGAGGCAGGGCACCCAAGGACGCTTTCCCCTAGCCACAGGGATTTTGGGATTCCTATCAGTATTCAAGAGGAGTCAGGCATCGTCACCTTTTGAAGCAATGAACTCCGCGTGCCTCTCGAGGTGTCAGCGGGATGTGAGGCATTCCGTCAAAATGAGGCAGGGACCTAGGGCTTTCTCTAAGGTCTCCACAGGGGATTCAGACATCCCTTCATGTTGTGAGATGAAAGAAGAGCCTGTATTCAAGCCACTGCAAGGAAATCCGGCCTCCTTTCAAGTTAGGGCTTCTCGCTGTATATTCCCCTTGAGGCACAAACTCGGGGTCACTCCCACATACTTATTGCTGAGAGAAGCCTCCTCCTGAGGTGCTTCTGGAAAGTTGGCATACGTCTTGAGCCTAAGCCAGGGAATCAGCTCTCATCTCGAGATGATTTGGGTTACACGGAGCATTCCTCGAGTTGCTGTGCTGAAGTTGGTGTTCCTCTAGACTTGGGACAGTGTTCTCGGGGCATCTCTGGAGTTGCCTGAAGGAAGTCGAGCCACCGGTCGTGTTGAATGGGGAACGGGGAATGGCTCTGGAGTCAATGCAGGGGAATCGGGCCTCATCTCGAGTTGATTTGGGGCACATGGAGCTGCTTTGCGTTGCTGGAGTGACCTCAGGGTCCGTCTAGACTGGTGACAGTGTTCTTGGGGACTGTCTCGAGATCCATTAAGCAAGTCGAAGCTCCTGACTTGTTTGAATGGGATCACGGAATAGCTCTGCATGCACTGCAGGGGAATGGGGCCTCATCTCGCCTCTACGGGGAAGTCTCATGGTTTTTCTCGAGTTGCGGCGGAGACCTGGGGTATGTTCTCGACTTACGGCGGGGATGGCCCTTCAAAACACGAGTTTCTTCAGTGACGTCAGGACTCCTGTCTTGTAACGAGGGACACCTCAGGAATCTCTTCGAGGCTTGGCAGGGCAAAAGGGACGCTTCTCGAGGTGAGGCAGGGTACCCAAGGACCCTTTCCAGTAGCCACAGGGATTTTGGGATTCCTATCAGTATTCAAGAGGAGTCAGGCATCATCACCTTTTGAAGCAATGAACTCCGCGTGCCTCTCGAGGTGTCAGTGGGATGTGAGGTATTCCGTCAAAATGAGGCAGGGACCTAGGGCTTTCTCTAACGTCTCCACAGGGGATTCAGACATCCCTTCATGTTGTGAGATGAAAGACGAGCCTGTATTCAAGCCACTGCAAGGAAATGCGGACTCCTTTCAAGTTAGGGATTCTTGCTGTATATTCCCCTTGAGGCAGCAAACTCGGGGTCCCTTCCACATACCTATTGCTGACAGAAGCCTCCTCCTGAGGTGCTTCTGGAAAGTTGGCATACGTCTTGAGCCTAAGCCAGGGAATCAGCTCTCATCTCGAGACAATTTGGGGTACACGGAGCATTCCTCGAGTTGCTGTGCTGAAGTTGGTGTTCCTCTAGACTTGGGACAGTGTTCTCGGGGCATCTCTGGAGTTGCCTGAAGGAAGTCGAGCCACCGGTCGTGTTGAATGGGGATCGGGGAATGGCTCTGGAGTCAATGCAGGGGAATCGGGCCTCATCTCGAGTTGATTTGGGGCACATGGAGCTGCTTTGCGTTGCTGGGGTGACTTCAGGGTCCGTCTAGACTGGTGACAGTGTTCTTGGGGACTGTCTCGAGATCCATTAAGCAAGTCGAAACTCCTGACTTGTTTGAATGGGATCACAGAATAGCTCTGCATGCACTGCAGGGGAATGGGGCCTCATCTCGCCTCTAGGGGGAAGTCTCATGGTTTTTCTCGAGTTGCGGCGGGGACCTGGTGTATGTTCTCGACTTACGGCGGGGATGGCCCTTCAAAACACGAGTTTCTTCAGTGACGTCAGGACTCCTGTCTAGTAACGACGGACACCTCAGGAATCTCTAAGAGGCTTGGCAGGGCAAAAGCGACGCTTCTCGAGGTGAGGCAGGGCACCCAAGGACGCTTTCCCCTAGCCACAGGGATTTTGGGATTCCTATCAGTATTCAAGAGGAGTCAGGCATCGTCACCTTTTGAAGCAATGAACTCCGCGTGCTTCTCGAGGTGTCAGCGGGATGTGAGGCATTCCGTCAAAATGAGGCAGGGACCTACGTCTTTCTCTAAGGTCTCCACAGGGGATTCAGACATCCCTTCATGTTGTGAGATGAAAGACGAGCCTGTATTCAAGCCACTGCAAGGAAATCCGGCCTCCTTTCAAGTTAGGGCTTCTCGCTGTATATTCTCCTTGAGGCAGCAAACTCGGGTCCCTCCCACATACCTATTGCTGAGAGAAGCCTCCTCCTGAGGTGCTTCTGGAAAGTTGGCATACGTCTTGAGCCTAATCCAGGGAATCAGCTCTCATCTCGAGACGATTTGGGGTACACGGAGCATTCCTCAAGTTGCTGTGCTGAAGTTGGTGTTCCTCTAGACTTGGGACAGTGTTCTCGGGGCATCTCTGGAGTTGCCTGAAGGAAGTCGAGCCACCGGTCTTGTTGAATGGGGAACGGGGAATGGCTCTGGAGTCAATGCAGGGGAATCGGGCCTCATCTCGAGTTGATTTGGGGCACATGGAGCTGCTTTGCGTTGCTGGGGTGACCTCAGGGTCCGTCTAGACTGGTGACAGTGTTCTTGGGGACTGTCTCGAGATCCACTAAGCAAGTCGAAGCTCCTGACTTGTTTGAATGGGATCACGGAATAGCTCTGCATGCAATGCAGGGGAATGGGGCCTCATCTCGCCTCAAGGGGGAAGTCTCATGGTTTTTCTCGAGTTGCGGCGGGGACCTGGGGTATGTTCTCGACTTACGGCGGGGATGGCCCTTCAAAACACGAGTTTCTTCAGTGACCTCAGGACTCCTGTCTTGTAACGAGGGACACCTCAGGAATCTCTTCGAGGCTTGGCAGGGCAAAAGGGACGCTTCTCGAGGTGAGGCAGGGCACCCAAGGACCCTTTCCAGTAGCCACAGGGATTTTGGGATTCCTATCAGTATTCAAGAGGAGTCAGGCATCGTCACCTTTTGAAGCAATGAACTCCGCGTGCCTCTCAAGGTGTCAGCGGGATGTGAGGCATTCCGTCAAAATGAGGCAGGGACCTAGGGCTTTCTCTAAGGTCTCCACAGGGGATTCAGACATCCCTTCATGTTGTGAGATGAAAGACGAGCCTGTATTCAAGCCACTGCAAGGAAATGCGGCCTCCTTTCAAGTTAGGGCTTCTCGCTGTATATTCCCATTGACGTAGCAAACTCGGGGTCCCTTCCACATACCTATTGCTGAGAGAAGCCTTCTCCTGAGGTGCTTCTGGAAAGTTGGCATACGTCTTGAGCATAATCCAGGGAATCAGCTCTCATCTCGAGACAATTTGGGGTACACGGAGCATTCCTCGAGTTGCTGTGCTGAATTTGGTGTTCCTCTAGACTTGGGACAGTGTTCTCGGGGCATCTCTGGCGTTGCCTGAAGGAAGTCGAGCCACCGGTCGTGTTGAATGGGGAACGGGGAATGGCTCTGGGGTCAATGCAGGGGAATCGGGCCTCATCTCGAGTTGATTTGGGGCACATGGAGCTGCTTTGCGTTGCTGGGTTGACCTCAGGGTCCGTCTAGACTGGTGACAGTGTTCTTGGGGACTGTCTCGAGATCCATTAAGCAAGTCGAAGCTCCTGACTTGTTTGAATGGGATCATGGGATAGCTCTGCATGCACTGCAAGGGAATGGGGCCTCATCTCGCCTCTAGGGGGAAGTCTCATGGTTTTTCTCGAGTTGCGGCGGGGACCTGGGGTATGTTCTCGTCTTATGGCGGGGATGGCCCTTCAAAACACGAGTTTCTTCAGTGACGTCAGGACTCCTGTCTAGTAATGAGGGACACCTCAGGAATCTCTTCGAGGCTTGGCAGGGCAAAAGGGACGCTTCTCGAGGTGAGGCAGGGCACCCAAGGACCCTTTCCCGTAGCCACAGGGATTTTGGGATTCCTATCAGTATTCAAGAGGAGTCAGGCATCGTCACCTTTTGAAGCAATGAACTCCGCGTGCCTCTCGAGGTGTCAGCGGGATGTGAGGCATTCCGTCAAAATGAGGCAGGGACCTAGGGCTTTCTCTAAGGTCTCCACAGGGGATTCAGACATCCCTTCATGTTGTGAGATCAAAGACGAGCCTGTATTCAAGCCACTGCAAGGAAATGCGGCCTCCTTTCAATTTAGGGCTTCTCGCTGTATATTCCCCTTGAGGCAGCAAACTCGGGGTCCCTTCCACATACCTATTGCTGAGAGAAGCCTCCTTCTGAGGTGCTTCTGGAAAGTTGGCATAAGTCTTGAGCCTAAGCCAGGGAATCAGCTCTCATCTCGAGACGATTTGGGGTACACGAAGCATTCCTCGAGTTGCTGTGCTGAAGTTGGTGTTCCTCTAGACTTGGGACCGTGTTCTCAGGGCATCTCTGGAGTTGCCTGAAGGAAGTCGAGCCACCGGTCGTGTTGAATGGGGAACGGGGAATGGCTCTGGAGTCAATGCAGGGGAATCGGGCCTCATCTCGAGTTGATTTGGGGCACATGGAGCTGCTTTGCGTTGCTGGGGTGACCTCAGGGTCCGTCTAGACTGGTGACAGTGTTCTTGGGGACTGTCTCGAGATCCATTAAGCAAGTCGAAGCTCCTGACTTGTTTGAATGGGATCACGGAATAGCTCTGCATGCACTGCAGGGGAATGGGGCCTCATCTCGCCTCTAGGGGGAAGTCTCATGGTTTTACTCTAGTTGCGGCGGGGACCTGGGGTATGTTTTCGACTTACGGCGGGGATGGCCGTTCAAAACACGAGTTTCTTCAGTGACCTCAGGACTCCTGTCTAGTAACGAGGGACACCTCAGGAATCTCTTCGAGGCTTGGCAGGGCAAAAGGGACGCTTCTCGAGGTGAGGCAGGGCCCCCAAGGACCCTTTCCCGTAGCCACAGGGATTTTGGGATTCCTATCAGTATTCAAGAGGAGTCAGGCATCGTCACCTTTTGAAGCAATGAACTCCGCGTGCCTCTCGAGGTGTCAGCGGGATGTGAGGCATTCCGTCAAAATGAGGCAGGGACCTAGGGCTTTCTCTAAGGTCTCCACAGGGGATTCAGACATCCCTTCATGTTGTGAGATGAAAGACGAGCCTGTATTCAAGCCACTGCAAGGAAATCCGGCCTCCTTTCAAGTTATGGCTTCTCGCTGTATATTCCCCTTGAGGCAGCAAACTCGGGGTCCCTCCCACATACCTATTGCTGGGAGAAGCCTCCTCCTGAGGTGCTTCTGGAAAGTTGGCATACGTCTTGAGCCTAAGCCAGGGAATCAGCTCTCATCTCTAGACGATTTGGGGTACACGGAGCATTCCTCAAGTGCTGTGCTGAGGTTGGTGTTCCTCTAGACTTGGGACACTGTTGTCGGGGCATCTCTGGAGTTGCCTGAAGGAAGTCGAGCCACCGGTCGTGTTGAATGGGGAACGGGGAATGGCTCTGGCCTCAATGCAGTCGAATGGGACCTCATCTCGAGTTGATTTGGGGCACATGGAGCTGCTTTGCTTTGCTGGGTTGACCTCAGGGTCCGTCTAGACTGGTGACAGTGTTCTTGGGGACTCTCTCAAGATCCATTAAGCAAGTCGAAGCTCCTGACTTGTTGGAATGGGATCACGGAATAGCTCTGCATGCACTGCAGCGGAATGGGACCTCATCTCGCCTCTAGGGGGAAGTCTCATGGTTTTTCTCGAGTTGCGGCGGGGACCTGGGGTATGTTCTCGACTTACGGCGGGGATGGCCCTTCAAAACACGAGTTTCTTCAGTGACGTCAGGACTCCTGTCTAGTAACGAGGGACACTTCAGGAATCTCTATGAGGCTTGGCAGGGCAAAAGGGACGCTTCTCGAGGTGAGGCAGGGTACCCAAGGACGCTTTCCCCTAGCCACAGCGATTTTGGGATTCCTATCAGTATTCAAGAGGAGTCAGGCATCGTCACCTTTTGAAGCAATGAACTCCGCGTGCCTCTCGAGGTGTCAGCGGGATGTGAGGCATTCCGTCAAAATGAGGCAGGGACCTAGGTCTTTCTCTAAGGTCTCCACAGGGGATTCAGACATCCCTTCATGTTGTGAGATGAAAGACGAGCCTGTATTCAAGCCACTGCAAGGAAATCCGGCCTCCTTTCAAGTTAGGGCTTCTCGCTGTATATTCCCCTTGAGGCAGCAAACTCGGGTCCCTCCCACATACCTATTGCTGAGAGAAGCCTCCTCCTGAGGTGCTTCTGGAAAGTTGGCATAAGTCTTGAGCCTAAGCCAGGGAATCAGCTCTCATCTCGAGACGATTTGGGGTACACGGAGCATTCCTCAAGTTGCTGTGCTGTAGTTGGTGTTCCTCTAGACTTGGGACAGTGTTCTCGGGGCATCTCTGGAGTTGCCTGAAGGAAGTCGAGCCACCGGTCGTGTTGAATGGGGAACGGGGAATGGCTCTGGAGTGAATGCAGGGGAATCGGGCCTCATCTCGAGTTGATTTGTGACACATGGAGCTGCTTTGCATTGCTGGGGTGACCTCAGGGTCCGTCTAGACTGGTGACAGTGTTCTTGGGGACTGTCTCGAGATCCACTAAGCAAGTCGAAGCTCCTGACTTGTTTGAATGGGATCACGGGATAGCTCTGCATGCACTGCAGGGGAATCGGGCCTCATCTCGCCTCAAGGGGGAAGTCTCATGGTTTTTCTCGAGTTGCGGCAGGGACTTGGGGTATGTTCTCGACTTACGGCGGGGATGGCCCTTCAAAACACGAGTTTCTTCAGTGACGTCAGGACTCGTGTCTAGTAACGAGGGACACCTCAGGAATCTCTTCGAGGCTTGGCAGGGCAAAAGGGACGCTTCTCGAGGTGAGGCAGGGCACCCAAGGACCCTTTCCCGTAGCCACAGGGATTTTGGGATTCCTATCAGTATTCAAGAGGAGTCAGGCATCGTCACCTTTTGAAGCAATGAACTCAGCGTGCCTCTCGAGGTGTCAGCGGGACGTGAGGCATTCCGTCAAAATGAGGCAGGGACCTAGGGCTTTCTCTAAGGTCTCCACAGGGGATTCAGACATCCCTTCATGTTGTGAGATGAAAGACGAGCCTGTATTCAAGCCACTGCAAAGAAATCCGGCCTCCTTTCATGTTAGGGCTTCTCGCGGTATATTCCCCTTGAGGCAGCAAACTCGGGGTCCCTCCCACATACCTATTGCTGAGAGAAGCCTCCTCCTGAGGTGCTTCTGGAAAGTTGGCATACGTCTTGAACGTAAGCCAGGGACTCAGCTCTCATCTCGAGACGATTTGGGGTACACGAAGCATTCCTCGAGTTGCTGCTGAAGTTGGTGTTCCTCTAGACTTGGGACAGTGTTCTCGGGGCATCTCTGGAGTTGCCTGAAGGAAGTCGAGCCACCGGTCGTGTTGAATGGGGAACGGGGAATGGCTCTGGAGTCAATGCAGGGGAATCGGGCCTCATCTCGAGTTGATTTGGGGCACATGGAGCTGCTTTGCGTTGCTGGGGTGACCTCAGGGTCCGTCTAGACTGGTGACAGTGTTCTGCGGGACTGTCTCGAGATCCATTAAGCAAGTCGAAACTCCTGACTGGTTTGAATGGGATCACGGAATAGCTCTGCATGCACTGCAGGGGAATGGGGCCTCATCTCGCCTCTAGGGGGAAGTCTCATGGTTTTTCTCGAGTTGCGGCGGGGACCTGGGGTATGTTCTCGACTTACGGCGGGGATGGCCCTTCAAAACACGAGTTTCTTCAGTGACGTCAGGACTCCCGTCTAGTAACGACGGACACCTCAGGAATCTCTTCGAGGCTTGGCAGGGCAAAAGGGACGCTTCTCGAGGTGAGGCAGGGCCCCCAAGGACCCTTTCCCGTAGCCACAGGGATTTTGGGATTCCTATCAGTATTCAAGAGGAGTCAGGCATCGTCACCTTTTGAAGCAATGAACTCCGCGTGCCTCTCGAGGTGTCAGCGGGATGTGAGGCATTCCGTCAAAATGAGGCAGGGACCTAGGGCTTTCTCTAAGGTATCCACAGGGGATTCAGACATCCCTTCATGTTGTGAGATGAAAGACGAGCCTGTATTCAAGCCACTGCAAGGAAATCCGGCCTCCTTTCAAGTTATGGCTTCTCGCTGTATATTCCCCTTGAGGCAGCAAACTCGGGGTCCCTCCCACATACCTATTGCTGGGAGAAGCCTCCTCCTGAGGTGCTTCTGGAAAGTTGGCATACGTCTTGAGCCTAAGCCAGGGAATCAGCTCTCATCTCTAGACGATTTGGGGTACACGGAGCATTCCTCAAGTGCTGTTCTGAGGTTGGTGTTCCTCTAGACTTGGGACACTGTTGTCGGGGCATCTCTGGAGTTGCCTGAAGGAAGTCGAGCCACCGGTCGTGTTGAATGGGGAACGGGGAATGGCTCTGGCCTCAATGCAGGCGAATGGGACCTCATCTCGAGTTGATTTGGGGCACATGGAGCTGCTTTGCTTTGCTGGGTTGACCTCAGGGTCCGTCTAGACTGGTGACAGTGTTCTTGGGGACTGTCTCAAGATCCATTAAGCAAGTCGAAGCTCCTGACTTGTTGGAATGGGATCACGGAATAGCTCTGCATGCACTGCAGCGGAATGGGACCTCATCTCGCCTCTAGGGGGAAGTCTCATGGTTTTTCTCGAGTATCGGCGGGGACCTGGGGTATGTTCTCGACTTACGGCGGGGATGGCCCTTCAAAACACGAGTTTCTTCAGTGACGTCAGGACTCCTGTCTAGTAACGAGGGACACTTCAGGAATCTCTATGAGGCTTGGCAGGGCAAAAGGGACGCTTCTCGAGGTGAGGCAGGGTACCCAAGGACGCTTTCCCCTAGCCACAGCGATTTTGGGATTCCTATCAGTATTCAAGAGGAGTCAGGCATCGTCACCTTTTGAAGCAATGAACTCCGCGTGCCTCTCGAGGTGTCAGCGGGATGTGAGGCATTCCGTCAAAATGAGGCAGGGACCTAGGTCTTTCTCTAAGGTCTCCACAGGGGATTCAGACATCCCTTCATGTTGTGAGATGAAAGACGAGCCTGTATTCAAGCCACTGCAAGGAAATCCGGCCTCCTTTCAAGTTAGGGCTTCTCGCTGTATATTCCCCTTGAGGCAGCAAACTCGGGTCCCTCCCACATACCTATTGCTGAGAGAAGCCTCCTCCTGAGGTGCTTCTGGAAAGTTGGCATAAGTCTTGAGCCTAAGCCAGGGAATCAGCTCTCATCTCGAGACGATTTGGGGTACACGGAGCATTCCTCAAGTTGCTGTGCTGTAGTTGGTGTTCCTCTAGACTTGGGACAGTGTTCTCGGGGCATCTCTGGAGTTGCCTGAAGGAAGTCGAGCCACCGGTCGTGTTGAATGGGGAACGGGGAATGGCTCTGGAGTGAATGCAGGGGAATCGGGCCTCATCTCGAGTTGATTTGGGACACATGGAGCTGTTTTGCGTTGCTGGGGTGACCTCAGGGTCCGTCTAGACTGGTGACAGTGTTCTTGGGGACTGTCTCGAGATCCACTAAGCAAGTCGAAGCTCCTGACTTGTTTGAATGGGATCACGGGATAGCTCTGCATGCACTGCAGGGGAATCGGGCCTCATCTCGCCTCAAGGGGGAAGTCTCATGGTTTTTCTCGAGTTGCGGCGGGGACTTGGGGTATGTTCTCGATTTACGGCGGGGATGGCCCTTCAAAACACGAGTTTCTTCAGTGACGTCAGGACTCGTGTCTAGTAACGAGGGACACCTCAGGAATCTCTTCGAGGCTTGGCAGGGCAAAAGGGACGCTTCTCGAGGTGAGGCAGGGCACCCAAGGACCCTTTCCCGTAGCCACAGGGATTTTGGGATTCCTATCAGTATTCAAGAGGAGTCAGGCATCGTCACCTTTTGAAGCAATGAACTCAGCGTGCCTCTCGAGGTGTCAGCGGGACGTGAGGCATTCCGTCAAAATGAGGCAGGGACCTAGGGCTTTCTCTAAGGTCTCCACAGGGGATTCAGACATCCCTTCATGTTGTGAGATGAAAGACGAGCCTGTATTCAAGCCACTGCAAGGAAATCCGGCCTCCTTTCATGTTAGGGCTTCTCGCGGTATATTCCCCTTGAGGCAGCAAACTCGGGGTCCCTCCCACATACCTATTGCTGAGAGAAGCCTCCTCCTGAGGTGCTTCTGGAAAGTTGGCATACGTCTTGAACCTAAGCCAGGGAATCAGCTCTCATCTCGAGACGATTTGGGGTACACGAAGCATTCCTCGAGTTGCTGTGCTGAAGTTGGTGTTCCTCTAGACTTGGGACAGTGTTCTCGGGGCATCTCTGGAGTTGCCTGAAGGAAGTCGAGCCACCGGTCGTGTTGAATGGGGAACGGGGAATGGCTCTGGAGTGAATGCAGGGGAATCGGGCCTCATCTCGAGTTGATTTGGGACACATGGAGCTGTTTTGCGTTGCTGGGGTGACCTCAGGGTCCGTCTAGACTGGTGACAGTGTTCTTGGGGACTGTCTCGAGATCCACTAAGCAAGTCGAAGCTCCTGACTTGTTTGAATGGGATCACGGGATAGCTCTGCATGCACTGCAGGGGAATCGGGCCTCATCTCGCCTCAAGGGGGAAGTCTCATGGTTTTTCTCGAGTTGCGGCGGGGACTTGGGGTATGTTCTCGATTTACGGCGGGGATGGCCCTTCAAAACACGAGTTTCTTCAGTGACGTCAGGACTCGTGTCTAGTAACGAGGGACACCTCAGGAATCTCTTCGAGGCTTGGCAGGGCAAAAGGGACGCTTCTCGAGGTGAGGCAGGGCACCCAAGGACCCTTTCCCGTAGCCACAGGGATTTTGGGATTCCTATCAGTATTCAAGAGGAGTCAGGCATCGTCACCTTTTGAAGCAATGAACTCAGCGTGCCTCTCGAGGTGTCAGCGGGACGTGAGGCATTCCGTCAAAATGAGGCAGGGACCTAGGGCTTTCTCTAAGGTCTCCACAGGGGATTCAGACATCCCTTCATGTTGTGAGATGAAAGACGAGCCTGTATTCAAGCCACTGCAAGGAAATCCGGCCTCCTTTCATGTTAGGGCTTCTCGCGGTATATTCCCCTTGAGGCAGCAAACTCGGGGTCCCTCCCACATACCTATTGCTGAGAGAAGCCTCCTCCTGAGGTGCTTCTGGAAAGTTGGCATACGTCTTGAACCTAAGCCAGGGAATCAGCTCTCATCTCGAGACGATTTGGGGTACACGAAGCATTCCTCGAGTTGCTGTGCTGAAGTTGGTGTTCCTCTAGACTTGGGACAGTGTTCTCGGGGCATCTCTGGAGTTGCCTGAAGGAAGTCGAGCCACCGGTCGTGTTGAATGGGGAACGGGGAATGGCTCTGGAGTCAATGCAGGGGAATCGGGCCTCATCTCGAGTTGATTTGGGGCACATGGAGCTGCTTTGCGTTGCTGGGGTGACCTCAGGGTCCGTCTAGACTGGTGACAGTGTTCTTGGGGACTGTCTCGAGATCCATTAAGCAAGTCGAAACTCCTGACTGGTTTGAATGGGATCACGGAATAGCTCTGCATGCACTGCAGGGGAATGGGGCCTCATCTCGCCTCTAGGGGGAAGTCTCATGGTTTTTCTCGAGTTGCAGCGGGGATCTGGTGTATGTTCTCGACTTACGGCGGGGATGGCCCTTCAAAACACGAGTTTCTTCAGTGACGTCAGGACTCCTGTCTAGTAACGACGGACACCTCAGTAATCTCTACGAGGCTTGGCAGGGCAAAAGGGACGCTTCTCGAGGTGAGGCAGGGCACCCAAGGACGCTTTCCCCTAGCCACAGGGATTTTGGGATTCCTATCAGTATTCAAGAGGAGTCAGGCATCGTCACCTTTTGAAGCAATGAACTCCGCGTGCTTCTCGAGGTGTCAGCGGGATGTGAGGCATTCCGTCAAAATGAGGCAGGGACCTAGGTCTTTCTCTAAGGTCTCCACAGGGGATTCAGACATCCCTTCATGTTGTGAGATGAAAGACGAGCCTGTATTCAAGCCACTGCAAGGAAATCCGGCCTCCTTTCATGTTAGGGCTTCTCGCTGTATATTCCCCTTGAGGCAGCAAACTCGGGTCCCTCCCACATACCTATTGCTGAGAGAAGCCTCCTCCTGAGGTGCTTCTGGAAAGTTGGCATACGTCTTGAGCCTAAGCCAGGGAATCAGCTCTCATCTCTAGACGATTTGGGGTACACGGAGCATTCCTCAAGTGCTGTTCTGAGGTTGGTGTTCCTCTAGACTTGGGACACTGTTGTCGGGGCATCTCTGGAGTTGCCTGAAGGAAGTCGAGCCACCGGTCGTGTTGAATGGGGAACGGGGAATGGCTCTGGCCTCAATGCAGGCGAATGGGACCTCATCTCGAGTTGATTTGGGGCACATGGAGCTGCTTTGCTTTGCTGGGTTGACCTCAGGGTCCGTCTAGACTGGTGACAGTGTTCTTGGGGACTGTCTCAAGATCCATTAAGCAAGTCGAAGCTCCTGACTTGTTGGAATGGGATCACGGAATAGCTCTGCATGCACTGCAGCGGAATGGGACCTCATCTCGCCTCTAGGGGGAAGTCTCATGGTTTTTCTCGAGTATCGGCGGGGACCTGGGGTATGTTCTCGACTTACGGCGGGGATGGCCCTTCAAAACACGAGTTTCTTCAGTGACGTCAGGACTCCTGTCTAGTAACGAGGGACACTTCAGGAATCTCTATGAGGCTTGGCAGGGCAAAAGGGACGCTTCTCGAGGTGAGGCAGGGTACCCAAGGACGCTTTCCCCTAGCCACAGCGATTTTGGGATTCCTATCAGTATTCAAGAGGAGTCAGGCATCGTCACCTTTTGAAGCAATGAACTCCGCGTGCCTCTCGAGGTGTCAGCGGGATGTGAGGCATTCCGTCAAAATGAGGCAGGGACCTAGGTCTTTCTCTAAGGTCTCCACAGGGGATTCAGACATCCCTTCATGTTGTGAGATGAAAGACGAGCCTGTATTCAAGCCACTGCAAGGAAATCCGGCCTCCTTTCAAGTTAGGGCTTCTCGCTGTATATTCCCCTTGAGGCAGCAAACTCGGGTCCCTCCCACATACCTATTGCTGAGAGAAGCCTCCTCCTGAGGTGCTTCTGGAAAGTTGGCATAAGTCTTGAGCCTAAGCCAGGGAATCAGCTCTCATCTCGAGACGATTTGGGGTACACGGAGCATTCCTCAAGTTGCTGTGCTGTAGTTGGTGTTCCTCTAGACTTGGGACAGTGTTCTCGGGGCATCTCTGGAGTTGCCTGAAGGAAGTCGAGCCACCGGTCGTGTTGAATGGGGAACGGGGAATGGCTCTGGAGTGAATGCAGGGGAATCGGGCCTCATCTCGAGTTGATTTGGGACACATGGAGCTGCTTTGCGTTGCTGGGGTGACCTCAGGGTCCGTCTAGACTGGTGACAGTGTTCTTGGGGACTGTCTCGAGATCCACTAAGCAAGTCGAAGCTCCTGACTTGTTTGAATGGGATCACGGGATAGCTCTGCATGCACTGCAGGGGAATCGGGCCTCATCTCGCCTCAAGGGGGAAGTCTCATGGTTTTTCTCGAGTTGCGGCGGGGACTTGGGGTATGTTCTCGATTTACGGCGGGGATGGCCCTTCAAAACACGAGTTTCTTCAGTGACGTCAGGACTCGTGTCTAGTAACGAGGGACACCTCAGGAATCTCTTCGAGGCTTGGCAGGGCAAAAGGGACGCTTCTCGAGGTGAGGCAGGGCACCCAAGGACCCTTTCCCGTAGCCACAGGGATTTTGGGATTCCTATCAGTATTCAAGAGGAGTCAGGCATCGTCACCTTTTGAAGCAATGAACTCAGCGTGCCTCTCGAGGTGTCAGCGGGACGTGAGGCATTCCGTCAAAATGAGGCAGGGACCTAGGGCTTTCTCTAAGGTCTCCACAGGGGATTCAGACATCCCTTCATGTTGTGAGATGAAAGACGAGCCTGTATTCAAGCCACTGCAAGGAAATCCGGCCTCCTTTCATGTTAGGGCTTCTCGCGGTATATTCCCCTTGAGGCAGCAAACTCGGGGTCCCTCCCACATACCTATTGCTGAGAGAAGCCTCCTCCTGAGGTGCTTCTGGAATGTTGGCATACGTCTTGAACCTAAGCCAGGGAATCAGCTCTCATCTCGAGACGATTTGGGGTACACGAAGCATTCCTCGAGTTGCTGTGCTGAAGTTGGTGTTCCTCTAGACTTGGGACAGTGTTCTCGGGGCATCTCTGGAGTTGCCTGAAGGAAGTCGAGCCACCGGTCGTGTTGAATGGGGAACGGGGAATGGCTCTGGAGTCAATGCAGGGGAATCGGGCCTCATCTCGAGTTGATTTGGGGCACATGGAGCTGCTTTGCGTTGCTGGGGTGACCTCAGGGTCCGTCTAGACTGGTGACAGTGTTCTTGGGGACTGTCTCGAGATCCATTAAGCAAGTCGAAACTCCTGACTGGTTTGAATGGGATCACGGAATAGCTCTGCATGCACTGCAGGGGAATGGGGCCTCATCTCGCCTCTAGGGGGAAGTCTCATGGTTTTTCTCGAGTTGCAGCGGGGATCTGGTGTATGTTCTCGACTTACGGCGGGGATGGCCCTTCAAAACACGAGTTTCTTCAGTGACGTCAGGACTCCTGTCTAGTAACGAGGGACACTTCAGGAATCTCTATGAGGCTTGGCAGGGCAAAAGGGACGCTTCTCGAGGTGAGGCAGGGTACCCAAGGACGCTTTCCCCTAGCCACAGCGATTTTGGGATTCCTATCAGTATTCAAGAGGAGTCAGGCATCGTCACCTTTTGAAGCAATGAACTCCGCGTGCCTCTCGAGGTGTCAGCGGGATGTGAGGCATTCCGTCAAAATGAGGCAGGGACCTAGGTCTTTCTCTAAGGTCTCCACAGGGGATTCAGACATCCCTTCATGTTGTGAGATGAAAGACGAGCCTGTATTCAAGCCACTGCAAGGAAATCCGGCCTCCTTTCAAGTTAGGGCTTCTCGCTGTATATTCCCCTTGAGGCAGCAAACTCGGGTCCCTCCCACATACCTATTGCTGAGAGAAGCCTCCTCCTGAGGTGCTTCTGGAAAGTTGGCATAAGTCTTGAGCCTAAGCCAGGGAATCAGCTCTCATCTCGAGACGATTTGGGGTACACGGAGCATTCCTCAAGTTGCTGTGCTGTAGTTGGTGTTCCTCTAGACTTGGGACAGTGTTCTCGGGGCATCTCTGGAGTTGCCTGAAGGAAGTCGAGCCACCGGTCGTGTTGAATGGGGAACGGGGAATGGCTCTGGAGTGAATGCAGGGGAATCGGGCCTCATCTCGAGTTGATTTGGGACACATGGAGCTGCTTTGCGTTGCTGGGGTGACCTCAGGGTCCGTCTAGACTGGTGACAGTGTTCTTGGGGACTGTCTCGAGATCCACTAAGCAAGTCGAAGCTCCTGACTTGTTTGAATGGGATCACGGGATAGCTCTGCATGCACTGCAGGGGAATCGGGCCTCATCTCGCCTCAAGGGGGAAGTCTCATGGTTTTTCTCGAGTTGCGGCGGGGACTTGGGGTATGTTCTCGATTTACGGCGGGGATGGCCCTTCAAAACACGAGTTTCTTCAGTGACGTCAGGACTCGTGTCTAGTAACGAGGGACACCTCAGGAATCTCTTCGAGGCTTGGCAGGGCAAAAGGGACGCTTCTCGAGGTGAGGCAGGGCACCCAAGGACCCTTTCCCGTAGCCACAGGGATTTTGGGATTCCTATCAGTATTCAAGAGGAGTCAGGCATCGTCACCTTTTGAAGCAATGAACTCAGCGTGCCTCTCGAGGTGTCAGCGGGACGTGAGGCATTCCGTCAAAATGAGGCAGGGACCTAGGGCTTTCTCTAAGGTCTCCACAGGGGATTCAGACATCCCTTCATGTTGTGAGATGAAAGACGAGCCTGTATTCAAGCCACTGCAAGGAAATCCGGCCTCCTTTCATGTTAGGGCTTCTCGCGGTATATTCCCCTTGAGGCAGCAAACTCGGGGTCCCTCCCACATACCTATTGCTGAGAGAAGCCTCCTCCTGAGGTGCTTCTGGAAAGTTGGCATACGTCTTGAACCTAAGCCAGGGAATCAGCTCTCATCTCGAGACGATTTGGGGTACACGAAGCATTCCTCGAGTTGCTGTGCTGAAGTTGGTGTTCCTCTAGACTTGGGACAGTGTTCTCGGGGCATCTCTGGAGTTGCCTGAAGGAAGTCGAGCCACCGGTCGTGTTGAATGGGGAACGGGGAATGGCTCTGGAGTCAATGCAGGGGAATCGGGCCTCATCTCGAGTTGATTTGGGGCACATGGAGCTGCTTTGCGTTGCTGGGGTGACCTCAGGGTCCGTCTAGACTGGTGACAGTGTTCTTGGGGACTGTCTCGAGATCCATTAAGCAAGTCGAAACTCCTGACTGGTTTGAATGGGATCACGGAATAGCTCTGCATGCACTGCAGGGGAATGGGGCCTCATCTCGCCTCTAGGGGGAAGTCTCATGGTTTTTCTCGAGTTGCAGCGGGGATCTGGTGTATGTTCTCGACTTACGGCGGGGATGGCCCTTCAAAACACGAGTTTCTTCAGTGACGTCAGGACTCCTGTCTAGTAACGACGGACACCTCAGTAATCTCTACGAGGCTTGGCAGGGCAAAAGGGACGCTTCTCGAGGTGAGGCAGGGCACCCAAGGACGCTTTCCCCTAGCCACAGGGATTTTGGGATTCCTATCAGTATTCAAGAGGAGTCAGGCATCGTCACCTTTTGAAGCAATGAACTCCGCGTGCTTCTCGAGGTGTCAGCGGGATGTGAGGCATTCCGTCAAAATGAGGCAGGGACCTAGGTCTTTCTCTAAGGTCTCCACAGGGGATTCAGACATCCCTTCATGTTGTGAGATGAAAGACGAGCCTGTATTCAAGCCACTGCAAGGAAATCCGGCCTCCTTTCAAGTTAGGGCTTCTCGCTGTATATTCCCCTTGAGGCAGCAAACTCGGGTCCCTCCCACATACCTATTGCTGAGAGAAGCCTCCTCCTGAGGTGCTTCTGGAAAGTTGGCATAAGTCTTGAGCCTAAGCCAGGGAATCAGCTCTCATCTCGAGACGATTTGGGGTACACGGACCATTCCTCAAGATGCTGTGCTGAAGTTGGTGTTCCTCTAGACTTGGGACAGTGTTCTGGGGGCATCTCTGGAGTTGCCTGAAAGAAGTCGAGCCACCGGTCGTGTTGAATGGGGAACGGGGAATGGCTCTGGAGTAAATGCAGGGGAATCGGGCCTCATCTCGAGCTGATTTGGGGCACATGGAGCTGCTTTGCGTTGCTGGGGTGACATCAGGGTCCGTCTAGACTGGTGACAGTGTTCTTAGGGACTGTCTCGAGATCCACTAAGCAAGTCGAAGCTCCTGACTTGTTTGAATGGGATCACGGGATAGCTCTGCATGCACTGCAGGGGAATGGGGCCTCATCTCGCCTCTAGGGGGAAGTCTCATGGTTTTTCTCGAGTTGCGGCGGGGACCTGGGGTATGTTCTCGACTTACGGCGGGGATGGCCCTTCAAAACACGAGTTTCTTCAGTGACGTCAGGACTCCTGTCTTGTAACGAGGGACACCTCAGGAATCTCTACGAGGCTTGGCAGGGCAAAAGGGACGCTTCTCGAGGTGAGGCAGGGTACCCAAGACCCTTTCCAGTAGCCACAGCGATTTTGGGATTCCTATCAGTATTCAAGAGGAGTCAGGCATCGTCACCTTTTGAAGCAATGAACTCCGCGTGCCTCTCGAGGTGTCAGTGGGATGTGAGGCATTCCGTCAAAATGAGGCAGGGACCTAGGGCTTTCTCTAAGGTCTCCACAGGGGATTCAGACATCCCTTCATGTTGTGAGATGAAAGACGAGCCGGTATTCAAGCCACTGCAAGGAAATCCGGCCTCCTTTCAAGTTAGGGCTTCTCGCTGTATATTCCCCTTGAGGCAGCAAACTCGGGGTCCCTTCCACATACCTATTTCTGAGAGAAGCCTACTCCTGAGGTGCTTCTGGAAAGTTGGCATACGTCTTGAGCCTAATCCAAGGAATCAGCTCTCATCTCGAGAGAATTTGGGGTACACAGAGCATTCCTCGAGTTGCTGTGCTGAAGTTGGTGTTCCTCTAGACTTGGGACAGTGTTCTCGGGGCATCTCTGGAGTTGCCTGAAGGAAGTCGAGCCACCGGTCGTGTTGAATGGGGAACGGGGAATGTCTCTGGAGTCAATGCAGGGGAATCGGGCCTCATCTCGAGTTGATTTGGGGCACATGGAGCTGCTTTGTGTTGCTGCGGTGACCTCAGGGTCCGTCTAGACTGGTGACAGTGTTCTTGGGGACTGTCTCGAGATCCATTAAGCAAGTCGAAGCTCCTGACTTGTTTGAATGGGATCACGGGATAGCTCTGCATGCACTGCAGGGGAATGGGGCCTCATCTCGCCTCAAGGGGGAAGTCTCATGGTTTTTCTCGAGTTGAGGCGGGGACCTGGGGTATGTTCTCGACTTACGGCGGGGATGGCCCTTCAAAACACGAGTTTCTTCAGTGACGTCAGGACTCCTGTCTAGTAATGAGGAACACCTCAGGAATCTCTTCGAGGCTTGGCAGGGCAAAAGGGACGCTTCTCGAGGTGAGGCAGGGCACCCAAGGACCCTTTCCAGAAGCCACAGGGATTTTGGGATTCCTATCAGTATTCAAGAGGAGTCAGGCATCGTCACCTTTTGAAGCAATGAACTCCGCGTGCCTCTCGAGGTGTCAACGGGACGTGAGGCATTCCGTCAAAATGAGGCAGGGACCTAGGGCTTTCTCTAAGGTCTCCACAGGGGATTAAGACATCCCTTCATGTTGTGAGATGAAAGACGAGCCTGTATTCAAGCCACTGCAAGGAAATCCGGCCTCCTTTCAAGTTAGGGCTTCTCGCTGTAAATTCCCCTTGAGGCAGCAAACTCGGGGTCCCTCCCACATAACTATTGGTGAGAGAAGCCTCCTCCTGAGGTGCTTCTGGAAAGTTGGCATACGTCTTGAGCCTAAGCCAGGGAATCAGCTCTCATCTCGAGACGATTTCGGTTACACGGAGCATTCCTCGAGTTGCTGTGCTGAAGTTGGTGTTCCTCTAGACTTGGGACAGTGTTCTCGGGGCATCTCTGGAGTTGCCTGAAGGAAGTCGAGCCACCGGTCGTGTTGAATGGGGAACGGGGAATGTCTCTGGAGTGAATGCAGGGGAATCGGGCCTCATCTCGAGTTGATTTGGGGCACATGGAGCTGCTTTGCGTTGCTGGGGTGACCTCAGGGTCCGTCTAGACTGGTGACAGTGTTCTTGGGGACTGTCTCGAGATCCATTAAGCAAGTCGAAGCTCCTGACTTGTTTGAATGGGATCACGGAATAGCTCTGCATGCACTGAAGGGGAATGGGGCCTCATCTCGCCTCTAGGGGGAAGTCTCATGGTTTTTCTCGAGTTGCGGTGTGGACTTGGGGTATGTTCTCGACTTACGGCGGGGATGGCCCTTCAAAACACGAGTTTCTTCAGTGACGTCAGGTCTCGTGTCTAGTAACGAGGGACACCTCAGGAATCTCTTCGAGGCTTGGCAGGGCAAAAGGGACGCTTCTCGAGGTGAGGCAGGGCACCCAAGGACCCTTTCCCGTAGCCACAGGGATTTTGGGATTCCTATCAGTATTCAAGAGGAGTCAGGCATCATCACCTTTTGAAGCAATGAACTCCGCGTGCCTCTCCAGGTGTCAGCGGGACGTGAGGCATTCCGTCAAAATGAGGCAGGGACCTAGGGCTTTCTCTAAGGTCTCCACAGGGGATTCAGACATCCCTTCATGTTGTGAGATGAAAGACGAGCCTGTATTCAAGCCACTGCAAGGAAATCCGGCCTCCTTTCAAGTTAGGGCTTCTCGCTGTATATTCCCCTTGAGGCAGCAAACTCGGGGTCCCTCCCACATAACTATTGCTGAGAGAAGCCTCCTCCTCAGGTGCTTCTGGAAAGTTGGCATACGTCTTGAGCCTAAGCCAGGGAATCAGCTCTCATCTCGAGACGATTTGGGGTACACGGAGCATTCCTCGAGTTGCTGTGCTGAAGTTGGTGTTCCTCTAGACTTGGGACAGTGTTCTCGGGACATCTCTGGAGTTGCCTGAAGGAAGTCGAGCCACCGGTCGTGTTGAATGGGGAACGGGGAATGGCTCTGGAGTCAATGCAGGGGAATCGGGCCTCATCTCGAGTTGATTTGGGGCACATGGAGCTGCTTTGCGTTGCTGGGGTGACCTCAGGGTCCGTCTAGACTGGTGACAGTGTTCTTGGGGACTGTCTCGAGATCCATTAAGCAAGTCGAAGCTCCTGACTTGTTTGAATGGGATCACGGAATAGCTCTGCATGCACTGCAGGGGAATGGGGCCTCATCTCGCCTCTAGGGGGAAGTCTCATGGTTTTTCTCGAGTTGCGGCGGGGACCTGGGGTATGTTCTCGACTTACGGCGGGGATGGCCCTTCAAAACACGAGTTTCTTCAGTGACGTCAGGACTCCTGTCTTGTAACGAGGGACACCTCAGGAATCTCTACGAGGCTTGGCAGGGCAAAAGGGACGCTTCTCGAGGTGAGGCAGGGTACCCAAGGACCCTTTCAAGTAGCCACAGCGATTTTGGGATTCCTATCAGTATTCAAGAGGAGTCAGGCATCGTCACCTTTTGAAGCAATGAACTCCGCGTGCCTCTCGAGGTGTCAGCGGGATGTGAGGCATTCCGTCAAAATGAGGCAGGGACCTAGGGCTTTCTCTAAGGTCTCCACAGGGGATTCAGACATCCCTTCATGTTGTGAGATGAAAGACGAGCCTGTATTCAAGCCACTGCAAGGAAATGCGGACTCCTTTCAAGTTAGGGATTCTCGCTGTATATTCCCCTTGAGGCAGCAAACTCGGGGTCCCTTCCACATACCTATTGCTGAGAGAAGCCTCCTCCTGAGGTGCTTCTGGAAAGTTGGCATACGTCTTGAGCCTAATCCAGGGATTCAGCTCTCATCTCGAGACAATTTGGGGTACACGGAGCATTCCTCGAGTTGCTGTGCTGAAGTTGGTGTTCCTCTAGACTTGGGACAGTGTTCTCGGGGCATCTCTGGAGTTGCCTGAAGGAAGTCGAGCCACCGGTCGTGTTGAATGGGGAACGGGGAATGGCTCTGGAGTGAATGCAGGGGAATCGGGCCTCATCTCGAGTTGATTTGGGGCAAATGGAGCTGCTTTGCGTTGCTGGGGTGACCTCAGGGTCCGTCTAGACTGGTGACAGTGTTCTTGGGGACTGTCTCGAGATCCATTAAGCAAGTCGAAGCTCCTGACTTGTTTGAATGGGATCACGGAATAGCTCTGCATGCACTGCAGGGGAATGGGGCCTCATCTCGCCTCTACGGGGAAGTCTCATGGTTTTTCTCGAGTTGAGGCGGGGACCTGGGGTATGTTCTCGACTTACGGCGGGGATGGCGCTTCAAAACACGAGTTTCTTCAGTGACGTCAGGACTCCTGTCTAGTAACGACGGACACCTCAGGAATCTCTAAGAGGCTTGGCAGGGCAAAAGGGACGCTTCTCGAGGTGAGGCAGGGCTCCCAAGGACGCTTTCCCCTAGCCACAGCGATTTTGGGATTCCTATCAGTATTCAAGAGGAGTCAGGCATCGTCACCTTTTGAAGCAATGAACTCCGCGTGCCTCTCGAGGTGTCAGCGGGATGTGAGGCATTCCGTCAAAATGAGGCAGGGACCTAGGGTTTCTCTAATGTCTCCACAGGGGATTCAGACATCCCTTCATGTTGTGAGATGAAAGACGAGCCTGTATTCAAGCCACTGCAAGGAAATCCGGCCTCCTTTCAAGTTAGGGCTTCTCGCTGTATATTCCCCTTGAGGCAGCAAACTCGGGTCCCTCCCACATACCTATTGCTGAGAGAAGCCTCCTCCTGAGGTGCTTCTGGAAAGTTGGCATACGTCTTGAGCCTAATCCAGGGAATCAGCTCTCATCTCGAGACGATTTGGGGTACACGGAGCATTCCTCAAGTTGCTGTGTTGAAGTTGGTGTTCCTCTAGACTTGGGACAGTGTTCTCGGGGCATCTCTGGAGTTGCCTGAAGGAAGTCGAGCCACCGGTCTTGTTGAATGGGGATCGGGGAATGGCTCTGGAGTCAATGCAGGGGAATCGGGCCTCATCTCGAGTTGATTTGGGGCACATGGAGCTGCTTTGCGTTGCTGGGGTGACCTCAAGGTCCGTCTAGACTGGTGACAGTGTTCTTGGGGACTGTCTCGAGATCCACTAAGCAAGTCGAAGCTCCTGACTTGTTTGAATGGGATCACGGAATAGCTCTGCATGCACTGCAGGGGAATGGGGCCTCATCTCGCCTCAAGGGGGAAGTCTCATGGTTTTTCTCGAGTTGAGGCGGGGACCTGGGGTATGTTCTCGACTTACGGCGGGGATGGCCCTTCAAAACACGAGTTTCTTCAGTGACCTCAGGACTCCTGTCTTGTAACGAGGGACACCTCAGGAATCTCTTCGAGGCTTGGCAGGGCAAAAGGGACGCTTCTCGAGGTGAGGCAGGGCACCCAAGGACCCTTTCCAGTAGCCACAGGGATTTTGGGAGTCCTATCATTATTCAAGAGGAGTCAGGCATCGTCACCTTTTGAAGCAATTTACTCCGCGTGCCTCTCGAGGTGTCAGCGGGATGTGAGGCATTCCGTCAAAATGAGGCAGGGACCTAGGGCCTTCTCTAAGGTCTCCACAGGGGATTCAGACATCCCTTCATGTTGTGAGATGAAAGACGAGCCTGTATTCAAGCCACTGCAAGGAAATCCGGCCTCCTTTCAAGTTAGGGCTTCTTGCTGTATATTCCCCTTGAGGCAGCAAACTCGGGGTCCCTTCCACATACCTATTGCTGAGAGAAGCCTCCTCCTGAGGTGCTTCTGGAAAGTTGGCATACGTCTTGAGCCTAAGCCAAGGAATCAGCTCTCATCTCGAGACGATTGGGGGTACACGGAGCATTCCTCTAGTTGCTGTGCTGAAGTTGTTGTTCCTCTAGCCTTGGGACAGTGTTCTCGGGGCATCTCTGGAGTTGCCTGAAGGAAGTCGAGCCACCGGTCGTGTTGAATGGGGAACGGGGAATGGCTCTGGAGTGAATGCAGGGGAATCGGGCCTCATCTCGAGTTGATTTGGGGCACATGGAGCTGCTTTGCGTTGCTGGGGTGACCTCAGGGTCCGTCTAGACTGGTGACAGTGTTCTTCGGGACTGTCTCGAGATCCATTAAGCAAGTCGAAGCTCCTGACTTGTTTGAATGGGATCACGGAATAGCTCTGCATGCACTGCAGGGGAATGGGGCCTCATCTCGCCCCTAGTGGGAAGTCACATGGTTTTTCTCGAGTTGCGGCGGGGACCTGGGGTATGTTCTCGACTTACGGCGGGGATGGCCGTTCAAAACACGAGTTTCTTCAGTGACGTCAGGACTCCTGTCTAGTAACGAGGGACACCTCAGGAATCTCTAAGAGGCTTGGCAGGGCAAAAGGGACGCTTCTCGAGGTGAGGCAGGGCACCCAAGGACGCTTTCCCCAAGCCACAGGGATTTTGGGATTCCTATCAGTATTCAAGAGGAGTCAGGCATCGTCACCTTTTGAAGCAATGAACTCCGCGTGCCTCTCGAGGTATCAGCGGGATGTGAGGCATTCCGTCAAAATGAGGCAGGGACCTAGGGCTTTCTCTAAGGTCTCCACAGGGGATTCAGACATCCCTTCATGTTGTGAGATGAAAGACAAGCCTGTATTCAAGCCACTGCAAGGAAATGCGGCCTCCTTTCAAGTTAGGGCTTCTCGCTGTATATTCCCCTTGAGGCAGCAAACTCGGGGTCCCTCCCACATACCTATTGCTGAGAGAAGCCTCCTCCTGAGGTGCTTCTGGAAAGTTGGCATACGTCTTGAGCCTAATCCAGGGAATCAGCTCTCATCTCGAGACAATTTGGGGTACACGGAGCATTAGTCGAGTTGCTGTGCTGAAGTTGGTGTTCCTCTAGACTTGGGACAGTGTTCTCGGGGCATCTCTGGAGTTGCCTGAAGGAAGTCGAGCCACCGGTCGTGTTGAATGGGGAACAGGGAATGTCTCTGGAGTCAATGCACGGGAATCGGGCCTCATCTCGAGTTGATTTGGGGCACATGGAGCTGCTTTGCGTTGCTGGGGTGACCTCAGGGTCCGTCTAGACTGGTGACAGTGTTCTTGGGGACTGTCTCGAGATCCATTAAGCAAGTCGAAGCTCCAAACTTGTTTGAATGGGATCACGGAATAGCTCTGCATGCACTGCAGGGGAATGGGGCCTCATCTCGCCTCAAGGGGGAAGTCTCATGGTTTTTCTCGAGTTGCGGCGGGGACCTGGTGTATGTTCTCGACTTACGGCGGGGATGGCCCTTCAAAACACGAGTTTCTTCAGTGACGTCAGGACTCCTGTCTTGTAACGAGGGACACCTCAGGAATCTCTACGAGGCTTGGCAGGGCAAAACGGACGCTTCTCGAGGTGAGGCAGGGTACCCAAGGACCCTTTCCAGTAGCCACAGTGATTTTGGGATTCCTATCAGTATTCAAGAGGAGTCAGGCATCGTCACCTTTTGAAGCAATGAACTCCGCGTGCCTCTCGCGGTGTCAGTGGGATGTGAGGCATTCCGTCAAAATGAGGCAGGGACCTAGGGCTTTCTCTAAGGTCTCCACAGGGGATTCAGACATCCCTTCATGTTGTGAGATGAAAGACGAGCCTGTATTCAAGCCACTGCAAGGAAATGCGGACTCCTTTCAAGTTAGGGATTCTCGCTGTATATTCCCCTTGAGGCAGCAAACTCGGGGTCCCTTCCACATACCTATTGCTGAGAGAAGCCTCCTCCTGAGGTGCTTCTGGAAAGTTGGCATACGTCTTGAGCCTAATCCAGGGAATCAGCTCTCATCTCGAGACAATTTGGGGTACACGGAGCATTCCTCGAGTTGCTGTGCTGAAGTTGGTGTTCCTCTAGACTTGGGACAGTGTTCTCGGGGCATCTCTGGAGTTGCCTGAAGGAAGTCGAGCCACCGGTCGTGTTGAATGGGGAGCGGGGAATGGCTCTGGAGTGAATGCAGGGGAATCGGGCCTCATCTCGAGTTGATTTGGGGCACATGGAGCTGCTTTGCGTTGCTGGGGTGACCTCAGGGTCCGTCTAGACTGGTGACAGTGTTCTTGGGGACTGTCTCGAGATCCATTAAGCAAGTCGAAGCTCCTGACTTGTTTGAATGGGATCACGGAATAGCTCTGCATGCACTGCAGGGGAATGGGGCTTCATCTCGCCTCTAGGGGGAAGTCTCATGGTTTTTCTCGAGTTGCGGCGGGGACCTGGGGTATGTTCTCGACTTACGGCGGGGATGGCCCTTCAAAACACGAGTTTCTTCTGTGACGTCAGGACTCCTGTCTAGTAACGAGGGACACCTCAGGAATCTCTAAGAGGCTTGGCAGTTCAAAAGGGACGCTTCTCGAGGTGAGGCAGGGCACCCAAGGACGCTTTCCCCTAGCCACAGGGATTTTGGGATTCCTATCAGTATTCAAGAGGAGTCAGGCATCGTCACCTTTTGAAGCAATGAACTCCGCGTGCCTCTCGAGGTGTCAGAGGGATGTGAGGCATTCCGTCAAAATGAGGCAGGGACCTAGGGCTTTCTCTAAGGTCTCCACAGGGGATTCAGACATCTCTTCATGTTGTGAGAAGAAAGAAGAGCCTGTATTCAAGCCACTGCAAGGAAATCCGGCCTCCTTTCAAGTTAGGGCTTCTCGCTGTATATTCCCCTTGAGGCACAAACTCGGGGTCCCTCCCACATACTTATTGCTGAGAGAAGCCTCCTCCTGAGGTGCTTCTGGAAAGTTGGCATACGTCTTGAGCCTAAGCCAGGGAATCAGCTCTCATCTCGAGATGATTTGGGTTACACGGAGCATTCCTCGAGTTGCTGTGCTGAAGTTGGTGTTCCTCTAGACTTGGGACAGTGTTCTCGGGGCATCTCTGGAGTTGCCTGAAGGAAGTCGAGCCAAAGGTCGTGTTGAATGGGGAACGGGGAATGGCTATGGAGTGAATGCAGGGGAATCGGGCCTCATCTCGAGTTGATTTGGGGCACATGGAGCTGCTTTGCGTTGCTGGGGTGACCTCAGGGTCCGTCTAGACTGGTGACAGTGTTCTTGGGGACTGTCTCGAGATCCATTAAGCAAGTCGAAGCTCCTGACTTGTTTGAATGGGATCACGGAATAGCTCTGCATGCACTGCAGGGGAATGGGGCCTCATCTCGCCTCTAGGGGGAAGTCTCATGGTTTTTCTCGAGTTGCGGCGGAGACCTGGGGTATGTTCTCGACTTACGGCGGGGATGGCCCTTCAAAACACGAGTTTCTTCAGTGACGTCAGGACCCCTGTCTTGTAACGAGGGACACCTCAGGAATCTCTACGAGGCTTGGAGGGCAAAAGGGACGCTTCTCGTGGTGAGGCAGGGTACCCAAGGACCCTTTCCAGTAGCCACAGCGATTTTGGGATTCCTATCAGTATTCAAGAGGAGTCAGGCATCGTCACCTTTTGAAGCAATGAACTCCGCGTGCCTCTCGAGGTGTCAGTGGGATGTGAGGCATTCCGTCAAAATGAGGCAGGGACCTAGGGCTTTCTCTAAGGTCTCCACAGGGGATTCAGACATCCCTTCATGTTGTGAGATGAAAGACGAGCCTGTATTCAAGCCACTGCAAGGAAATGCGGACTCCTTTCAAGTTAGGGATTCTTGCTGTATATTCCCCTTGAGGCAGCAAACTCGGGGTCCCTTCCACATACCTATTGCTGACAGAAGCCTCCTCCTGAGGTGCTTCTGGAAAGTTGGCATACGTCTTGAGCCTAAGCCAGGGAATCAGCTCTCATCTCGAGACAATTTGGGGTACACGGAGCATTCCTCGAGTTGCTGTGCTGAAGTTGGTGTTCCTCTAGACTTGGGACAGTGTTCTCGGGGCATCTCTGGAGTTGCCTGAAGGAAGTCGAGCCACCGGTCGTGTTGAATGGGGATCGGGGAATGGCTCTGGAGTCAATGCAGGGGAATCGGGCCTCATCTCGAGTTGACTTGGGGCACATGGAGCTGCTTTGCGTTGCTGGGGTGACCTCAGGGTCCGTCTAGACTGGTGACAGTGTTCTTGGGGACTGTCTCGAGATCCATTAAGCAAGTCGAAACTCCTGACTTGTTTGAATGGGATCACAGAATAGCTCTGCATGCACTGCAGGGGAATGTGGCCTCATCTCGCCTCTAGGGGGAAGTCTCATGGTTTTTCTCGAGTTGCGGCGGGGACCTGGTATATGTTCTCGACTTACGGCGGGGATGGCCCTTCAAAACACGAGTTTCTTCAGTGACGTCAGGACTCCTGTCTAGTAACGATGGACACCTCAGGAATCTCTAAGAGGCTTGGCAGGGCAAAAGGGACGCTTCTCGAGGTGAGGCAGGGCACCCAAGGACGCTTTCCCCTAGCCACAGGGATTTTGGGATTCCTATCAGTATTCAAGAGGAGTCAGGCATCGTCACCTTTTGAAGCAATGAACTCCGCGTGCTTCTCGAGGTGTCAGCGGGATGTGAGGCATTCCGTCAAAATGAGGCAGGGACCTAGGTCTTTCTCTAAGGTCTCCACAGGGGATTCAGACATCCCTTCATGTTGTGAGATGAAAGACGAGCCTGTATTCAAGCCACTGCAAGGAAATGCGGCCTCCTTTCAAGTTAGGGCTTCTCGCTGTATATTCCCCTTGAGGCAGCAAACTCGGGGTCCCTTCCACATACCTATTGCTGAGAGAAGCCTCCTCCTGAGGTGCTTCTGGAAAGTTGGCATACGTCTTGAGCCTAATCCAGGGAATCAGCTCTCATCTCGAGACAATTTGGGGTACACTGAGCATTAGTCGAGTTGCTGTGCTGAAGTTGGTGTTCCTCTAGACTTGGGACAGTGTTCTCGGGGCATCTCTGGAGTTGCCTGAAGGAAGTCGAGCCACCGGTCGTGTTGAATGGGGAACAGGGAATGTCTCTGGAGTCAATGCACGGGAATCGGGCCTCATCTCGAGTTGATTTGGGGCACATGGAGCTGCTTTGCGTTGCTGGGGTGACCTCAGGGTCCGTCTAGACTGGTGACAGTGTTCTTGGGGACTGTCTCGAGATCCATTAAGCAAGTCGAAGCTCCAAACTTGTTTGAATGGGATCACGGAATAGCTCTGCATGCACTGCAGGGGAATGGGGCCTCATCTCGCCTCAAGGGGGAAGTCTCATGGTTTTTCTCGAGTTGCGGCGGGGACCTGGTGTATGTTCTCGACTTACGGCGGGGATGGCCCTTCAAAACACGAGTTTCTTCAGTGACGTCAGGACTCCTGTCTTGTAACGAGGGACACCTCAGGAATCTCTACGAGGCTTGGCAGGGCAAAACGGACGCTTCTCGAGGTGAGGCAGGGTACCCAAGGACCCTTTCCAGTAGCCACAGTGATTTTGGGATTCCTATCAGTATTCAAGAGGAGTCAGGCATCGTCACCTTTTGAAGCAATGAACTCCGCGTGCCTCTCGAGGTGTCAGTGGGATGTGAGGCATTCCGTCAAAATGAGGCAGGGACCTAGGGCTTTCTCTAAGGTCTCCACAGGGGATTCAGACATCCCTTCATGTTGTGAGATGAAAGACGAGCCTGTATTCAAGCCACTGCAAGGAAATGCGGACTCCTTTCAAGTTAGGGATTCTCGCTGTATATTCCCCTTGAGGCAGCAAACTCGGGGTCCCTTCCACATACCTATTGCTGAGAGAAGCCTCCTCCTGAGGTGCTTCTGGAAAGTTGGCATACGTCTTGAGCCTAAGCCAGGGAATCAGCTCTCATCTCGAGACAATTTGGGGTACACGGAGCATTCCTCGAGTTGCTGTGCTGAAGTTGGTGTTCCTCTAGACTTGGGACAGTGTTCTCGGGGCATCTCTGGAGTTGCCTGAAGGAAGTCGAGCCACCGGTCGTGTTGAATGGGGAGCGGGGAATGGCTCTGGAGTGAATGCAGGGGAATCGGGCCTCATCTCGAGTTGATTTGGGGCACATGGAGCTGCTTTGCGTTGCTGGGGTGACCTCAGGGTCCGTCTAGACTGGTGACAGTGTTCTTGGGGACTGTCTCGAGATCCATTAAGCAAGTCGAAGCTCCTGACTTGTTTGAATGGGATCACGGAATAGCTCTGCATGCACTGCAGGGGAATGGGGCTTCATCTCGCCTCTAGGGGGAAGTCTCATGGTTTTTCTCGAGTTGCGGCGGGGACCTGGGGTATGTTCTCGACTTACGGCGGGGATGGCCCTTCAAAACACGAGTTTCTTCAGTGACGTCAGGACTCCTGTCTAGTAACGAGGGACACCTCAGGAATCTCTAAGAGGCTTGGCAGTTCAAAAGGGACGCTTCTCGAGGTGAGGCAGGGCACCCAAGGACGCTTTCCCCTAGCCACAGGGATTTTGGGATTCCTATCAGTATTCAAGAGGAGTCAGGCATCGTCACCTTTTGAAGCAATGAACTCCGCGTGCCTCTCGAGGTGTCAGAGGGATGTGAGGCATTCCGTCAAAATGAGGCAGGGACCTAGGGCTTTCTCTAAGGTCTCCACAGGGGATTCAGACATCCCTTCATGTTGTGAGATGAAAGAAGAGCCTGTATTCAAGCCACTGCAAGGAAATCCGGCCTCCTTTCAAGTTAGGGCTTCTCGCTGTATATTCCCCTTGAGGCACAAACTCGGGGTCCCTCCCACATACTTATTGCTGAGAGAAGCCTCCTCCTGAGGTGCTTCTGGAAAGTTGGCATACGTCTTGAGCCTAAGCCAGGGAATCAGCTCTCATCTCGAGATGATTTGGGTTACACGGAGCATTCCTCGAGTTGCTGTGCTGAAGTTGGTGTTCCTCTAGACTTGGGACAGTGTTCTCGGGGCATCTCTGGAGTTGCCTGAAGGAAGTCGAGCCACCGGTCGTGTTGAATGGGGAACGGGGAATGGCTATGGAGTGAATGCAGGGGAATCGGGCCTCATCTCGAGTTGATTTGGGGCACATGGAGCTGCTTTGCGTTGCTGGGGTGACCTCAGGGTCCGTCTAGACTGGTGACAGTGTTCTTGGGGACTGTCTCGAGATCCATTAAGCAAGTCGAAGCTCCTGACTTGTTTGAATGGGATCACGGAATAGCTCTGCATGCACTGCAGGGGAATGGGGCCTCATCTCGCCTCTAGGGGGAAGTCTCATGGTTTTTCTCGAGTTGCGGCGGAGACCTGGGGTATGTTCTCGACTTACGGCGGGGATGGCCCTTCAAAACACGAGTTTCTTCAGTGACGTCAGGACCCCTGTCTTGTAACGAGGGACACCTCAGGAATCTCTACGAGGCTTGGAGGGCAAAAGGGACGCTTCTCGAGGTGAGGCAGGGTTCCCAAGGACCCTTTCCAGTAGCCACAGCGATTTTGGGATTCCTATCAGTATTCAAGAGGAGTCAGGCATCGTCACCTTTTGAAGCAATGAACTCCGCGTGCCTCTCGAGGTGTCAGTGGGATGTGAGGCATTCCGTCAAAATGAGGCAGGGACCTAGGGCTTTCTCTAAGGTCTCCACAGGGGATTCAGACATCCCTTCATGTTGTGAGATGAAAGACGAGCCTGTATTCAAGCCACTGCAAGGAAATGCGGACTCCTTTCAAGTTAGGGATTCTTGCTGTATATTCCCCTTGAGGCAGCAAACTCGGGGTCCCTTCCACATACCTATTGCTGACAGAAGCCTCCTCCTGAGGTGCTTCTGGAAAGTTGGCATACGTCTTGAGCCTAAGCCAGGGAATCAGCTCTCATCTCGAGACAATTTGGGGTACACGGAGCATTCCTCGAGTTGCTGTGCTGAAGTTGGTGTTCCTCTAGACTTGGGACAGTGTTCTCGGGGCATCTCTGGAGTTGCCTGAAGGAAGTCGAGCCACCGGTCGTGTTGAATGGGGATCGGGGAATGGCTCTGGAGTCAATGCAGGGGAATCGGGCCTCATCTCGAGTTGACTTGGGGCACATGGAGCTGCTTTGCGTTGCTGGGGTGACCTCAGGGTCCGTCTAGACTGGTGACAGTGTTCTTGGGGACTGTCACGAGATCCATTAAGCAAGTCGAAACTCCTGACTTGTTTGAATGGGATCACAGAATAGCTCTGCATGCACTGCAGGGGAATGTGGCCTCATCTCGCCTCTAGGGGGAAGTCTCATGGTTTTTCTCGAGTTGCGGCGGGGACCTGGTATATGTTCTCGACTTACGGCGGGGATGGCCCTTCAAAACACGAGTTTCTTCAGTGACGTCAGGACTCCTGTCTAGTAACGATGGACACCTCAGGAATCTCTAAGAGGCTTGGCAGGGCAAAAGGGACGCTTCTCGAGGTGAGGCAGGGCACCCAAGGACGCTTTCCCCTAGCCACAGGGATTTTGGGATTCCTATCAGTATTCAAGAGGAGTCAGGCATCGTCACCTTTTGAAGCAATGAACTCCGCGTGCTTCTCGAGGTGTCAGCGGGATGTGAGGCATTCCGTCAAAATGAGGCAGGGACCTAGGTCTTTCTCTAAGGTCTCCACAGGGGATTCAGACATCCCTTCATGTTGTGAGATGAAAGACGAGCCTGTATTCAAGCCACTGCAAGGAAATCCGGCCTCCTTTCAAGTTAGGGCTTCTCGCTGTATATTCCCCTTGAGGCAGCAAACTCGGGTCCCTCCCACATACCTATTGCTGAGAGAAGCCTCCTCCTGAGGTGCTTCTGGAAAGTTGGCATACGTCTTGAGCCTAATCCAGGGAATCAGCTCTCATCTCGAGACGTTTTGGGGTACACGGAGCATTCCTCAAGTTGCTGTGCTGAAGTTGGTGTTCCTCTAGACTTGGGACAGTGTTCTCGGGGCATCTCTGGAGTTGCCTGAAGGAAGTCGAGCCACCGGTCTTGTTGAATGGGGAACGGGGAATGGCTCTGGAGTCAATGCAGGGGAATCGGGCCTCATCTCGAGTTGATTTGGGGCACATGGAGCTGCTTTGCGTTGCTGGGGTGACCTCAGGGTCCGTCTAGACTGGTGACAGTGTTCTTGGGGACTGTCTCGAGATCCACTAAGCAAGTCGAAGCTCCTGACTTGTTTGAATGGGATCACGGAATAGCTCTGCATGCACTGCAGGGGAATGGGGCCTCATCTCGCCTCAAGGGGGAAGTCTCATGGTTTTTCTCGAGTTGCGGCGGGGACCTGGGGTATGTTCTCGACTTACGGCGGGGATGGCCCTTCAAAACACGAGTTTCTTCAGTGACCTCAGGACTCTTGTCTTGTAACGAGGGACACCTCAGGAATCTCTTCGAGGCTTGGCAGGGCAAAAGGGACGCTTCTCGAGGTGAGGCAGGGCACCCAAGGACCCTTTCCAGTAGCCACAGGGATTTTGGGAGTCCTATCATTATTCAAGAGGAGTCAGGCATCGTCACCTTTTGAAGCAATTTACTCCGCGTGCCTCTCGAGGTGTCAGCGGAATGTGAGGCATTCCGTCAAAATGAGGCAGGGACCTAGGGCCTTCTCTAAGGTCTCCACAGGGGATTCAGACATCCCTTCATGTTGTGAGATGAAAGACGAGCCTGTATTCAAGCCACTGCAAGGAAATCCGGCCTCCTTTCAAGTTAGGGCTTCTTGCTGTATATTCCCCTTGAGGCAGCAAACTCGGGGTCCCTTCCACATACCTATTGCTGAGAGAAGCCTCCTCCTGAGGTGCTTCTGGAAAGTTGGCATACGTCTTGAGCCTAAGCCAAGGAATCAGCTCTCATCTCGAGACGATTGGGGGTACACGGAGCATTCCTCGAGTTGCTGTGCTGAAGTTGTTGTTCCTCTAGCCTTGGGACAGTGTTCTCGGGGCATCTCTGGAGTTGCCTGAAGGAAGTCGAGCCACCGGTCGTGTTGAATGGGGAACGGGGAATGGCTCTGGAGTGAATGCAGGGGAATCGGGCCTCATCTCGAGTTGATTTGGGGCACATGGAGCTGCTTTGCGTTGCTGGGGTGACCTCAGGGTCCGTCTAGACTGGTGACAGGGTTCTTCGGGACTGTTTCGAGATCCATTAAGGAAGTCGAAGCTCCTGACTTGTTTGAATGGGATCACGGAATAGCTCTGCATGCACTGCAGGGGAATGGGGCCTCATCTCGCCTCTAGGGGGAAGTCACATGGTTTTTCTCGAGTTGCGGTGGGGACCTGGGGTATGTTCTCGACTTACGGCGGGGATGGCCGTTCAAAACACGAGTTTCTTCAGTGACGTCAGGACTCCTGTCTAGTAACGAGGGACACCTCAGGAATCTCTAAGAGGCTTGGCAGGGCAAAAGGGACGCTTCTCGAGGTGAGGCAGGGCACCCAAGGACGCTTTCCCCTAGCCACAGGGATTTTGGGATTCCTATCAGTATTCAAGAGGAGTCAGGCATCGTCACCTTTTGAAGCAATGAACTCCGCGTGCCTCTCGAGGTGTCAGCGGGATGTGAGGCATTCCGTCAAAATGAGGCAGGGACCTAGGGCTTTCTCTAAGGTCTCCACAGGGGATTCAGACATCCCTTCATGTTGTGAGATGAAAGACAAGCCTGTATTCAAGCCACTGCAAGGAAATCCGGCCTCCTTTCAAGTTAGGGCTTCTCGCTGTATATTCCCCTTGAGGCAGCAAACTCGGGTCCCTCCCACATACCTATTGCTGAGAGAAGCCTCCTCCTGAGGTGCTTCTGGAAAGTTGGCATACGTCTTGAGCCTAATCCAGGGAATCAGCTCTCATCTCGAGACGATTTGGGGTACACGGAGCATTCCTCAAGTTGCTGTGCTGAAGTTGGTGTTCCTCTAGACTTGGGACAGTGTTCTCAGGGCATCTCTGGAGTTGCCTGAAGGAAGTCGAGCCACCGGTCGTGTTGAATGGGGAACGGGGAATGGCTCTGGAGTCAATGCAGGGGAATCGGGCCTCATCTCGAGTTGATTTGGGGCACATGGAGCTGCTTTGCGTTGCTGGGGTGACCTCAGGGTCCGTCTAGACTGGTGACAGTGTTCTTGGGGACTGTCTCGAGATCCACTAAGCAAGTCGAAGCTCCTGACTTGTTTGAATGGGATCACGGAATAGCTCTGCATGCACTGCAGTGGAATGGGGCCTCATCTCGCCTCAAGGGGGAAGTCTCATGGTTTTTCTCGAGTTGAGGCGGGGACCTGGGGTATGTTCTCGACTTACGGCGGGGATGGCCCTTCAAAACACGAGTTTCTTCAGTGACCTCAGGACTCCTGTCTTGTAACGAGGGACACCTCAGGAATCTCTTCGAGGCTTGGCAGGGCAAAAGGGACGCTTCTCGAGGTGAGGCAGGGCACCCAAGGACCCTTTCCAGTAGCCACAGGGATTTTGGGAGTCCTATCATTATTCAAGAGGAGTCAGGCATCGTCACCTTTTGAAGCAATTTACTCCGCGTGCCTCTCGAGGTGTCAGCGGGATGTGAGGCATTCCGTCAAAATGAGGCAGGGACCTAGGGCCTTCTCTAAGGTCTCCACAGGGGATTCAGACATCCCTTCATGTTGTGAGATGAAAGACGAGCCTGTATTCAAGCCACTGCAAGGAAATGCGGCCTCCTTTCAAGTTAGGGCTTCTCGCTGTATATTCCCCTTGAGGCAGCAAACTCGGGGTCCCTTCCACATACCTATTGCTGAGAGAAGCCTCCTCCTGAGGTGCTTCTGGAAAGTTGGCATACGTCTTGAGCCTAATCCAGGGAATCAGCTCTCATCTCGAGACAATTTGGGGTACACTGAGCATTAGTCGAGTTGCTGTGCTGAAGTTGGTGTTCCTCTAGACTTGGGACAGTGTTCTCGGGGCATCTCTGGAGTTGCCTGAAGGAAGTCGAGCCACCGGTCGTGTTGAATGGGGAACAGGGAATGTCTCTGGAGTCAATGCACGGGAATCGGGCCTCATCTCGAGTTGATTTGGGGCACATGGAGCTGCTTTGCGTTGCTGGGGTGACCTCAGGGTCCGTCTAGACTGGTGACAGTGTTCTTGGGGACTGTCTCGAGATCCATTAAGCAAGTCGAAGCTCCAAACTTGTTTGAATGGGATCACGGAATAGCTCTGCATGCACTGCAGGGGAATGGGGCCTCATCTCGCCTCAAGGGGGAAGTCTCATGGTTTTTCTCGAGTTGCGGCGGGGACCTGGTGTATGTTCTCGACTTACGGCGGGGATGGCCCTTCAAAACACGAGTTTCTTCAGTGACGTCAGGACTCCTGTCTTGTAACGAGGGACACCTCAGGAATCTCTACGAGGCTTGGCAGGGCAAAACGGACGCTTCTCGAGGTGAGGCAGGGTACCCAAGGACCCTTTCCAGTAGCCACAGTGATTTTGGGATTCCTATCAGTATTCAAGAGGAGTCAGGCATCGTCACCTTTTGAAGCAATGAACTCCGCGTGCCTCTCGAGGTGTCAGTGGGATGTGAGGCATTCCGTCAAAATGAGGCAGGGACCTAGGGCTTTCTCTAAGGTCTCCACAGGGGATTCAGACATCCCTTCATGTTGTGAGATGAAAGACGAGCCTGTATTCAAGCCACTGCAAGGAAATGCGGACTCCTTTCAAGTTAGGGATTCTCGCTGTATATTCCCCTTGAGGCAGCAAACTCGGGGTCCCTTCCACATACCTATTGCTGAGAGAAGCCTCCTCCTGAGGTGCTTCTGGAAAGTTGGCATACGTCTTGAGCCTAAGCCAGGGAATCAGCTCTCATCTCGAGACAATTTGGGGTACACGGAGCATTCCTCGAGTTGCTGTGCTGAAGTTGGTGTTCCTCTAGACTTGGGACAGTGTTCTCGGGGCATCTCTGGAGTTGCCTGAAGGAAGTCGAGCCACCGGTCGTGTTGAATGGGGAGCGGGGAATGGCTCTGGAGTGAATGCAGGGGAATCGGGCCTCATCTCGAGTTGATTTGGGGCACATGGAGCTGCTTTGCGTTGCTGGGGTGACCTCAGGGTCCGTCTAGACTGGTGACAGTGTTCTTGGGGACTGTCTCGAGATCCATTAAGCAAGTCGAAGCTCCTGACTTGTTTGAATGGGATCACGGAATAGCTCTGCATGCACTGCAGGGGAATGGGGCTTCATCTCGCCTCTAGGGGGAAGTCTCATGGTTTTTCTCGAGTTGCGGCGGGGACCTGGGGTATGTTCTCGACTTACGGCGGGGATGGCCCTTCAAAACACGAGTTTCTTCAGTGACGTCAGGACTCCTGTCTAGTAACGAGGGACACCTCAGGAATCTCTAAGAGGCTTGGCAGTTCAAAAGGGACGCTTCTCGAGGTGAGGCAGGGCACCCAAGGACGCTTTCCCCTAGCCACAGGGATTTTGGGATTCCTATCAGTATTCAAGAGGAGTCAGGCATCGTCACCTTTTGAAGCAATGAACTCCGCGTGCCTCTCGAGGTGTCAGAGGGATGTGAGGCATTCCGTCAAAATGAGGCAGGGACCTAGGGCTTTCTCTAAGGTCTCCACAGGGGATTCAGACATCCCTTCATGTTGTGAGATGAAAGAAGAGCCTGTATTCAAGCCACTGCAAGGAAATCCGGCCTCCTTTCAAGTTAGGGCTTCTCGCTGTATATTCCCCTTGAGGCACAAACTCGGGGTCCCTCCCACATACTTATTGCTGAGAGAAGCCTCCTCCTGAGGTGCTTCTGGAAAGTTGGCATACGTCTTGAGCCTAAGCCAGGGAATCAGCTCTCATCTCGAGATGATTTGGGTTACACGGAGCATTCCTCGAGTTGCTGTGCTGAAGTTGGTGTTCCTCTAGACTTGGGACAGTGTTCTCGGGGCATCTCTGGAGTTGCCTGAAGGAAGTCGAGCCACCGGTCGTGTTGAATGGGGAACGGGGAATGGCTCTGGAGTCAATGCAGGGGAATCGGGCCTCATCTCGAGTTGATTTGGGGCACATGGAGCTGCTTTGCGTTGCTGGGGTGACCTCAGGGTCCGTCTAGACTGGTGACAGTGTTCTTGGGGACTGTCTCGAGATCCATTAAGCAAGTCGAAGCTCCTGACTTGTTTGAATGGGATCACGGAATAGCTCTGCATGCACTGCAGGGGAATGGGGCCTCATCTCGCCTCTAGGGGGAAGTCTCATGGTTTTTCTCGAGTTGCGGCGGAGACCTGGGGTATGTTCTCGACTTACGGCGGGGATGGCCCTTCAAAACACGAGTTTCTTCAGTGACGTCAGGACCCCTGTCTTGTAACGAGGGACACCTCAGGAATCTCTACGAGGCTTGGAGGGCAAAAGGGACGCTTCTCGAGGTGAGGCAGGGTACCCAAGGACCCTTTCCAGTAGCCACAGCGATTTTGGGATTCCTATCAGTATTCAAGAGGAGTCAGGCATCGTCACCTTTTGAAGCAATGAACTCCGCGTGCCTCTCGAGGTGTCAGTGGGATGTGAGGCATTCCGTCAAAATGAGGCAGGGACCTAGGGCTTTCTCTAAGGTCTCCACAGGGGATTCAGACATCCCTTCATGTTGTGAGATGAAAGACGAGCCTGTATTCAAGCCACTGCAAGGAAATGCGGACTCCTTTCAAGTTAGGGATTCTTGCTGTATATTCCCCTTGAGGCAGCAAACTCGGGGTCCCTTCCACATACCTATTGCTGACAGAAGCCTCCTCCTGAGGTGCTTCTGGAAAGTTGGCATACGTCTTGAGCCTAAGCCAGGGAATCAGCTCTCATCTCGAGACAATTTGGGGTACACGGAGCATTCCTCGAGTTGCTGTGCTGAAGTTGGTGTTCCTCTAGACTTGGGACAGTGTTCTCGGGGCATCTCTGGAGTTGCCTGAAGGAAGTCGAGCCACCGGTCGTGTTGAATGGGGATCGGGGAATGGCTCTGGAGTCAATGCAGGGGAATCGGGCCTCATCTCGAGTTGACTTGGGGCACATGGAGCTGCTTTGCGTTGCTGGGGTGACCTCAGGGTCCGTCTAGACTGGTGACAGTGTTCTTGGGGACTGTCACGAGATCCATTAAGCAAGTCGAAACTCCTGACTTGTTTGAATGGGATCACAGAATAGCTCTGCATGCACTGCAGGGGAATGTGGCCTCATCTCGCCTCTAGGGGGAAGTCTCATGGTTTTTCTCGAGTTGCGGCGGGGACCTGGTATATGTTCTCGACTTACGGCGGGGATGGCCCTTCAAAACACGAGTTTCTTCAGTGACGTCAGGACTCCTGTCTAGTAACGATGGACACCTCAGGAATCTCTAAGAGGCTTGGCAGGGCAAAAGGGACGCTTCTCGAGGTGAGGCAGGGCACCCAAGGACGCTTTCACCTAGCCACAGGGATTTTGGGATTCCTATCAGTATTCAAGAGGAGTCAGGCATCGTCACCTTTTGAAGCAATGAACTCCGCGTGCTTCTCGAGGTGTCAGCGGGATGTGAGGCATTCCGTCAAAATGAGGCAGGGACCTAGGTCTTTCTCTAAGGTCTCCACAGGGGATTCAGACATCCCTTCATGTTGTGAGATGAAAGACGAGCCTGTATTCAAGCCACTGCAAGGAAATCCGGCCTCCTTTCAAGTTAGGGCTTCTCGCTGTATATTCCCCTTGAGGCAGCAAACTCGGGTCCCTCCCACATACCTATTGCTGAGAGAAGCCTCCTCCTGAGGTGCTTCTGGAAAGTTGGCATACGTCTTGAGCCTAATCCAGGGAATCAGCTCTCATCTCGAGACGTTTTGGGGTACACGGAGCATTCCTCAAGTTGCTGTGCTGAAGTTGGTGTTCCTCTAGACTTGGGACAGTGTTCTCGGGGCATCTCTGGAGTTGCCTGAAGGAAGTCGAGCCACCGGTCTTGTTGAATGGGGAACGGGGAATGGCTCTGGAGTCAATGCAGGGGAATCGGGCCTCATCTCGAGTTGATTTGGGGCACATGGAGCTGCTTTGCGTTGCTGGGGTGACCTCAGGGTCCGTCTAGACTGGTGACAGTGTTCTTGGGGACTGTCTCGAGATCCACTAAGCAAGTCGAAGCTCCTGACTTGTTTGAATGGGATCACGGAATAGCTCTGCATGCACTGCAGGGGAATGGGGCCTCATCTCGCCTCAAGGGGGAAGTCTCATGGTTTTTCTCGAGTTGCGGCGGGGACCTGGGGTATGTTCTCGACTTACGGCGGGGATGGCCCTTCAAAACACGAGTTTCTTCAGTGACCTCAGGACTCCTGTCTTGTAACGAGGGACACCTCAGGAATCTCTTCGAGGCTTGGCAGGGCAAAAGGGACGCTTCTCGAGGTGAGGCAGGGCACCCAAGGACCCTTTCCAGTAGCCACAGGGATTTTGGGAGTCCTATCATTATTCAAGAGGAGTCAGGCATCGTCACCTTTTGAAGCAATTTACTCCGCGTGCCTCTCGAGGTGTCAGCGGAATGTGAGGCATTCCGTCAAAATGAGGCAGGGACCTAGGGCCTTCTCTAAGGTCTCCACAGGGGATTCAGACATCCCTTCATGTTGTGAGATGAAAGACGAGCCTGTATTCAAGCCACTGCAAGGAAATCCGGCCTCCTTTCAAGTTAGGGCTTCTTGCTGTATATTCCCCTTGAGGCAGCAAACTCGGGGTCCCTTCCACATACCTATTGCTGAGAGAAGCCTCCTCCTGAGGTGCTTCTGGAAAGTTGGCATACGTCTTGAGCCTAAGCCAAGGAATCAGCTCTCATCTCGAGACGATTGGGGGTACACGGAGCATTCCTCGAGTTGCTGTGCTGAAGTTGTTGTTCCTCTAGCCTTGGGACAGTGTTCTCGGGGCATCTCTGGAGTTGCCTGAAGGAAGTCGAGCCACCGGTCGTGTTGAATGGGGAACGGGGAATGGCTCTGGAGTGAATGCAGGGGAATCGGGCCTCATCTCGAGTTGATTTGGGGCACATGGAGCTGCTTTGCGTTGCTGGGGTGACCTCAGGGTCCGTCTAGACTGGTGACAGGGTTCTTCGGGACTGTTTCGAGATCCATTAAGGAAGTCGAAGCTCCTGACTTGTTTGAATGGGATCACGGAATAGCTCTGCATGCACTGCAGGGGAATGGGGCCTCATCTCGCCTCTAGGGGGAAGTCACATGGTTTTTCTCGAGTTGCGGTGGGGACCTGGGGTATGTTCTCGACTTACGGCGGGGATGGCCGTTCAAAACACGAGTTTCTTCAGTGACGTCAGGACTCCTGTCTAGTAACGAGGGACACCTCAGGAATCTCTAAGAGGCTTGGCAGGGCAAAAGGGACGCTTCTCGAGGTGAGGCAGGGCACCCAAGGACGCTTTCCCCTAGCCACAGGGATTTTGGGATTCCTATCAGTATTCAAGAGGAGTCAGGCATCGTCACCTTTTGAAGCAATGAACTCCGCGTGCCTCTCGAGGTGTCAGCGGGATGTGAGGCATTCCGTCAAAATGAGGCAGGGACCTAGGGCTTTCTCTAAGGTCTCCACAGGGGATTCAGACATCCCTTCATGTTGTGAGATGAAAGACAAGCCTGTATTCAAGCCACTGCAAGGAAATCCGGCCTCCTTTCAAGTTAGGGCTTCTCGCTGTATATTCCCCTTGAGGCAGCAAACTCGGGTCCCTCCCACATACCTATTGCTGAGAGAAGCCTCCTCCTGAGGTGCTTCTGGAAAGTTGGCATACGTCTTGAGCCTAATCCAGGGAATCAGCTCTCATCTCGAGACGATTTGGGGTACACGGAGCATTCCTCAAGTTGCTGTGCTGAAGTTGGTGTTCCTCTAGACTTGGGACAGTGTTCTCAGGGCATCTCTGGAGTTGCCTGAAGGAAGTCGAGCCACCGGTCGTGTTGAATGGGGAACGGGGAATGTCTCTGGAGTCAATGCAGGGGAATCGGGCCTCATCTCGAGTTGATTTGGGGCACATGGAGCTGCTTTGCGTTGCTGGGGTGACCTCAGGGTCCGTCTAGACTGGTGACAGTGTTCTTGGGGACTGTCTCGAGATCCACTAAGCAAGTCGAAGCTCCTGACTTGTTTGAATGGGATCACGGAATAGCTCTGCATGCACTGCAGTGGAATGGGGCCTCATCTCGCCTCAAGGGGGAAGTCTCATGGTTTTTCTCGAGTTGCGGCGGGGACCTGGGGTATGTTCTCGACTTACGGCGGGGATGGCCCTTCAAAACACGAGTTTCTTCAGTGACCTCAGGACTCCTGTCTTGTAACGAGGGACACCTCAGGAATCTCTTCGAGGCTTGGCAGGGCAAAAGGGACGCTTCTCGAGGTGAGGCAGGGCACCCAAGGACCCTTTCCAGTAGCCACAGGGATTTTGGGAGTCCTATCATTATTCAAGAGGAGTCAGGCATCGTCACCTTTTGAAGCAATTTACTCCGCGTGCCTCTCGAGGTGTCAGCGGGATGTGAGGCATTCCGTCAAAATGAGGCAGGGACCTAGGGCCTTCTCTAAGGTCTCCACAGGGGATTCAGACATCCCTTCATGTTGTGAGATGAAAGACGAGCCTGTATTCAAGCCACTGCAAGGAAATCCGGCCTCCTTTCAAGTTAGGGCTTCTTGCTGTATATTCCCCTTGAGGCAGCAAACTCGGGGTCCCTTCCACATACCTATTGCTGAGACAAGCCTCCTCCTGAGGTGCTTCTGGAAAGTTGGCATACGTCTTGAGCCTAAGCCAAGGAATCAGCTCTCATCTCGAGACGATTGGGGGTACACGGAGCATTCCTCGAGTTGCTGTGCTGAAGTTGTTGTTCCTCTAGCCTTGGGACAGTGTTCTCGGGGCATCTCTGGAGTTGCCTGAAGGAAGTCGAGCCACCGGTCGTGTTGAATGGGGAACGGGGAATGGCTCTGGAGTGAATGCAGGGGAATCGGGCCTCATCTCGAGTTGATTTGGGGCACATGGAGCTGCTTTGCGTTGCTGGGGTGACCTCAGGGTCCGTCTAGACTGGTGACAGGGTTCTTCGGGACTGTTTCGAGATCCATTAAGGAAGTCGAAGCTCCTGACTTGTTTGAATGGGATCACGGAATAGCTCTGCATGCACTGCAGGGGAATGGGGCCTCATCTCGCCTCTAGGGGGAAGTCACATGGTTTTTCTCGAGTTGCGGTGGGGACCTGGGGTATGTTCTCGACTTACGGCGGGGATGGCCGTTCAAAACACGAGTTTCTTCAGTGACGTCAGGACTCCTGTCTAGTAACGAGGGACACCTCAGGAATCTCTAAGAGGCTTGGCAGGGCAAAAGGGACGCTTCTCGAGGTGAGGCAGGGCACCCAAGGACGCTTTCCCCTAGCCACAGGGATTTTGGGATTCCTATCAGTATTCAAGAGGAGTCAGGCATCGTCACCTTTTGAAGCAATGAACTCCGCGTGCCTCTCGAGGTGTCAGCGGGATGTGAGGCATTCCGTCAAAATGAGGCAGGGACCTAGGGCTTTCTCTAAGGTCTCCACAGGGGATTCAGACATCCCTTCATGTTGTGAGATGAAAGACAAGCCTGTATTCAAGCCACTGCAAGGAAATGCGGCCTCCTTTCAAGTTAGGGCTTCTCGCTGTATATTCCCCTTGAGGCACAAACTCGGGGTCCCTCCCACATACTTATTGCTGAGAGAAGCCTCCTCCTGAGGTGCTTCTGGAAAGTTGGCATACGTCTTGAGCCTAAGCCAGGGAATCAGCTCTCATCTCGAGATGATTTGGGTTACACGGAGCATTCCTCGAGTTGCTGTGCTGAAGTTGGTGTTCCTCTAGACTGGGGACAGTGTTCTCGGGGCATCTCTGGAGTTGCCTGAAGGAAGTCGAGCCACCGGTCGTGTTGAATGGGGAACGGGGAATGGCTCTGGAGTGAATGCAGGGGAATCGGGCCTCATCTCGAGTTGATTTGGGGCACATGGAGCTGCTTTGCGTTGCTGGGGTGACCTCAGGGTCCGTCTAGACTGGTGACAGTGTTCTTGGGGACTGTCTCGAGATCCATTAAGCAAGTCGAAGCTCCTGACTTGTTTGAATGGGATCACGGAATAGCTCTGCATGCACTGCAGGGGAATGGGGCCTCATCTCGCCTCTAGGGGGAAGTCTCATGGTTTTTCTCGAGTTGCGGCGGAGACCTGGGGTATGTTCTCGACTTACGGCGGGGATGGCCCTTCAAAACACGAGTTTCTTCAGTGACGTCAGGACCCCTGTCTTGTAACGAGGGACACCTCAGGAATCTCTACGAGGCTTGGCAGGGCAAAAGGGACGCTTCTCGAGGTGAGGCAGGGTACCCAAGGACCCTTTCCAGTAGCCACAGCGATTTTGGGATTCCTATCAGTATTCAAGAGGAGTCAGGCATCGTCACCTTTTGAAGCAATGAACTCCGCGTGCCTCTCGAGGTGTCAGTGGGATGTGAGGCATTCCGTCAAAATGAGGCAGGGACCTAGGGCTTTCTCTAAGGTCTCCACAGGGGATTCAGACATCCCTTCATGTTGTGAGATGAAAGACGAGCCTGTATTCAAGCCACTGCAAGGAAATGCGGACTCCTTTCAAGTTAGGGATTCTTGCTGTATATTCCCCTTGAGGCAGCAAACTCGGGGTCCCTTCCACATACCTATTGCTGAGAGAAGCCTCCTCCTGAGGTGCTTCTGGAAAGTTGGCATACGTCTTGAGCCTAAGCCAGGGAATCAGCTCTCATCTCGAGACAATTTGGGGTACACGGAGCATTCCTCGAGTTGCTGTGCTGAAGTTGGTGTTCCTCTAGACTTGGGACAGTGTTCTCGGGGCATCTCTGGAGTTGCCTGAAGGAAGTCGAGCCACCGGTCGTGTTGAATGGGGATCGGGGAATGGCTCTGGAGTCAATGCAGGGGAATCGGGCCTCATCTCGAGTTGATTTGGGGCACATGGAGCTGCTTTGCGTTGCTGGGGTGACCTCAGGGTCCGTCTAGACTGGTGACAGTGTTCTTGGGGACTGTCTCGAGATCCATTAAGCAAGTCGAAACTCCTGACTTGTTTGAATGGGATCACAGAATAGCTCTGCATGCACTGCAGGGGAATGGGGCCTCATCTCGCCTCAAGGGGGAAGTCTCATGGTTTTTCTCGAGTTCAAGCGGGGACCTGGGGTATGTTCTCGACTTACGGCGGGGATGGCCCTTCAAAACACGAGTTTCTTCAGTGACCTCAGGACTACTGTCTTGTAACGAGGGACACCTCAGGAATCTCTTCGAGGCTTGGCAGGGCAAAAGGGACGCTTCTCGAGGTGAGGCAGGGCACCCAAGGACGCTTTCCCCTAGCCACAGGGATTTTGGGATTCCTATCAGTATTCAAGAGGAGTCAGGCATCGTCACCTTTTGAAGCAATGAACTCCGCGTGCCTCTCGAGGTGTCAGCGGGATGTGAGGCATTCCGTCAAAATGAGGCAGGGAACTAGGGCTTTCTCTAAGGTCTCCACAGGGGATTCAGACATCCCTTCATGTTGTGAGATGAAAGACGAGCCTGTATTCAAGCCACTGCAAGGAAATCCGGCCTCCTTTCAAGTTAGGGCTTCTCGCTGTATATTCCCCTTGAGGCACAAACTCGGGGTCCCTCCCACATACTTATTGCTGAGAGAAGCCTCCTCCTGAGGTGCTTCTGGAAAGTTGGCATACGTCTTGAGCGTTGGCCAGGGAATCAGCTCTCATCTCGAAACGATTTGGGTTACACGAAGCATTCGTCGAGTTGCTGTGCTGAAGTTGGTGTTCCTCTAGACTTGGGACAGTGTTCTCGGGGCATCTCTGGAGTTGCCTGAAGGAAGTCGAGCCACCGGTCGTGTTGAATGGGGAACGGGGAATGGCTCTGGAGTCAATGCAGGGGAATCGGGCCTCATCTCGAGTTGATTTGGGGCACATGGAGCTGCTTTGCGTTGCTGGGGTGACCTCAGGGTCCGTCTAGACTGGTGACAGTGTTCTTGGGGACTGTCTCGAGATACATTAAGCAAGTCGAAACTCCTGACTTGTTTGAATGGGATCACAGAATAGCTCTGCATGCACTGCATTGGAATGGGGCCTCATCTCGCCTCTAGGGGGAAGTCTCATGGTTTTTCTCGAGTTGCGGCGGGGACCTGGTGTATGTTCTCGACTTACGGCGGGGATGGCCCTTCAAAACACGAGTTTCTTCAGTGACGTCAGGACTCCTGTCTAGTAACGACGGACACCTCAGGAATCTCTAAGAGGCTTGGCAGGGCAAAAGGGACGCTTCTCGAGGTGAGTCAGGGCACCCAAGGACGCTTTCCCCTAGCCACAGGGATTTTGGGATTCCTATCAGTATTCAAGAGGAGTCAGGCATCGTCACCTTTTGAAGCAATGAACTCCGCGTTCCTCTCGAGGTGTCAGCGGGATGTGAGGCATTCCGTCAAAATGAGGCAGGGACCTAGGTCTTTCTCTAAGGTCTCCACAGGGGATTCAGACATCCCTTCATGTTGTGAGATGAAAGACGAGCCTGTATTCAAGCCACTGCAAGGAAATCCGGCCTCCTTTCAAGTTAGGGCTTCTCGCTGTATATTCCCCTTGAGGCAGCAAACTCGGGTCCCTCCCACATACTTTTTGCTGAGAGAAGCCTCCTCCTGAGGTGCTTCTGGAAAGTTGGCATACGTCTTGAGCCTAAGCCAGGGAATCAGCTCTCATCTCGAGACGATTTGGGGTACACGGAGCATTCCTCAAGTTGCTGTGCTGAAGTTGGTGTTCCTCTAGACTTGGGACAGTGTTCTCGGGGCATCTCTGGAGTTTCCTGAAGGAAGTCGAGCCACCGGTCTTGTTGAATGGGGAACGGGGAATGGCTCTGGAGTCAATGCAGGGGAATCGGGCCTCATCTCGAGTTGATGCGGGGCACATGGAGCTGCTTTGCGTTGCTGGGGTGACCTCAGGGTCCGTCTAGACTGGTGACAGTGTTCTTGGGGACTGTCTCGAGATCCATTAAGCAAGTCGAAGCTCCTGACTTGTTTGAATGGGATCACGGGATAGCTCTGCATGCACTGCAGGGGAATGGGGCCTCATCTCGCCTCAAGGGGGAAGTCTCATGGTTTTTCTCGAGTTGGGGCGGGGACCTGGGGTATGTTCTCGACTTACGGCGGGGATGGCCCTTCAAAACACGAGTTTCTTAAGTGACCTCAGGACTCCTGTCTTGTAACGAGGGACACCTCAGGAATCTCTACGAGGCTTGGCAGGGCAAAAGGGACGCTTCTCGAGGTGAGGCAGGGTACCCAAGGACCCTTTCCAGTAGCCACAGGGATTTTGGGATTCCTATCAGTATTCAAGATGAGTCAGGCATCGTCACCTTTTGAAGCAATGAACTCCGCGTGCCTCTCGAGGTGTCAGTGGGATGTGAGGCATTCCGTCAAAATGAGGCAGGGACCTAGGGCTTTCTCTAAGGTCTCCACAGGGGATTCAGACATCCCTTCATGTTGTGAGATGAAAGACGAGCCTGTATTCAAGCCACTGCAAGGAAATGCGGCCTCCTTTCAAGTTAGGGCTTCTCGCTGTATATTCCCCTTGAGGCAGCAAACTCGGGGTCCCTTCCACATACCTAATGCTGAGAGAAGCCTCCTCCTGAGGTGCTTCTGGAAAGTTGGCATACGTCTTGAGCCTAATCCAGGGAATCAGCTCTCATCTCGAGACAATTTGGGGTACACGGAGCATTCCTCGAGTTGCTGTGCTGAAGTTGGTGTTCCTCTAGACTTGGGACAGTGTTCTCGGGGCATCTCTGGACTTGCCTGAAGGAAGTCGAGCCACCGGTCGTGTTGAATGGGGAACGGGGAATGGCTCTGGAGTGAATGCAGGGGAATCGGGCCTCATCTCGAGTTGATTTGGGGCACATGGAGCTGCTTTGCGTTGCTGGGGTAACCTCAGGGTCCGTCTAGACTGGTGACAGTGTTCTTGGGGACTGTCTCGAGATCCATTAAGCAAGTCGAAGCTCCTGACTTGTTTGAATGGGATCACGGAATAGCTCTGCATGCACTGCAGGGGAATGGGGCCTCATCTCGCCTCTAGGGGGAAGTCACATGGTTTTTCTCGAGTTGCGGTGGGGACCTGGGGTATGTTCTCGACTTACGGCGGGGATGGCCGTTCAAAACACGAGTTTCTTCAGTGACGTCAGGACTCCTGTCTAGTAACGAGGGACACCTCAGGAATCTCTTCGAGGCTTGGCAGGGCAAAAGGGACGCTTCTCGAGGTGAGGCAGGGCACCCAAGGACGCTTTCCCCTAGCCACAGGGATTTTGGGATTCCTATCAGTATTCAAGAGGAGTCAGGCATCGTCACCTTTTGAAGCAATGAACTCCGCGTGCCTCTCGAGGTGTCAGCGGGATGTGAGGCATTCCGTCAAAATGAGGCAGGGACCTAGGGCTTTCTCTAAGGTCTCCACAGGGGATTCAGACATCCCTTCATGTTGTGAGATGAAAGACAAGCCTGTATTCAAGCCACTGCAAGGAAATGCGGCCTCCTTTCAAGTTAGGGCTTCTCGCTGTATATTCCCCTTGAGGCACAAACTCGGGGTCCCTCCCACATACTTATTGCTGAGAGAAGCCTCCTCCTGAGGTGCTTCTGGAAAGTTGGCATACGTCTTGAGCCTAAGCCAGGGAATCAGCTCTCATCTCGAGATGATTTGGGTTACACGGAGCATTCCTCGAGTTGCTGTGCTGAAGTTGGTGTTCCTCTAGACTTGGGACAGTGTTCTCGGGGCATCTCTGGAGTTGCCTGAAGGAAGTCGAGCCACCGGTCGTGTTGAATGGGGAACGGGGAATGGCTCTGGAGTGAATGCAGGGGAATCGGGCCTCATCTCGAGTTGATTTGAGGCACATGGAGCTGCTTTGCGTTGCTGGGGTGACCTCAGGGTCCGTCTAGACTGGTGACAGTGTTCTTGGGGACTGTCTCGAGATCCATTAAGCAAGTCGAAGCTCCTGACTTGTTTGAATGGGATCACGGAATAGCTCTGCATGCACTGCAGGGGAATGGGGCCTCATCTCGCCTCTAGGGGGAAGTCTCATGGTTTTTCTCGAGTTGCGGCGGAGACCTGGGGTATGTTCTCGACTTACGGCGGGGATGGCCCTTCAAAACACGAGTTTCTTCAGTGACGTCAGGACCCCTGTCTTGTAACGAGGGACACCTCAGGAATCTCTACGAGGCTTGGCAGGGCAAAAGGGACGCTTCTCGAGGTGAGGCAGGGTACCCAAGGACCCTTTCCAGTAGCCACAGCGATTTTGGGATTCCTATCAGTATTCAAGAGGAGTCAGGCATCGTCACCTTTTGAAGCAATGAACTCCGCGTGCCTCTCGAGGTGTCAGTGGGATGTGAGGCATTCCGTCAAAATGAGGCAGGGACCTAGGGCTTTCTCTAAGGTCTCCACAGGGGATTCAGACATCCCTTCATGTTGTGAGATGAAAGACGAGCCTGTATTCAAGCCACTGCAAGGAAATGCGGACTCCTTTCAAGTTAGGGATTCTTGCTGTATATTCCCCTTGAGGCAGCAAACTCGGGGTCCCTTCCACATACCTATTGCTGACAGAAGCCTCCTCCTGAGGTGCTTCTGGAAAGTTGGCATACGTCTTGAGCCTAAGCCAGGGAATCAGCTCTCATCTCGAGACAATTTGGGGTACACGGAGCATTCCTCGAGTTGCTGTGCTGAAGTTGGTGTTCCTCTAGACTTGGGACAGTGTTCTCGGGGCATCTCTGGAGTTGCCTGAAGGAAGTCGAGCCACCGGTCGTGTTGAATGGGGATCGGGGAATGGCTCTGGAGTCAATGCAGGGGAATCGGGCCTTATCTCGAGTTGATTTGGGGCACATGGAGCTGCTTTGCGTTGCTGGGGTGACCTCAGGGTCCGTCTAGACTGGTGACAGTGTTCTTGGGGACTGTCTCGAGATCCATTAAGCAAGTCGAAACTCCTGACTTGTTTGAATGGGATCACAGAATAGCTCTGCATGCACTGCAGGGGAATGGGGCCTCATCTCGCCTCAAGGGGGAAGTCTCATTGTTTTTCTCGAGTTCAGGCGGGGACCTGGGGTATGTTCTCGACTTACGGCGGGGATGGCCCTTCAAAACACGAGTTTCTTCAGTGACCTCAGGACTACTGTCTTGTAACGAGGGACACCTCAGGAATCTCTTCGAGGCTTGGCAGGGCAAAAGGGACGCTTCTCGAGGTGAGGCAGGGCACCCAAGGACCCTTTCCAGTAGCCACAGGGATTTTGGGAGTCCTATCATTATTCAAGAGGAGTCAGGCATCGTCACCTTTTGAAGCAATTTACTCCGCGTGCCTCTCGAGGTGTCAGCGGGATGTGAGGCATTCCGTCAAAATGAGGCAGGGACTTAGGGCCTTCTCTACGGTCTCCACAGGGGATTCAGACATCCCTTCATGTTGTGAGATGAAAGACGAGCCTGTATTCAAGCCACTGCAAGGTATTCCGGCCTCCTTTCAAGTTAGGGCTTCTCGCTGTATATTCCCCTTGAGGCAGCAAACTCGGGGTCCCTTCCACATACCTATTGCTGAGAGAAGCCTCCTCCTGAGGTGCTTCTGGAAAGTTGGCATACGTCTTGAGCCTAAGCCAGGGAATCAGCTCTCATCTCGAGACGATTTGGGGTACACGGAGCATTCCTCAAGTTGCTGTGCTGAAGTTGGTGTTCCTCTAGACTTGGGACAGTGTTCTCGGGGCATCTCTGGAGTTGCCTGAAGGAAGTCGAGCCACCGGTCGTGTTGAATGGGGAACGGGGAATGGCTCTGGAGTCAATGCATGGGAATCGGGCCTCATCTCGAGTTGATTTGGGGCACATGGAGCTGCTTTGCGTTGCTGGGGTGACCTCAGGGTCCGTCTAGACTGGTGACAGTGTTCTTGGGGATTGTCTCGAGATCCATTAAGCAAGTCGAAGCTCCTGACTTGTTTGAATGGGATCACGGAATAGCTCTGCATGCACTGCAGGGGAATGGGGCCTCATCTCGCCTCTAGGGGGAAGTCTCATGGTTTTTCTCGAGTTGCGGCGGGGACCTGGGGTATGTTCTCGACTTACGGCGGGGATGGCCCTTCAAAACACGAGTTTCTTCAGTGACGTCAGGACTCCTGTCTAGTAACGAGGGACACCTCAGGAATCTCTAAGAGGCTTGGCAGGGCAAAAGGGACGCTTCTCGAGGTGAGGCAGGGCACCCAAGGACGCTTTCCCCTAGCCACAGGGATTTTGGGATTCCTATCAGTATTCAAGAGGAGTCAGGCATCGTCACCTTTTGAAGCAATGAACTCCGCGTTCCTCTCGAGGTGTCAGCGGGATGTGAGGCATTCCGTCAAAATGAGGCAGGGAACTAGGGCTTTCTCTAAGGTCTCCACAGGGGATTCAGACATCCCTTCATGTTGTGAGATGAAAGACGAGCCTGTATTCAAGCCACTGCAAGGAAATCCGGCCTCCTTTCAAGTTAGGGCTTCTCGCTGTATATTCCCCTTGAGGCACAAACTCGGGGTCCCTCCCACATACTTATTGCTGAGAGAAGCCTCCTCCTGAGGTGCTTCTGGAAAGTTGGCATACGTCTTGAGCGTTGGCCAGGGAATCAGCTCTCATCTCGAGACGATTTGGGTTACACGAAGCATTCGTCGAGTTGCTGTGCTGAAGTTGGTGTTCCTCTAGACTTGGGACAGTGTTCTCGGGGCATCTCTGGAGTTGCCTGAAGGAAGTCGAGCCACCGGTCGTGTTGAATGGGGAACGGGGAATGGCTCTGGAGTCAATGCAGGGGAATCGGGCCTAATCTCGAGTTGATTTGGGGCACATGGAGCTGCTTTGCGTTGCTGGGGTGACCTCAGGGTCCGTCTAGACTGGTGACAGTGTTCTTGGGGACTGTCTCGAGATACATTAAGCAAGTCGAAACTCCTGACTTGTTTGAATGGGATCACAGAATAGCTCTGCATGCACTGCATTGGAATGGGGCCTCATCTCGCCTCTAGGGGGAAGTCTCATGGTTTTTCTCGAGTTGCGGCGGGGACCTGGTGTATGTTCTCGACTTACGGCGGGGATGGCCCTTCAAAACACGAGTTTCTTCAGTGACGTCAGGACTCCTGTCTAGTAACGACGGACACCTCAGGAATCTCTAAGAGGCTTGGCAGGGCAAAAGGGACGCTTCTCGAGGTGAGGCAGGGCACCCAAGGACGCTTTCCCCTAGCCACAGGGATTTTGGGATTCCTATCAGTATTCAAGAGGAGTCAGGCATCGTCACCTTTTGAAGCAATGAACTCCGCGTGCCTCTCGAGGTGTCAGCGGGATGTGAGGCATTCCGTCAAAATGAGGCAGGGACCTAGGTCTTTCTCTAAGGTCTCCACAGGGGATTCAGACATCCCTTCATGTTGTGAGATGAAAGACGAGCCTGTATTCAAGCCACTGCAAGGAAATCCGGCCTCCTTTCAAGTTAGGGCTTCTCGCTGTATATTCCCCTTGAGGCAGCAAACTCGGGTCCCTCCCACATACTTTTTGCTGAGAGAAGCCTCCTCCTGAGGTGCTTCTGGAAAGTTGGCATACGTCTTGAGCCTAAGCCAGGGAATCAGCTCTCATCTCGAGACGATTTGGGGTACACGGAGCATTCCTCAAGTTGCTGTGCTGAAGTTGGTGTTCCTCTAGACTTGGGACAGTGTTCTCGGGGCATCTCTGGAGTTTCCTGAAGGAAGTCAAGCCACCGGTCTTGTTGAATGGGGAACGGGGAATGGCTCTGGAGTCAATGCAGGGGAATCGGGCCTCATCTCGAGTTGATTCGGGGCACATGGAGCTGCTTTGCGTTGCTGGGGTGACCTCAGGGTCCGTCTAGACTCGTGACAGTGTTCTTGGGGACTGTCTCGAGATCCATTAAGCAAGTCGAAGCTCCTGACTTGTTTGAATGGGATCACGGGATAGCTCTGCATGCACTGCAGGGGAATGGGGCCTCATCTCGCCTCAAGGGGGAAGTCTCATGGTTTTTCTCGAGTTGGGGCGGGGACCTGGGGTATGTTCTCGACTTACGGCGGGGATGGCCCTTCAAAACACGAGTTTCTTAAGTGACCTCAGGACTCCTGTCTTGTAACGAGGGACACCTCAGGAATCTCTACGAGGCTTGGCAGGGCAAAAGGGACGCTTCTCGAGGTGAGGCAGGGTACCCAAGGACCCTTTCCAGTAGCCACAGGGATTTTGGGATTCCTATCAGTATTCAAGATGAGTCAGGCATCGTCACCTTTTGAAGCAATGAACTCCGCGTGCCTCTCGAGGTGTCAGTGGGATGTGAGGCATTCCGTCAAAATGAGGCAGGGACCTAGGGCTTTCTCTAAGGTCTCCACAGGGGATTCAGACATCCCTTCATGTTGTGAGATGAAAGACGAGCCTGTATTCAAGCCACTGCAAGGAAATGCGGCCTCCTTTCAAGTTAGGGCTTCTCGCTGTATATTCCCCTTGAGGCAGCAAACTCGGGGTCCCTTCCACATACCTAATGCTGAGAGAAGCCTCCTCCTGAGGTGCTTCTGGAAAGTTGGCATACGTCTTGAGCCTAATCCAGGGAATCAGCTCTCATCTCGAGACAATTTGGGGTACACGGAGCATTCCTCGAGTTGCTGTGCTGAAGTTGGTGTTCCTCTAGACTTGGGACAGTGTTCTCGGGGCATCTCTGGACTTGCCTGAAGGAAGTCGAGCCACCGGTCGTGTTGAATGGGGAACGGGGAATGGCTCTGGAGTGAATGCAGGGGAATCGGGCCTCATCTCGAGTTGATTTGGGGCACATGGAGCTGCTTTGCGTTGCTGGGGTAACCTCAGGGTCCGTCTAGACTGGTGACAGTGTTCTTGGGGACTGTCTCGAGATCCATTAAGCAAGTCGAAGCTCCTGACTTGTTTGAATGGGATCACGGAATAGCTCTGCATGCACTGCAGGGGAATGGGGCCTCATCTCGCCTCTAGGGGGAAGTCACATGGTTTTTCTCGAGTTGCGGTGGGGACCTGGGGTATGTTCTCGACTTACGGCGGGGATGGCCGTTCAAAACACGAGTTTCTTCAGTGACGTCAGGACTCCTGTCTAGTAACGAGGGACACCTCAGGAATCTCTTCGAGGCTTGGCAGGGCAAAAGGGACGCTTCTCGAGGTGAGGCAGGGCACCCAAGGACGCTTTCCCCTAGCCACAGGGATTTTGGGATTCCTATCAGTATTCAAGAGGAGTCAGGCATCGTCACCTTTTGAAGCAATGAACTCCGCGTGCCTCTCGAGGTGTCAGCGGGATGTGAGGCATTCCGTCAAAATGAGGCAGGGACCTAGGGCTTTCTCTAAGGTCTCCACAGGGGATTCAGACATCCCTTCATGTTGTGAGATGAAAGACAAGCCTGTATTCAAGCCACTGCAAGGAAATGCGGCCTCCTTTCAAGTTAGGGCTTCTCGCTGTATATTCCCCTTGAGGCACAAACTCGGGGTCCCTCCCACATACTTATTGCTGAGAGAAGCCTCCTCCTGAGGTGCTTCTGGAAAGTTGGCATACGTCTTGAGCCTAAGCCAGGGAATCAGCTCTCATCTCGAGATGATTTGGGTTACACGGAGCATTCCTCGAGTTGCTGTGCTGAAGTTGGTGTTCCTCTAGACTTGGGACAGTGTTCTCGGGGCATCTCTGGAGTTGCCTGAAGGAAGTCGAGCCACCGGTCGTGTTGAATGGGGAACGGGGAATGGCTCTGGAGTGAATGCAGGGGAATCGGGCCTCATCTCGAGTTGATTTGGGGCACATGGAGCTGCTTTGCGTTGCTGGGGTGACCTCAGGGTCCGTCTAGACTGGTGACAGTGTTCTTGGGGACTGTCTCGAGATCCATTAAGCAAGTCGAAGCTCCTGACTTGTTTGAATGGGATCACGGAATAGCTCTGCATGCACTGCAGGGGAATGGGGCCTCATCTCGCCTCTAGGGGGAAGTCTCATGGTTTTTCTCGAGTTGCGGCGGAGACCTGGGGTATGTTCTCGACTTACGGCGGGGATGGCCCTTCAAAACACGAGTTTCTTCAGTGACGTCAGGACCCCTGTCTTGTAACGAGGGACACCTCAGGAATCTCTACGAGGCTTGGCAGGGCAAAAGGGACGCTTCTCGAGGTGAGGCAGGGTACCCAAGGACCCTTTCCAGTAGCCACAGCGATTTTGGGATTCCTATCAGTATTCAAGAGGAGTCAGGCATCGTCACCTTTTGAAGCAATGAACTCCGCGTGCCTCTCGAGGTGTCAGTGGGATGTGAGGCATTCCGTCAAAATGAGGCAGGGACCTAGGGCTTTCTCTAAGGTCTCCACAGGGGATTCAGACATCCCTTCATGTTGTGAGATGAAAGACGAGCCTGTATTCAAGCCACTGCAAGGAAATGCGGACTCCTTTCAAGTTAGGGATTCTTGCTGTATATTCCCCTTGAGGCAGCAAACTCGGGGTCCCTTCCACATACCTATTGCTGACAGAAGCCTCCTCCTGAGGTGCTTCTGGAAAGTTGGCATACGTCTTGAGCCTAAGCCAGGGAATCAGCTCTCATCTCGAGACAATTTGGGGTACACGGAGCATTCCTCGAGTTGCTGTGCTGAAGTTGGTGTTCCTCTAGACTTGGGACAGTGTTCTCGGGGCATCTCTGGAGTTGCCTGAAGGAAGTCGAGCCACCGGTCGTGTTGAATGGGGAACGGGGAATGGCTCTGGAGTCAATGCAGGGGAATCGGGCCTCATCTCGAGTTGATTTGGGGCACATGGAGCTGCTTTGCGTTGCTGGGGTGACCTCAGGGTCCGTCTAGACTGGTGACAGTGTTCTTGGGGACTGTCTCGAGATCCATTAAGCAAGTCGAAACTCCTGACTTGTTTGAATGGGATCACAGAATAGCTCTGCATGCACTGCAGGGGAATGGGGCCTCATCTCGCCTCAAGGGGGAAGTCTCATGGTTTTTCTCGAGTTGCGGCGGGGACCTGGGGTATGTTCTCGACTTACGGCGGGGATGCCCCTTCAAAACACGAGTTTCTTCAGTGACCTCAGGACTACTGTCTTGTAACGAGGGACACCTCAGGAATCTCTTCGAGGCTTGGCAGGGCAAAAGGGACGCTTCTCGAGGTGAGGCAGGGCACCCAAGGACCCTTTCCAGTAGCCACAGGGATTTTGGGAGTCCTATCATTATTCAAGAGGAGTCAGGCATCGTCACCTTTTGAAGCAATTTACTCCGCGTGCCTCTCGAGGTGTCAGCGGGATGTGAGGCATTCCGTCAAAATGAGGCAGGGACTTAGGGCCTTCTCTACGGTCTCCACAGGGGATTCAGACATCCCTTCATGTTGTGAGATGAAAGACGAGCCTGTATTCAAGCCACTGCAAGGTATTCCGGCCTCCTTTCAAGTTAGGGCTTCTCGCTGTATATTCCCCTTGAGGCAGCAAACTCGGGGTCCCTTCCACATACCTATTGCTGAGAGAAGCCTCCTCCTGAGGTGCTTCTGGAAAGTTGGCATACGTCTTGAGCCTAAGCCAGGGAATCAGCTCTCATCTCGAGACGATTTGGGGTACACGGAGCATTCCTCAAGTTGCTGTGCTGAAGTTGGTGTTCCTCTAGACTTGGGACAGTGTTCTCGGGGCATCTCTGGAGTTGCCTGAGGGAAGTCGAGCCACCGGTCGTGTTGAATGGGGAACGGGGAATGGCTCTGGAGTCAATGCATGGGAATCGGGCCTCATCTCGAGTTGATTTGGGGCACATGGAGCTGCTTTGCGTTGCTGGGTTGACCTTAGGGTCCGTCTAGACTGGTGACAGTGTTCTTGGGGATTGTCTCGAGATCCATTAAGCAAGTCGAAGCTCCTGACTTGTTTGAATGGGATCACGGAATAGCTCTGCATGCACTGCAGGGGAATGGGGCCTCATCTCGCCTCTAGGGGGAAGTCTCATGGTTTTTCTCGAGTTGCGGCGGGGACCTGGGGTATGTTCTCGACTTACGGCGGGGATGGCCCTTCAAAACACGAGTTTCTTCAGTGACGTCAGGACTCCTGTCTAGTAACGAGGGACACCTCAGTAATCTCTAAGAGGCTTGGCAGGGCAAAAGGGACGCTTCTCGAGGTGAGGCAGGGCACCCAAGGACGCTTTCCCCTAGCCACAGGGATTTTGGGATTCCTATCAGTATTCAAGAGGAGTCAGGCATCGTCACCTTTTGAAGCAATGAACTCCGCGTGCCTCTCGAGGTGTCAGCGGGATGTGAGGCATTCCGTCAAAATGAGGCAGGGAACTAGGGCTTTCTCTAAGGTCTCCACAGGGGATTCAGACATCCCTTCATGTTGTGAGATGAAAGACGAGCCTGTATTCAAGCCACTGCAAGGAAATCCGGCCTCCTTTCAAGTTAGGGCTTCTCGCTGTATATTCCCCTTGAGGCACAAACTCGGGGTCCCTCCCACATACTTATTGCTGAGAGAAGCCTCCTCCTGAGGTGCTTCTGGAAAGTTGGCATACGTCTTGAGCGTTGGCCAGGGAATCAGCTCTCATCTCGAGACGATTTGGGTTACACGAAGCATTCGTCGAGTTGCTGTGCTGAAGTTGGTGTTCCTCTAGACTTGGGACAGTGTTCTCGGGGCATCTCTGGAGTTGCCTGAAGGAAGTCGAGCCACCGGTCGTGTTGAATGGGGAACGGGGAATGGCTCTGGAGTCAATGCAGGGGAATCGGGCCTCATCTCGAGTTGATTTGGGGCACATGGAGCTGCTTTGCGTTGCTGGGGTGACCTCAGGGTCCGTCTAGACTGGTGACAGTGTTCTTGGGGACTGTCTCGAGATACATTAAGCAAGTCGAAACTCCTGACTTGTTTGAATGGGATCACAGAATAGCTCTGCATGCACTGCATTGGAATGGGGCCTCATCTCGCCTCTAGGGGGAAGTCTCATGGTTTTTCTCGAGTTGCGGCGGGGACCTGGTGTATGTTCTCGACTTACGGCGGGGATGGCCCTTCAAAACACGAGTTTCTTCAGTGACGTCAGGACTCCTGTCTAGTAACGACGGACACCTCAGGAATCTCTAAGAGGCTTGGCAGGGCAAAAGGGACGCTTCTCGAGGTGAGTCAGGGCACCCAAGGACGCTTTCCCCTAGCCACAGGGATTTTGGGATTCCTATCAGTATTCAAGAGGAGTCAGGCATCGTCACCTTTTGAAGCAATGAACTCCGCGTGCCTCTCGAGGTGTCAGCGGGATGTGAGGCATTCCGTCAAAATGAGGCAGGGACCTAGGTCTTTCTCTAAGGTCTCCACAGGGGATTCAGACATCCCTTCATGTTGTGAGATGAAAGACGAGCCTGTATTCAAGCCACTGCAAGGAAATCCGGCCTCCTTTCAAGTTAGGGCTTCTCGCTGTATATTCCCCTTGAGGCAGCAAACTCGGGTCCCTCCCACATACTTTTTGCTGAGAGAAGCCTCCTCCTGAGGTGCTTCTGGAAAGTTGGCATACGTCTTGAGCCTAAGCCAGGGAATCAGCTCTCATCTCGAGACGATTTGGGGTACACGGAGCATTCCTCAAGTTGCTGTGCTGAAGTTGGTGTTCCTCTAGACTTGGGACAGTGTTCTCGGGGCATCTCTGGAGTTTCCTGAAGGAAGTCGAGCCACCGGTCTTGTTGAATGGGGAACGGGGAATGGCTCTGGAGTCAATGCAGGGGAATCGGGCCTCATCTCGAGTTGATTCGGGGCACATGGAGCTGCTTTGCGTTGCTGGGGTGACCTCAGGGTCCGTCTAGACTCGTGACAGTGTTCTTGGGGACTGTCTCGAGATCCATTAAGCAAGTCGAAGCTCCTGACTTGTTTGAATGGGATCACGGGATAGCTCTGCATGCACTGCAGGGGAATGGGGCCTCATCTCGCCTCAAGGGGGAAGTCTCATGGTTTTTCTCGAGTTGCGGCGGGGACCTGGGGTATGTTCTCGACTTACGGCGGGGATGGCCCTTCAAAACACGAGTTTCTTAAGTGACCTCAGGACTCCTGTCTTGTAACGAGGGACACCTCAGGAATCTCTACGAGGCTTGGCAGGGCAAAAGGGACGCTTCTCGAGGTGAGGCAGGGTACCCAAGGACCCTTTCCAGTAGCCACAGGGATTTTGGGATTCCTATCAGTATTCAAGATGAGTCAGGCATCGTCACCTTTTGAAGCAATGAACTCCGCGTGCCTCTCGAGGTGTCAGTGGGATGTGAGGCATTCCGTCAAAATGAGGCAGGGACCTAGGGCTTTCTCTAAGGTCTCCACAGGGGATTCAGACATCCCTTCATGTTGTGAGATGAAAGACGAGCCTGTATTCAAGCCACTGCAAGGAAATGCGGCCTCCTTTCAAGTTAGGGCTTCTCGCTGTATATTCCCCTTGAGGCAGCAAACTCGGGGTCCCTTCCACATACCTAATGCTGAGAGAAGCCTCCTCCTGAGGTGCTTCTGGAAAGTTGGCATACGTCTTGAGCCTAATCCAGGGAATCAGCTCTCATCTCGAGACAATTTGGGGTACACGGAGCATTCCTCGAGTTGCTGTGCTGAAGTTGGTGTTCCTCTAGACTTGGGACAGTGTTCTCGGGGCATCTCTGGACTTGCCTGAAGGAAGTCGAGCCACCGGTCGTGTTGAATGGGGAACGGGGAATGGCTCTGGAGTGAATGCAGGGGAATCGGGCCTCATCTCGAGTTGATTTGGGGCACATGGAGCTGCTTTGCGTTGCTGGGGTAACCTCAGGGTCCGTCTAGACTGGTGACAGTGTTCTTGGGGACTGTCTCGAGATCCATTAAGCAAGTCGAAGCTCCTGACTTGTTTGAATGGGATCACGGAATAGCTCTGCATGCACTGCAGGGGAATGGGGCCTCATCTCGCCTCTAGGGGGAAGTCTCATGGTTTTTCTCGAGTTTCGTTGGGGACCTGGGGTATGTTCTCGACTTAGGGCGGGGATGGCCCTTCAAAACACGAGTTTCTTCAGTGACGTCAGGACTCCTGTCTAGTAACGAGGGACACTTCAGGAATCTCTACGAGGCTTGGCAGGGCAAAAGGGACGCTTCTCGAGGTGAGGCAGGGTACCCAAGGACGCTTTCCCCTAGCCACAGCGATTTTGGGATTCCTATCAGTATTCAAGAGGAGTCAGGCATCGTCACCTTTTGAAGCAATGAACTCCGCGTGCCTCTCGTGGTGTCAGCGGGATGTGAGGCATTCCGTCAAAATGAGGCAGGGACCTAGGTCTTTCTCTAAGGTCTCCACAGGGGATTCAGACATCCCTTCATGTTGTGAGATGAAAGACGAGCCTGTATTCAAGCCACTGCAAGGAAATCCGGCCTCCTTTCAAGTTAGGGCTTCTCGCTGTATATTCCCCTTGAGGCAGCAACCTCGGGTCCCTCCCACATACCTATTGCTGAGAGAAGCCTCCTCCTGAGGTGCTTCTGGAAAGTTGGCATAAGTCTTGAGCCTAAGCCAGGGAATCAGCTCTCATCTCGAGACGATTTGGGGTACACGGAGCATTCCTCAAGTTGCTGTGCTGAAGTTGGTGTTCCTCTAGACTTGGGACAGTGTTCTCGGGGCATCTCTGGAGTTGCCTGAAGGAAGTCGAGCCACCGGTCGTGTTGAATGGGGAACGGGGAATGGCTCTGGAGTGAAGGCAGGGGAATCGGGCCTCATCTCGAGTTGATTTGGGGCACATGGAGCTGCTTTGCGTTGCTGGGGTGACCTCAGGGTCCGTCTAGACTGGTGACAGTGTTCTTGGGGACTGTCTCGAGATCCACTAAGCAAGTCGAAGCTCCTGACTTGTTTGAATGGGATCACGGGATAGCTCTGCATGCACTGCAGGGGAATGGGGCCTCATCTCGCCTCAAGGGGGAAGTCTCATGGTTTTTCTCGAGTTGCGGCGGGGACCTGGCGTATGTTCTCGACTTACGGCGGGGATGGCCCTTCAAAACACGAGTTTCTTCAGTGACGTCAGGACTCCTGTCTAGTAACGAGGGACACCTCAGGAATCTCTTCGAGGCTTGGCAGGGCAAAAGGGACGCTTCTTGAAGTGAGGCAGGGCACCCAAGGACCCTTTCCCGTAGCCACAGGGATTTTGGGATTCCTATCAGTATTCAAGAGGAGTCAGGCATCGTCACCTTTTGAAGCAATGAACTCCGCGTGCCTCTCGAGGTGTCAGCGGGATGTGAGGCATTCCGTCAAAATGAGGCAGGGACCTAGGGCTTTCTCTAAGGTCTCCACAGGGGATTCAGACATCCCTTCATGTTGTGAGATGAAAGACGAGCCTGTATTCAAGCCACTGCAAGGAAATGCGGCCTCCTTTCAAGTTAGGGCTTCTCGCTGTATATTCCCCTTGAGGCAGCAAACTCGGGGTCCCTTCCACATACCTATTGCTGAGAGAAGCCTCCTCCTGAGGTGCTTCTGGAAAGTTGGCATACGTCTTGAGCCTAATCCAGGGAATCAGCTCTCATCTCGAGACAATTTGGGGTACACGGAGCATTCCTCGAGTTGCTGTGCTGAAGTTGGTGTTCCTCTAGACTTGGGACAGTGTTCTCGGGGCATCTCTGGAGTTGCCTGAAGGAAGTCGAGCCACCGGTCGTGTTGAATGGGGAACGGGGAATGGCTCTGGAGTGAATGCAGGGGAATCGGGCCTCATCTCGAGTTGATTTGGGGCACATGGAGCTGCTTTGCGTTTCTGGGGTGACCTCAGGGTCCGTCTAGACTGGTGACAGTGTTCTTGGGGACTGTCTCGAGATCCATTAAGCAAGTCGAAGCTCCTGACTTGTTTGAATGGGATCACGGAATAGCTCTGCATGCACTGCAGGGGAATGGGGCCTCATCTCGCCTCTAGGGGGAAGTCTCATGGTTTTTCTCGAGTTTCGTTGGGGACCTGGGGTATGTTCTCGACTTAGGGCGGGGATGGCCGTTCAAAACACGAGTTTCTTCAGTGACGTCAGGACTCCTGTCTAGTAACGAGGGACACTTCAGGAATCTCTACGAGGCTTGGCAGGGCAAAAGGGACGCTTCTCGAGGTGAGGCAGGGTACCCAAGGACGCTTTCCCCTAGCCACAGCGATTTTGGGATTCCTATCAGTATTCAAGAGGAGTCAGGCATCGTCACCTTTTGAAGCAATGAACTCCGCGTGCCTCTCGAGGTGTCAGCGGGATGTGAGGCATTCCGTCAAAATGAGGCAGGGACCTAGGTCTTTCTCTAAGGTCTCCACAGGGGATTCAGACATCCCTTCATGTTGTGAGATGAAAGACGAGCCTGTATTCAGCCACTGCAAGGAAATCCGGCCTCCTTTCAAGTTAGGGCTTCTCGCTGTATATTCCCCTTGAGGCAGCAACCTCGGGTCCCTCCCACATACCTATTGCTGAGAGAAGCCTCCTCCTGAGGTGCTTCTGGAAAGTTGGCATACGTCTTGAGCCTAAGCCAGGGAATCAGCTCTCATCTCGAGACGATTTGGGGTACACGGAGCATTCCTCAAGTTGCTGTGCTGAAGTTGGTGTTCCTCTAGACTTGGGACAGTGTTCTCGGGGCATCTCTGGAGTTGCCTGAAGGAAGTCGAGCCACCGGTCTTGTTGAATGGGGAACGGGGAATGGCTCTGGAGTCAATGCAGGGGAATCGGGCCTCATCTCGAGTTGATTCGGGGCACATGGAGCTGCTTTGCGTTGCTGGGGTGACCTCAGGGTCCGTCTAGACTCGTGACAGTGTTCTTGGGGACTGTCTCGAGATCCATTAAGCAAGTCGAAGCTCCTGACTTGTTTGAATGGGATCACGGGATAGCTCTGCATGCACTGCAGGGGAATGGGGCCTCATCTCGCCTCAAGGGGGAAGTCTCATGGTTTTTCTCGAGTTGCGGCGGGGACCTGGGGTATGTTCTCGACTTACGGCGGGGATGGCCCTTCAAAACACGAGTTTCTTAAGTGACCTCAGGACTCCTGTCTTGTAACGAGGGACACCTCAGGAATCTCTACGAGGCTTGGCAGGGCAAAAGGGACGCTTCTCGAGGTGAGGCAGGGTACCCAAGGACCCTTTCCAGTAGCCACAGGGATTTTGGGATTCCTATCAGTATTCAAGATGAGTCAGGCATCGTCACCTTTTGAAGCAATGAACTCCGCGTGCCTCTCGAGGTGTCAGTGGGATGTGAGGCATTCCGTCAAAATGAGGCAGGGACCTAGGGCTTTCTCTAAGGTCTCCACAGGGGATTCAGACATCCCTTCATGTTGTGAGATGAAAGACGAGCCTGTATTCAAGCCACTGCAAGGAAATGCGGCCTCCTTTCAAATTAGGGCTTCTCGCTGTATATTCCCCTTGAGGCAGCAAACTCGGGGTCCCTTCCACATACCTATTGCTGAGAGAAGCCTCCTCCTGAGGTGCTTCTGGAAAGTTGGCATACGTCTTGAGCCTAATCCAGGGAATCAGCTCTCATCTCGAGACAATTTGGGGTACACGGAGCATTCCTCGAGTTGCTGTGCTGAAGTTGGTGTTCCTCTAGACTTGGGACAGTGTTCTCGGGGCATCTCTGGAGTTGCCTGAAGGAAGTCGAGCCACCGGTCGTGTTGAATGGGGAACGGGGAATGGCTCTGGAGTGAATGCAGGGGAATCGGGCCTCATCTCGAGTTGATTTGGGGCACATGGAGCTGCTTTGCGTTGCTGGGGTAACCTCAGGGTCCGTCTAGACTGGTGACAGTGTTCTTGGGGACTGTCTCGAGATCCATTAAGCAAGTCGAAGCTCCTGACTTGTTTGAATGGGATCACGGAATAGCTCTGCATGCACTGCAGGGGAATGGGGCCTCATCTCGCCTCTAGGGGGAAGTCTCATGGTTTTTCTCGAGTTTCGTTGGGGACCTGGGGTATGTTCTCGACTTAGGGCGGGGATGGCCCTTCAAAACACGAGTTTCTTCAGTGACGTCAGGACTCCTGTCTAGTAACGAGGGACACTTCAGGAATCTCTACGAGGCTTGGCAGGGCAAAAGGGACGCTTCTCGAGGTGAGGCAGGGTACCCAAGGACGCTTTCCCATAGCCACAGCGATTTTGGGATTCCTATCAGTATTCAAGAGGAGTCAGGCCTCGTCACCTTTTGAAGCAATGAACTCCGCGTGCCTTTCGTGGTGTCAGCGGGATGTGAGGCATTCCGTCAAAATGAGGCAGGGACCTAGGTCTTTCTCTAAGGTCTCCACAGGGGATTCAGACATCCCTTCATGTTGTGAGATGAAAGACGAGCCTGTATTCAAGCCACTGCAAGGAAATCCGGCCTCCTTTCAAGTTAGGGCTTCTCGCTGTATATTCCCCTTGAGGCAGCAACCTCGGGTCCCTCCCACATACCTATTGCTGAGAGAAGCGTCCTCCTGAGGTGCTTCTGGAAAGTTGGCATAAGTCTTGAGCCTAAGCCAGGGAATCAGCTCTCATCTCGAGACGATTTGGGGTACACGGAGCATTCCTCAAGTTGCTGTGCTGAAGTTGGTGTTCCTCTAGACTTGGGACAGTGTTCTCGGGGCATCTCTGGAGTTGCCTGAAGGAAGTCGAGCCACCGGTCGTGTTGAATGGGGAATGGGGAATGGCTCTGGAGTGAAGGCAGGGGAATCGGGCCTCATCTCGAGTTGATTTGGGGCACATGGAGCTGCTTTGCGTTGCTGGGGTGACCTCAGGGTCCGTCTAGACTGGTGACAGTGTTCTTGGGGACTGTCTCGAGATCCACTAAGCAAGTCGAAGCTCCTGACTTGTTTGAATGGGATCACGGGATAGCTCTGCATGCACTGCAGGGGAATGGGGCCTCATCTTGCCTCAAGGGGGAAGTCTCATGGTTTTTCTCGAGTTGCAGCGGGGACCTGGCGTATGTTCTCGACTTACGGCGGGGATGGCCCTTCAAAACACGAGTTTCTTCAGTGACGTCAGGACTCCTGTCTAGTAACGAGGGACACCTCAGGAATCTCTTCGAGGCTTGGCAGGGCAAAAGGGACGCTTCTTGAAGTGAGGCAGGGCACCCAAGGACCCTTTCCCGTAGCCACAGGGATTTTGGGATTCCTATCAGTATTCAAGAGGAGTCAGGCATCGTCACCTTTTGAAGCAATGAACTCCGCGTGCCTCTCGAGGTGTCAGCGGGATGTGAGACATTCCGTCAAAATGAGGCAGGGACCTAGGGCTTTCTCTAAGGTCTCCACAGGGGATTCAGACATCCCTTCATGTTGTGAGATGAAAGACGAGCCTGTATTCAAGCCACTGCAAGGAAATGCGGCCTCCTTTCAAGTTAGGGCTTCTCGCTGTATATTCCCCTTGAGGCAGCAAACTCGGGGTCCCTTCCACATACCTATTGCTGAGAGAAGCCTCCTCCTGAGGTGCTTCTGGAAAGTTGGCATACGTCTTGAGCCTAATCCAGGGAATCAGCTCTCATCTCGAGACAATTTGGGGTACACGGAGCATTCCTCGAGTTGCTGTGCTGAAGTTGGTGTTCCTCTAGACTTGGGACAGTGTTCTCGGGGCATCTCTGGAGTTGCCTGAAGGAAGTCGAGCCACCGGTCGTGTTGAATGGGGAACGGGGAATGGCTCTGGAGTGAATGCAGGGGAATCGGGCCTCATCTCGAGTTGATTTGGGGCACATGGAGCTGCTTTGCGTTGCTGGGGTGACCTCAGGGTCCGTCTAGACTGGTGACAGTGTTCTTGGGGACTGTCTCGAGATCCATTAAGCAAGTCGAAGCTCCTGACTTGTTTGAATGGGATCACGGAATAGCTCTGCATGCACTGCAGGGGAATGGGGCCTCATCTCGCCTCTAGGGGGAAGTCTCATGGTTTTTCTCGAGTTTCGTTGGGGACCTGGGGTATGTTCTCGACTTAGGGCGGGGATGGCCGTTCAAAACACGAGTTTCTTCAGTGACGTCAGGACTCCTGTCTAGTAACTAGGGACACTTCAGGAATCTCTACGAGGCTTGGCAGGGCAAAAGGGACGCTTCTCGAGGTGAGGCAGGGTACCCAAGGACGCTTTCCCCTAGCCACAGCGATTTTGGGATTCCTATCAGTATTCAAGAGGAGTCAGGCATCGTCACCTTTTGAAGCAATGAACTCCGCGTGCCTCTCGAGGTGTCAGCGGGATGTGAGGCATTCCGTCAAAATGAGGCAGGGACCTAGGTCTTTCTCTAAGGTCTCCACAGGGGATTCAGACATCCCTTCATGTTGTGAGATGAAAGACGAGCCTGTATTCAGCCACTGCAAGGAAATCCGGCCTCCTTTCAAGTTAGGGCTTCTCGCTGTATATTCCCCTTGAGGCAGCAACCTCGGGTCCCTCCCACATACCTATTGCTGAGAGAAGCCTCCTCCTGAGGTGCTTCTGGAAAGTTGGCATACGTCTTGAGCCTAAGCCAGGGAATCAGCTCTCATCTCGAGACGATTTGGGGTACACGGAGCATTCCTCAAGTTGCTGTGCTGAAGTTGGTGTTCCTCTAGACTTGGGACAGTGTTCTCGGGGCATCTCTGGAGTTGCCTGAAGGAAGTCGAGCCACCGGTCTTGTTGAATGGGGAACGGGGAATGGCTCTGGAGTCAATGCAGGGGAATCGGGCCTCATGTCGAGTTGATTCGGGGCACATGGAGCTGCTTTGCGTTGCTGGGGTGACCTCAGGGTCCGTCTAGACTCGTGACAGTGTTCTTGGGGACTGTCTCGAGATCCATTAAGCAAGTCGAAGCTCCTGACTTGTTTGAATGGGATCACGGGATAGCTCTGCATGCACTGCAGGGGAATGGGGCCTCATCTCGCCTCAAGGGGGAAGTCTCATGGTTTTTCTCGAGTTGCGGCGGGGACCTGGGGTATGTTCTCGACTTACGGCGGGGATGGCCCTTCAAAACACGAGTTTCTTAAGTGACCTCAGGACTCCTGTCTTGTAACGAGGGACACCTCAGGAATCTCTACGAGGCTTGGCAGGGCAAAAGGGACGCTTCTCGAGGTGAGGCAGGGTACCCAAGGACCCTTTCCAGTAGCCACAGGGATTTTGGGATTCCTATCAGTATTCAAGATGAGTCAGGCATCGTCACCTTTTGAAGCAATGAACTCCGCGTGCCTCTCGAGGTGTCAGTGGGATGTGAGGCATTCCGTCAAAATGAGGCAGGGACCTAGGGCTTTCTCTAAGGTCTCCACAGGGGATTCAGACATCCCTTCATGTTGTGAGATGAAAGACGAGCCTGTATTCAAGCCACTGCAAGGAAATGCGGCCTCCTTTCAAGTTAGGGCTTCTCGCTGTATATTCCCCTTGAGGCAGCAAACTCGGGGTCCCTTCCACATACCTATTGCTGAGAGAAGCCTCCTCCTGAGGTGCTTCTGGAAAGTTGGCATACGTCTTGAGCCTAAGCCAGGGAATCAGCTCTCATCTCGAGACGATTTGGGGTACACGAAGCATTCCTCGAGTTGCTGTGCTGAAGTTGGTGTTCCTCTAGACTTGGGACAGTGTTCTCGGGGCATCTCTGGAGTTGCCTGAAGGAAGTCGAGCCACCGGTCGTGTTGAATGGGGAACGGGGAATGGCTCTGGAGTGAATGCAGGGGAATCGGGCCTCATCTCGAGTTGATTTGGGGCACATGGAGCTGCTTTGCTTTGCTGGGGTAACCTCAGGGTCCGTCTAGACTGGTGACAGTGTTCTTGGGGACTGTCTCGAGATCCATTAAGCAAGTCGAAGCTCCTGACTTGTTTGAATGGGATCACGGAATAGCTCTGCATGCACTGCAGGGGAATGGGGCCTCATCTCGCCTCTAGGGGGAAGTCTCATGGTTTTTCTCGAGTTTCGTTGGGGACCTGGGGTATGTTCTCGACTTAGGGCGGGGATGGCCCTTCAAAACACGAGTTTCTTCAGTGACGTCAGGACTCCTGTCTAGTAACGAGGGACACTTCAGGAATCTCTACGAGGCTTGGCAGGGCAAAAGGGACGCTTCTCGAGGTGAGACAGGGTACCCAAGGACGCTTTCCCATAGCCACAGCGATTTTGGGATTCCTATCAGTATTCAAGAGGAGTCAGGCCTCGTCACCTTTTGAAGCAATGAACTCCGCGTGCCTCTCGTGGTGTCAGCGGGATGTGAGGCATTCCGTCAAAATGAGGCAGGGACCTAGGTCTTTCTCTAAGGTCTCCACAGGGGATTCAGACATCCCTTCATGTTGTGAGATGAAAGACGAGCCTGTATTCAAGCCACTGCAAGGAAATCCGGCCTCCTTTCAAGTTAGGGCTTCTCGCTGTATATTCCCCTTGAGGCAGCAACCTCGGGTCCCTCCCACATACCTATTGCTGAGAGAAGCCTCCTCCTGAGGTGCTTCTGGAAAGTTGGCATAAGTCTTGAGCCTAAGCCAGGGAATCAGCTCTCATCTCGAGACGATTTGGGGTACACGGAGCATTCCTCAAGTTGCTGTGCTGAAGTTGGTGTTCCTCTAGACTTGGGACAGTGTTCTCGGGGCATCTCTGGAGTTGCCTGAAGGAAGTCGAGCCACCGGTCGTGTTGAATGGGGAACGGGGAATGGCTCTGGAGTGAAGGCAGGGGAATCGGGCCTCATCTCGAGTTGATTTGGGGCACATGGAGCTGCTTTGCGTTGCTGGGGTGACCTCAGGGTCCGTCTAGACTGGTGACAGTGTTCTTGGGGACTGTCTCGAGATCCACTAAGCAAGTCGAAGCTCCTGACTTGTTTGAATGGGATCACGGGATAGCTCTGCATGCACTGCAGGGGAATGGGGCCTCATCTCGCCTCAAGGGGGAAGTCTCATGGTTTTTCTCGAGTTGCGGCGGGGACCTGGCGTATGTTCTCGACTTACGGCGGGGATGGCCCTTCAAAACACGAGTTTCTTCAGTGACGTCAGGACTCCTGTCTAGTAACGAGGGACACCTCAGGAATCTCTTCGAGGCTTGGCAGGGCAAAAGGGACGCTTCTTCAAGTGAGGCAGGGCACCCAAGGACCCTTTCCCGTAGCCACAGGGATTTTGGGATTCCTATCAGTATTCAAGAGGAGTCAGGCATCGTCACCTTTTGAAGCAATGAACTCCGCGTGCCTCTCGAGGTGTCAGCGGGATGTGAGGCATTCCGTCAAAATGAGGCAGGGACCTAGGGCTTTCTCTAAGGTCTCCACAGGGGATTCAGACATCCCTTCATGTTGTGAGATGAAAGACGAGCCTGTATTCAAGCCACTGCAAGGAAATGCGGCCTCCTTTCAAGTTAGGGCTTCTCGCTGTATATTCCCCTTGAGGCAGCAAACTCGGGGTCCCTTCCACATACCTATTGCTGAGAGAAGCCTCCTCCTGAGGTGCTTCTGGAAAGTTGGCATACGTCTTGAGCCTAATCCAGGGAATCAGCTCTCATCTCGAGACAATTTGGGGTACACGGAGCATTCCTCGAGTTGCTGTGCTGAAGTTGGTGTTCCTCTAGACTTGGGACAGTGTTCTCGGGGCATCTCTGGAGTTGCCTGAAGGAAGTCGAGCCACCGGTCGTGTTGAATGGGGAACGGGGAATGGCTCTGGAGTGAATGCAGGGGAATCGGGCCTCATCTCGAGTTGATTTGGGGCACATGGAGCTGCTTTGCGATGCTGGGGTGACCTCAGGGTCCGTCTAGACTGGTGACAGTGTTCTTGGGAACTGTCTCGAGATCCATTAAGCAAGTCGAAGCTCCTGACTTGTTTGAATGGGATCACGGAATAGCTCTGCATGCACTGCAGGGGAATGGGGCCTCATCTCGCCTCTAGGGGGAAGTCACATGGTTTTTCTCGAGTTGCGGCGGGGACGTGGGGTATGTTCTCGACTTACGGCGGGGATGGCCCTTCAAAACACGAGTTTCTTCAGTGACGTCAGGACTCCTGTCTAGTAACGAGGGACACCTCAGGAATCTCTAAGAGGCTTGGCAGGGCAAAAGGGACGCTTCTCGAGGTGAGGCAGGGCACCCAAGGACCCCTTCCCGTAGCCACAGGGATTTTGGGATTCCTATCAGTATTCAAGAGGAGTCAGGCATCGTCACCTTTTGAAGCAATGAACTCCGCGTGCCTCTCGAGGTGTCAGCGGGATGTGAGGCATTCCGTCAAAATGAGGCAGGGACCTAGGGCTTTCTCTAAGGTCTCCACAGGGAATTCAGACATCCCTTCATGTTGTGAGATGAAAGACGAGCCTGTATTCAAGCCACTGAAAGGAAATCCAGCCTCCTTTCAAGTTAGGGCTTCTCGCTGTATATTCCCCTTGAGGCAGCAAACTCGGGTCCCACCCACATAACTATTGCTAAGAGAAGCCTCCTCCTGAGATGCTTCTGGAAAGTTGGCATAAGTCTTGAGCCTAAGCCAGGGAATCAGCTCTCATCTCGAGACGATTTGGGGTACACAGAGCATTCCTCGAGTTGCTGTGCTGAAGTTGGTGTTCCTCTAGACTTGGGACAGTGTTCTTGGGGCATCTCTGGCGTTGCCTGAAGGAAGTCGAGCCACCGGTCGTGTTGAATGGGGAACGGGGAATGGCTCTGGGGTCAATGCAGGGGAATCGGGCCTCATCTCGAGTTGATTTGGAGCACATGGAGCTGCTTTGCGTTGCTGGGGTGACCTCAGGGTCCGTCTAGACTGGTGACAGTGTTCTTGGGGACTGTCTCGAGATCCATTAAGCAAGTCGAAGCTCCTGACTTGTTTGAATGGGATCATGGGATAGCTCTGCATGCACTGCAAGGGAATGGGGCCTCATCTCGCCTCTAGGGGGAAGTCTCATGGTTTTTCTCGAGTTGCGGCGGGGACCTGGGGTATGTTCAAGACTTACGGCGGGGATGGCCCTTCAAAACACGAGTTTCTTCAGTGACGTCAGGACTTCTGTCTAGTAATGAGGGACACCTCAGGAATCTCTTCGAGGCTTGGCAGGGCAAAAGGGACGCTTCTCGAGGTGAGGCAGGGCACCCAAGGACCCTTTCCAGTAGCCACAGGGATTTTGGGATTCCTATCAGTATTCAAGAGGAGTCAGGCATCGTCACCTTTTGAAGCAATGAACTCCGCGTGCCTCTCGAGGTGTCAGCGGGATGTGAGGCATTCCGTCAAAAGGAGGCAGGGACCTAGGGCTTTCTCTAAGGTCTCCACAGGGGATTCAGACATCCCTTCATGTTGTGAGATGAAAGACGAGCCTGTATTCAAGCCACTGCAAGGAAATGCGGCCTCCTTTCAATTTAGGGCTTCTCGCTGTATATTCCCCTTGAGGCAGCAAACTCGGGGTCCCTTCCACATACCTATTGCTGAGAGAAGCCTCCTCCTGAGGTGCTTCTGGAAAGTTGGCATAAGTCTTGAGCCTAAGCCAGGGAATCAGCTCTCATCTCGAGACGATTTGGGGTACACGGAGCATTCCTCAAGTGCTGTGCTGAGGTTGGTGTTCCTCTAGACTTGGGACACTGTTGTCTGGGCATCTCTGGAGTTGCCTGAAGGAAGTCGAGCCACCGGTCGTGTTGAATGGGGAACGGGGAATGGCTCTGGCGTCAATGCAGGCGAATGGGACCTCATCTCGAGTTGATTTGGGGCACATGGAGCTGCTTTGCTTTGCTGGGGTGACCTCAGGGTCCGTCTAGACTGGTGACAGTGTTCTTGGGGACTGTCTCGAGATCCATTAAGCAAGTCGAAGCTCCTGACTTGTTGGAATGGGATCACGGAATAGCTCTGCATGCACTGCAGGGGAATGGGGCCTCATCTCGCCTCTAGGGGGAAGTCTCATGGTTTTTCTCGAGTTGCGGCGGGGACCTGGGGTATGTTCTCGACTTACGGCGGGGATGGCCCTTCAAAACACGAGTTTCTTCAGTGACGTCAGGACTCCTGTCTAGTAACGACGGACACCTCAGGAATCTCTACGAGGCTTGGCAGAGCAAAAGGGACGCTTCTCGAGGTGAGGCAGGGCACCCAAGGACCCTTTCCAGTAGCCACAGCGATTTTGGGATTCCTATCAGTATTCAAGAGGAGTCAGGCATCGTCACCTTTTGAAGCAATGAACTCCGCGTGCCTCTCGAGGTGTCAGCGGGATGTGAGGCATTCCGTCAAAATGAGGCAGGGACCTGGGGCTTTCTCTAAGGTCTCCACAGGGGATTCAGACATCCCTTCATGTTGTGAGATGAAAGACGAGCCTGTATTCAAGCCACTGCAAGGAAATCCGGCCTCCTTTCAAGTTAGGGCTTCTCGCTGTATATTCCCCTTGAGGCAGCAATCTCGGGTCCCACCCACATACCTATTGATGAGAGAAGCCTCCTCCTGAGGTGCTTCTGGAAAGTTGGCATACGTCTTGAGCCTAATCCAGGGAATCAGCTCTCATCTCGAGACGATTTGGGGTACACGGAGCATTCCTCAAGTTGCTGTGCTGAAGTTGGTGTTCCTCTAGACTTGGGACAGTGTTCTCGGGGCATCTCTGGAGTTGCCTGAAGGAAGTCGAGCCACCGGTCTTGTTGAATGGGGAACGGGGAATGGCTCTGGAGTCAATGCAGGGGAATCGGGCCTCATCTCGAGTTGATTTGGGGCACATGGAGGTGCTTTGCGTTGCTGGGGTGACCTCAGGGTCCGTCTAGACTGGTGACAGTGTTCTTGGGGACTGTCTCGAGATCCACTAAGCAAGTCGAAGCTCCTGACTTGTTTGAATGGGATCACGGAATAGCTCTGCATGCACTGCAGGGGAATGGGGCCTCATCTCGCCTCAAGGGGGAAGTCTCATGGTTTTTCTCGAGTTGCGGCGGGGACCTGGGGTATGTTCTCGACTTACGGCGGGGATGGCCCTTCAAAACACGAGTTTCTTCAGTGACCTCAGGACTCCTGTCTTGTAACGAGGGACACCTCAGGAATCTCTTCGAGGCTTGGCAGGGCAAAAGGGACGCTTCTCGAGGTGAGGCAGGGCACCCAAGGACCCTTTCCAGTAGCCACAGGGATTTTGGGAGTCCTATCATTATTCAAGAGGAGTCAGGCATCGTCACCTTTTGAAGCAATTTACTCCGCGTGCCTCTCGAGGTGTCAGCGGGATGTGAGGCATTCCGTCAAAATGAGGCAGGGACCTAGGGCCTTCTCTAAGGTCTCCACAGGGGATTCAGACATCCCTTCATGTTGTGAGATGAAAGACGAGCCTGTATTCAAGCCACTGCAAGGAAATGCGGCCTCCTTTCAAGTTAGGGCTTCTCGCTGTATATTCCCCTTGAGGCACAAACTCGGGGTCCCTCCCACATACTTATTGCTGAGAGAAGCCTCCTCCTGAGGTGCTTCTGGAAAGTTGGCATACGTCTTGAGCCTAAGCCAGGGAATCAGCTCTCATCTCGAGATGATTTGGGTTACACGGAGCATTCCTCGAGTTGCTGTGCTGAAGTTGGTGTTCCTCTAGACTTGGGACAGTGTTCTCGGGGCATCTCTGGAGTTGCCTGAAGGAAGTCGAGCCACCGGTCGTGTTGAATGGGGAACGGGGAATGGCTCTGGAGTGAATGCAGGGGAATCGGGCCTCATCTCGAGTTGATTTGGGGCACATGGAGCTGCTTTGCGTTGCTGGGGTGACCTCAGGGTCCGTCTAGACTGGTGACAGTGTTCTTGGGGACTGTCTCGAGATCCATTAAGCAAGTCGAAGCTCCTGTCTTGTTTGAATGGGATCACGGAATAGCTCTGCATGCACTGCAGGGGAATGGGGCCTCATCTCGCCTCTAGGGGGAAGTCTCATGGTTTTTCTCGAGTTGTGGCGGAGACCTGGGGTATGTTCTCGACTTACGGCGGGGATGGCCCTTCAAAACACGAGTTTCTTCAGTGACGTCAGGACCCCTGTCTTGTAACGAGGGACACCTCAGGAATCTCTACGAGGCTTGGCAGGGCAAAAGGGACGCTTCTCGAGGTGAGGCAGGGTACCCAAGGACCCTTTCCAGTAGCCACAGCGATTTTGGGATTCCTATCAGTATTCAAGAGGAGTCAGGCATCGTCACCTTTTGAAGCAATGAACTCCGCGTGCCTCTCGAGGTGTCAGTGGGATGTGAGGCATTCCGTCAAAATGAGGCAGGGACCTAGGGCTTTCTCTAAGGTCTCCACAGGGGATTCAGACATCCCTTCATGTTGTGAGATGAAAGACGAGCCTGTATTCAAGCCACTGCAAGGAAATGCGGACTCCTTTCAAGTTAGGGATTCTTGCTGTAAATTCCCCTTGAGGCAGCAAACTCGGGGTCCCTTCCACATACCTATTGCTGACAGAAGCCTCCTCCTGAGGTGCTTCTGGAAAGTTGGCATACGTCTTGAGCCTAAGCCAGGGAATCAGCTCTCATCTCGAGACAATTTGGGGTACACGGAGCATTCCTCGAGTTGCTGTGCTGAAGTTGGTGTTCCTCTAGACTTGGGACAGTGTTCTCGGGGCATCTCTGGAGTTGCCTGAAGGAAGTCGAGCCACCGGTCGTGTTGAATGGGGAACGGGGAATGGCTCTGGAGTCAATGCAGGGGAATCGGGCCTCATCTCGAGTTGATTTGGGGCACATGGAGCTGCTTTGAGTTGCTGGGGTGACCTCAGGGTCCGTCTAGACTGGTGACAGTGTTCTTGGGGACTGTCTCGAGATCCATTAAGCAAGTCGAAACTCCTGACTTGTTTGAATGGGATCACAGAATAGCTCTGTAAGCACTGCAGGGGAATGGGGCCTCATCTCGCCTCAAGGGGGAAGTCTCATTGTTTTTCTCGAGTTCAGGCGGGGACCTGGGGTATGTTCTCGACTTACGGCGGGGATGGCCCTTCAAAACACGAGTTTCTTCAGTGACCTCAGGACTACTGTCTTGTAACGAGGGACACCTCAGGAATCTCTTCGAGGCTTGGCAGGGCAAAAGGGACGCTTCTCGAGGTGAGGCAGGGCACCCAAGGACCCTTTCCAGTAGCCACAGGGATTTTGGGAGTCCTATCATTATTCAAGAGGAGTCAGGCATCGTCACCTTTTGAAGCAATTTACTCCGCGTGCCTCTCGAGGTGTCAGCGGGATGTGAGGCATTCCGTCAAAATGAGGCAGGGACTTAGGGCCTTCTCTACGGTCTCCACAGGGGATTCAGACATCCCTTCATGTTGTGAGATGAAAGACGAGCCTGTATTCAAGCCACTGCAAGGTATTCCGGCCTCCTTTCAAGTTAGGGCTTCTCGCTGTATATTCCACTTGAGGCAGCAAACTCGGGGTCCCTTCCACATAACTATTGCTGAGAGAAGCCTCCTCCTGAGGTGCTTCTGGAAAGTTGGCATACGTCTTGAGCCTAAGCCAGGGAATCAGCTCTCATCTCGAGACGATTTGGGGTACACGGAGCATTCCTCAAGTTGCTGTGCTGAAGTTGGTGTTCCTCTAGACTTGGGACAGTGTTCTCGGGGCATCTCTGGAGTTGCCTGAAGGAAGTCGAGCCACCGGTCGTGTTGAATGGGGAACGGGGAATGGCTCTGGAGTCAATGCATGGGAATCGGGCCTCATCTCGAGTTGATTTGGGGCACATGGAGCTGCTTTGCTTTGCTGGGGTGACCTTAGGGTCCGTCTAGACTGGTGACAGTGTTCTTGGGGATTGTCTCGAGATCCATTAAGCAAGTCGAAGCTCCTGACTTGTTTGAATGGGATCACGGAATAGCTCTGCATGCACTGCAGGGGAATGGGGCCTCATCACCCCTCTAGGGGGAAGTCTCATGGTTTTTCTCGAGTTGCGGCGGGGACCTGGGGTATGTTCTCGACTTACGGCGGGGATGGCCCTTCAAAACACGAGTTTCTTCAGTGACGTCAGGACTCCTGTCTAGTAACGAGGGACACCTCAGGAATCTCTAAGAGGCTTGGCAGGGCAAAAGGGACGCTTCTCGAGGTGAGGCAGGGCACCCAAGGACGCTTTCCCCTAGCCACAGGGATTTTGGGATTCCTATCAGTATTCAAGAGGAGTCAGGCATCGTCACCTTTTGAAGCAATGAATTCCGCGTGCCTCTCGAGGTGTCAGCGGGATGTGAGGCATTCCGTCAAAATGAGGCAGGGAACTAGGGCTTTCTCTAAGGTCTCCACAGGGGATTCAGACATCCCTTCATGTTGTGAGATGAAAGACGAGCCTGTATTCAAGCCACTGCAAGGAAATCCGGCCTCCTTTCAAGTTAGGGCTTCTCGCTGTATATTCCCCTTGAGGCACAAACTCGGGGTCCCTCCCACATACTTATTGCTGAGAGAAGCCTCCTCCTGAGGTGCTTCTGGAAAGTTGGCATACGTCTTGAGCGTTGGCCAGGGAATCAGCTCTCATCTCGAGACGATTTGGGTTACACGAAGCATTCGTCGAGTTGCTGTGCTGAAGTTGGTGTTCCTCTAGACTTGGGACAGTGTTCTCGGGGCATCTCTGGAGTTGCCTGAAGGAAGTCGAGCCACCGGTCGTGTTGAATGGGGAACGGGGAATGGCTCTGGAGTCAATGCAGGGGAATCGGGCCTCATCTCGAGTTGATTTGGGGCACATGGAGCTGCTTTGCGTTGCTGGGGTGACCTCAGGGTCCGTCTAGACTGGTGACAGTGTTCTTGGGGACTGTCTCGAGATACATTAAGCAAGTCGAAACTCCTGACTTGTTTGAATGGGATCACAGAATAGCTCTGCATGCACTGCAGGGGAATGGGGCCTCATCTCGCCTCTAGGGGGAAGTCTCATGGTTTTTCTCGAGTTGCGGCGGGGACCTGGTGTATGTTCTCGACTTACGGCGGGGATGGCCCTTCAAAACACGAGTTTCTTCAGTGACGTCAGGACTCCTGTCTAGTAACGACGGACACCTCAGGAATCTCTAAGAGGCTTGGCAGGGCAAAAGGGACGCTTCTCGAGGTGAGTCAGGGCACCCAAGGACGCTTTCCCCTAGCCACAGGGATTTTGGGATTCCTATCAGTATTCAAGAGGAGTCAGGCATCGTCACCTTTTGAAGCAATGAACTCCGCGTGCCTCTCGAGGTGTCAGCGGGATGTGAGGCATTCCGTCAAAATGAGGCAGGGACCTAGGTCTTTCTCTAAGGTCTCCACAGGGGATTCAGACATCCCTTCATGTTGTGAGATGAAAGACGAGCCTGTATTCAAGCCACTGCAAGGAAATCCGGCCTCCTTTCAAGTTAGGGCTTCTCGCTGTATATTCCCCTTGAGGCAGCAAACTCGGGTCCCTCCCACATACCTTTTGCTGAGAGAAGCCTCCTCCTGAGGTGCTTCTGGAAAGTTGGCATACGTCTTGAGCCTAAGCCAGGGAATCAGCTCTCATCTCGAGACGATTTGGGGTACACGGAGCATTCCTCAAGTTGCTGTGCTGAAGTTGGTGTTCCTCTAGACTTGGGACAGTGTTCTCGGGGCATCTCTGGAGTTTCCTGAAGGAAGTCGAGCCACCGGTCTTGTTGAATGGGGAACGGGGAATGGCTCTGAAGTCAATGCAGGGGAATCGGGCCTCATCTCGAGTTGATTCGGGGCACATGGAGCTGCTTTGCGTTGCTGGGGTGACCTCAGGGTCCGTCTAGACTCGTGACAGTGTTCTTGGGGACTGTCTCGAGATCCATTAAGCAAGTCGAAGCTCCTGACTTGTTTGAATGGGATCACGGGATAGCTCTGCATGCACTGCAGGGGAATGGGGCCTCATCTCGCCTCAAGGGGGAAGTCTCATGGTTTTTCTCGAGTTGCGGCGGGGACCTGGGGTATGTTCTCGACTTACGGCGGGGATGGCCCTTCAAAACACGAGTTTCTTAAGTGACATCAGGACTCCTGTCTTGTAACGAGGGACACCTCAGGAATCTCTACGAGGCTTGGCAGGGCAAAAGGGACGCTTCTCGAGGTGAGGCAGGGTACCCAAGGACCCTTTCCAGTAGCCACAGGGATTTTGGGATTCCTATCAGTATTCAAGATGAGTCAGGCATCGTCACCTTTTGAAGCAATGAACTCCGCGTGCCTCTCGAGGTGTCAGTGGGATGTGAGGCATTCCGTCAAAATGAGGCAGGGACCTAGGGCTTTCTCTAAGGTCTCCACAGGGGATTCAGACATCCCTTCATGTTGTGAGATGAAAGACCAGCCTGTATTCAAGCCACTGCAAGGAAATGCGGCCTCCTTTCAAGTTAGGGCTTCTCGCTGTATATTCCCCTTGAGGCAGCAAACTCGGGGTCCCTTCCACATACCTAATGCTGAGAGAAGCCTCCTCCTGAGGTGCTTCTGGAAAGTTGGCATACGTCTTGAGCCTAATCCAGGGAATCATCTCTCATCTCGAAACAATTTGGGGTACACGGAGCATTCCTCGAGTTGCTGTGCTGAAGTTGGTGTTCCTCTAGACTTGGGACAGTGTTCTCGGGGCATCTCTGGACTTGCCTGAAGGAAGTCGAGCCACCGGTCGTGTTGAATGGGGAACGGGGAATGGCTCTGGAGTGAATGCAGGGGAATCGGGCCTCATCTCGAGTTGATTTGGGGCACATAGAGCTGCTTTGCGTTGCTGGGGTAACCTCAGGGTCCGTCTAGACTGGTGACAGTGTTCTTGGGGACTGTCTCGAGATCCATAAGCAAGTCGAAGCTCCTGACTTGTTTGAATGGGATCACGGAATAGCTCTGCATGCACTGCAGGGGAATGGGGCCTCATCTCGCCTCTAGGGGGAAGTCTCATGGTTTTTCTCGAGTTTCGTTGGGGACCTGGGGTATGTTCTCGACTTAGGGCGGGGATGGCCCTTCAAAACACGAGTTTCTTCAGTGACGTCAGGACTCCTGTCTAGTAACGAGGGACACTTCAGGAATCTCTACGAGGCTTGGCAGGGCAAAAGGGACGCTTCTCGAGGTGAGGCAGGGTACCCAAGGACGCTTTCCCCTAGCCACGGCGATTTTGGGATTCCTATCAGTATTCAAGAGGAGTCAGGCATCGTCACCTTTTGAAGCAATGAACTCCGCGTGCCTCTCGTGGTGTCAGCGGGATGTGAGGCATTCCGTCAAAATGAGGCAGGGACCTAGGTCTTTCTCTAAGGTCTCCACAGGGGATTCAGACATCCCTTCATGTTGTGAGATGAAAGACGAGCCTGTATTCAAGCCACTGCAAGGAAATCCGGCCTCCTTTCAAGTTAGGGCTTCTCGCTGTATATTCCCCTTGAGGCAGCAACCTCGGGTCCCTCCCACATACCTATTGCTGAGAGAAGCCTCCTCCTGAGGTGCTTCTGGAAAGTTGGCATAAGTCTTGAGCCTAAGCCAGGGAATCAGCTCTCATCTCGAGACGATTTGGGGTACACGGAGCATTCCTCAAGTTGCTGTGCTGAAGTTGGTGTTCCTCTAGACTTGGGACAGTGTTCTCGGGGCATCTCTGGAGTTGCCTGAAGGAAGTCGAGCCACCGGTCGTGTTGAATGGGGAACGGGGAATGGCTCTGGAGTGAAGGCAGGGGAATCGGGCCTCATCTCGAGTTGATTCGGGGCACATGGAGCTGCTTTGCGTTGCTGGGGTGACCTCAGGGTCCGTCTAGACTGGTGACAGTGTTCTTGGGGACTGTCTCGAGATCCACTAAGCAAGTCGAAGCTCCTGACTTGTTTGAATGGGATCACGGGATAGCTCTGCATGCACTGCAGGGGAATGGGGCCTCATCTCGCCTCAAGGGGGAAGTCTCATGTTTTTTCTCGAGTTGCGGCGGGGACCTGGCGTATGTTCTCGACTTACGGCGGGGATGGCCCTTCAAAACACGAGTTTCTTCAGTGACGTCAGGACTCCTGTCTAGTAACGAGGGACACCTCAGGAATCTCTTCGAGGCTTGGCAGGGCAAAAGGGACGCTTCTTCAAGTGAGGCAGGGCACCCAAGGACCCTTTCCCGTAGCCACAGGGATTTTGGGATTCCTATCAGTATTCAAGAGGAGTCAGGCATCGTCACCTTTTGAAGCAATGAACTCCGCGTGCCTCTCGAGGTGTCAGCGGGATGTGAGGCATTCCGTCAAAATGAGGCAGGGACCTAGGGCTTTCTCTAAGGTCTCCACAGGGGATTCAGACATCCCTTCATGTTGTGAGATGAAAGACGAGCCTGTATTCAAGCCACTGCAAGGAAATGCGGCCTCCTTTCAAGTTAGGGCTTCTCGCTGTATATTCCCCTTGAGGCAGCAAACTCGGGGTCCCTTCCACATACCTATTGCTGAGAGAAGCCTCCTCCTGAGGTGCTTCTGGAAAGTTGGCATACGTCTTGAGCCTAATCCAGGGAATCAGCTCTCATCTCGAGACAATTTGGGGTACACGGAGCATTCCTCGAGTTGCTGTGCTGAAGTTGGTGTTCCTCTAGACTTGGGACAGTGTTCTCGGGGCATCTCTGGACTTGCCTGAAGGAAGTCGAGCCACCGGTCGTGTTGAATGGGGAACGGGGAATGGCTCTGGAGTGAATGCAGGGGAATCGGGCCTCATCTCGAGTTGATTTGGGGCACATGGAGCTGCTTTGCGTTGCTGGGGTAACCTCAGGGTCCGTCTAGACTGGTGACAGTGTTCTTGGGGACTGTCTCGAGATCCATTAAGCAAGTCGAAGCTCCTGACTTGTTTGAATGGGATCACGGAATAGCTCTGCATGCACTGCAGGGGAATGGGGCCTCATCTCGCCTCTAGGGGGAAGTCTCATGGTTTTTCTCGAGTTTCGTTGGGGACCTGGGGTATGTTCTCGACTTAGGGCGGGGATGGCCGTTCAAAACACGAGTTTCTTCAGTGACGTCAGGACTCCTGTCTAGTAACGAGGGACACTTCAGGAATCTCTACGAGGCTTGGCAGGGCAAAAGGGACGCTTCTCGAGGTGAGGCAGGGTACCCAAGGACGCTTTCCCCTAGCCACAGCGATTTTGGGATTCCTATCAGTATTCAAGAGGAGTCAGGCATCGTCACCTTTTGAAGCAATGAACTCCGCGTGCCTCTCGAGGTGTCAGCGGCATGTGAGGCATTCCGTCAAAATGAGGCAGGGACCTAGGTCTTTCTCTAAGGTCTCCACAGGGGATTCAGACATCCCTTCATGTTGTGAGATGAAAGACGAGCCTGTATTCAAGCCACTGCAAGGAAATCCGGCCTCCTTTCAAGTTAGGGCTTCTCGCTGTATATTCCCCTTGAGGCAGCAACCTCGGGTCCCTCCCACATACCTATTGCTGAGAGAAGCCTCCTCCTGAGGTGCTTCTGGAAAGTTGGCATACGTCTTGAGCCTAAGCCAGGGAATCAGCTCTCATCTCGAGACGATTTGGGGTACACGGAGCATTCCTCGAGTTGCTGTGCTGAAGTTGGTGTTCCTCTAGACTTGGGACAGTGTTCTCGGGGCATCTCTGGAGTTGCCTGAAGGAAGTCGAGCCACCGGTCTTGTTGAATGGGGAACGGGGAATGGCTCTGGAGTCAATGCAGGGGAATCGGGCCTCATCTCGAGTTGATTCGGGGCACATGGAGCTGCTTTGCGTTGCTGGGGTGACCTCAGGGTCCGTCTAGACTCGTGACAGTGTTCTTGGGGACTGTCTCGAGATCCATTAAGCAAGTCGAAGCTCCTGACTTGTTTGAATGGGATCACGGGATAGCTCTGCATGCACTGCAGGGGAATGGGGCCTCATCTCGCCTCAAGGGGGAAGTCTCATGGTTTTTCTCGAGTTGCGGCGGGGACCTGGGGTATGTTCTCGACTTACGGCGGGGATGGCCCTTCAAAACACGAGTTTCTTAAGTGACCTCAGGACTCCTGTCTTGTAACGAGGGACACCTCAGGAATCTCTACGAGGCTTGGCAGGGCAAAAGGGACGCTTCTCGAGGTGAGGCAGGGTACCCAAGGACCCTTTCCAGTAGCCACAGGGATTTTGGGATTCCTATCAGTATTCAAGATGAGTCAGGCATCGTCACCTTTTGAAGCAATGAACTCCGCGTGCCTCTCGAGGTGTCAGTGGGATGTGAGGCATTCCGTCAAAATGAGGCAGGGACCTAGGGCTTTCTCTAAGGTCTCCACAGGGGATTCAGACATCCCTTCATGTTGTGAGATGAAAGACGAGCCTGTATTCAAGCCACTGCAAGGAAATGCGGCCTCCTTTCAAGTTAGGGCTTCTCGCTGTATATTCCCCTTGAGGCAGCAAACTCGGGGTCCCTTCCACACACCTATTGCTGAGAGAAGCCTCCTCCTGAGGTGCTTCTGGAAAGTTGGCATACGTCTTGAGCCTAATCCAGGGAATCAGCTCTCATCTCGAGACAATTTGGTGTACACGGAGCATTCCTCGAGTTGCTGTGCTGAAGTTGGTGTTCCTCTAGACTTGGGACAGTGTTCTCGGGGCATCTCTGGAGTTGCCTGAAGGAAGTCGAGCCACCGGTCGTGTTGAATGGGGAACGGGGAATGGCTCTGGAGTGAATGCAGGGGAATCGGGCCTCATCTCGAGTTGATTTGGGGCACATGGAGCTGCTTTGCGTTGCTGGGGTGACCTCAGGGTCCGTCTAGACTGGTGACAGTGTTCTTGGGGACTGTCTCGAGATCCATTAAGCAAGTCGAAGCTCCTGACTTGTTTGAATGGGATCACGGAATAGCTCTGCATGCACTGCAGGGGAATGGGGCCTCATCTAGCCTCTAGGGGGAAGTCTCATGGTTTTTCTCGAGTTTCGTTGGGGACCTGGGGTATGTTCTCGACTTAGGGCGGGGATGGTCCTTCAAAACACGAGTTTCTTCAGTGACGTCAGGACTCCTGTCTAGTAACGAGGGACACTTCAGGAATCTCTACGAGGCTTGGCAGGGCAAAAGGGACGCTTCTCGAGGTGAGGCAGGGTACCCAAGGACGCTTTCCCATAGCCACAGCGATTTTGGGATTCCTATCAGTATTCAAGAGGAGTCAGGCATCGTCACCTTTTGAAGCAATGAACTCCGCGTGCCTCTCGTGGTGTCAGCGGGATGTGAGGCATTCCGTCAAAATGAGGCAGGGACCTAGGTCTTTCTCTAAGGTCTCCACAGGGGATTCAGACATCCCTTCATGTTGTGAGATGAAAGACGAGCCTGTATTCAAGCCACTGCAAGGAAATCCGGCCTCCTTTCAAGTTAGGGCTTCTCGCTGTATATTCCCCTTGAGGCAGCAACCTCGGGTCCCTCCCACATACCTATTGCTGAGAGAAGCCTCCTCCTGAGGTGCTTCTGGAAAGTTGGCATAAGTCTTGAGCCTAAGCCAGGGAATCAGCTCTCATCTCGAGACGATTTGGGGTACACGGAGCATTCCTCAAGTTGCTGTGCTGAAGTTGGTGTTCCTCTAGACTTGGGACAGTGTTCTCGGGGCATCTCTGGAGTTGCCTGAAGGAAGTCGAGCCACCGGTCGTGTTGAATGGGGAACGGGGAATGGCTCTGGAGTGAAGGCAGGGGAATCGGGCCTCATCTCGAGTTGATTTGGGGCACATGGAGCTGCTTTGCGTTGCTGGGGTGACCTCAGGGTCCGTCTAGACTGGTGACAGTGTTCTTGGGGACTGTCTCGAGATCCACTAAGCAAGTCGAAGCTCCTGACTTGTTTGAATGGGATCACGGGATAGCTTTGCATGCACTGCAGGGGAATGGGGCCTCATCTCGCCTCAAGGGGGAAGTCTCATGGTTTTTCTCGAGTTGCGGCGGGGACCTGGCGTATGTTCTCGACTTACGGCGGGGATGGCCCTTCAAAACACGAGTTTCTTCAGTGACCTCAGGACTCCTGCCTAGTAACGAGGGACACCTCAGGAATCTCTTCGAGGCTTGGCAGGGCAAAAGGGACGCTTCTTCAAGTGAGGCAGGGCACCCAAGGACCCTTTCCCGTAGCCACAGGGATTTTGGGATTCCTACCAGTATTCAAGAGGAGTCAGGCATCGTCACCTTTTGAAGCAATGAACTCCGCGTGCCTCTCGAGGTGTCAGCGGGATGTGAGGCATTTCGTCAAAATGAGGCAGGGACCTAGGGCTTTCTCTAAGGTCTCCACAGGGGATTCAGACATCCCTTCATGTTGTGAGATGAAAGACGAGCCTGTATTCAAGCCACTGCAAGGAAATGCGGCCTCCTTTCAAGTTAGGGCTTCTCGCTGTATATTCCCCTTGAGGCAGCAAACTCGGGGTCCCTTCCACATACCTATTGCTGAGAGAAGCCTCCTCCTGAGGTGCTTCTGGAAAGTTGGCATACGTCTTGAGCCTAATCCAGGGAATCAGCTCTCATCTCGAGACAATTTGGGGTACACGGAGCATTCCTCGAGTTGCTGTGCTGAAGTTGGTGTTCCTCTAGACTTGGGACAGTGTTCTCGGGGCATCTCTGGACTTGCCTGAAGGAAGTCGAGCCACCGGTCGTGTTGAATGGGGAACGGGGAATGGCTCTGGAGTGAATGCAGGGGAATCGGGCCTCATCTCGAGTTGATTTGGGGCACATGGAGCTGCTTTGCGTTGCTGGGGTAACCTCAGGGTCCGTCTAGACTGGTGACAGTGTTCTTGGGGACTGTCTCGAGATCCATTAAGCAAGTCGAATCTCCTGACTTGTTTGAATGGGATCACGGAATAGCTCTGCATGCACTGCAGGGGAATGGGGCCTCATCTCGCCTCTAGGGGGAAGTCTCATGGTTTTTCTCGAGTTTCGTTGGGGACCTGGGGTATGTTCTCGACTTAGGGCGGGGATGGCCGTTCAAAACACGAGTTTCTTCAGTGACGTCAGGACTCCTGTCTAGTAACGAGGGACACTTCAGGAATCTCTACGAGGCTTGGCAGGGCAAAAGGGACGCTTCTCGAGGTGAGGCAGGGTACCCAAGGACGCTTTCCCCTAGCCACAGCGATTTTGGGATTCCTATCAGTATTCAAGAGGAGTCAGGCATCGTCACCTTTTGAAGCAATGAACTCCGCGTGCCTCTCGAGGTGTCAGCGGCATGTGAGGCATTCCGTCAAAATGAGGCAGGGACCTAGGTCTTTCTCTAAGGTCTCCACAGGGGATTCAGACATCCCTTCATGTTGTGAGATGAAAGACGAGCCTGTATTCAAGCCACTGCAAGGAAATCCGGCCTCCTTTCAAGTTAGGGCTTCTCGCTGTATATTCCCCTTGAGGCAGCAACCTCGGGTCCCTCCCACATACCTATTGCTGAGAGAAGCCTCCTCCTGAGGTGCTTCTGGAAAGTTGGCATAAGTCTTGAGCCTAAGCCAGGGAATCAGCTCTCATCTCGAGACGATTTGGGGTACACGGAGCATTCCTCAAGTTGCTGTGCTGAAGTTGGTGTTCCTCTAGACTTGGGACAGTGTTCTCGGGGCATCTCTGGAGTTGCCTGAAGGAAGTCGAGCCACCGGTCTTGTTGAATGGGGAACGGGGAATGGCTCTGGAGTCAATGCAGGGGAATCGGGCCTCATCTCGAGTTGATTCGGGGCACATGGAGCTGCTTTGCGTTGCTGGGGTGACCTCAGGGTCCGTCTAGACTCGTGACAGTGTTCTTGGGGACTGTCTCGAGATCCATTAAGCAAGTCGAAGCTCCTGACTTGTTTGAATGGGATCACGGGATAGTTCTGCATGCACTGCAGGGGAATGGGGCCTCATCTCGCCTCAAGGGGGAAGTCTCATGGTTTTTCTCGAGTTGCGGCGGGGACCTGGGGTATGTTCTCGACTTACGGCGGGGATGGCCCTTCAAAACACGAGTTTCTTAAGTGACCTCAGGACTCCTGTCTTGTAACGAGGGACACCTCAGGAATCTCTACGAGGCTTGGCAGGGCAAAAGGGACGCTTCTCGAGGTGAGGCAGGGTACCCAAGGACCCTTTCCAGTAGCCACAGGGATTTTGGGATTCCTATCAGTATTCAAGATGAGTCAGGCATCGTCACCTTTTGAAGCAATGAACTCCGCGTGCCTCTCGAGGTGTCAGTGGGATGTGAGGCATTCCGTCAAAATGAGGCAGGGACCTAGGGCTTTCTCTAAGGTCTCCACAGGGGATTCAGACATCCCTTCATGTTGTGAGATGAAAGACGAGCCTGTATTCAAGCCACTGCAAGGAAATGCGGCCTCCTTTCAAGTTAGGGCTTCTCGCTGTATATTCCCCTTGAGGCAGCAAACTCGGGGTCCCTTCCACACACCTATTGCTGAGAGAAGCCTCCTCCTGAGGTGCTTCTGGAAAGTTGGCATACGTCTTGAGCCTAATCCAGGGAATCAGCTCTCATCTCGAGACAATTTGGTGTACACGGAGCATTCCTCGAGTTGCTGTGCTGAAGTTGGTGTTCCTCTAGACTTGGGACAGTGTTCTCGGGGCATCTCTGGACTTGCCTGAAGGAAGTCGAGCCACCGGTCGTGTTGAATGGGGAACGGGGAATGGCTCTGGAGTGAATGCAGGGGAATCGGGCCTCATCTCGAGTTGATTTGGGGCACATGGAGCTGCTTTGCGTTGCTGGGGTAACCTCAGGGTCCGTCTAGACTGGTGACAGTGTTCTTGGGGACTGTCTCGAGATCCATTAAGCAAGTCGAAGCTCCTGACTTGTTTGAATGGGATCACGGAATAGCTCTGCATGCACTGCAGGGGAATGGGGCCTCATCTAGCCTCTAGGGGGAAGTCTCATGGTTTTTCTCGAGTTTCGTTGGGGACCTGGGGTATGTTCTCGACTTAGGGCGGGGATGGCCCTTCAAAACACGAGTTTCTTCAGTGACGTCAGGACTCCTGTCTAGTAATGAGGGACACTTCAGGAATCTCTACGAGGCTTGGCAGGGCAAAAGGGACGCTTCTCGAGGTGAGGCAGGGTACCCAAGGACGCTTTCCCATAGCCACAGCGATTTTGGGATTCCTATCAGTATTCAAGAGGAGTCAGGCATCGTCACCTTTTGAAGCAATGAACTCCGCGTGCCTCTCGTGGTGTCAGCGGGATGTGAGGCATTCCGTCAAAATGAGGCAGGGACCTAGGTCTTTCTCTAAGGTCTCCACAGGGGATTCAGACATCCCTTCATGTTGTGAGATGAAAGACGAGCCTGTATTCAAGCCACTGCAAGGAAATCCGGCCTCCTTTCAAGTTAGGGCTTCTCGCTGTATATTCCCCTTGAGGCAGCAACCTCGGGTCCCTCCCACATACCTATTGCTGAGAGAAGCCTCCTCCTGAGGTGCTTCTGGAAAGTTGGCATAAGTCTTGAGCCTAAGCCAGGGAATCAGCTCTCATCTCGAGACGATTTGGGGTACACGGAGCATTCCTCAAGTTGCTGTGCTGAAGTTGGTGTTCCTCTAGACTTGGGACAGTGTTCTCGGGGCATCTCTGGAGTTGCCTGAAGGAAGTCGAGCCACCGGTCGTGTTGAATGGGGAACGGGGAATGGCTCTGGAGTGAAGGCAGGGGAATCGGGCCTCATCTCGAGTTGATTTGGGGCACATGGAGCTGCTTTGCGTTGCTGGGGTGACCTCAGGGTCCGTCTAGACTGGTGACAGTGTTCTTGGGGACTGTCTCGAGATCCACTAAGCAAGTCGAAGCTCCTGACTTGTTTGAATGGGATCACGGGATAGCTCTGCATGCACTGCAGGGGAATGGGGCCTCATCTCGCCTCAAGGGGGAAGTCTCATGGTTTTTCTCGAGTTGCGGCGGGGACCTGGCGTATGTTCTCGACTTACAACGGGGATGGCCCTTCAAAACACGAGTTTCTTCAGTGACGTCAGGACTCCTGTCTAGTAACGAGGGACACCTCAGGAATCTCTTCGAGGCTTGGCAGGGCAAAAGGGACGCTTCTCGAGGTGAGGCAGGGCACCCAAGGACGCTTTCCCCTAGCCACAGGGATTTTGGGATTCCTATCAGTATTCAAGAGGAGTCAGGCATCGTCACCTTTTGAAGCAATGAACTCCGCGTGCCTCTCGAGGTGTCAGCGGGATGTGAGGCATTCCGTCAAAATGAGGCAGGGACCTAGGGCTTTCTCTAAGGTCTCCACAGGGGATTCAGACATCCCTTCATGTTGTGAGATGAAAGACCAGCCTGTATTCAAGCCACTGCAAGGAAATGCGGCCTCCTTTCAAGTTAGGGCTTCTCGCTGTATATTCCCCTTGAGGCAGCAAACTCGGGGTCCCTTCCACATACCTATTGCTGAGAGAAGCCTCCTCCTGAGGTGCTTCTGGAAAGTTGGCATACGTCTTGAGCCTAATCCAGGGAATCAGCTCTCATCTCGAGACAATTTGGGGTACACGGAGCATTCCTCGAGTTGCTGTGCTGAAGTTGGTGTTCCTCTAGACTTGGGACAGTGTTCTCGGGGCATCTCTGGACTTGCCTGAAGGAAGTCGAGCCACCGGTCGTGTTGAATGGGGAACGGGGAATGGTTCTGGAGTGAATGCAGGGGAATCGGGCCTCATCTCGAGTTGATTTGGGGCACATGGAGCTGCTTTGCGTTGCTGGGGTAACCTCAGGGTCCGTCTAGACTGGTGACAGTGTTCTTGGGGACTGTCTCGAGATCCATTAAGCAAGTCGAAGCTCCTGACTTGTTTGAATGGGATCACGGAATAGCTCTGCATGCACTGCAGGGGAATGGGGCCTCATCTCGCCTCTAGGGGGAAGTCTCATGGTTTTTCTCGAGTTTCGTTGGGGACCTGGGGTATGTTCTCGACTTAGGGCGGGGATGGCCCTTCAAAACACGAGTTTCTTCAGTGACGTCAGGACTCCTGTCTAGTAACGAGGGACACTTCAGGAATCTCTACGAGGCTTGGCAGGGCAAAAGGGACGCTTCTCGAGGTGAGGCAGGGTACCCAAGGACGCTTTCCCCTAGCCACAGCGATTTTGGGATTCCTATCAGTATTCAAGAGGAGTCAGGCATCGTCACCTTTTGAAGCAATGAACTCCGCGTGCCTCTCGAGGTGTCAGCGGCATGTGAGGCATTCCGTCAAAATGAGGCAGGGACCTAGGTCTTTCTCTAAGGTCTCCACAGGGGATTCAGACATCCCTTCATGTTGTGAGATGAAAGACGAGCCTGTATTCAAGCCACTGCAAGGAAATCCGGCCTCCTTTCAAGTTAGGGCTTCTCGCTGTATATTCCCCTTGAGGCAGCAACCTCGGGTCCCTCCCACATACCTATTGCTGAGAGAAGCCTCCTCCTGAGGTGCTTCTGGAAAGTTGGCATAAGTCTTGAGCCTAAGCCAGGGAATCAGCTCTCATCTCGAGACGATTTGGGGTACACGGAGCATTCCTCAAGTTGCTGTGCTGAAGTTGGTGTTCCTCTAGACTTGGGACAGTGTTCTCGGGGCATCTCTGGAGTTGCCTGAAGGAAGTCGAGCCACCGGTCTTGTTGAATGGGGAACGGGGAATGGCTCTGGAGTCAATGCAGGGGAATCGGGCCTCATCTCGAGTTGATTCGGGGCACATGGAGCTGCTTTGCGTTGCTGGGGTGACCTCAGGGTCCGTCTAGACTCGTGACAGTGTTCTTGGGGACTGTCTCGAGATCCATTAAGCAAGTCGAAGCTCCTGACTTGTTTGAATGGGATCACGGGATAGTTCTGCATGCACTGCAGGGGAATGGGGCCTCATCTCGCCTCAAGGGGGAAGTCTCATGGTTTTTCTCGAGTTGCGGCGGGGACCTGGGGTATGTTCTCGACTTACGGCGGGGATGGCCCTTCAAAACACGAGTTTCTTAAGTGACCTCAGGACTCCTGTCTTGTAACGAGGGACACCTCAGGAATCTCTACGAGGCTTGGCAGGGCAAAAGGGACGCTTCTCGAGGTGAGGCAGGGTACCCAAGGACCCTTTCCAGTAGCCACAGGGATTTTGGGATTCCTATCAGTATTCAAGATGAGTCAGGCATCGTCACCTTTTGAAGCAATGAACTCCGCGTGCCTCTCGAGGTGTCAGTGGGATGTGAGGCATTCCGTCAAAATGAGGCAGGGACCTAGGGCTTTCTCTAAGGTCTCCACAGGGGATTCAGACATCCCTTCATGTTGTGAGATGAAAGACGAGCCTGTATTCAAGCCACTGCAAGGAAATGCGGCCTCCTTTCAAGTTAGGGCTTCTCGCTGTATATTCCCCTTGAGGCAGCAAACTCGGGGTCCCTTCCACACACCTATTGCTGAGAGAAGCCTCCTCCTGAGGTGCTTCTGGAAAGTTGGCATACGTCTTGAGCCTAATCCAGGGAATCAGCTCTCATCTCGAGACAATTTGGTGTACACGGAGCATTCCTCGAGTTGCTGTGCTGAAGTTGGTGTTCCTCTAGACTTGGGACAGTGTTCTCGGGGCATCTCTGGACTTGCCTGAAGGAAGTCGAGCCACCGGTCGTGTTGAATGGGGAACGGGGAATGGCTCTGGAGTGAATGCAGGGGAATCGGGCCTCATCTCGAGTTGATTTGGGGCACATGGAGCTGCTTTGCGTTGCTGGGGTAACCTCAGGGTCCGTCTAGACTGGTGACAGTGTTCTTGGGGACTGTCTCGAGATCCATTAAGCAAGTCGAAGCTCCTGACTTGTTTGAATGGGATCACGGAATAGCTCTGCATGCACTGCAGGGGAATGGGGCCTCATCTAGCCTCTAGGGGGAAGTCTCATGGTTTTTCTCGAGTTTCGTTGGGGACCTGGGGTATGTTCTCGACTTAGGGCGGGGATGGCCCTTCAAAACACGAGTTTCTTCAGTGACGTCAGGACTCCTGTCTAGTAATGAGGGACACTTCAGGAATCTCTACGAGGCTTGGCAGGGCAAAAGGGACGCTTCTCGAGGTGAGGCAGGGTACCCAAGGACGCTTTCCCATAGCCACAGCGATTTTGGGATTCCTATCAGTATTCAAGAGGAGTCAGGCATCGTCACCTTTTGAAGCAATGAACTCCGCGTGCCTCTCGTGGTGTCAGCGGGATGTGAGGCATTCCGTCAAAATGAGGCAGGGACCTAGGTCTTTCTCTAAGGTCTCCACAGGGGATTCAGACATCCCTTCATGTTGTGAGATGAAAGACGAGCCTGTATTCAAGCCACTGCAAGGAAATCCGGCCTCCTTTCAAGTTAGGGCTTCTCGCTGTATATTCCCCTTGAGGCAGCAACCTCGGGTCCCTCCCACATACCTATTGCTGAGAGAAGCCTCCTCCTGAGGTGCTTCTGGAAAGTTGGCATAAGTCTTGAGCCTAAGCCAGGGAATCAGCTCTCATCTCGAGACGATTTGGGGTACACGGAGCATTCCTCAAGTTGCTGTGCTGAAGTTGGTGTTCCTCTAGACTTGGGACAGTGTTCTCGGGGCATCTCTGGAGTTGCCTGAAGGAAGTCGAGCCACCGGTCGTGTTGAATGGGGAACGGGGAATGGCTCTGGAGTGAAGGCAGGGGAATCGGGCCTCATCTCGAGTTGATTTGGGGCACATGGAGCTGCTTTGCGTTGCTGGGGTGACCTCAGGGTCCGTCTAGACTGGTGACAGTGTTCTTGGGGACTGTCTCGAGATCCACTAAGCAAGTCGAAGCTCCTGACTTGTTTGAATGGGATCACGGGATAGCTCTGCATGCACTGCAGGGGAATGGGGCCTCATCTCGCCTCAAGGGGGAAGTCTCATGGTTTTTCTCGAGTTGCGGCGGGGACCTGGCGTATGTTCTCGACTTACAACGGGGATGGCCCTTCAAAACACGAGTTTCTTCAGTGACGTCAGGACTCCTGTCTAGTAACGAGGGACACCTCAGGAATCTCTTCGAGGCTTGGCAGGGCAAAAGGGACGCTTCTCGAGGTGAGGCAGGGCACCCAAGGACGCTTTCCCCTAGCCACAGGGATTTTGGGATTCCTATCAGTATTCAAGAGGAGTCAGGCATCGTCACCTTTTGAAGCAATGAACTCCGCGTGCCTCTCGAGGTGTCAGCGGGATGTGAGGCATTCCGTCAAAATGAGGCAGGGACCTAGGGCTTTCTCTAAGGTCTCCACAGGGGATTCAGACATCCCTTCATGTTGTGAGATGAAAGACCAGCCTGTATTCAAGCCACTGCAAGGAAATGCGGCCTCCTTTCAAGTTAGGGCTTCTCGCTGTATATTCCCCTTGAGGCAGCAAACTCGGGGTCCCTTCCACATACCTATTGCTGAGAGAAGCCTCCTCCTGAGGTGCTTCTGGAAAGTTGGCATACGTCTTGAGCCTAATCCAGGGAATCAGCTCTCATCTCGAGACAATTTGGGGTACACGGAGCATTCCTCGAGTTGCTGTGCTGAAGTTGGTGTTCCTCTAGACTTGGGACAGTGTTCTCGGGGCATCTCTGGACTTGCCTGAAGGAAGTCGAGCCACCGGTCGTGTTGAATGGGGAACGGGGAATGGTTCTGGAGTGAATGCAGGGGAATCGGGCCTCATCTCGAGTTGATTTGGGGCACATGGAGCTGCTTTGCGTTGCTGGGGTAACCTCAGGGTCCGTCTAGACTGGTGACAGTGTTCTTGGGGACTGTCTCGAGATCCATTAAGCAAGTCGAAGCTCCTGACTTGTTTGAATGGGATCACGGAATAGCTCTGCATGCACTGCAGGGGAATGGGGCCTCATCTCGCCTCTAGGGGGAAGTCTCATGGTTTTTCTCGAGTTTCGTTGGGGACCTGGGGTATGTTCTCGACTTAGGGCGGGGATGGCCCTTCAAAACACGAGTTTCTTCAGTGACGTCAGGACTCCTGTCTAGTAACGAGGGACACTTCAGGAATCTCTACGAGGCTTGGCAGGGCAAAAGGGACGCTTCTCGAGGTGAGGCAGGGTACCCAAGGACGCTTTCCCCTAGCCACAGCGATTTTGGGATTCCTATCAGTATTCAAGAGGAGTCAGGCATCGTCACCTTTTGAAGCAATGAACTCCGCGTGCCTCTCGAGGTGTCAGCGGGATGTGAGGCATTCCGTCAAAATGAGGCAGGGACCTAGGTCTTTCTCTAAGGTCTCCACAGGGGATTCAGACATCCCTTCATGTTGTGAGATGAAAGACGAGCCTGTATTCAAGCCACTGCAAGGAAATCCGGCCTCCTTTCAAGTTAGGGCTTCTCGCTGTATATTCCCCTTGAGGCAGCAACCTCGGGTCCCTCCCACATACCTATTGCTGAGAGAAGCCTCCTCCTGAGGTGCTTCTGGAAAGTTGGCATAAGTCTTGAGCCTAAGCCAGGGAATCAGCTCTCATCTCGAGACGATTTGGGGTACACGGAGCATTCCTCAAGTTGCTGTGCTGAAGTTGGTGTTCCTCTAGACTTGGGACAGTGTTCTCGGGGCATCTCTGGAGTTGCCTGAAGGAAGTCGAGCCACCGGTCGTGTTGAATGGGGAACGGGGAATGGCTCTGGAGTGAAGGCAGGGGAATCGGGCCTCATCTCGAGTTGATTTGGGGCACATGGAGCTGCTTTGCGTTGCTGGGGTGACCTCAGGGTTCGTCTAGACTGGTGACAGTGTTCTTGGGGACTGTCTCGAGATCCACTAAGGAAGTCGAAGCTCCTGACTTGTTTGAATGGGATCACGGGATAGCTCTGCATGCACTGCAGGGGAATGGGGCCTCATCTCGCCTCAAGGGGGAAGTCTCATGGTTTTTCTCGAGTTGCGGCGGGGACCTGGCGTATGTTCTCGACTTACGGCGGGGATGGCCCTTCAAAACACGAGTTTCTTCAGTGACGTGAGGACTCCTGTCTAGTAACGAGGGACACCTCAGGAATCTCTTCGAGGCTTGGCAGGGCAAAAGGGACGCTTCTTGAAGTGAGGCAGGGCACCCAAGGACCCTTTCCCGTAGCCACAGGGATTTTGGGATTCCTATCAGTATTCAAGAGGAGTCAGGCATCGTCACCTTTTGAAGCAATGAACTCCGTGTGCCTCTCGAGGTGTCAGCGGGATGTGAGGCATTCCGTCAAAATGAGGCAGGGATCTGGGGCTTTCTCTAAGGTCTCCACAGGGGATTCAGACATCCCTTCATGTTGTGAGATGAAAGACGAGCCTGTATTCAAGCCACTGCAAGGAAATGCGGCCTCCTTTCAAGTTAGGGCTTCTCACTGTATATTCCCCTTGAGGCAGCAAACTCGGGGTCCATTCCACATACCTATTGCTGAGAGAAGCCTCCTCCTGAGGTGCTTCTGGAAAGTTGGCATACGTCTTGAGCCTAATCCAGGGAATCAGCTCTCATCTCGAGACAATTTGGGGTACACGGAGCATTCCTCGAGTTGCTGTGCTGAAGTTGGTGTTCCTCTAGACTTGGGACCGTGTTCTCGGGGCATCTCTGGAGTTGCCTGAAGGAAGTCGAGCCACCGGTCGTGTTGAATGGGGAACGGGGAATGGCTCTGGAGTCAATGCAGGGGAATCGGGCCTCATCTCGAGTTGATTTGGGGCACATGGAGCTGCTTTGCGATGCTGGGGTGACCTCAGGGTCCGTCTAGACTGGTGACAGTGTTCTTGGGGACTGTCTCGAGATCCATTAAGCAAGTCGAAGCTCCTGACTTGTTTGAATGGGATCACGGAATAGCTCTGCATGCACTGCAGGGGAATGGGGCCTCATCTCGCCTCTAGGGGGAAGTCTCATGGTTTTTCTCGAGTTGCGGCGGGGACGTGGGGTATGTTGTCGACTTACGGCGGGGATGGCCCTTCAAAACACGAGTTTCTTCAGTGACGTCAGGACTCCTGTCTAGTAACGAGGGACACCTCAGGAATCTCTAAGAGGCTTGGCAGGGCAAAAGGGACGCTTCTCGAGGTGAGGCAGGGCACCCAAGGACCCCTTCCCGTAGCCACAGGGATTTTGGGATTCCTATCAGTATTCAAGAGGAGTCAGGCATCGTCACCTTTTGAAGCAATGAACTCCGCGTGCCTCTCGAGGTGTCAGCGGGATGTGAGGCATTCCGTCAAAATGAGGCAGGGACCTAGGGCTTTCTCTAAGGTCTCCACAGGGAATTCAGACATCCCTTCATGTTGTGAGATGAAAGACGAGCCTGTATTCAAGCCACTGAAAGGAAATCCAGCCTCCTTTCAAGTTAGGGCTTCTCGCTGTATATTCCCCTTGAGGCAGCAAACTCGGGTCCCACCCACATAACTATTGCTAAGAGAAGCCTCCTCCTGAGATGCTTCTGGAAGGTTGGCATAAGTCTTGAGCCTAAGCCAGGGAATCAGCTCTCATCTCGAGACGATTTGGGGTACACAGAGCATTCCTCGAGTTGCTGTGCTGAAGTTGGTGTTCCTCTAGACTTGGGACAGTGTTCTCGGGGCATCTCTGGCGTTGCCTGAAGGAAGTCGAGCCACCGGTCGTGTTGAATGGGGAACGGGGAATGGCTCTGGGGTCAATGCAGGGGAATCGGGCCTCATCTCGAGTTGATTTGGAGCACATGGAGCTGCTTTGCGTTGCTGGGGTGACCTCAGGGTCCGTCTAGACTGGTGACAGTGTTCTTGGGGACTGTCTCGAGATCCATTAAGCAAGTCGAAGCTCCTGACTTGTTTGAATGGGATCATGGGATAGCTCTGCATGCACTGCAAGGGAATGGGGCCTCATCTCGCCTCTAGGGGGAAGTCTCATGGTTTTTCTCGAGTTGCGGCGGGGACCTGGGGTATGTTCTCGACTTACGGCGGGGATGGCCCTTCAAAACACGAGTTTCTTCAGTGACGTCAGGACTTCTGTCTAGTAATGAGGGACACCTCAGGAATCTCTTCGAGGCTTGGCAGGGCAAAAGGGATGCTTCTCGAGGTGAGGCAGGGCACCCAAGGACCCTTTCCAGTAGCCACAGGGATTTTGGGATTCCTATCAGTATTCAAGAGGAGTCAGGCATCGTCACCTTTTGAAGCAATGAACTCCGCGTGCCTCTCGAGGTGTCAGCGGGATGTGAGGCATTCCGTCAAAATGAGGCAGGGACCTAGGGCTTTCTCTAAGGTCTCCACAGGGGATTCAGACATCCCTTCATGTTGTGAGATGAAAGACGAGCCTGTATTCAAGCCACTGCAAGGAAATGCGGCCTCCTTTCAATTTAGGGCTTCTCGCTGTATATTCCCCTTGAGGCAGCAAACTCGGGGTCCCTTCCACATACCTATTGCTGAGAGAAGCCTCCTCCTGAGGTGCTTCTGGAAAGTTGGCATAAGTCTTGAGCCTAAGCCAGGGAATCAGCTCTCATCTCGAGACGATTTGGGGTACACGAAGCATTCCTCGAGTTGCTGTGCTGAAGTTGGTGTTCCTCTAGACTTGGGACCGTGTTCTCGGGGCATCTCTGGAGTTGCCTGAAGGAAGTCGAGCCACCGGTCGTGTTGAATGGGGAACGGGGAATGGCTCTGGAGTCAATGCAGGGGAATCGGGCCTCATCTCGAGTTGATTTGGGGCACATGCAGCTGCTTTGCGTTGCTGGGGTGACCTCAGGGTCCGTCTAGACTGGTGACAGTGTTCTTGGGGACTGTCTCGAGATCCATTAAGCAAGTCGAAGCTCCTGACTTGTTTGAATGGGATCACGGAATAGCTCTGCATGCACTGCAGGGGAATGGGGCCTCATCTCGCCTCTAGGGGGAAGTCTCATGGTTTTTCTCGAGTTGCGGCAGGGACCTGGGGTATGTTCTCGACTTACGGCGGGGATGGCCCTTCAAAACACGAGTTTCTTCAGTGACCTCAGGACTCCTGTCTAGTAACGAGGGACACCTCAGGAATCTCTTCGAGGCTTGGCAGGGCAAAAGGGACGCTTCTCGAGGTGAGGCAGGGCCCCCAAGGACCCTTTCCCGTAGCCACAGGGATTTTGGGATTCCTATCAGTATTCAAGAGGAGTCAGGCATCGTCACCTTTTGAAGCAATGAACTCCGCGTGCCTCTCGAGGTGTCAGCGGGATGTGAGGCATTCCGTCAAAATGAGGCAGGGACCTAGGGCTTTCTCTAAGGTATCCACAGGGGATTCAGACATCCCTTCATGTTGTGAGATGAAAGACGAGCCTGTATTCAAGCCACTGCAAGGAAATCCGGCCTCCTTTCAAGTTATGGCTTCTCGCTGTATATTCCCCTTGAGGCAGCAAACTCGGGGTCCCTTCCACATACCTATTGCTGGGAGAAGCCTCCTCCTGAGGTGCTTCTGGAAAGTTGGCATACGTCTTGAGCCTAAGCCAGGGAATCAGCTCTCATCTCTAGACGATTTGGGGTACACGGAGCATTCCTCAAGTGCTGTGCTGAGGTTGGTGTTCCTCTAGACTTGGGACACTGTTGTCGGGGCATCTCTGGAGTTGCCTGAAGGAAGTCGAGCCACCGGTCGTGTTGAATGGGGAACGGGGAATGGCTCTGGCGTCAATGCAGGCGAATAGGACCTCATCTCGAGTTGATTTGGGGCACATGGAGCTGCTTTGCTTTGCTGGGGTGACCTCAGGGTCCGTCTAGACTGGTGACAGTGTTCTTGGGGACTGTCTCGAGATCCATTAAGCAAGTCGAAGCTCCTGATTGTTGGAATGGGATCACGGAATAGCTCTGCATGCACTGCAGCGGAATGGGACCTCATCTCGCCTCTAGGGGGAAGTCTCATGGTTTTTCTCGAGTTGCGGCGGGGACCTGGGGTATGTTCTCGACTTACGGCGGGGATGGCCCTTCAAAACACGAGTTTCTTCAGTGACGTCAGGACTCCTGTCTAGCAACGATGGACACCTCAGGAATCTCTTCGAGGCTTGGCAAGGCAAAAGGGACGCTTCTCGAGGTGAGGCAGGGCACCCAAGGACCCTTTCCCGTAGCCACAGGGATTTCGGGATTCCTATCAGTATTCAAGAGGAGTCAGGCATCGTCACCTTTTGAAGCAATGAACTCCGCGTGCCTCTCGAGGTGTCAGCGAGATGTGAGGCATTCCGTCAAAATGAGGCAGGGACCTAGGGCTTTCTCTAAGGTCTCCACAGGGGATTCAGACATCCCTTCATGTTGTGAGATGAAAGACGAGCCTGTATTCAAGCCACTGCAAGGAAATCCGGCCCCCTTTCAAGTTAGGGCTTCTCGCTGTAAATTCCCCTTGAGGCAGCAAACTCGGGGTCCCTCCCACATACCTATTGCTGAGAGAAGCCTCCTCCTGAGGTGCTTCAGGAAAGTTGGCATACGTCTTGAACCTAAGCCAGGGAATCAGCTCTCATCTCGAGACGATTTGGGGTACACGAAGCATTCCTCGAGTTGCTGTGCTGAAGTTGGTGTTCCTCTAGACTTGGGACAGTGTTCTCGGGGCATCTCTGGAGTTGCCTGAAGGAAGTCGAGCCACCGGTCGTGTTGAATGGGGAACGGGGAATGGCTCTGGAGTCAATGCAGGGGAATCGGGCCTCATCTCGAGTTGATTTCGGGCACATGGAGCTGCTTTCCGTTGCTGGGGTGACCTCAGGGTCCGTCTAGACTGGTGACAGTGTTCTTGGGGACTCTCTCGAGTTCCATTAAGCAAGTCGAAGCTCCTGACTTGTTTGAATGGGATCACGGAATAGCTCTGCATGCACTCCAGGGGAATGGGGCCTCATCTCGCCTCTAGGGGGAAGTCTCATGGTTTTTCTCGAGTTGCGGCGGGGACCTGGGGTATGTTCTCGACTTACGGCGGGGATGGCCCTTCAAAACACGAGTTTCTTCAGTGACGTCAGGACTCCTGTCTAGTAACGAGGGACACCTCAGGAATCTCTACGAGGCTTGGCAGAGCAAAAGGGACGCTTCTCGAGGTGAGGCAGGGCACCCAAGGACCCTTTCCAGTAGCCACAGCGATTTTGGGATTCCTATCAGTATTCAAGAGGAGTCAGGCATCGTCACCTTTTGAAGCAATGAACTCCGCGTGCCTCTCGAGGTGTCAGCGGGATGTGAGGCATTCCGTCAAAATGAGGCAGGGACCTGGGGCTTTCTCTAAGGTCTCCACAGGGGATTCAGACATCCCTTCATGTTGTGAGATGAAAGACGAGCCTGTATTCAAGCCACTGCAAGGAAATCCGGCCTCCTTTCAAGTTAGGGCTTCTCGCTGTATATTCCCCTTGAGGCAGCAATCTCGGGTCCCACCCACATACCTATTGATGAGAGAAGCCTCCTCCTGAGGTGCTTCTGGAAAGTTGGCATAAGTCTTGAGCCTAAGCCAGGGAATCAGCTCTCATCTCGAGACGATTTGGGGTACACAGAGCATTCCTCGAGTTGCTGTGCTGAAGTTGGTGTTCCTCTAGACTTGGGACAGTGTTCTCGGGGCATCTCTGGAGTTGCCTGAAGGAAGTCGAGTCACCGGTCGTGTTGAATGGGGAACGGGGAATGGCTCTGGGGTCAATGCAGGGGAATCGGGCCTCATCTCGAGTTGATTTGGGGCACATGGAGCTGCTTTGCGTTGCTGGGGTGACCTCAGGGTCCGTCTAGAGTGGTGACAGTGTTCTTCGGGACTGTCTCGAGATCCATTAAGCAAGTCGAAGCTCCTGACTTGTTTGAATGGGATCATGGGATAGCTCTGCATGCACTGCAAGGGAATGGGGCCTCATCTCGCCTCTAGGGGGTAGTCTCATGGTTTTTCTCGAGTTGCGGCGGGGACCTGGGGTATGTTCTCGACTTACGGCGGGGATGGCCCTTCAAAACACGAGTTTCTTCAGTGACGTCAGGACTCCTGTCTAGTAATGAGGGACACCTCAGGAATCTCTTCGAGGCTTGGCAGGGCAAAAGGGACGCTTCTCGAGGTGAGGCAGGGCACCCAAGGACCCTTTCCAGTAGCCACAGGGATTTTGGGATTCCTATCAGTATTCAAGAGGAGTCAGGCATCGTCACCTTTTGAAGCAATGAACTCCGCGTGCCTCTCGAGGTGTCAGCGGGATGTGAGGCATTCCGTCAAAATGAGGCAGGGACCTAGGGCTTTCTCTAAGGTCTCCACAGGGGATTCAGACATCCCTTCATGTTGTGAGATGAAAGACCAGCCTGTATTCAAGCCACTGCAAGGAAATGCGGCCTCCTTTCAAGTTAGGGCTTCTCGCTGTATATTCCCCTTGAGGCAGCAAACTCGGGGTCCCTTCCACATACCTATTGCTGAGAGAAGCCTCCTCCTGAGGTGCTTCTGGAAAGTTGGCATAAGTCTTGAGCCTAAGCCAGGGAATCAGCTCTCATCTCGAGACGATTTGGGGTACACGAAGCATTCCTCGAGTTGCTGTGCTGAAGTTGGTGTTCCTCTAGACTTGGGACCGTGTTCTCGGGGCATCTCTGGAGTTGCCTGAAGGAAGTCGAGCCACCGGTCGTGTTGAATGGGGAACGGGGAATGGCTCTGGAGTCAATGCAGGGGAATCGGGCCTCATCTCGAGTTGATTTGGGGCACATGGAGCTGCTTTGCGTTGCTGGGGTGACCTCAGGGTCCGTCTAGACTGGTGACAGTGTTCTTGGGGACTGTCTCGAGATCCATTAAGCAAGTCGAAGCTCCTGACTTGTTTGAATGGGATCACGGAATAGCTCTGCATGCACTGCAGGGGAATGGGGCCTCATCTCGCCTCTAGGGGGAAGTCTCATGGTTTTTCTCGAGTTGCGGCGGGGACCTGGCGTATGTTCTCGACTTACGGCGGGGATGGCCCTTCAAAACACGAGTTTCTTCAGTGACGTCAGGACTCCTGTCTAGTAACGAAGGACACCTCAGGAATCTCTTCGAGGCTTGGCAGGGCAAAAGGGACGCTTCTCGAAGTGAGGCAGGGCACCCAAGGAGCCTTTCCAGTAGCCACAGGGATTTTGGGATTCCTATCAGTATTCAAGAGGAGTCAGGCATCGTCACCTTTTGAAGCAATGAACTCCGCGTGCCTCTCGAGGTGTCAGCGGGATGTGAGGCATTCCGTCAAAATGAGGCAGGGACCTAGGGCTTTCTCTAAGGTCTCCACAGGGGATTCAGACATCCCTTCATGTTGTGAGATGAAAGACCAGCCTGTATTCAAGCCACTGCAAGGAAATGCGGCCTCCTTTCAAGTTAGGGCTTCTCGCTGTATATTCCCCTTGAGGCAGCAAACTCGGGGTCCCTTCCACATACCTATTGCTGAGAGAAGCCTCCTCCTGAGGTGCTTCTGGAAAGTTGGCATAAGTCTTGAGCCTAAGCCAGGGAATCAGCTCTCATCTCGAGACGATGTGGGGTACACGAAGCATTCCTCGAGTTGCTGTGCTGAAGTTGGTGTTCCTCTAGACTTGGGACCGTGTTCTCGGGGCATCTCTGGAGTTGCCTGAAGGAAGTCGAGCCACCGGTCGTGTTGAATGGGGAACGGGGAATGGCTCTGGGGTCAATGCAGGGGAATCGGGCCTCATCTCGAGTTGATTTGGGGCACATGGAGCTGCTTTGCGTTGCTGGGGTGACGTCAGGGTCCGTCTAGAGTGGTGACAGTGTTCTTGGGGACTGTCTCGAGATCCATTAAGCAAGTCGAAGCTCCTGACTTGTTTGAATGGGATCATGGGATAGCTCTGCATGCACTGCAAGGGAATGGGGCCTCATCTCGCCTCTAGGGGGAGGTCTCATGGTTTTTCTCGAGTTGCGGCGGGGACCTGGGGTATGTTCTCGACTTACGGCGGGGATGGCCCTTCAAAACACGAGTTTCTTCAGTGACGTCAGGACTCCTGTCTAGTAATGAGGGACACCTCAGGAATCTCTTCGAGGCTTGGCAGGGCAAAAGGGACGCTTCTCGAGGTGAGGCCGGGCACCCAAGGACCCTTTCCAGTAGCCACAGGGATTTTGGGATTCCTATCAGTATTCAAGAGGAGTCAGGCATCGTCACCTTTTGAAGCAATGAACTCCGCGTGCCTCTCGAGGTGTCAGCGGGATGTGAGGCATTCCGTCAAAATGAGGCAGGGACCTAGGGCTTTCTCTAAGGTCTCCACAGGGGATTCAGATATCCCTTCATGTTGTGAGATGAAAGACGAGCCTGTATTCAAGCCACTGCAAGGAAATGCGGCCTCCTTTCAAGTTAGGGCTTCTCGCTGTATATTCCCCTTGAGGCAGCAAACTCGGGGTCCCTTCCACATACCTATTGCTGAGAGAAGCCTCCTCCTGAGGTGCTTCTGGAAAGTTGGCATAAGTCTTGAACCTAAGCCAGGGAATCAGCTCTCATCTCGAGACGATTTGGGGTACACGAAGCATTCCTCGAGTTGCTGTGCTGAAGTTGGTGTTCCTCTAGACTTGGGACCGTGTTCTCGGGGCATCTCTGGAGTTGCCTGAAGGAAGTCGAGCCACCGGTCGTGTTGAATGGGGAACGGGGAATGGCTCTGGAGTCAATGCATGGGAATCGGGCCTCATCTCGAGTTGATTTGGGGCACATGGAGCTGCTTTGCGTTGCTGGGGTGACCTCAGGGTCCGTCTAGACTGGTGACAGTGTTCTTGGGGACTCTCTCGAGATCCACTAAGCAAGTCGAAGCTCCTGACTTGTTTGAATGGGATCACGGAATAGCTCTGCATGCACTGCAGGGGAATGGGGCCTCATCTCGCCTCTACGGGGAAGTCTCATGGTTTTACTCTAGTTGCGGCGGGGACCTGGGGTATGTTCTCGACTTACGGCGGGGATGGCCCTTCAAAACACGAGTTTCTTCAGTGACCTCAGGACTCCTGTCTAGTAACGAGGGACACCTCAGGAATCTCTTCGAGGCTTGGCAGGGCAAAAGGGACGCTTCTCGAGGTGAGGCAGGGCACCCAAGGACCCTTTCCAGTAGCCACAGGGATTTTGGGATTCCTATCAGTATTCAAGAGGAGTCAGGCATCGTCACCTTTTGAAGCGATGAACTCCGCGTGCCTCTCCAGGTGTCAGCGGGATGTGAGGCATTCCGTCAAAATGAGGCAGGGACCTAGGGCTTTCTCTAAGGTCTCCACAGGGGATTCAGACATCCCTTCATGTTGTGAGATGAAAGACGAGCCTGTATTCAAGCCACTGCAAGGAAATCCGGCCTCCTTTCAAGTTATGGCTTCTCGCTGTATATTCCCCTTGAGGCAGCAAACTCGGGGTCCCTCCCACATACCTATTGCTGGGAGAAGCCTCCTCCTGAGGTGCTTCTGGAAAGTTGGCATACGTCTTGAGCCTAAGCCAGGGAATCAGCTCTCATCTCTAGACGATTTGGGGTACACGGAGCATTCCTCAAGTGCTGTGCTGAGGTTGGTGTTCCTCTAGACTTGGGACACTGTTGTCGGGGCATCTCTGGAGTTGCCTGAAGGAAGTCGAGCCACCGGTCGTGTTGAATGGGGAACGGGGAATGGCTCTGGCGTGAATGCAGGCGAATGGGACCTCATCTCGAGTTGATTTGGGTCACATGGAGCTGCTTTGCTTTGCTGGGGTGACCTCAGGGTCCGTCTAGACTGGTGACAGTGTTCTTGGGGACTGTCTCGAGATCCATTAAGCAAGTCGAAGCTCCTGACTTGTTGGAATGGGATCACGGAATAGCTCTGCATGCACTGCAGGGGAATGGGACCTCATCTCGCCTCTAGGGGGAAGTCTCATGGTTTTTCTCGAATTGCGGCGGGGACCTGGGGTATGTTCTCGACTTACGGCGGGGATGGCCGTTCAAAACACGAGTTTCTTCAGTGACGTCAGGACTCCTGTCTAGTAACGAGGGACACCTCAGGAATCTCTTCGAGGCTTGGCAGGGCAAAAGGGACGCTTCTCGAGGTGAGGCAGGGCACCCAGGGCCCTTTCCCGTAGCCACAGGGATTTTGGGATTCCTATCAGTATTCAAGAGGAGTCAGGCATCGTCACCTTTTGAAGCAATGAACTCCGCGTGCCTCTCGAGGTGTCAGCGGGACGTGAGGCATTCCGTCAAAATGAGGCAGGGACCTAAGGCTTTCTCTAAGGTCTCCACAGGGGATTCAGACATCCCTTCATGTTGTGAGATGAAAGACGAGCCTGTATTCAAGCCACTGCAAGGAAATACGGCCTCCTTTCAAGTCAGGGCTTCTCGCTGTATATTCCCCTTGAGGCAGCAAACTCGGGTCCCACCCACATAACTATTGCTGAGAGAAGCCTCCTCCTGAGGTGCTTCTGGAAAGTTGGCATAAGTCTTGAGCCTAAGCCAGGGAATCAGCTCTCATCTCGAGACGATTTGGGGTACACGAAGCATTCCTCGAGTTGCTGTGCTGAAGTTGGTGTTCCTCTAGACTTGGGACCGTGTTCTCGGGGCATCTCTGGAGTTGCCTGAAGGAAGTCGAGCCACCGGTCGTGTTGAATGGGGAACGGGGAATGGCTCTGGAGTCAATGCATGGGAATCGGGCCTCATCTCGAGTTGATTTGGGGCACATGGAGCTGCTTTGCGTTGCTGGGGTGACCTCAGGGTCCGTCTAGACTGGTGACAGTGTTCTTGGGGACTCTCTCGAGATCCACTAAGCAAGTCGAAGCTCCTGACTTGTTTGAATGGGATCACGGAATAGCTCTGCATGCACTGCAGGGGAATGGGGCCTCATCTCGCCTCTACGGGGAAGTCTCATGGTTTTACTCTAGTTGCGGCGGGGACCTGGGGTATGTTCTCGACTTACGGCGGGGATGGCCCTTCAAAACACGAGTTTCTTCAGTGACCTCAGGACTCCTGTCTAGTAACGAGGGACACCTCAGGAATCTCTTCGAGGCTTGGCAGGGCAAAAGGGACGCTTCTCGAGGTGAGGAAGGGCACCCAAGGACCCTTTCCAGTAGCCACAGGGATTTTGGGATTCCTATCAGTATTCAAGAGGAGTCAGGCATCGTCACCTTTTGAAGCGATGAACTCCGCGTGCCTCTCCAGGTGTCAGCGGGATGTGAGGCATTCCGTCAAAATGAGGCAGGGACCTAGGGCTTTCTCTAAGGTCTCCACAGGGGATTCAGACATCCCTTCATGTTGTGAGATGAAAGACGAGCCTGTATTCAAGCCACTGCAAGGAAATCCGGCCTCCTTTCAAGTTATGGCTTCTCGCTGTATATTCCCCTTGAGGCAGCAAACTCGGGGTCCCTCCCACATACCTATTGCTGGGAGAAGCCTCCTCCTGAGGTGCTTCTGGAAAGTTGGCATACGTCTTGAGCCTAAGCCAGGGAATCAGCTCTCATCTCTAGACGATTTGGGGTACACGGAGCATTCCTCAAGTGCTGTGCTGAGGTTGGTGTTCCTCTAGACTTGGGACACTGTTGTCGGGGCATCTCTGGAGTTGCCTGAAGGAAGTCGAGCCACCGGTCGTGTTGAATGGGGAACGGGGAATGGCTCTGGCGTGAATGCAGGCGAATGGGACCTCATCTCGAGTTGATTTGGGTCACATGGAGCTGCTTTGCTTTGCTGGGGTGACCTCAGGGTCCGTCTAGACTGGTGACAGTGTTCTTGGGGACTGTCTCGAGATCCATTAAGCAAGTCGAAGCTCCTGACTTGTTGGAATGGGATCACGGAATAGCTCTGCATGCACTGCAGGGGAATGGGACCTCATCTCGCCTCTAGGGGGAAGTCTCATGGTTTTTCTCGAATTGCGGCGGGGACCTGGGGTATGTTCTCGACTTACGGCGGGGATGGCCCTTCAAAACACGAGTTTCTTCAGTGACGTCAGGACTCCTGTCTAGTAACGAGGGACACCTCAGGAATCTCTTCGAGGCTTGGCAGGGCAAAAGGGACGCTTCTCGAGGTGAGGCAGGGCACCCAGGGCCCTTTCCCGTAGCCACAGGGATTTTGGGATTCCTATCAGTATTCAAGAGGAGTCAGGCATCGTCACCTTTTGAAGCAATGAACTCCGCGTGCCTCTCGAGGTGTCAGCGGGACGTGAGGCATTCCGTCAAAATGAGGCAGGGACCTAAGGCTTTCTCTAAGGTCTCCACAGGGGATTCAGACATCCCTTCATGTTGTGAGATGAAAGACGAGCCTGTATTCAAGCCACTGCAAGGAAATACGGCCTCCTTTCAAGTCAGGGCTTCTCGCTGTATATTCCCCTTGAGGCAGCAAACTCGGGTCCCACCCACATAACTATTGCTGAGAGAAGCCTCCTCCTGAGGTGCTTCTGGAAAGTTGGCATAAGTCTTGAGCCTAAGCCAGGGAATCAGCTCTCATCTCGAGACGATTTGGGGTACACGAAGCATTCCTCGAGTTGCTGTGCTGAAGTTGGTGTTCCTCTAGACTTGGGACAGTGTTCTCGGGGCATCTCTGGAGTTGCCTGAAGGAAGTCGAGCCACCGGTCGTGTTGAATGGGGAACGGGGAATGGCTCTGGAGTCAATGCAGGGGAATCGGGCCTCATCTCGAGTTGATTTGGGGCATATGGAGCTGCTTTGCGTTGCTGGGGTGACCTCAGGGTCCGTCTAGACTGGTGACAGTGTTCTTGGGGACTGTCTCGAGATCCACTAAGCAAGTCGAAGCTCCTGACTTGTTTGAATGGGATCACGGAATAGCTCTGCAAGCACTGCAGGGGAATGGGGCCTCATCTCGCCTCTAGGGGGAAGTCTCATGGTTTTACTCTAGTTGCGGCGGGGACCTGGGGTATGTTCTCGACTTACGGCGGGGATGGCCCTTCAAAATACGAGTTTCTTCAGTGACCTCAGGACTCCTGTCTAGTAACGAGGGACACCTCAGGAATCTCTTCGAGGCTTGGCAGGGCAAAAGGGACGCTTCTCGAGGTGAGGCAGGGCACCCAAGGACCCTTTCCCGTAGCCACAGGGATTTTGGGATTCCTATCAGTATTCAAGAGGAGTCAGGCATCGTCACCTTTTGAAGCAATGAAATCCGCGTGACTCTCGAGGTGTCAGCGGGATGTGAGGCATTCCGTCAAAATGAGGCAGGGACCTAGGGCTTTCTCTAAGGTATCCACAGGGGATTCAGACATCCCTTCATGTTGTGAGATGAAAGACGAGCCTGTATTCAAGCCACTGCAAGGAAATCCGGCCTCCTTTCAAGTTATGGCTTCTCGCTGTATATTCCCCTTGAGTCAGCAAACTCGGGGTCCCTCCCACATACCTATTGCTGGGAGAAGCCTCCTCCTGAGGTGCTTCTGGAAAGTTGGCATACGTCTTGAGCCTAAGCCAGGGAATCAGCTCTCATCTCTAGACGATTTGGGGTACACGGAGCATTCCTCAAGTGCTGTGCTGAGGTTGGTGTTCCTCTATACTTGGGACACAGTTGTCGGGGCATCTCTGGAGTTGCCTGAAGGAAGTCGAGCCACCGGTCGTGTTGAATGGGGAACGGGGAATGGCTCTGGCGTCAATGCAGGCGAATGGGACCTCATCTCGAGTTGATTTGGGGCACATGGAGCTGCTTTGCTTTGCTGGGGTGACCTCAGGGTCCGTCTAGACTGGTGACAGTGTTCTTGGGGACTGTCTCGAGATCCATTAAGCAAGTCGAAGCTCCTGACTTGTTGGAATGGGATCACGGAATAGCTCTGCATGCACTGCAGGGGAATGGGACCTCATCTCGCCTCTAGGGGGAAGTCTCATGGTTTTTCTCGAGTTGCGGCGGGGACCTGGGGTATGTTCTCGATTTACGGCGGGGATGGCCCTTCAAAACACGAGTTTCCTCAGTGACGTCAGGACTCCTGTCTAGTAACGAGGGACACCTCAGGAATCTCTTCGAGGCTTGGCAGGGCAAAAGGGACGCTTCTCGAGGTGAGGCAGGGCACCCAAGGACCCTTTCCCGTAGCCACAGGGATTTTGGGATTCCTATCAGTATTCAAGAGGAGTCAGGCATCGTCAACTTTTGAAGCAATGAACTCCGCGTGCCTCTCGAGGTGTCAGCGGGACGTGAGGCATTCCGTCAAAATGAGGCAGGGACCTAAGGCTTTCTCTAAGGTCTCCACAGGGGATTCAGACATCCCTTCATGTTGTGAGATGAAAGACGAGCCTGTATTCAAGCCACTGCAAGGAAATCCGGCCTCCTTTCAAGTTATGGCTTCTCGCTGTATATTCCCCTTGAGGCAGCAAACTCGGGGTCCCTCCCACATACCTATTGCTGAGAGAAGCCTCCTCCTGAGGTGCTTCTGGAAAGTTGGCATACGTCTTGAGCCTAAGCCAGGGAATCAGCTCTCATCTCGAGACGATTTGGGTTACACGGAGCATTCCTCGAGTTGCTGTGCTGAAGTTGGTGTTCCTCTAGACTTGGGACAGTGTTCTCGGGGCATCTCTGGAGTTGCCTGAAGGAAGTCGAGCCACCGGTCGTGTTGAATGGGGAACGGGGAATGTCTCTGGAGTCAATGAAGGGGAATCGGGCCTCATCTCGAGTTGATTTGGGGCACATGGAGCTGCTTTGCGTTGCTGGGGTGACCTCAGGGTCCGTCTAGACTGGTGACAGTGTTCTTGGGGACTCTCTCGAGATCCATTAAGCAAGTCGAAGCTCCTGACTTGTTTGAATGGGATCACGGAATAGCTCTGCATGCACTGAAGGGGAATGGGGCCTCATCTCACCTCTAGGGGGAAATCTCATGGTTTTTCTCGAGTTGCGGCGGGGACCTGGGGTATGTTCTCGACTTACGGCGGGGATGGCCCTTCAAAACACGAGTTTCTTCAGTGACGTCAGGACTCCTGTCTAGCAACGAGGGACACCTCAGGAATCTCTTCGAGGCTTGGCAAGGCAAAAGGGACGCTTCTCAAGGTGAGGCAGGGCACCCAAGGACCCTTTCCCGTAGCCACAGGGATTTCGGGATTCCTATCAGTATTCAAGAGGAGTCAGGCATCGTCACCTTTTGAAGCAATGAACTCCGCGTGCCTCTCGAGGTGTCAGCGAGATGTGAGGCATTCCGTCAAAATGAGGCAGGGACCTAGGGCTTTCTCTAAGGTCTCCACAGGGGATTCAGACATCCCTTCATGTTGTGAGATGAAAGACGAGCCTGTATTCAAGCCACTGCAAGGAAATCCGCCCCCCTTTCAAGTTAGGGCTTCTTGCTGTAAATTCCCCTTGAGGCAGCAAACTCGGGGTCCCTCCCACATAACTATTGGTGAGAGAAACCTCCTCCTGAGGTGCTTCTGGAAAGTTGGCATACGTCTTGAGCCTAAGCCAGGGAATCAGCTCTCATCTCGAGATGATTTGGGTTACACGGAGCATTCCTCGAGTTGCTGTGCTGAAGTTGGTGTTCCTCTAGACTTGGGTCAGTGTTCTCGGGGCATCTCTGGAGTTGCCTGAAGGAAGTCGAGCCACCGGTCTTGTTGAATGGGGAACGGGGAATGGCTCTGGAGTCAATGCAGGGGAATCGGGCCTCATCTCGAGTTGATTTGGGGCACATGGAGCTGCTTTGCGATGCTGGGGTGACCTCAGGGTCCGTCTAGACTGGTGACAGTGTTCTTGGGGACTGTCTCGAGATCCACTAAGCAAGTCGAAGCTCCTGACTTGTTTGAATGGGATCACGGAATAGCTCTGCATGCACTGCAGGGGAATGGGGCCTCATCTCGCCTCTAGGGGGAAGTCTCAAGGTTTTTCTCGAGTTTCGTTGGGGACCTGGGGTATGTTCTCGACTTAGGGCGGGGATGGCCCTTCAAAACACGAGTTTCTTCAGTGACATCAGGACTCCTGTCTAGTAACGAGGGACACTTCAGGAATCTCTACTAGGCTTGGCAGGGCAAAAGGGACGCTTCTCGAGGTGAGGCAGGGTACCCAAGGACGCTTTCCCCTAGCCACAGCGATTTTGGGATTCCTATCAGTATTCAAGAGGAGTCAGGCATCGTCACCTTTTGAAGCAATGAACTCCGCGTGCCTCTCGAGGTGTCAGCGGGATGTGAGGCATTCCGTCAAAATGAGGCAGGGACCTAGGTCTTTCTCTAAGGTCTCCACAGGGGATTCAGACATCCCTTCATGTTGTGAGATGAAAGACGTGCCTGTATTCAAGCCACTGCAAGGAAATCCGGCCTCCTTTCAAGTTAGGGCTTCTCGCTGTATATTCCCCTTGAGGCAGCAACCTCGGGTCCCTCCCACATACCTATTGCTGAGAGAAGCCTCCTCCTGAGGTGCTTCTGGAAAGTTGGCATAAGTCTTGAGCCTAAGCCAGGGAATCAGCTCTCATCTCGAGACGATTTGGGGTACACGGAGCATTCCTCAAGTTGCTGTGCTGAAGTTGGTGTTCCTCTAGACTTGGGACAGTGTTCTCGGGGCATCTCTGGAGTTGCCTGAAGGAAGTCGAGCCACCGGTCGTGTTGAATGGGGAACGGGGAATGGCTCTGGAGTCAATGCAGGGGAATCGGGCCTCATCTCGAGTTGATTTGGGGGACATGCAGCTGCTTTGCGTTGCTGGGGTGACCTCAGGGTCCGTCTAGACTGGTGACAGTGTTCTTGGGGACTGTCTCGAGATCCATTAAGCAAGTTGAAGCTCCTGACTTGTTTGAATGCGATCACGGAATAGCTCTGCATGCACTGCAGGGGAATGGGGCCTCATCTCGCCTCTAGGGGGAAGTCTCATGGTTTTTCTCGAGTTGCGGCAGGGACCTGGGGTATGTTCTCGACTTACGGCGGGGATGGCCCTTCAAAACACGAGTTTCCTCAGTGACCTCAGGACTCCTGTCTAGTAACGAGGGACACCTCAGGAATCTCTTCGAGGCTTGGCAGGGCAAAAGGGACGCTTCTCGAGGTGAGGCAGGGCCCCCAAGGACCCTTTCCCGTAGCCACAGGGATTTTGGGATTCCTATCAGTATTCAAGAGGAGTCAGGCATCGTCACCTTTTGAAGCAATGAACTCCGCGTGCCTCTCGAGGTGTCAGCGGGATGTGAGGCATTCCGTCAAAATGAGGCAGGGACCTAGGGCTTTCTCTAAGGTATCCACAGGGGATTCAGACATCCCTTCATGTTGTGAGATGAAAGACGAGCCTGTATTCAAGCCACTGCAAGGAAATCCGGCCTCCTTTCAAGTTATGGCTTCTCGCTGTATATTCCCCTTGAGGCAGCAAACTCGGGGTCCCTCCCACATACCTATTGCTGGGAGAAGCCTCCTCCTGAGGTGCTTCTGGAAAGTTGGCATACGTCTTGAGCCTAAGCCAGGGAATCAGCTCTCATCTCTAGACGATTTGGGGTACACGGAGCATTCCTCAAGTGCTGTGCTGAGGTTGGTGTTCCTCTAGACTTGGGACACTGTTGTCGGGGCATCTCTGGAGTTGCCTGAAGGAAGTCGAGCCACCGGTCGTGTTGAATGGGGAACGGGGAATGGCTCTGGCGTCAATGCAGGCGAATGGGACCTCATCTCGAGTTGATTTGGGGCACATGGAGCTGCTTTGCTTTTCTGGGGTGACCTCAGGGTCCGTCTAGACTGGTGACAGTGTTCTTGGGGACTGTCTCGAGATCCATTAAGCAAGTCGAAGCTCCTGACTTGTTGGAATGGGATCACGGAATAGCTCTGCATGCACTGCAGCGGAATGGGACCTCATCTCGCCTCTAGGGGGAAGTCTCATGGTTTTTCTCGAGTTGCGGCGGGGACCTGGGGTATGTTCTCGACTTACGGCGGGGATGGCCCTTCAAAACACGAGTTTCTTCAGTGACGTCAGGACTCCTGTCTAGCAACGATGGACACCTCAGGAATCTCTTCGAGGCTTGGCAAGGCAAAAGGGACGCTTCTCGAGGTGAGGGAGGGCACCCAAGGACCCTTTCCCGTAGCCACAGGGATTTCGGGATTCCTATCAGTATTCAAGAGGAGTCAGGCATCGTCACGTTTTGAAGCAATGAACTCCGCGTGCCTCTCGAGGTGTCAGCGAGACGTGAGGCATTCCGTCAAAATGAGGCAGGGACCTAGGGCTTTCTCTATGGTCTCCACAGGGGATTCAGACATCCCTTCATGTTGTGAGATGAAAGACGAGCCTTTATTCAAGCCACTGCAAGGAAATCCGGCCCCCTTTCAAGTTAGGGCTTCTCGCTGTAAATTCCCCTTGAGGCAGCAAACTCGGGGTCCCTCCCACATACCTATTGCTGAGAGAAGCCTCCTCCTGAGGTGCTTCTGGAAAGTTGGCATACGTCTTGAACCTAAGCCAGGGAATCAGCTCTCATCTCGAGACGATTTGGGGTACACGAAGCATTCCTCGAGTTGCTGTGCTGAAGTTGGTGTTCCTCTAGACTTGGGACAGTGTTCTCGGGGCATCTCTGGAGTTGCCTGAAGGAAGTCGAGCCACCGGTCGTGTTGAATGGGGAACGGGGAATGGCTCTGGAATCAATGCAGGGGAATCGGGCCTCATCTCGAGTTGATTTGGGGCACATGGAGCTGCTTTCCGTTGCTGGGGTGACCTCAGGGTCCGTCTAGACTGGTGACAGTGTTCTTGGGGACTCTCTCGAGTTCCATTAAGCAAGTCGAAGCTCCTGACTTGTTTGAATGGGATCACGGAATAGCTCTGCATGCACTGCAGGGGAATGGGGCCTCATCTCGCCTCTAGGGGGAAGTCTCATGGTTTTTCTCGAGTTGCGGCGGGGACCTGGGGTATGTTCTCGACTTACGGCGGGGATGGCCCTTCAAAACACGAGTTTCTTCAGTGACGTCAGGACTCCTGTCTAGTAACGAGGGACACCTCAGGAATCTCTACGAGGCTTGGCAGAGCAAAAGGGACGCTTCTCGAGGTGAGGCAGGGCATCCAAGGACCCTTTCCAGTAGCCACAGCGATTTTGGGATTCCTATCAGTATTCAAGAGGAGTCAGGCATCGTCACCTTTTGAAGCAATGAACTCCGCGTGCCTCTCGAGGTGTCAGCGGGATGTGAGGCATTCCGTCAAAATGAGGCAGGGACCTGGGGCTTTCTCTAAGGTCTCCACAGGGGATTCAGACATCCCTTCATGTTGTGAGATGAAAGACGAGCCTGTATTCAAGCCACTGCAAGGAAATCCGGCCTCCTTTCAAGTTAGGGCTTCTCGCTGTATATTCCCCTTGAGGCAGCAATCTCGGGTCCCACCCACATACCTATTGATGAGAGAAGCCTCCTCCTGAGGTGCTTCTGGAAAGTTGGCATAAGTCTTGAGCCTAAGCCAGGGAATCAGCTCTCATCTCGAGACGATTTGGGGTACACAGAGCATTCCTCGAGTTGCTGTGCTGAAGTTGGTGTTCCTCTAGACTTGGGACAGTGTTCTCGGGGCATCTCTGGAGTTGCCTGAAGGAAGTCGAGTCACCGGTCGTGTTGAATGGGGAACGGGGAATGGCTCTGGGGTCAATGCAGGGGAATCGGGCCTCATCTCGAGTTGATTTGGGGCACATGGAGCTGCTTTGCGTTGCTGGGGTGACCTCAGGGTCCGTCTAGAGTGGTGACAGTGTTCTTCGGGACTGTCTCGAGATCCATTAAGCAAGTCGAAGCTCCTGACTTGTTTGAATGGGATCATGGGATAGCTCTGCATGCACTGCAAGGGAATGGGGCCTCATCTCGCCTCTAGGGGGTAGTCTCATGGTTTTTCTCGAGTTGCGGCGGGGACCTGGGGTATGTTCTCGACTTACGGCGGGGATGGCCCTTCAAAACACGAGTTTCTTCAGTGACGTCAGGACTCCTGTCTAGTAATGAGGGACACCTCAGGAATCTCTTCGAGGCTTGGCAGGGCAAAAGGGACGCTTCTCGAGGTGAGGCAGGGCACCCAAGGACCCTTTCCAGTAGCCACAGGGATTTTGGGATTCCTATCAGTATTCAAGAGGAGTCAGGCATCGTCACCTTTTGAAGCAATGAACTCCGCGTGCCTCTCGAGGTGTCAGCGGGATGTGAGGCATTCCGTCAAAATGAGGCAGGGACCTAGGGCTTTCTCTAAGGTCTCCACAGGGGATTCAGACATCCCTTCATGTTGTGAGATGAAAGACCAGCCTGTATTCAAGCCACTGCAAGGAAATGCCGCCTCCTTTCAAGTTAGGGCTTCTCGCTGTATATTCCCCTTGAGGCAGCAAACTCGGGGTCCCTTCCACATACCTATTGCTGAGAGAAGCCTCCTCCTGAGGTGCTTCTGGAAAGTTGGCATAAGTCTTGAGCCTAAGCCAGGGAATCAGCTCTCATCTCGAGACGATTTGGGGTACACGAAGCATTCCTCGAGTTGCTGTGCTGAAGTTGGTGTTCCTCTAGACTTGGGACCGTGTTCTCGGGGCATCTCTGGAGTTGCCTGAAGGAAGTCGAGCCTCCGGTCGTGTTGAATGGGGAACGGGGAATGGCTCTGGAGTCAATGCAGGGGAATCGGGCCTCATCTCGAGTTGATTTGGGGCACATGGAGCTGCTTTGCGTTGCTGGGGTGACCTCAGGGTCCGTCTAGACTGGTGACAGTGTTCTTGGGGACTGTCTCGAGATCCATTAAGCAAGTCGAAGCTCCTGACTTGTTTGAATGGGATCACGGAATAGCTCTGCATGCACTGCAGGGGAATGGGGCCTCATCTCGCCTCTAGGGGGAAGTCTCATGGTTTTACTCTAGTTGCGTCGGGGACTTGGGGTATGTTCTCGACTTACGGCGGGGATGGCCCTTCAAAACACGAGTTTCTTCAGTGACCTCAGGACTCCTGTCTAGTAACGAGGGACACCTCAGGAATCTCTTCGAGGCTTGGCAGGGCAAAAGGGACGCTTCTCGAGGTGAGGCAGGGCACCCAAGTACCCTTTCCCGTAGCCACAGGGATTTTGGGATTCCTATCAGTATTCAAGAGGAGTCAGGCATCGTCACCTTTTGAAGCAATGAACTCCGCGTGCCTCTCGAGGTGTCAGCGGGATGTGAGGCATTCCGTCAAAATGAGGCAGGGACCTAGGGCTTTCTCTAAGGTATCCACAGGGGATTCAGACATCCCTTCATGTTGTGAGATGAAAGACGAGCCTGTATTCAAGCCACTACAAGGAAATCCGGCCTCCTTTCAAGTTATGGCTTCTCACTGTATATTCCCCTTGAGGCAGCAAACTCGGGGTCCCTCCCACATACCTATTGCTGAGAGAAGCCTCCTCCTGAGGTGCTTCTGGAAAGTTGGCATACGTCTTCAGCCTAAGCCAGGGAATCAGCTCTCATCTCTAGACGATTTGGGGTACACGGAGCATTCCTCAAGTGCTGTGCTGAGGTTGGTGTTCCTCTAGACTTGGGACACTGTTGTCTGGGCATCTCTGGAGTTGCCTGAAGGAAGTCGAGCCACCGGTCGTGTTGAATGGGGAACGGGGAATGGCTCTGGCGTCAATGCATGCGAATGGGACCTCATCTCGAGTTGATTTGGGGCACATGGAGCTGCTTTGCTTTGCTGGGGTGACCTCAGGGTCCGTCGAGACTGGTGACAGTGTTCTTGGGGACTGTCTCGAGATCCATTAAGCAAGTCGAAGCTCCTGACTTGTTGGAATGGGATCACGGAATAGCTCTGCATGCACTGCAGGGGAATGGGACCTCATCTCGCCTCTAGGGGGAAGTCTCATGGTTTTTCTCGAGTTGCGGCGGGGACCTGGGGTATGTTCTCGACTTACGGCGGGGATGGCCCTTCAAAACACGAGTTTCTTCAGTGACGTCAGGACTCCTGTCTAGTAACGAGGGACACCTCAGGAATCTCTTCGAGGCTTGGCAGGGCAAAAGGGACGCTTCTCGAGGTGAGGCAGGGCACCCAAGGACCCTTTCCCGTAGCCACAGGGATTTTGGGATTCCTATCAGTATTCAAGAGGAGTCAGGCATCGTCACCTTTTGAAGCAATGAACTCCGCGAGCCTCTCGAGGTGTCAGCGGGACGTGAGGCATTCCGTCAAAATGAGGCAGGGACCTAAGGCTTTCTCTAAGGTCTCCACAGGGGATTCAGACATCCCTTCATGTTGTGAGATGAAAGACGAGCCTGTATTCAAGCCACTGCAAGGAAATCCGGCCTCCTTTCAAGTTAGGGCTTCTCGCTGTATATTCCCCTTGAGGCAGCAAACTCGGGGTCCCTCCCACATAACTATTGCTGAGAGAAGCCTCCTCCTGAGGTGCTTCTGGAAAGTTGGCATACGTCTTGAGCCTAAGCCAGGGAATCAGCTCTCATCTCGAGACGATTTGGGTTACACGGAGCATTCCTCGAGTTGCTATGCTGAAGTTGGTGTTCCTCTAGACTTGGGACAGTTTTCTCGGGGCATCTCTGGAGTTGCCTGAAGGAAGTCGAGCCACCGGTCGTGTTGAATGGGGAATGGGGAATGTCTCTGGAGTCAATGAAGGGGAATCGGGCCTCATCTCGAGTTGATTTGGTGCACATGGAGCTGCTTTGCGTTGCTGGGGTGACCTCATGGTCCGTCTAGACTGGTGACAGTGTTCTTGGGGACTGTCTCGCGATCCATTAAGCAAGTCGAAGCTCCTGACTTGTTTGAATGGGATCACGGAATAGCTCTGCATGCACTGCAGGGGAATGGGGCCTCATCTCGCCTCAAGGGGGAAGTCTCATGGTTTTTCTCGAGTTGCGGCGGGGACCTGGCGTATGTTCTCGACTTACGGCGGGGATGGCCCTTCAAAACACGAGTTTCTTCAGTGACGTCAGGACTCCTGTCTAGTAACGAAGGACACCTCAGGAATCTCTTCGAGGCTTGGCAGGGCAAAAGGGACGCTTCTCGAAGTGAGGCAGGGCACCCAAGGAGCCTTTCCAGTAGCCACAGGGATTTTGGGATTCCTATCAGTATTCAAGAGGAGTCAGGCATCGTCACCTTTTGAAGCAATGAACTCCGCGTGCCTCTCGAGGTGTCAGCGGGATGTGAGGCATTCCGTCAAAATGAGGCAGGGACCTAGGGCTTTCTCTAAGGTCTCCACAGGGGATTCAGACATCCCTTCATGTTGTGAGATGAAAGACCAGCCTGTATTCAAGCCACTGCAAGGAAATGCGGCCTCCTTTCAAGTTAGGGCTTCTCGCTGTATATTCCCCTTGAGGCAGCAAACTCGGGGTCCCTTCCACATACCTATTGCTGAGAGAAGCCTCCTCCTGAGGTGCTTCTGGAAAGTTGGCATAAGTCTTGAGCCTAAGCCAGGGAATCAGCTCTCATCTCGAGACGATGTGGGGTACACGAAGCATTCCTCGAGTTGCTGTGCTGAAGTTGGTGTTCCTCTAGACTTGGGACCGTGTTCTCGGGGCATCTCTGGAGTTGCCTGAAGGAAGTCGAGCCACCGGTCGTGTTGAATGGGGAACGGGGAATGGCTCTGGGGTCAATGCAGGGGAATCGGGCCTCATCTCGAGTTGATTTGGGGCACATGGAGCTGCTTTGCGTTGCTGGGGTGACGTCAGGGTCCGTCTAGAGTGGTGACAGTGTTCTTGGGGACTGTCTCGAGATCCATTAAGCAAGTCGAAGCTCCTGACTTGTTTGAATGGGATCATGGGATAGCTCTGCATGCACTGCAAGGGAATGGGGCCTCATCTCGCCTCTAGGGGGAGGTCTCATGGTTTTTCTCGAGTTGCGGCGGGGACCTGGGGTATGTTCTCGACTTACGGCGGGGATGGCCCTTCAAAACACGAGTTTCTTCAGTGACGTCAGGACTCCTGTCTAGTAATGAGGGACACCTCAGGAATCTCTTCGAGGCTTGGCAGGGCAAAAGGGACGCTTCTCGAGGTGAGGCCGGGCACCCAAGGACCCTTTCCAGTAGCCACAGGGATTTTGGGATTCCTATCAGTATTCAAGAGGAGTCAGGCATCGTCACCTTTTGAAGCAATGAACTCCGCGTGCCTCTCGAGGTGTCAGCGGGATGTGAGGCATTCCGTCAAAATGAGGCAGGGACCTAGGGCTTTCTCTAAGGTCTCCACAGGGGATTCAGATATCCCTTCATGTTGTGAGATGAAAGACGAGCCTGTATTCAAGCCACTGCAAGGAAATGCGGCCTCCTTTCAAGTTAGGGCTTCTCGCTGTATATTCCCCTTGAGGCAGCAAACTCGGGGTCCCTTCCACATACCTATTGCTGAGAGAAGCCTCCTCCTGAGGTGCTTCTGGAAAGTTGGCATAAGTCTTGAACCTAAGCCAGGGAATCAGCTCTCATCTCGAGACGATTTGGGGTACACGAAGCATTCCTCGAGTTGCTGTGCTGAAGTTGGTGTTCCTCTAGACTTGGGACCGTGTTCTCGGGGCATCTCTGGAGTTGCCTGAAGGAAGTCGAGCCACCGGTCGTGTTGAATGGGGAACGGGGAATGGCTCTGGAGTCAATGCATGGGAATCGGGCCTCATCTCGAGTTGATTTGGGGCACATGGAGCTGCTTTGCGTTGCTGGGGTGACCTCAGGGTCCGTCTAGACTGGTGACAGTGTTCTTGGGGACTCTCTCGAGATCCACTAAGCAAGTCGAAGCTCCTGACTTGTTTGAATGGGATCACGGAATAGCTCTGCATGCACTGCAGGGGAATGGGGCCTCATCTCGCCTCTACGGGGAAGTCTCATGGTTTTACTCTAGTTGCGGCGGGGACCTGGGGTATGTTCTCGACTTACGGCGGGGATGGCCCTTCAAAACACGAGTTTCTTCAGTGACCTCAGGACTCCTGTCTAGTAACGAGGGACACCTCAGGAATCTCTTCGAGGCTTGGCAGGGCAAAAGGGACGCTTCTCGAGGTGAGGCAGGGCACCCAAGGACCCTTTCCAGTAGCCACAGGGATTTTGGGATTCCTATCAGTATTCAAGAGGAGTCAGGCATCGTCACCTTTTGAAGCGATGAACTCCGCGTGCCTCTCCAGGTGTCAGCGGGATGTGAGGCATTCCGTCAAAATGAGGCAGGGACCTAGGGCTTTCTCTAAGGTCTCCACAGGGGATTCAGACATCCCTTCATGTTGTGAGATGAAAGACGAGCCTGTATTCAAGCCACTGCAAGGAAATCCGGCCTCCTTTCAAGTTATGGCTTCTCGCTGTATATTCCCCTTGAGGCAGCAAACTCGGGGTCCCTCCCACATACCTATTGCTGGGAGAAGCCTCCTCCTGAGGTGCTTCTGGAAAGTTGGCATACGTCTTGAGCCTAAGCCAGGGAATCAGCTCTCATCTCTAGACGATTTGGGGTACACGGAGCATTCCTCAAGTGCTGTGCTGAGGTTGGTGTTCCTCTAGACTTGGGACACTGTTGTCGGGGCATCTCTGGAGTTGCCTGAAGGAAGTCGAGCCACCGGTCGTGTTGAATGGGGAACGGGGAATGGCTCTGGCGTGAATGCAGGCGAATGGGACCTCATCTCGAGTTGATTTGGGTCACATGGAGCTGCTTTGCTTTGCTGGGGTGACCTCAGGGTCCGTCTAGACTGGTGACAGTGTTCTTGGGGACTGTCTCGAGATCCATTAAGCAAGTCGAAGCTCCTGACTTGTTGGAATGGGATCACGGAATAGCTCTGCATGCACTGCAGGGGAATGGGACCTCATCTCGCCTCTAGGGGGAAGTCTCATGGTTTTTCTCGAATTGCGGCGGGGACCTGGGGTATGTTCTCGACTTACGGCGGGGATGGCCCTTCAAAACACGAGTTTCTTCAGTGACGTCAGGACTCCTGTCTAGTAACGAGGGACACCTCAGGAATCTCTTCGAGGCTTGGCAGGGCAAAAGGGACGCTTCTCGAGGTGAGGCAGGGCACCCAGGGCCCTTTCCCGTAGCCACAGGGATTTTGGGATTCCTATCAGTATTCAAGAGGAGTCAGGCATCGTCACCTTTTGAAGCAATGAACTCCGCGTGCCTCTCGAGGTGTCAGCGGGACGTGAGGCATTCCGTCAAAATGAGGCAGGGACCTAAGGCTTTCTCTAAGGTCTCCACAGGGGATTCAGACATCCCTTCATGTTGTGAGATGAAAGACGAGCCTGTATTCAAGCCACTGCAAGGAAATACGGCCTCCTTTCAAGTCAGGGCTTCTCGCTGTATATTCCCCTTGAGGCAGCAAACTCGGGTCCCACCCACATAACTATTGCTGAGAGAAGCCTCCTCCTGAGGTGCTTCTGGAAAGTTGGCATAAGTCTTGAGCCTAAGCCAGGGAATCAGCTCTCATCTCGAGACGATTTGGGGTACACGAAGCATTCCTCGAGTTGCTGTGCTGAAGTTGGTGTTCCTCTAGACTTGGGACCGTGTTCTCGGGGCATCTCTGGAGTTGCCTGAAGGAAGTCGAGCCACCGGTCGTGTTGAATGGGGAACGGGGAATGGCTCTGGAGTCAATGCATGGGAATCGGGCCTCATCTCGAGTTAATTTGGGGCACATGGAGCTGCTTTGCGTTGCTGGGGTGACCTCAGGGTCCGTCTAGACTGGTGACAGTGTTCTTGGGGACTCTCTCGAGATCCACTAAGCAAGTCGAAGCTCCTGACTTGTTTGAATGGGATCACGGAATAGCTCTGCATGCACTGCAGGGGAATGGGGCCTCATCTCGCCTCTACGGGGAAGTCTCATGGTTTTACTCTAGTTGCGGCGGGGACCTGGGGTATGTTCTCGACTTACGGCGGGGATGGCCCTTCAAAACACGAGTTTCTTCAGTGACCTCAGGACTCCTGTCTAGTAACGAGGGACACCTCAGGAATCTCTTCGAGGCTTGGCAGGGCAAAAGGGACGCTTCTCGAGGTGAGGCAGGGCACCCAAGGACCCTTTCCAGTAGCCACAGGGATTTTGGGATTCCTATCAGTATTCAAGAGGAGTCAGGCATCGTCACCTTTTGAAGCGATGAACTCCGCGTGCCTCTCCAGGTGTCAGCGGGATGTGAGGCATTCCGTCAAAATGAGGCAGGGACCTAGGGCTTTCTCTAAGGTCTCCACAGGGGATTCAGACATCCCTTCATGTTGTGAGATGAAAGACGAGCCTGTATTCAAGCCACTGCAAGGAAATCCGGCCTCCTTTCAAGTTATGGCTTCTCGCTGTATATTCCCCTTGAGGCAGCAAACTCGGGGTCCCTCCCACATACCTATTGCTGGGAGAAGCCTCCTCCTGAGGTGCTTCTGGAAAGTTGGCATACGTCTTGAGCCTAAGCCAGGGAATCAGCTCTCATCTCTAGACGATTTGGGGTACACGGAGCATTCCTCAAGTGCTGTGCTGAGGTTGGTGTTCCTCTAGACTTGGGACACTGTTGTCGGGGCATCTCTGGAGTTGCCTGAAGGAAGTCGAGCCACCGGTCGTGTTGAATGGGGAACGGGGAATGGCTCTGGCGTGAATGCAGGCGAATGGGACCTCATCTCGAGTTGATTTGGGTCACATGGAGCTGCTTTGCTTTGCTGGGGTGACCTCAGGGTCCGTCTAGACTGGTGACAGTGTTCTTGGGGACTGTCTCGAGATCCATTAAGCAAGTCGAAGCTCCTGACTTGTTGGAATGGGATCACGGAATAGCTCTGCATGCACTGCAGGGGAATGGGACCTCATCTCGCCTCTAGGGGGAAGTCTCATGGTTTTTCTCGAATTGCGGCGGGGACCTGGGGTATGTTCTCGACTTACGGCGGGGATGACCCTTCAAAACACGAGTTTCTTCAGTGACGTCAGGACTCCTGTCTAGTAACGAGGGACACCTCAGGAATCTCTTCGAGGCTTGGCAGGGCAAAAGGGACGCTTCTCGAGGTGAGGCAGGGCACCCAGGGCCCTTTCCCGTAGCCACAGGGATTTTGGGATTCCTATCAGTATTCAAGAGGAGTCAGGCATCGTCACCTTTTGAAGCAATGAACTCCGCGTGCCTCTCGAGGTGTCAGCGGGACGTGAGGCATTCCGTCAAAATGAGGCAGGGACCTAAGGCTTTCTCTAAGGTCTCCACAGGGGATTCAGACATCCCTTCATGTTGTGAGATGAAAGACGAGCCTGTATTCAAGCCACTGCAAGGAAATACGGCCTCCTTTCAAGTCAGGGCTTCTCGCTGTATATTCCCCTTGAGGCAGCAAACTCGGGTCCCACCCACATAACTATTGCTGAGAGAAGCCTCCTCCTGAGGTGCTTCTGGAAAGTTGGCATAAGTCTTGAGCCTAAGCCAGGGAATCAGCTCTCATCTCGAGACGATTTGGGGTACACGAAGCATTCCTCGAGTTGCTGTGCTGAAGTTGGTGTTCCTCTAGACTTGGGACAGTGTTCTCGGGGCATCTCTGGAGTTGCCTGAAGGAAGTCGAGCCACCGGTCGTGTTGAATGGGGAACGGGGAATGGCTCTGGAGTCAATGCAGGGGAATCGGGCCTCATCTCGAGTTGATTTGGGGCATATGGAGCTGCTTTGCGTTGCTGGGGTGACCTCAGGGTCCGTCTAGACTGGTGACAGTGTTCTTGGGGACTGTCTCGAGATCCACTAAGCAAGTCGAAGCTCCTGACTTGTTTGAATGGGATCACGGAATAGCTCTGCATGCACTGCAGGGGAATGGGGCCTCATCTCGCCTCTAGGGGGAAGTCTCATGGTTTTACTCTAGTTGCGGCGGGGACCTGGGGTATGTTCTCGACTTACGGCGGGGATGGCCCTTCAAAATACGAGTTTCTTCAGTGACCTCAGGACTCCTGTCTAGTAACGAGGGACACCTCAGGAATCTCTTCGAGGCTTGGCAGGGCAAAAGGGACGCTTCTCGAGGTGAGGCAGGGCACCCAAGGACCCTTTCCCGTAGCCACAGGGATTTTGGGATTCCTATCAGTATTCAAGAGGAGTCAGGCATCGTCACCTTTTGAAGCAATGAAATCCGCGTGACTCTCGAGGTGTCAGCGGGATGTGAGGCATTCCGTCAAAATGAGGCAGGGACCTAGGGCTTTCTCTAAGGTATCCACAGGGGATTCAGACATCCCTTCATGTTGTGAGATGAAAGACGAGCCTGTATTCAAGCCACTGCAAGGAAATCCGGCCTCCTTTCAAGTTATGGCTTCTCGCTGTATATTCCCCTTGAGTCAGCAAACTCGGGGTCCCTCCCACATACCTATTGCTGGGAGAAGCCTCCTCCTGAGGTGCTTCTGGAAAGTTGGCATACGTCTTGAGCCTAAGCCAGGGAATCAGCTCTCATCTCTAGACGATTTGGGGTACACGGAGCATTCCTCAAGTGCTGTGCTGAGGTTGGTGTTCCTCTAGACTTGGGACACAGTTGTCGGGGCATCTCTGGAGTTGCCTGAAGGAAGTCGAGCCACCGGTCGTGTTGAATGGGGAACGGGGAATGGCTCTGGCGTCAATGCAGGCGAATGGGACCTCATCTCGAGTTGATTTGGGGCACATGGAGCTGCTTTGCTTTGCTGGGGTGACCTCAGGGTCCGTCTAGACTGGTGACAGTGATCTTGGGGACTGTCTCGAGATCCATTAAGCAAGTCGAAGCTCCTGACTTGTTGGAATGGGATCACGGAATAGCTCTGCATGCACTGCAGGGGAATGGGACCTCATCTCGCCTCTAGGGGGAAGTCTCATGGTTTTTCTCGAGTTGCGGCGGGGACCTGGGGTATGTTCTCGATTTACGGCGGGGATGGCCCTTCAAAACACGAGTTTCCTCAGTGACGTCAGGACTCCTGTCTAGTAACGAGGGACACCTCAGGAATCTCTTCGAGGCTTGGCAGGGCAAAAGGGACGCTTCTCGAGGTGAGGCAGGGCACCCAAGGACCCTTTCCCGTAGCCACAGGGATTTTGGGATTCCTATCAGTATTCAAGAGGAGTCAGGCATCGTCAACTTTTGAAGCAATGAACTCCGCGTGCCTCTCGAGGTGTCAGCGGGACGTGAGGCATTCCGTCAAAATGAGGCAGGGACCTAAGGCTTTCTCTAAGGTCTCCACAGGGGATTCAGACATCCCTTCATGTTGTGAGATGAAAGACGAGCCTGTATTCAAGCCACTGCAAGGAAATCCGGCCTCCTTTCAAGTTATGGCTTCTCGCTGTATATTCCCCTTGAGGCAGCAAACTCGGGGTCCCTCCCACATACCTATTGCTGAGAGAAGCCTCCTCCTGAGGTGCTTCTGGAAAGTTGGCATACGTCTTGAGCCTAAGCCAGGGAATCAGCTCTCATCTCGAGACGATTTGGGTTACACGGAGCATTCCTCGAGTTGCTGTGCTGAAGTTGGTGTTCCTCTAGACTTGGGACAGTGTTCTCGGGGCATCTCTGGAGTTGCCTGAAGGAAGTCGAGCCACCGGTCGTGTTGAATGGGGAACGGGGAATGTCTCTGGAGTCAATGAAGGGGAATCGGGCCTCATCTCGAGTTGATTTGGGGCACATGGAGCTGCTTTGCGTTGCTGGGGTGACCTCAGGGTCCGTCTAGACTGGTGACAGTGTTCTTGGGGACTCTCTCGAGATCCATTAAGCAAGTCGAAGCTCCTGACTTGTTTGAATGGGATCACGGAATAGCTCTGCATGCACTGAAGGGGAATGGGGCCTCATCTCACCTCTAGGGGGAAATCTCATGGTTTTTCTCGAGTTGCGGCGGGGACCTGGGGTATGTTCTCGACTTACGGCGGGGATGGCCCTTCAAAACACGAGTTTCTTCAGTGACGTCAGGACTCCTGTCTAGCAACGAGGGACACCTCAGGAATCTCTTCGAGGCTTGGCAAGGCAAAAGGGACGCTTCTCAAGGTGAGGCAGGGCACCCAAGGACCCTTTCCCGTAGCCACAGGGATTTCGGGATTCCTATCAGTATTCAAGAGGAGTCAGGCATCGTCACCTTTTGAAGCAATGAACTCCGCGTGCCTCTCGAGGTGTCAGCGAGATGTGAGGCATTCCGTCAAAATGAGGCAGGGACCTAGAGCTTTCTCTAAGGTCTCCACAGGGGATTCAGACATCCCTTCATGTTGTGAGATGAAAGACGAGCCTGTATTCAAGCCACTGCAAGGAAATCCGCCCCCCTTTCAAGTTAGGGCTTCTTGCTGTAAATTCCCCTTGAGGCAGCAAACTCGGGGTCCCTCCCACATAACTATTGGTGAGAGAAACCTCCTCCTGAGGTGCTTCTGGAAAGTTGGCATACGTCTTGAGCCTAAGCCAGGGAATCAGCTCTCATCTCGAGATGATTTGGGTTACACGGAGCATTCCTCGAGTTGCTGTGCTGAAGTTGGTGTTCCTCTATACTTGGGACAGTGTTCTCGGGGCATCTCTGGAGTTGCCTGAAGGAAGTCGAGCCACCGGTCGTGTTGAATGGGGAACGGGGAATGGCTCTGGAGTGAATGCAGGGGAATCGGGCCTCATCTCGAGTTGATTTGGGGCACATGGAGCTGCTTTGCGTTGCTGGGGTGACCTCAGGGTCCGTCTAGACTGGTGACAGTGTTCTTGGGGACTGTCTCGAGATCCATTAAGCAAGTCGAAGCTCCTGACTTGTTTGAATGGGATCACGGAATAGCTCTGCATTCACTGCAGGGGAATGGGGCCTCATCTCGCCTCTAGGGGGAAGTCTCATGGTTTTTCTCGAGTTGCGGTGTGGACTTGGGGTATGTTCTCGACTTATGGCGGGGATGGCCCTTCAAAACACGAGTTTCTTCAGTGACGTCAGGACTCGTGTCTAGTAACAAGGGACACCTCAGGAATCTCTTCGAGGCTTGGCAGGGCAAAAGGGACGCTTCTCGAGGTGAGGCAGGGCACCCAAGGACCCTTTCCCGTAGCCACAGGGATTTTGGGATTCCTATCAGTATTCAAGAGGAGTCAGGCATCGTCACCTTTTGAAGCAATGAACTCAGCGTGCCTCTCGAGGTGTCAGCGCGATGTGAGGCATTCCGTCAAAATGAGGCAGGGACCTAGGGCTTTCTCTAAGGTCTCCACAGGGGATTCAGACATCCCTTCATGTTGTGAGATGAAATACGAGCCTGTATTCAAGCCACTGCAAGGAAATCCGGCCTCCTTTCAAGTTAGGGCTTCTCGCTGTATATTCCCCTTGAGGCAGCAAACTCGGGGTCCCTCCCACATAACTATTTCTGAGAGAAGCCTCCTCCTGAGGTGCTTCTGGAAAGTTGGCATACGTCTTGAGCCTAAGCCAGGGAATCAGCTCTCATCTCGAGACGATTTGGGGTACACGGAGCATTCCTCAAGTTGCTGTGCTGAAGTTGGTGTTCCTCTAGACTTGGGACCGTGTTCTCGGGGCATCTCTGGAGTTGCCTGAAGGAAGTCGAGCCACCGGTCTTGTTGAATGGGGAACGGGGAATGGCTCTGGAGTCAATGCAGGGGAATCGGGCCTCATCTCGAGTTGATTTGGGGCACATGGAGCTGCTTTGCGATGCTGGGGTGACCTCAGGGTCCGTCTAGACTGGTGACAGTGTTCTTGGGGACTGTCTCGAGATCCACTAAGCAAGTCGAAGCTCCTGACTTGTTTGAATGGGATCACGGAATAGCTCTGCATGCACTGCAGGGGAATGGGGCCTCATCTCGCCTCTAGGGGGAAGTCTCATGGTTTTTCTCGAGTTTCGTTGGGGACCTGGGGTATGTTCTCGACTTAGGGCGGGGATGGCCCTTCAAAACACGAGTTTCTTCAGTGACATCAGGACTCCTGTCTAGTAACGAGGGACACTTCAGGAATCTCTACTAGGCTTGGCAGGGCAAAAGGGACGCTTCTCGAGGTGAGGCAGGGTACCCAAGGACGCTTTCCCCTAGCCACAGCGATTTTGGGATTCCTATCAGTATTCAAGAGGAGTCAGGCATCGTCACCTTTTGAAGCAATGAACTCCGCGTGCCTCTCGAGGTGTCAGCGGGATGTGAGGCATTCCGTCAAAATGAGGCAGGGACCTAGGTCTTTCTCTAAGGTCTCCACAGGGGATTCAGACATCCCTTCATGTTGTGAGATGAAAGACGAGCCTGTATTCAAGCCACTGCAAGGAAATCCGGCCTCCTTTCAAGTTAGGGCTTCTCGCTGTATATTCCCCTTGAGGCAGCAACCTCGGGTCCCTCCCACATACCTATTGCTGAGAGAAGCCTCCTCCTGAGGTGCTTCTGGAAAGTTGGCATAAGTCTTGAGCCTAAGCCAGGGAATCAGCTCTCATCTCGAGACGATTTGGGGTACACGGAGCATTCCTCAAGTTGCTGTGCTGAAGTTGGTGTTCCTCTAGACTTGGGACAGTGTTCTCGGGGCATCTCTGGAGTTGCCTGAAGGAAGTCGAGCCACCGGTCGTGTTGAATGGGGAACGGGGAATGGCTCTGGAGTGAAGGCAGGGGAATCGGGCCTCATCTCGAGTTGATTTGGGGCACATGGAGCTGCTTTGCGTTGCTGGGGTGACCTCAGGGTCCGTCTAGACTGGTGACAGTGTTCTTGGGGACTGTCTCGAGATCCACTAAGCAAGTCGAAGCTCCTGACTTGTTTGAATGGGATCACGGGATAGCTCTGCATGCACTGCAGGGGAATGGGGCCTCATCTCGCCTCAAGGGGGAAGTCTCATGGTTTTTCTCGAGTTGCAGCGGGGACCTGGCGTATGTTCTCGACTTACGGCGGGGATGGCCCTTCAAAACACGAGTTTCTTCAGTGACGTCAGGACTCCTGTCTAGTAACGAGAGACACCTCAGGAACCTCTTCGAGGCTTGGCAGGGCAAAAGGGACGCTTCTTGAAGTGAGGCAGGGCACCCAAGGACCCTTTCCCGTAGCCACAGGGATTTTGGGATTCCTATCAGTATTCAAGAGGAGTCAGGCATCGTCACCTTTTGAAGCAATGAACTCCGCGTGCCTCTCGAGGTGTCAGCGGGATGTGAGGCATTCCGTCAAAATGAGGCAGGGACCTAGGGCTTTCTCTAAGGTCTCCACAGGGGATTCAGACATCCCTTCATGTTGTGAGATGAAAGACGAGCCTGTATTCAAGCCACTGCAAGGAAATGCGGCCTCCTTTCAAGTTAGGGCTTCTCGCTGTATATTCCCCTTGAGGCAGCAAACTCGGGGTCCCTTTCACATACCTATTGCTGAGAGAAGCCTCCTCCTGAGGTGCTTCTGGAAAGTTGGCATAAGTCTTGAGCCTAAGCCAGGGAATCAGCTCTCATCTCGAGACGATTTGGGGTACACGAAGCATTCCTCGAGTTGCTGTGCTGAAGTTGGTGTTCCTCTAGACTTGGGACCGTGTTCTCGGGGCATCTCTGGAGTTGCCTGAAGGAAGTCGAGCCACTGGTCGTGTTGAATGGGGAACGGGGAATGGCTCTGGAGTCAATGCAGGGGAATCGGGCCTCATCTCGAGTTGATTTGGGGGACATGCAGCTGCTTTGCGTTGCTGGGGTGACCTCAGGGTCCGTCTAGACTGGTGACAGTGTTCTTGGGGACTGTCTCGAGATCCATTAAGCAAGTTGAAGCTCCTGACTTGTTTGAATGCGATCACGGAATAGCTCTGCATGCACTGCAGGGGAATGGGGCCTCATCTCGCCTCTAGGGGGAAGTCTCATGGTTTTTCTCGAGTTGCGGCAGGGACCTGGGGTATGTTCTCGACTTACGGCGGGGATGGCCCTTCAAAACACGAGTTTCCTCAGTGACCTCAGGACTCCTGTCTAGTAACGAGGGACACCTCAGGAATCTCTTCGAGGCTTGGCAGGGCAAAAGGGACGCTTCTCGAGGTGAGGCAGGGCCCCCAAGGACCCTTTCCCGTAGCCACAGGGATTTTGGGATTCCTATCAGTATTCAAGAGGAGTCAGGCATCGTCACCTTTTGAAGCAATGAACTCCGCGTGCCTCTCGAGGTGTCAGCGGGATGTGAGGCATTCCGTCAAAATGAGGCAGGGACCTAGGGCTTTCTCTAAGGTATCCACAGGGGATTCAGACATCCCTTCATGTTGTGAGATGAAAGACGAGCCTGTATTCAAGCCACTGCAAGGAAATCCGGCCTCCTTTCAAGTTATGGCTTCTCGCTGTATATTCCCCTTGAGGCAGCAAACTCGGGGTCCCTCCCACATACCTATTGCTGGGAGAAGCCTCCTCCTGAGGTGCTTCTGGAAAGTTGGCATACGTCTTGAGCCTAAGCCAGGGAATCAGCTCTCATCTCTAGACGATTTGGGGTACACGGAGCATTCCTCAAGTGCTGTGCTGAGGTTGGTGTTCCTCTAGACTTGGGACACTGTTGTCGGGGCATCTCTGGAGTTGCCTGAAGGAAGTCGAGCCACCGGTCGTGTTGAATGGGGAACGGGGAATGGCTCTGGCGTCAATGCAGGCGAATGGGACCTCATCTCGAGTTGATTTGGGGCACATGGAGCTGCTTTGCTTTTCTGGGGTGACCTCAGGGTCCGTCTAGACTGGTGACAGTGTTCTTGGGGACTGTCTCGAGATCCATTAAGCAAGTCGAAGCTCCTGACTTGTTGGAATGGGATCACGGAATAGCTCTGCATGCACTGCAGCGGAATGGGACCTCATCTCGCCTCTAGGGGGAAGTCTCATGGTTTTTCTCGAGTTGCGGCGGGGACCTGGGGTATGTTCTCGACTTACGGCGGGGATGGCCCTTCAAAACACGAGTTTCTTCAGTGACGTCAGGACTCCTGTCTAGCAACGATGGACACCTCAGGAATCTCTTCGAGGCTTGGCAAGGCAAAAGGGACGCTTCTCGAGGTGAGGGAGGGCACCCAAGGACCCTTTCCCGTAGCCACAGGGATTTCGGGATTCCTATCAGTATTCAAGAGGAGTCAGGCATCGTCACGTTTTGAAGCAATGAACTCCGCGTGCCTCTCGAGGTGTCAGCGAGATGTGAGGCATTCCGTCAAAATGAGGCAGGGACCTAGGGCTTTCTCTATGGTCTCCACAGGGGATTCAGACATCCCTTCATGTTGTGAGATGAAAGACGAGCCTTTATTCAAGCCACTGCAAGGAAATCCGGCCCCCTTTCAAGTTAGGGCTTCTCGCTGTAAATTCCCCTTGAGGCAGCAAACTCGGGGTCCCTCCCACATACCTATTGCTGAGAGAAGCCTCCTCCTGAGGTGCTTCTGGAAAGTTGGCATACGTCTTGAACCTAAGCCAGGGAATCAGCTCTCATCTCGAGACGATTTGGGGTACACGAAGCATTCCTCGAGTTGCTGTGCTGAAGTTGGTGTTCCTCTAGACTTGGGACCGTGTTCTCGGGGCATCTCTGGAGTTGCCTGAAGGAAGTCGAGCCACCGGTCGTGTTGAATGGGGAACGGGGAATGGCTCTGGAGTCAATGCAGGGGAATCGGGCCTCATCTCGAGTTGATTTGGGGCACATGGAGCTGCTTTCCGTTGCTGGGGTGACCTCAGGGTCCGTCTAGACTGGTGACAGTGTTCTTGGGGACTCTCTCGAGTTCCATTAAGCAAGTCGAAGCTCCTGACTTGTTTGAATGGGATCACGGAATAGCTCTGCATGCACTGCAGGGGAATGGGGCCTCATCTCGCCTCTAGGGGGAAGTCTCATGGTTTTTCTCGAGTTGCGGCGGGGACCTGGGGTATGTTCTCGACTTACGGCGGGGATGGCCCTTCAAAACACGAGTTTCTTCAGTGACGTCAGGACTCGTGTCTAGTAACGAGGGACACCTCAGGAATCTCTACGAGGCTTGGCAGAGCAAAAGGGACGCTTCTCGAGGTGAGGCAGGGCATCCAAGGACCCTTTCCAGTAGCCACAGCGATTTTGGGATTCCTATCAGTATTCAAGAGGAGTCAGGCATCGTCACCTTTTGAAGCAATGAACTCCGCGTGCCTCTCGAGGTGTCAGCGGGATGTGAGGCATTCCGTCAAAATGAGGCAGGGATCTGGGGCTTTCTCTAAGGTCTCCACAGGGGATTCAGACATCTCTTCATGTTGTGAGATGAAAGACGAGCCTGTATTCAAGCCACTGCAAGGAAATCCGGCCTCCTTTCAAGTTAGGGCTTCTCGCTGTATATTCCCCTTGAGGCAGCAATCTCGGGTCCCACCCACATACCTATTGATGAGAGAAGCCTCCTCCTGAGGTGCTTCTGGAAAGTTGGCATAAGTCTTGAGCCTAAGCCAGGGAATCAGCTCTCATCTCGAGACGATTTGGGGTACACAGAGCATTCCTCGAGTTGCTGTGCTGAAGTTGGTGTTCCTCTAGACTTGGGACAGTGTTCTCGGGGCATCTCTGGAGTTGCCTGAAGGAAGTCGAGTCACCGGTCGTGTTGAATGGGGAACAGGGAATGGCTCTGGGGTCAATGCAGGGGAATCGGGCCTCATCTCGAGTTGATTTGGGGCACATGGAGCTGCTTTGCGTTGCTGGGGTGACCTCAGGGTCCTTCTAGAGTGGTGACAGTGTTCTTCGGGACTGTCTCGAGATCCATTAAGCAAGTCGAAGCTCCTGACTTGTTTGAATGGGATCATGGGATAGCTCTGCATGCACTGCAAGGGAATGGGGCCTCATCTCGCCTCTAGGGGTAAGTCTCATGGTTTTTCCCGAGTTGCGGCGGGGACCTGGGGTATGTTCTCGACTTACGGCGGGGATGGCCCTTCAAAACACGAGTTTCTTCAGTGACGTCAGGACTCCTGTCTAGTAATGAGGGACACCTCAGGAATCTCTTCGAGGCTTGGCAGGGCAAAAGGGACGCTTCTCGAGGTGAGGCAGGGCACCCAAGGACCCTTTCCAGTAGCCACAGGGATTTTGGGATTCCTATCAGTATTCAAGAGGAGTCAGGCATCGTCACCTTTTGAAGCAATGAACTCCGCGTACCTCTCGAGGTGTCAGCGGGATGTGAGGCATTCCGTCAAAATGAGGCAGGGACCTAGGGCTTTCTCTAAGGTCTCCACAGGGGATTCAGACATCCCTTCATGTTGTGAGATGAAAGACCAGCCTGTATTCAAGCCACTGCAAGGAAATGCGGCCTCCTTTCAAGTTAGGGCTTCTCGCTGTATATTCCCCTTGAGGCAGCAAACTCGGGGTCCCTTCCACATACCTATTGCTGAGAGAAGCCTCCTCCTGAGGTGCTTCTGGAAAGTTGGCATACGTCTTGAGCCTAAGCCAGGGAATCAGCTCTCATCTCGAGACGATTTGGGGTACATGAAGCATTCCTCGAGTTGCTGTGCTAAAGTTGGTGTTCCTCTAGACTTGGGACCGTGTTCTCGGGGCATCTCTGGAGTTGCCTGAAGGAAGTCGAGCCACCGGTCGTGTTGAATGGGGAACGAGGAATGGCTCTGGAGTCAATGCAGGGGAATCGGGCCTCATCTCGAGTTGATTTGGGGCACATGGAGCTGCTTTGCGTTGCTGGGGTGACCTCAGGGTCCGTCGAGACTGGTGACAGTGTTCTTGGGGACTGTCTCGAGATCCATTAAGCAAGTCGAAGCTCCTGACTTGTTTGAATGGGATCACGGGATAGCTCTGCATGCACTGCAGGGGAATGGGGCCTCATCTCGCCTCAAGGGGGAAGTCTCATGGTTTTTCTCGAGTTGCGGCGGGGACCTGGGGTATGTTCTCGACTTACGGCGGGGATGGCCCTTCAAAACACGAGTTTCTTAAGTGACGTCAGGACTCCTGTCTAGTAACGAGGGACACCTCAGGAATCTCTAAGAGGCTTGGCAGGGCAAAAGGGACGCTTCTCGAGGTGAGGCAGGGCACCCAAGGACCCTTTCACGTAGCCACAGGGATTTTGGGATTCCTATCAGTATTCAAGAGGAGTCAGGCATCGTCACCTTTTGAAGCAATGAACTCCGCGTGCCTCTCGAGGTGTCAGCGGGACGTGAGGCATTCCGTCAAAATGTGGCAGGGACCTAAGGCTTTCTCTAAGGTCTCCACAGGGGATTCAGACATCCCTTCATGTTGTGAGATGAAAGACGAGCCTGTATTCAAGCCACTGCAAGGAAATCCGGCCTCCTTTCAAGTTAGGGCTTTTCGCTGTATATTCCCCTTGAGGCAGCAAACTCGGGTCCCACCCACATAACTATTGCTGAGAGAAGCCTCCTCCTGAGGTGCTTCTGGAAAGTTGGCATAAGTCTTGAGCCTAAGCCAGGGAATCAGCTCTCATCTCGAGACGATTTGGGGTACACAGAGCATTCCTCGAGTTGCTGTGCTGAAGTTGGTGTTCCTCTAGACTTGGGACAGTGTTCTCGGGGCATCTCTGGAGTTGCCTGAAGGAAGTCGGGCCACCGGTCGTGTTGAATGGGGAACGGGGAATGGCTCTGGAGTGAATGCAGGGGAATCGGGCCTCATCTCGAGTTGATTTGGGGCACATGGAGCTGCTTTGCGATGCTGGGGTGACCTCAGGGTCCGTCGAGACTGGTGACAGTGTTCTTGGGGACTCTCTCGAGTTCCATTAAGCAAGTCGAAGCTCCTGACTTGTTTGAATGGGATCACGGAATAGCTCTGCATGCACTGCAGGGGAATGGGGCCTCATCTCGCCTCTAGGGGGAAGTCTCATGGTTTTTCTCGAGTTGCGGCGGGGACCTGGGGTATGTTCTCGACTTACGGCGGGGATGGCCCTTCAAAACACGAGTTTCTTCAGTGACGTCAGGACTCCTGTCTAGTAACGAGGGACACCTCAGGAATCTCTACGAGGCTTGGCAGAGCAAAAGGGACGCTTCTCGAGGTGAGGCAGGGCATCCAAGGACCCTTTCCAGTAGCCACAGCGATTTTGGGATTCCTATCAGTATTCAAGAGGAGTCAGGCATCGTCACCTTTTGAAGCAATGAACTCCGCGTGCCTCTCGAGGTGTCAGCGGGATGTGAGGCATTCCGTCAAAATGAGGCAGGGATCTGGGGCTTTCTCTAAGGTCTCCACAGGGGATTCAGACATCTCTTCATGTTGTGAGATGAAAGACGAGCCTGTATTCAAGCCACTGCAAGGAAATCCGGCCTCCTTTCAAGTTAGGGCTTCTCGCTGTATATTCCCCTTGAGGCAGCAATCTCGGGTCCCACCCACATACCTATTGATGAGAGAAGCCTCCTCCTGAGGTGCTTCTGGAAAGTTGGCATAAGTCTTGAGCCTAAGCCAGGGAATCAGCTCTCATCTCGAGACGATTTGGGGTACACAGAGCATTCCTCGAGTTGCTGTGCTGAAGTTGGTGTTCCTCTAGACTTGGGACAGTGTTCTCGGGGCATCTCTGGAGTTGCCTGAAGGAAGTCGAGTCACCGGTCGTGTTGAATGGGGAACAGGGAATGGCTCTGGGGTCAATGCAGGGGAATCGGGCCTCATCTCGAGTTGATTTGGGGCACATGGAGCTGCTTTGCGATGCTGGGGTGACCTCAGGGTCCGTCGAGACTGGTGACAGTGTTCTTGGGGACTGTCTCGAGATCCACTGAGCAAGTCGAAGCTCCTGACTTGTTTGAATGGGATCACGGAATAGCTCTGCATGCACTGCAGGGGAATGGGGCCTCATCTCGCCTCAAGGGGGAAGTCTCATGGTTTTTCTCGAGTTGCGGCGGGGACCTGGGGTATGTTCTCGACTTACGGCGGGGATGGCCCTTCAAAACACGAGTTTCTTCAGTGACGTCAGGACTCCTGTCTAGTAACGAGGGACACCTCAGGAATCTCTAAGAGGCTTGGCAGGGCAAAAGGGACGCTTCTCGAGGTGAGGCAGGGCACCCAAGGACCCTTTCACGTAGCCACAGGGATTTTGGGATTCCTATCAGTATTCAAGAGGAGTCAGGCATCGTCACCTTTTGAAGCAATGAACTCCGCGTGCCTCTCGAGGTGTCAGCGGGACGTGAGGCATTCCGTCAAAATGAGGCAGGGACCTAAGGCTTTCTCTAAGGTCTCCACAGGGGATTCAGACATCCCTTCATGTTGTGAGATGAAAGACGAGCCTGTATTCAAGCCACTGCAAGGAAATGCGGCCTCCTTTCAAGTTAGGGCTTCTCGCTGTATATTCCCCTTGAGGCAGCAAACTCGGGGTCCCTTCCACATACCTATTGCTGAGAGAAGCCTCCTCCTGAGGTGCTTCTGGAAAGTTGGCATAAGTCTTGAACCTAAGCCAGGGAATTAGCTCTCATCTCGAGACGATTTGGGGTACACGGAGCATTCCTCGAGTTGCTGTGCTGAAGTTGGTGTTCCTCTAGACTTGGGACCGTGTTCTCGGGGCATCTCTGGAGTTGCCTGAAGGAAGTCGAGCCACCGGTCGTGTTGAATGGGGAACGGGGAATGGCTCTGGAGTCAATGCATGGGAATCGGGCCTCATCTCGAGTTGATTTGGGGCACATGGAGCTGCTTTGCGTTGCTGGGGTGACCTCAGGGTCCGTCTAGACTGGTGACAGTGTTCTTGGGGACTCTCTCGAGATCCACTAAGCAAGTCGAAGCTCCTGACTTGTTTGAATGGGATCACGGAATAGCTCTGCATGCACTGCAGGGGAATGGGGCCTCATCTCGCCTCTATGGGGAAGTCTCATGGTTTTACTCTAGTTGCGGCGGGGACCTGGGGTATGTTCTCGACTTACGGCGGGGATGGCCCTTCAAAACACGAGTTTCTTCAGTGACCTCAGGACTCCTGTCTAGTAACGAGGGACACCTCAGGAATCTCTTCGAGGCTTGGCAGGGCAAAAGGGACGCTTCTCGAGGTGAGGCAGGGCACCCAAGGACCCTTTCCCGTAGCCACAGGGATTTTGGGATTCCTATCAGTATTCAAGATGAGTCAGGCATCGTCACCTTTTGAAGCAATGAACTCCGCGTGCCTCTCGAGGTGTCAGCGGGATGTGAGGCATTCCGTCAAAATGAGGCATGGACCTAGGGCTTTCTCTAAGGTCTCCACAGGGGATTCAGACATCCCTTCATGTTGTGAGATGAAAGACGAGCCTGTATTCAAGCCACTGCAAGGAAATCCGGCCTCCTTTCAAGTTATGGCTTCTCGCTGTATATTCCCCTTGAGGCAGCAAACTCGGGGTCCCTCCCACATACCTATTGCTGGGAGAAGCCTCCTCCTGAGGTGCTTCTGGAAAGATGGCATACGTCTTGAGCCTAAGCCAGGGAATCAGCTCTCATCTCTAGACGATTTGGGGTACACGGAGCATTCCTCAAGTGCTGTGCTGAGGTTGGTGTTCCTCTAGACTTGGGACACTGTTGTCGGGGCATCTCTGGAGTTGCCTGAAGGAAGTCGAGCCACCGGTCGTGTTGAATGGGGAACGGGGAATGGCTCTGGCGTCAATGCAGGCGAATGGGACCTCATCTCGAGTTGATTTGGGGCACATGGAGCTGCTTTGCTTTGCTGGGGTGACCTCAGGGTCCGTCTAGACTGGTGACAGTGTTCTTGGGGACTGTCTCGAGATCCATTAAGCAAGTCGAAGCTCCTGACTTGTTGGAATGGGATCACGGAATAGCTCTGCATGCACTGCAGGGGAATGGGGCCTCATCTCGCCTCAAGGGGGAAGTCTCATGGTTTTTCTCGAGTTGCGGCGGGGACCTGGGGTATGTTCTCGACTTACGGCGGGGATGGCCCTTCAAAACACGAGTTTCTTCAGTGACGTCAGGACTCCTGTCTAGTAACGAGGGACACCTCAGGAATCTCTAAGAGGCTTGGCAGGGCAAAAGGGACGCTTCTCGAGGTGAGGCAGGGCACCCAAGGACCCTTTCACGTAGCCACAGGGATTTTGGGATTCCTATCAGTATTCAAGAGGAGTCAGGCATCGTCACCTTTTGAAGCAATGAACTCCGCGTGCCTCTCGAGGTGTCAGCGGGACGTGAGGCATTCCGTCAAAATGAGGCAGGGACCTAAGGCTTTCTCTAAGGTCTCCACAGGGGATTCAGACATCCCTTCATGTTGTGAGATGAAAGACGAGCCTGTATTCAAGCCACTGCAAGGAAATCCGGCCTCCTTTCAAGTTAGGGCTTTTCGCTGTATATTCCCCTTGAGGCAGCAAACTCGGGTCCCACCCACATAACTATTGCTGAGACAAGCCTCCTCCTGAGGTGCTTCTGGAAAGTTGGCATAAGTCTTGAGCCTAAGCCAGGGAATCAGCTCTCATCTCGAGACGATTTGGGGTACACAGAGCATTCCTCGAGTTGCTGTGCTGAAGTTGGTGTTCCTCTAGACTTGGGACAGTGTTCTCGGGGCATCTCTGGAGTTGCCTGAAGGAAGTCGAGCCACCGGTCGTGTTGAATGGGGAACGGGGAATGGCTCTGGAGTGAATGCAGGGGAATCGGGCCTCATCTCGAGTTGATTTGGGGCACATGGAGCTGCTTTGCGATGCTGGGGTGACCTCAGGGTCCGTCGAGACTGGTGACAGTGTTCTTGGGGACTGTCTCGAGATCCATTAAGCAAGTCGAAGCTCCTGACTTGTTTGAATGGGATCACGGAATAGCTCTGCATGCACTGCAGGGGAATGGGGCCTCATCTCGCCTCTAGGGGGAAGTCTCATGGTTTTTCTCGAGTTGCGGCGGGGACCTGGGGTATGTTCTCGACTTACGGCGGGGATGGCCCTTCAAAACACGAGTTTCTTCAGTGACGTCAGGACTCCTGTCTAGTAATGAGGGACACCTCAGGAATCTCTTCGAGGCTTGGCAGGGCAAAAGGGACGCTTCTCGAGGTGAGGCAGGGCACCCAAGGACCCCTTCCCGTAGCCTCAGGGATTTTGGGATTCCTATCAGTATTCAAGAGGAGTCAGGCATCGTCACCTTTTGAAGCAATGAACTCCGCGTGCCTCTCGAGGTGTCAGCGGGATGTGAGGCATTCCGTCAAAATGAGGCAGGGACCTAGGGCTTTCACTAAGGTCTCCACAGGGGATTCAGATATCCCTTCATGTTGTGAGATGAAAGACGAGCCTGTATTCAAGCCACTGCAAGGAAATGCGGCCTCCTTTCAAGTTAGGGCTTCTCGCTGTATATTCCCCTTGAGGCAGCAAACTCGGGGTCCCTTCCACATACCTATTGCTGAGAGAAGCCTCCTCCTGAGGTGCTTCTGGAAAGTTGGCATAAGTCTTGAACCTAAGCCAGGGAATTAGCTCTCATCTCGAGACGATTTGGGGTACACGGAGCATTCCTCGAGTTGCTGTGCTGAAGTTGGTGTTCCTCTAGTCTTGGGACCGTGTTCTCGGGGCATCTCTGGAGTTGCCTGAAGGAAGTCGAGCCACCGGTCGTGTTGAATGGGGAACGGGGAATGGCTCTGGAGTCAATGCATGGGAATCGGGCCTCATCTCGAGTTGATTTGGGGCACATGGAGCTGCTTTGCGTTGCTGGGGTGACCTCAGGGTCCGTCTAGACTGGTGACAGTGTTCTTGGGGACTCTCTCGAGATCCACTAAGCAAGTCGAAGCTCCTGACTTGTTTGAATGGGATCACGGAATAGCTCTGCATGCACTGCAGGGGAATGGGGCCTCATCTCGCCTCTACGGGGAAGTCTCATGGTTTTACTCTAGTTGCGGCGGGGACCTGGGGTATGTTCTCGACTTACGGCGGGGATGGCCCTTCAAAACACGAGTTTCTTCAGTGACCTCAGGACTCCTGTCTAGTAACGAGGGACACCTCAGGAATCTCTTCGAGGCTTGGCAGGGCAATAGGGACGCTTCTCGAGGTGAGGCAGGGCACCCAAGGACCCTTTCCCGTAGCCACAGGGATTTTGGGATTCCTATCAGTATTCAAGATGAGTCAGGCATCGTCACCTTTTGAAGCAATGAACTCCGCGTGCCTCTCGAGGTGTCAGCGGGATGTGAGGCATTCCGTCAAAATGAGGCATGGACCTAGGGCTTTCTCTAAGGTCTCCACAGGGGATTCAGACATCCCTTCATGTTGTGAGATGAAAGACGAGCCTGTATTCAAGCCACTGCAAGGAAATCCGGCCTCCTTTCAAGTTATGGCTTCTCGCTGTATATTCCCCTTGAGGCAGCAAACTCGGGGTCCCTCCCACATACCTATTGCTGGGAGAAGCCTCCTCCTGAGGTGCTTCTGGAAAGATGGCATACGTCTTGAGCCTAAGCCAGGGAATCAGCTCTCATCTCTAGACGATTTGGGGTACACGGAGCATTCCTCAAGTGCTGTGCTGAGGTTGGTGTTCCTCTAGACTTGGGACACTGTTGTCGGGGCATCTCTGGAGTTGCCTGAAGGAAGTCGAGCCACCGGTCGTGTTGAATGGGGAACGGGGAATGGCTCTGGCGTCAATGCAGGCGAATGGAACCTCATCTCGAGTTGATTTGGGGCACATGGAGCTGCTTTGCTTTGCTGGGGTGACCTCAGGGTCCGTCTAGACTGGTGACAGTGTTCTTGGGGACTGTCTCGAGATCCATTAAGCAAGTCGAAGCTCCTGACTTGTTGGAATGGGATCACGGAATAGCTCTGCATGCACTGCAGGGGAATGGGACCTCATCTCGCCTCTAGGTGGAAGTCTCATGGTTTTTCTCGAGTTGCGGCGGGGACCTGGGATATGTTCTCGACTTACGGTGGGGATGGCCCTTCAAAACACGAGTTTCTTCAGTGACGTCAGGACTCCTGTCTAGTAACGAGGGACACCTCAGGAATCTCTTCGAGGCTTGGCAGGGCAAAAGGGACGCTTCTCGAGGTGAGGCAGGGCACCCAGGGCCCTTTCCCGTAGCCACAGGGATTTTGGGATTCCTATCAGTATTCAAGAGGAGTCAGGCATCGTCACCTTTTGAAGCAATGAACTCCGCGTGCCTCTCGAGGTGTCAGCGGGACGTGAGGCATTCCGTCAAAATGAGGCAGGGACCTAAGGCTTTCTCTAAGGTCTCCACAGGGGATTCAGACATCCCTTCATGTTGTGAGATGAAAGACGAGCCTGTATTCAAGCCACTGCAAGGAAATACGGCCTCCTTTCAAGTCAGGGCTTCTCGCTGTATATTCCCCTTGAGGCAGCAAACTCGGGTACCACCCACATATCTATTGCTGAGAGAAGCCTCCTCCTGAGGTGCTTCTGGAAAGTTGGCATAAGTCTTGAGCCTAAGCCAGGGAATCAGCTCTCATCTCGAGACGATTTGGGGTACACAGAGCATTCCTCGAGTTGCTGTGCTGAAGTTGGTGTTCCTCTAGACTTGGGACAGTGTTCTCGGGGCATCTCTGGAGTTGCCTGAAGGAAGTCGAGCCACCGGTCGTGTTGATTGGGGAACGGGGAATGGCTCTGGGGTCAATGCAGGGGAATCGGGCCTCATCTCGAGTTGATTTGGGGCACATGGAGCTGCTTTGCTTTGCTGGGGTGACCTCAGGGTCCGTCTAGAGTGGTGACAGTGTTCTTGGGTACTGTCTCGAGATCCATTAAGCAAGTCGAAGCTCCTGATTTGTTTGAATCTGATCATGGGATAGCTCTGCATGCACTGCAAGGGAATGGGGCCTCATCTCGCCTCTAGGGGGAAGTCTCATGGTTTTTCTCGAGTTGCGGCGGGGACCTGGGGTATGTTCTCGACTTACGGCGGGGATGGCCCTTCAAAACACGAGTTTCTTCAGTGACGTCAGGACTCCTGTCTAGTAATGAGGGACACCTCAGGAATCTCTTCGAGGCTTGGCAGGGCAAAAGGGACGCTTCTCGAGGTGAGGCAGGGCACCCAAGGACCCTTTCCAGTAGCCACAGGGATTTTGGGATTCCTATCAGTATTCAAGAGGAGTCAGGCATCGTCACCTTTTGAAGCAATGAACTCCGCGTGCCTCTCGAGGTGTCAGCGGGATGTGAGGCATTCCGTCAAAATGAGGCAGGGACCTAGGGCTTTCTCTAAGGTCTCCACAGGGGATTCAGATATCCCTTCATGTTGTGAGATGAAAGACGAGCCTGTATTCAAGCCACTGCAAGGAAATGCGGCCTCCTTTCAAGTTAGGGCTTCTCGCTGTATATTCCCCTTGAGGCAGCAAACTCGGGGTCCCTTCCACATACCTATTGCTGAGAGAATCCTCCTCCTGAGGTGCTTCTGGAAAGTTGGCATAAGTCTTGAGCCTAAGCCAGGGAATCAGCTCTCATCTCGAGACGATTTGGGGTACACGAAGCATTCCTCGAGTTGCTGTGCTGAAGTTGGTGTTCCTCTAGACTTGGGACCGTGTTCTCGGGGCATCTCTGGAGTTGCCTGAAGGAAGTCGAGCCACCGGTCGTGTTGAATGGGGAACGGGGAATGGCTCTGGAGTCAATGCAGGGGAATCGGGCCTCATCTCGAGTTGATTTGGGGCACATGGAGCTGCTTTGCGTTGCTGGGGTGACCTCAGGGTCCGTCTAGACTGGTGACAGTGTTCTTGGGGACTGTCTCGAGATCCACTAAGCAAGTCGAAGCTCCTGACTTGTTTGAATGGGATCACCGAATAGCTCTGCATGCACTGCAGGGGAATGGGGCCTCATTTCGCCTCTAGGGGGAAGTCTCATGGTTTTACTCTAGTTGCGGCGGGGACCTGGGGTATGTTCTCGACTTACGGCGGGGATGGCCCTTCAAAACACGAGTTTCTTCAGTGACCTCAGGACTCCTGTCTAGTAACGAGGGACACCTCAGGAATCTCTTCGAGGCTTGGCAGGGCAAAAGGGACGCTTCTCGAGGTGAGGCAGGGCACCCAAGGACCCTTTCCCGTAGCCACAGGGATTTTGGGATTCCTATCAGTATTCAAGAGGAGTCAGGCATCGTCACCTTTTGAAGCAATGAAATCCGCGTGCCTCTCGAGGTGTCAGCGGGATGTGAGGCATTCCGTCAAAATGAGGCAGGGACCTAGGGCTTTCTCTAAGGTCTCCACAGGGGATTCAGACATCCCTTCATGTTGTGAGATGAAAGACGAGCCTGTATTCAAGCCACTGCAAGGAAATCCGGCCTCCTTTCAAGTTATGGCTTCTCGCTGTATATTCCCCTTGAGTCAGCAAACTCGGGGTCCCTCCCACATACCTATTGCTGGGAGAAGCCTCCTCCTGAGGTGCTTCTGGAAAGTTGGCATACGTCTTGAGCCTAAGCCAGGGAATCAGCTCTCATCTCTAGACGATTTGGGGTACACGGAGCATTCCTCAAGTGCTGTGCTGAGGTTGGTGTTCCTCAAGACTTGGGACACAGTTGTCGGGGCATCTCTGGAGTTGCCTGAAGGAAGTCGAGCCACAGGTCGTGTTGAATGGGGAACGGGGAATGGCTCTGGCGTCAATGCAGGCGAATGGGACCTCATCTCGAGTTGATTTAGGGCACATGGAGCTGCTTTGCGTTGCTGGGGTGACCTCAGGGTCCGTCTAGACTGGTGACAGTGTTCTTGGGGACTGTCTCGAGATCCATTAAGCAAGTCGAAGCTCCTGACTTGTTTGAATGGGATCACGGAATAGCTCTGCATGCACTGCAGGGGAATGGGGCCTCATCTCGCCTCTAGGGGGAAGTCTCATGGTTTTTCTCGAGTTGCGGCGGGGACCTGGGGTATGTTCTCGACTTACGGCGGGGATGGCCCTTCAAAACACGAGTTTCTTCAGTGACGTCAGGACTCCTGTCTAGTAACGAGGGACACCTCAGGAATCTCTAAGAGGCTTGGCAGGGCAAAAGGGACGCTTCTCGAGGTGAGGCAGGGCACCCAAGGACGCTTTCCCCTAGCCACAGGGATTTTGGGATTCCTATCAGTATTCAAGAGGAGTCAGGCATCGTCACCTTTTGAAGCAATGAACTCCGCGTGCCTCTCGAGGTGTCAGCGGGATGTGAGGCATTCCGTCAAAATGAGGCAGGGACCTAGGGCTTTCTCTAAGGTCTCCACAGGGGATTCAGACATCCCTTCATGTTGTGAGATGAAAGACGAGCCTGTATTCAAGCCACTGCAAGGAAATCCGGCCTCCTTTCAAGTTAGGGCTTCTCGCTGTATATTCCCCTTGAGTCAGCAAACTCGGGGTCCCTCCCACATACCTATTGCTGGGAGAAGCCTCCTCCTGAGGTGCTTCTGGAAAGTTGGCATACGTCTTGAGCCTAAGCCAGGGAATCAGCTCTCATCTCTAGACGATTTGGGGTACACGGAGCATTCCTCAAGTGCTGTGCTGAGGTTGGTGTTCCTCTAGACTTGGGACACAGTTGTCGGGGCATCTCTGGAGTTGCCTGAAGGAAGTCGAGCCACCGGTCGTGTTGAATGGGGAACGGGGAATGGCTCTGGCGTCAATGCAGGCGAATGGGACCTCATCTCGAGTTGATTTGGGGCACATGGAGCTGCTTTGCTTTGCTGGGGTGACCTCAGGGTCCGTCTAGACTGGTGACAGTGTTCTTGGGGACTGTCTCGAGATCCATTAAGCAAGTCGAAGCTCCTGACTTGTTGGAATGGGATCACGGAATAGCTCTGCATGCACTGCAGGGGAATGGGACCTCATCTCGCCTCTAGGGGGAAGTCTCATGGTTTTTCTCGAGTTGCGGCGGGGACCTGGGGTATGTTCTCGATTTACGGCGGGGATGGCCCTTCAAAACACGAGTTTCCTCAGTGACGTCAGGACTCCTGTCTAGTAACGAGGGACACCTCAGGAATCTCTTCGAGGCTTGGCAAGGCAAAAGGGACGCTTCTCAAGGTGAGGCAGGGCACCCAAGGAACCTTTCCCGTAGCCACAGGGATTTCGGGATTCCTATCAGTATTCAAGAGGAGTCAGGCATCGTCACCTTTTGAAGCAATGAACTCCGCGTGCCTCTCGAGGTGTCAGCGAGATGTGAGGCATTCCGTCAAAATGAGGCAGGGACCTAGGGCTTTCTCTAAGGTCTCCACAGGGGATTCAGACATCCCTTCATGTTGTGAGATGAAAGACGAGCCTGTATTCAAGCCACTGCAAGGAAATCCGGCCTCCTTTCAAGTTAGGGCTTCTTGCTGTAAATTCCCCTTGAGGCAGCAAACTCGGGGTCCCTCCCACATAACTATTGGTGAGAGAAACCTCCTCCTGAGGTGCTTCTGGAAAGTTGGCATACGTCTTGAGCCTAAGCCAGGGAATCAGCTCTCATCGCGAGATGATTTGGGGTACACGGAGCATTCCTCGAGTTGCTGTGCTGAAGTTGGTGTTCCTCTAGACTTGGGACAGTGTTCTCGGGGCATCTCTGGAGTTGCCTGAAGGAAGTCGAGCCACCGGTCGTGTTGAATGGGGAACGGGGAATGGCACTGGAGTCAATGCAGGGGAATCGGGCCTCATCTCGAGTTGATTTGGGGCACATGGAGCTGCTTTGCGTTGCTGGGGTGACCTCAGGGTCCGTCTAGACTGGTGACAGTGTTCTTGGGGACTGTGTCGAGATCCATTAAGCAAGTCGAAACTCCTGACTTGTTTGAATGGGATCACAGAATAGCTCTGCATGCACTGCAGGGGAATGGGGCCTCATCTCGCCTCTAGGGGGAAGTCTTATGGTTTTTCTCGAGTTGTGGCGGGGACCTGGGGTATGTTCTCGACTTACGGCGGGGATGGCCCTTCAAAACACGAGTTTCTTCAGTGACGTCAGGACTCCTGTCTAGTAACGAGGGACACCTCAGGAATCTCTAAGAGGCTTGGCAGGGCAAAAGGGACGCTTCTCGAGGTGAGGCAGGGCACCCAAGGACCCTTTCCCCTAGCCACAGGGATTTTGGGATTCCTATCAGTATTCAAGAGGAGTCAGGCATCGTCACCTTTTGAAGCAATGAACTCCGCGTGCCTCTCGAGGTGTCAACGGGATGTGAGGCATTCCGTCAAAATGAGGCAGGGACCTAGGGCTTTCTCTAAGGTCTCCACAGGGGATTCAGACATCCCTTCATGTGGTGAGATGAAAGACGAACCTGTATTCAAGCCACTGCAAGGAAATCCGGCCTCCTTTCAAGTTAGGGCTTCTCGCTGTGTAATACCCTTGAGGCACAAACTAGGGTCCCTCCCACATACTTATTGCTGAGAGAAGCCTCCTCCTGAGGTGCTTCTGGAAAGTTGGCATACGTCTTGAGCCTAATCCAGGGAATCAGCTCTCATCTCGAGACGATTTGGGTTACACGGAGCATTCCTCGAGTTGCTGTGCTGAAGTTGGTGTTCCTCTAGACTTGGGACAGTGTTCTCGGGGCATCTCTGGAGTTGCCTGAAGGAAGTCGAGCCACCGGTCGTGTTGAATGGGGAACGGGGAATGTCTCTGGAGTCAATGAAGGGGAATCGGGCCTCATCTCGAGTTGATTTGGGGCACATGGAGCTGCTTTGCGTTGCTGGGGTGACCTCAGGGTCCGTCTAGACTGGTGACAGTGTTCTTATGGACTGTCTCGAGATCCATTAAGCAAGTCGAAGCTCCTGACTTGTTTGAATGGGATCACGGAATAGCTCTGCATGCACTGAAGGGGAATGGGGCCTCATCTCACCTCAAGGGGGAAATCTCATGGTTTTTCTCGAGTTGCGGCGGGGACCTGGGGTATGTTCTCGACTTACGGCGGGGATGGCCCTTCAAAACACGAGTTTCTTCAGTGACGTCAGGACTCCTGTCTAGCAACGAGGGACACCTCAGGAATCTCTTCGAGGCTTGGCAGGGCAAAAGGGACGCTTCTCGAGGTGAGGCAGGGCACCCAAGGACCCTTTCCCGCAGCCACAGGGATTTCGGGATTCCTATCAGTATTCAAGAGGAGTCAGGCATCGTCACCTTTTGAAGCAATGAACTCCGCGTGCCTCTCGAGGTGTCAGCGAGATGAGAGGCATTCCGTCAAAATGAGGCAGGGACCTAGGGCTTTCTCTAAGGTCTCCACAGGGGATTCAGACATCCCTTCATGTTGTGAGATGAAAGACGAGCCTGTATTCAAGCCACTGCAAGGAAATCCGGCCTCCTTTCAAGTTAGGGCTTCTCGCTGTATATTCCCCTTGAGGCAGCAAACTCGGGGTCCCTCCCACATAACTATTGCTGAGAGAAGCCTCCTCCTGAGGTGCTTCTGGAAAGTTGGCATACGTCTTGAGCCTAAGCCAGGGAATCAGCTCTCATCTCGAGACGATTTGGGGTACACGAAGCATTCCTCGAGTTGCTGTGCTGAAGTTGGTGTTCCTCTAGACTTGGGACAGTGTTCTCGGGGCATCTCTGGAGTTGCCTGAAGGAAGTCGAGCCACCGGTCGTGTTGAATGGGGAACGGGGAATGTCTCTGGAGTCAATACAGGGGAATCGGGCCTCATCTGGAGTTGATTTGGGGCACATGGAGCTGCTTTGCGTTGCTGGGGTGACCTCAGGGTCCGTCTAGACTGGTGACAGTGTTCTTGGTGACTGTCTCGAAATCCATTAAGCAAGTCGAAGCTCCTGACTTGTTTGAATGGGATCATGGAATAGCTCTGCATGCACTGCAGGGGAATGGGGCCCCATCTCGCCTCTAGGGGGGAGTCTCATTGTTTTTCTCGAGTGGCTGCGGGGACCTGGGGTATGTTCTCGACTTACGGCGGGGATGGCCCTTCAAAACACGAGTTTCTTCAGTGACCTCAGGACTCCTGTCTTGTAACGAGGGACACCTCAGGAATCTCTACGAGGCTTGGCAGGGCAAAAGGGACGCTTCTCCAGGTGAGGCAGTGTACCCAAGGACCCTTTCCAGTAGCCACAGCGATTTTGGGATTCCTATCAGTATTCAAGAGGAGTCAGGCATCGTCACCTTTTGAAGCAATGAACTCCGCGTGCCTCTCGAGGTGTCAGTGGGATGTGAGGCATTCCGTCAAAATGAGGCAGGGACCTAGGGCTTTCTCTAAGGTCTCCACAGGGGATTCAGACATCCCTTTATGTTGTGAGATGAAAGACGAGCCTGTATTCAAGCCACTGCAAGGAAATGCGGCCTCCTTTCAAGTTAGGGCTTCTCGCTGTATATTCCCCTTGAGGCAGCAAACTCGGGGTCCCTTCCACATACCTATTGCTGAGAGAAGCCTCCTGCTGAGGTGCTTCTGGAAAGTTGGCATACGTCTTGAGCCTAATCCAGGGAATCATCTCTCATCTCGAGACATTTTGGGGTACACAGAGCATTCCTCGAGTTGCTGTGCTGAAGTTGGTGTTCCTCTAGACTTGGGACAGTGTTCTCGGGGCATCTCTGGAGTTGCCTGAAGGAAGTCGAGCCACCGGTCGTGTTGAATGGGGAACGGGGAATGGCACTGGAGTCAATGCAGGGGAATCGGGCCTCATCTCGAGTTGATTTGGGGCACATGGAGCTGCTTTGCGTTGCTGGGGTGACCTCAGGGTTCGTCTAGACTGGTGACAGTGTTCTTGGGGACTGTGTCGAGATCCATTAAGCAAGTCGAAACTCCTGACTTGTTTGAATGGGATCACAGAATAGCTCTGCATGCACTGCAGGGGAATGGGGCCTCATCTCGCCTCTAGGGGGAAGTCTTATGGTTTTTCTCGAGTTGTGGCGGGGACCTGGGGTATGTTCTCGACTTACGGCGGGGATGGCCCTTCAAAACACGAGTTTCTTCAGTGACGTCAGGACTCCTGTCTAGTAACGAGGGACACCTCAGGAATCTCTAAGAGGCTTGGCAGGGCAAAAGGGACGCTTCTCGAGGTGAGGCAGGGCACCCAAGGACCCTTTCCCCTAGCCACAGGGATTTTGGGATTCCTATCAGTATTCAAGAGGAGTCAGGCATCGTCACCTTTTGAAGCAATGAACTCCGCGTGCCTCTCGAGGTGTCAACGGGATGTGAGGCATTCCGTCAAAATGAGGCAGGGACCTAGGGCTTTCTCTAAGGTCTCCACAGGGGATTCAGACATCCCTTCATGTGGTGAGATGAAAGACGAACCTGTATTCAAGCCACTGCAAGGAAATCCGGCCTCCTTTCAAGTTAGGGCTTCTCGCTGTATAATACCCTTGAGGCACAAACTAGGGTCCCTCCCACATACTTATTGCTGAGAGAAGCCTCCTCCTGAGGTGCTTCTGGAAAGTTGGCATACGTCTTGAGCCTAATCCAGGGAATCAGCTCTCATCTCGAGACGATTTGGGTTACACGGAGCATTCCTCGAGTTGCTGTGCTGAAGTTGGTGTTCCTCTAGACTTGGGACAGTGTTCTCGGGGCATCTCTGGAGTTGCCTGAAGGAAGTCGAGCCACCGGTCGTGTTGAATGGGGAACGGGGAATGTCTCTGGAGTCAATGAAGGGGAATCGGGCCTCATCTCGAGTTGATTTGGGGCACATGGAGCTGCTTTGCGTTGCTGGGGTGACCTCAGGGTCCGTCTAGACTGGTGACAGTGTTCTTATGGACTGTCTCGAGATCCATTAAGCAAGTCGAAGCTCCTGACTTGTTTGAATGGGATCACGGAATAGCTCTGCATGCACTGAAGGGGAATGGGGCCTCATCTCACCTCTAGGGGGAAGTCTCATGGTTTTTCTCGAGTTGCGGCGGGGACCTGGGGTATGTTCTCGACTTACGGCGGGGATGGCCCTTCAAAACACGAGTTTCTTCAGTGACGTCAGGACTCCTGTCTAGCAACGAGGGACACCTCAGGAATCTCTTCGAGGCTTGGCAGGGCAAAAGGGACGCTTCTCGAGGTGAGGAAGGGCACCCAAGGACCCTTTCCCGCAGCCACAGGGATTTCGGGATTCCTATCAGTATTCAAGAGGAGTCAGGCATCGTCACCTTTTGAAGCAATGAACTCCGCGTGCCTCTCGAGGTGTCAGCGGGACGTGAGGAATTCCGTCAAAATGAGGCAGGGACCTAGGGCTTTCTCTAAGGTCTCCACAGGGGATTCAGACATCCCTTCATGTTGTGAGATGAAAGACGAGCCTGTATTCAAGCCACTGCAAGGAAATCCGGCCTCCTTTCAAGTTAGGGCTTCTCGCTGTAAATTCCCCTTGAGGCAGCAAACTCGGGGTCCCTCCCACATAACTATTGGTGAGAGAAGCCTCCTCCTGAGGTGCTTCTGGAAAGTTGGCGTAGGTCTTGAGCCTAAGCCAGGGAATCAGCTCTCATCTCGAGATGATTTGGGTTACACGGAGCATTCCTCGAGTTGCTGTGCTGAAGTTGGTGTTCCTCTAGACTTGGGACAGTGTTCTCGGGGCATCTCTGGAGTTGCCTGAAGGAAGTCGAGCCACCGGTCGTGTTGAATGGGGAACGGGGAATGGCTCTGGAGTCAATGCAGGGGAATCGGGCCTCATCTCGAGTTGATTTGGGGCACATGGAGCTGCTTTGCGTTGCTGGGGTGACCTCAGGGTCCGTCTAGACTGGTGACAGTGTTCTTGGGGACTGTCTCGAGATCCATTAAGCAAGTCGAAGCTCCTGACTTGTTTGAATGGGATCACGGAATAGCTCTGCATGCACTGCAGGGGAATGGGGCCTCATCTCGCCTCTAGGGGGAAGTCTCATGGTTTTTCTCGAGTTGCGGTGTGGACTTGGGGTATGTTCTCGACTTACGGCGGGGATGGCCCTTCAAAACACGAGTTTCTTCAGTGACGTCAGGACTCGTGTCTAGTAACGAGAGACACCTCAGGAATCTCTTCGAGGCTTGGCAGGGCAAAAGGGACGCTTCTCGAGGTGAGGCAGGGCACCCAAGGACCCTTTCCCGTAGCCACAGGGATTTTGGGATTCCTATCAGTATTCAAGAGGAGTCAGGCATCGTCACCTTTTGAAGCAATGAACTCCGCGTGCCTCTCGAGGTGTCAGCGGGACGTGAGGAATTCCGTCAAAATGAGGCAGGGACCTAGGGCTTTCTCTAAGGTCTCCACAGGGGATTCAGACATCCCTTCATGTTGTGAGATGAAAGACGAGCCTGTATTCAAGCCACTGCAAGGAAATCCGGCCTCCTTTCAAGTTAGGGCTTCTCGCTGTATATTCCCCTTGAGGCAGAAAACTCGGGGTCCCTCCCACATAACTATTGCTGAGAGAAGCCTCCTCCTGAGGTGCTTCTGGAAAGTTGGCATACGTCTTGAGCCTAAGCCAGGGAATCAGCTCTCATCTCGAGACGATTTGGGTTACACGGAGCATTCCTCGAGTTGCTGTGCTGAAGTTGGTGTTCCTCTAGACTTGGGACAGTGTTCTCGGGGCATCTCTGGAGTTGCCTGAAGGAAGTCGAGCCACCGGTCGTGTTGAATGGGGAACGGGGAATGTCTCTGGAGTCAATGAAGGGGAATCGGGCCTCATCTCGAGTTGATTTGGGGCACATGGAGCAGCTTTGCGTTGCTGGGGTGACCTCAGGGTCCGACTAGACTGGTGACAGTGTTCTTATGGACTGTCTCGAGATCCATTAAGCAAGTCGAAGCTCCTGACTTGTTTGAATGGGATCACGGAATAGCTCTGCATGCACTGAAGGGGAATGGGGCCTCATCTCACCTCTAGGGGGAAATCTCATGGTTTTTCTCGAGTTGCGGCGGGGACCTGGGGTATGTTCTCGACTTACGGCGGGGATGGCCCTTCAAAACACGAGTTTCTTCAGTGACGTCAGGACTCCTGTCTAGCAACGAGGAACACCTCAGGAATCTCTTCGAGGCTTGGCAGGGCAAAAGGGACGCTTCTCGAGGTGAGGCAGGGCACCCAAGGACCCTTTCCCGCAGCCACAGGGATTTCGGGATTCCTATCAGTATTCAAGAGGAGTCAGGCATCGTCACCTTTTGAAGCAATGAACTCCGCGTGACTCTCGAGGTGTCAGCGAGATGAGAGGCATTCCGTCAAAATGAGGCAGGGACCTAGGGCTTTCTCTAAGGTCTCCACAGGGGATTCAGACATCCCTTCATGTTGTGAGATGAAAGACGAGCCTGTATTCAAGCCACTGCAAGGAAATCCGGCCTCCTTTCAAGTTAGGGCTTCTCGCTGTATATTCCCCTTGAGGCAGCAAACTCGGGGTCCCTCCCACATAACTATTGCTGAGAGAAGCCTCCTCCTGAGGTGCTTCTGGAAAGTTGGCATACGTCTTGAGCCTAAGCCAGGGAATCAGCTCTCATCTCGAGACGATTTGGGGTACACGAAGCATTCCTCAGGTTGCTGTGCTGAAGTTGGTGTTCCTCTAGACTTGGGACAGTGTTCTCGGGGCATCTCTGGAGTTGCCTGAAGGAAGTCGAGCCACCGGTCGTGTTGAATGGGGAACGGGGAATGGCTCTGGAGTCAATACAGGGGAATCGGGCCTCATCTGGAGTTGATTTGGGGCACATGGAGCTGCTTTGCGTTGCTGGGGTGACCTCAGGGTCCGTCTAGACTGGTGACAGTGTTCTTGGTGACTGTCTCGAAATCCATTAAGCAAGTCTAAGCTCCTGACTTGTTTGAATGGGATCATGGAATAGCTCTGCATGCACTGCAGGGGAATGGGGCCCCATCTCGCCTCTAGGGGGGAGTCTCATTGTTTTTCTCGAGTGGCTGCGTGGACCTGGGGTATGTTCTCGACTTACGGCGGGGATGGCCCTTCAAAACACGAGTTTCTTCAGTGACCTCAGGACTCCTGTCTTGTAACGAGGGACACCTCAGGAATCTCTACGAGGCTTGGCAGGGCAAAAGGGACGCTTCTCGAGGTGAGGCAGTGTACCCAAGGACCCTTTCCAGTAGCCACAGCGATTTTGGGATTCCTATCAGTATTCAAGAGGAGTCAGGCATCGTCACCTTTTGAAGCAATGAACTCCGCGTGCCTCTCGAGGTGTCAGTGGGATGTGAGGCATTCCGTCAAAATGAGGCAGGGACCTAGGGCTTTCTCTAAGGTCTCCACAGGGGATTCAGACATCCCTTTATGTTGTGAGATGAAAGACGAGCCTGTATTCAAGCCACTGCAAGGAAATGCGGCCTCCTTTCAAGTTAGGGCTTCTCGCTGTATATTCCCCTTGAGGCAGCAAACTCGGGGTCCCTTCCACATACCTATTGCTGAGAGAAGCCTCCTGCTGAGGTGCTTCTGGAAAGTTGGCATACGTCTTGAGCCTAATCCAGGGAATCATCTCTCATCTCGAGACAATTTGGGGTACACGGAGCATTCCTCGAGTTGCTGTGCTGAAGTTGGTGTTCCTCTAGACTTGGGACAGTGTTCTCGGGGCATCTCTGGAGTTGCCTGAAGGAAGTCGAGCCACCGGTCGTGTTGAATGGGGAACGGGGAATGGCACTGGAGTCAATGCAGGGGAATCGGGCCTCATCTCGAGTTGATTTGGGGCACATGGAGCTGCTTTGCGTTGCTGGGGTGACCTCAGGGTCCGTCTAGACTGGTGACAGTGTTCTTGGGGACTGTGTCGAGATCCATTAAGCAAGTCGAAACTCCTGACTTGTTTGAATGGGATCACAGAATAGCTCTGCATGCACTGCAGGGGAATGGGGCCTCATCTCGCCTCTAGGGGGAAGTCTTATGGTTTTTCTCGAGTTGTGGCGGGGACCTGGGGTATGTTCTCGACTTACGGCGGGGATGGCCCTTCAAAACACGAGTTTCTTCAGTGACGTCAGGACTCCTGTCTAGTAACGAGGGACACCTCAGGAATCTCTAAGAGGCTTGGCAGGGCAAAAGGGACGCTTCTCGAGGTGAGGCAGGGCACCCAAGGACCCTTTCCCCTAGCCACAGGGATTTTGGGATTCCTATCAGTATTCAAGAGGAGTCAGGCATCGTCACCTTTTGAAGCAATGAACTCCGCGTGCCTCTCGAGGTGTTAACGGGATGTGAGGCATTCCGTCAAAATGAGGCAGGGACCTAGGGCTTTCTCTAAGGTCTCCACAGGGGATTCAGACATCCCTTCATGTGGTGAGATGAAAGACGAACCTGTATTCAAGCCACTGCAAGGAAATCCGGCCTCCTTTCAAGTTAGGGCTTCTCGCTGTATATTGCCCTTGAGGCACAAACTAGGGTCCCTCCCACATACTTATTGCTGAGAGAAGCCTCCTCCTGAGGTGCTTCTGGAAAGTTGGCATACGTCTTGAGCCTAATCCAGGGAATCAGCTCTCATCTCGAGACGATTTGGGTTACACGGAGCATTCCTCGAGTTGCTGTGCTGAAGTTGGTGTTCCTCTAGACTTGGGACAGTGTTCTCGGGGCATCTCTGGAGTTGCCTGAAGGAAGTCGAGCCACCGGTCGTGTTGAATGGGGAACGGGGAATGTCTCTGGAGTCAATGAAGGGGAATCGGGCCTCATCTCGAGTTGATTTGGGGCACATGGAGCTGCTTTGCGTTGCTGGGGTGACCTCAGGGTCCGTCTAGACTGGTGACAGTGTTCTTATGGACTGTCTCGAGATCCATTAAGCAAGTCGAAGCTCCTGACTTGTTTGAATGGGATCACGGAATAGCTCTGCATGCACTGAAGGGGAATGGGGCCTCATCTCACCTCTAGGGGGAAATCTCATGGTTTTTCTCGAGTTGCGGCGGGGACCTGGGGTATGTTCTCGACTTACGGCGGGGATGGCCCTTCAAAACACGAGTTTCTTCAGTGACGTCAGGACTCCTGTCTAGCAACGAGGGACACCTCAGGAATCTCTTCGAGGCTTGGCAGGGCAAAAGGGACGCTTCTCGAGGTGAGGCAGGGCACCCAAGGACCCTTTCCCGCAGCCACAGGGATTTCGGGATTCCTATCAGTATTCAAGAGGAGTCAGGCATCGTCACCTTTTGAAGCAATGAACTCCGCGTGCCTCTCGAGGTGTCAGCGAGATGAGAGGCATTCCGTCAAAATGAGGCAGGGACCTAGGGCTTTCTCTAAGGTCTCCACAGGGGATTCAGACATCCCTTCATGTTGTGAGATGAAAGACGAGCCTGTATTCAAGCCACTGCAAGGAAATCCGGCCTCCTTTCAAGTTAGGGCTTCTCGCTGTAAATTCCCCTTGAGGCAGCAAACTCGGGGTCCCTCCCACATAACTATTGGTGAGAGAAGCCTCCTCCTGAGGTGCTTCTGGAAAGTTGGCATAGGTCTTGAGCCTAAGCCAGGGAATCAGCTCTCATCTCGAGATGATTTGGGTTACACGGAGCATTCCTCGAGTTGCTGTGCTGAAGTTGGTGTTCCTCTAGACTTGGGACAGTGTTCTCGGGGCATCTCTGGAGTTGCCTGAAGGAAGTCGAGCCACCGGTCGTGTTGAATGGGGAACGGGGAATGGCTCTGGAGTCAATGCAGGGGAATCGGGCCTCATCTCGAGTTGATTTGGGGCACATGGAGCTGCTTTGCGTTGCTGGGGTGACCTCAGGGTCCGTCGAGACTGGTGACAGTGTTCTTGGGGACTGTCTCGAGATCCATTAAGCAAGTCGAAGCTCCTGATTTGTTTGAATGGGATCACGGAATAGCTCTGCATTCACTGCAGGGGAATGGGGCCTCATCTCGCCTCTAGGGGGAAGTCTCATGGTTTTTCTCGAGTTGCGGTGTGGACTTGGGGTATGTTCTCGACTTACGGCGGGGATGGCCCTTCAAAACACGAGTTTCTTCAGTGACGTCAGGACTCGTGTCTAGTAACGAGAGACACCTCAGGAATCTCTTCGAGGCTTGGCAGGGCAAAAGGGACGCTTCTCGAGGTGAGGCAGGGCACCCAAGGACCCTTTCCCGTAGCCACAGGGATTTTGGGATTCCTATCAGTATTCAAGAGGAGTCAGGCATCGTCACCTTTTGAAGCAATGAACTCCGCGTGCCTCTCGAGGTGTCAGCGGGACGTGAGGCATTCCGTCAAAATGAGGCAGGGACCTAGGGCTTTCTCTAAGGTCTCCACAGGGGATTCAGACATCCCTTCATGTTGTGAGATGAAAGACGAGCCTGTATTCAAGCCACTGCAAGGAAATCCGGCCTCCTTTCAAGTTAGGGCTTCTCGCTGTATATTCCCCTTGAGGCAGCAAACTCGGGGTCCCTCCCACATAACTATTGCTGAGAGAAGCCTCCTCCTGAGGTGCTTCTGGAAAGTTGGCATACGTCTTGAGCCTAAGCCAGGGAATCAGCTCTCATCTCGAGACGATTTGGGTTACACGGAGCATTCCTCGAGTTGCTGTGCTGAAGTTGGTGTTCCTCTAGACTTGGGACAGTGTTCTCGGGGCATCTCTGGAGTTGCCTGAAGGAAGTCGAGCCACCGGTCGTGTTGAATGGGGAACGGGGAATGGCTCTGGCGTCAATGCAGGCGAATGGGACCTCATCTCGAGTTGATTTGGGGCACATGGAGCTGCTTTGCTTTGCTGGGGTGACCTCAGGGTCCGTCTAGACTGGTGACAGTGTTCTTGGGGACTGTCTCGAGATCCATTAAGCAAGTCGAAGCTCCTGACTTGTTGGAATGGGATCACGGAATAGCTCTGCATGCACTGCAGGGGAATGGGACCTCATCTCGCCTCTAGGGGGAAGTCTCATGGTTTTTCTCGAGTTGCGGCGGGGACCTGGGGTATGTTCTCGATTTACGGCGGGGATGGCCCTTCAAAACACGAGTTTCCTCAGTGACGTCAGGACTCCTGTCTAGTAACGAGGGACACCTCAGGAATCTCTTCGAGGCTTGGCAAGGCAAAAGGGACGCTTCTCGAGGTGAGGCAGGGCACCCAAGGACCCTTTCCCGTAGCCACAGGGATTTCGGGATTCCTATCAGTATTCAAGAGGAGTCAGGCATCGTCACCTTTTGAAGCAATGAACTCCGCGTGCCTCTCGAGGTGTCAGCGAGATGTGAGGCATTCCGTCAAAATGAGGCAGGGACCTAGGGCTTTCTCTAAGGTCTCCACAGGGGATTCAGACATCCCTTCATGTTGTGAGATGAAAGACGAGCCTGTATTCAAGCCACTGCAAGGAAATCCGGCCTCCTTTCAAGTTAGGGCTTCTTGCTGTAAATTCCCCTTGAGGCAGCAAACTCGGGGTCCCTCCCACATAACTATTGGTGAGAGAAACCTCCTCCTGAGGTGCTTCTGGAAAGTTGGCATACGTCTTGAGCCTAAGCCAGGGAATCAGCTCTCATCGCGAGATGATTTGGGTTACACGGAGCATTCCTCGAGTTGCTGTGCTGAAGTTGGTGTTCCTCTAGACTTGGGACAGTGTTCTCGGGGCATCTCTGGAGTTGCCTGAAGGAAGTCGAGCCACCGGTCGTGTTGAATGGGGAACGGGGAATGGCACTGGAGTCAATGCAGGGGAATCGGGCCTCATCTCGAGTTGATTTGGGGCACATGGAGCTGCTTTGCGTTGCTGGGGTGACCTCAGGGTCCGTCTAGACTGGTGACAGTGTTCTTGGGGACTGTCTCGAGATCCATTAAGCAAGTCGAAACTCCTGACTTGTTTGAATGGGATCACAGAATAGCTCTGCATGCACTGCAGGGGAATGGGGCCTCATCTCGCCTCTAGGGGGAAGTCTTATGGTTTTTCTCGAGTTGTGGCGGGGACCTGGGGTATGTTCTCGACTTACGGCGGGGATGGCCCTTCAAAACACGAGTTTCTTCAGTGACGTCAGGACTCCTGTCTAGTAACGAGGGACACCTCAGGAATCTCTAAGAGGCTTGGCAGGGCAAAAGGGACGCTTCTCGAGGTGAGGCAGGGCACCCAAGGACCCTTTCCCCTAGCCACAGGGATTTTGGGATTCCTATCAGTATTCAAGAGGAGTCAGGCATCGTCACCTTTTGAAGCAATGAACTCCGCGTGCCTCTCGAGGTGTTAACGGGATGTGAGGCATTCCGTCAAAATGAGGCAGGGACCTAGGGCTTTCTCTAAGGTCTCCACAGGGGATTCAGACATCCCTTCATGTGGTGAGATGAAAGACGAACCTGTATTCAAGCCACTGCAAGGAAATCCGGCCTCCTTTCAAGTTAGGGCTTCTCGCTGTATATTGCCCTTGAGGCACAAACTAGGGTCCCTCCCACATACTTATTGCTGAGAGAAGCCTCCTCCTGAGGTGCTTCTGGAAAGTTGGCATACGTCTTGAGCCTAATCCAGGGAATCAGCTCTCATCTCGAGACGATTTGGGTTACACGGAGCATTCCTCGAGTTGCTGTGCTGAAGTTGGTGTTCCTCTAGACTT